AATAATAATCTGAAAAAAAAGATGGTCCTCGGCATCGCCATGATGGCCGCCATGCTGCCAACCATGGTCGGACTCAACGAAGCCACCCAACACACGCGCGACCATGAAACAAACCGCCAGCAATCCTCCCGGAAGCAGCGCTGCCATCTAGTAGCCAGCTGCTCCCTCACCCAGGGGACGACTGCGCAACGCGAGCAGATCCAGAATGCAAAGGCCTTTGTGGGTCAGGACGGTCGGGTGCGTATTACCCTCCATCGATCCTTGTCTGTTTTCCTATTTAGGGGCTCCGCGAGATCTCCGGGCAAGGCATCATGCTACCATCATACGACAGGCGCAGTAGCCAAATGCTAATCGGACATGAGACATGCAGATATACCTCACGAAGTCTCCGACGGAAGGGATGACCCTGTTCAACGGGGGCTTCTTTGCCCATCCGGACTTCCCTCCGGAGAACACGTCCGGGCTGGTGACGATTACGGGGGAGCAGCCGCCCACGCTGCGGTGGGTGTTTCTGGACAAGGAGACGAACGAGCTGCGGTGGGGAGGCCGTCCGGACAGCGAGGGCCAGGTGTGTGGCCCGTTCGACTGGACGAAGGATGAGCAGCGGGTGACGCTGGAGGGGTGGGAGGGGTGGCTGGCGGTGCGGCTGCCGGACGGGCGGGAGGAGCAGCAGAATGAGGGCATTTGGCGCGTGTATTTCGATCGGAACGATGACGGGGCGGATCTGCCGGTGGGGGCCCAGGGGTTGGAGATTGTGTTGAAGCGGGTTGCGGCCGAGAGTTGATGATAGATACTTGATTAATATTATTTTCTTGTTTCGGGTGTAGTCGAGCACCCCGATTGATTCTTTGGCACTGACACTGGACCGGGATGACGAACGGTGGAGCCCTAAGTTGCCCGCTCCACGGCGGATCGGGACGCACGCGCGAACCAGAGACACGGACGGCTGGACTGGGATCGCGACGGCCTCCACGCTCGGCCGAATGCTCCTATCAGCGTGGCATGACGGAGCCGAGCTGAACGGAGCTGAAAAAAGCTGAGGCGGGAGCTTGCTCCACTGCGGTCCTGAAGAGTGATGAGGTCGGTTTGGGGGGGAGCGAGGCTGGAGTCTTGACAGATCGCAATGGAGTCCCATATCAGCCATTGAATTGGCTCAACAGGAGCTCAACAGTATACCGGGTGCTGAAATGGATGCCCTCGTCACGGACGTCATCCTCCCATCGCCGGAGATATCTCGCTGGGCGGATCGAGCGCAGCATCCGAGTCCCTCCGTAGCCGAATCTTAGACCGTCGATCGTCCCGCCCCATCCCTGTCAAGGTGGAGATATTAATCTCTCTCGATCAGACCCAGAATCATACCATTGGTCCTGCCCATGTTTTGCTATGCGCATAATCGTACCCATTATTAATCCAACATCATGCATCCTCAGCCTTTTCTCTGCACCGGTCCAGCCCCTCCTACGGAGTACGAACATTGATAACCTTGACTGAAACAAACTCGATTTCAAAGAGGGGTGCCTTGCTGATGTGCATTAGATGCGGAGATCGCGCATATCTGACGTGCATGCCAGAGGACGGATTTCTAATCTCCACCTGTCAGCATCTCGAGCAGAGGCGTAGGTCGTCATCGTATAGAATCTGTCTTCGGCTTCCTCTGCAAAGACGAGCAGCGTGCAAATGTGATATATCTAACTCCCCCGATATTATCGCCACTATCGGTGTGGGTAGACTATCGAGATCTATACTATGTTTAAGGTAGAACGCACTACCAGCGTCATTCCCACACAGACCCGTTGGGAACAGACTCCGACCCCCACTTCCGTTCATCATGTCCGAGAAACTAACGATTGGCTTCATCTGGCTCGGCCGAATCTCGTACCGCTGCTGCACATTATTGAATAGCCGCCGCCAGCGAGGCACGTATGGATTCCTTTCTTCCGGACTGGAGATGTAGCATGAGACGCAGGATGCAGGGATCTGGGTTTGCATCTCGGGCCCGAACAGCAGTCCTAGAGCCTGGGGGGCTGGGAGCCGAGGAACGCGGTATATTTTGCGTTGACTATGGAATATCTAGACATTGGAGGCAAGGAAGAGTTCCGACGCTTCGGTGGGGCTCATGCTGTGGAGGATCCAGTAGTGGATAGGAATGATGGTCTTCTCTTCGGGCTTCGGACACGAGTCCACCACGGAAATCTATGACACGCATTAGTTCGGTTGGGGAAGAGTGAGGGGAAGGGATTGACCCATTCGTGCGAAGCACCAGGACAGAGCCTGTTCTTCTTTGTCCAAAAAGCTGTTGATCTCGACCGGCTGGATGCGATAGGAAGAGCCGTCGAGGTAGTGACCCCATCGGTTAGAGCTGTCTGTGGCCGGTGTTGGTAAAGTCATGCAGGAGCTCAGGAGGGGTACGGGGCATGTATTGCTTAACGTTTCGAGAGCACGTAAAATCACGCATGACGCGACGGCAGGCGTAGTCTTGCTTTCCAATTCTGGCAGCAGGAGGTGGATGACCTCCTGGTAAATCCAGGGACTCTCCGAATACGACGTTGCATTCCGCTTCCCCTCTGCCTTCCGGGCTGACAAGGCAGGGATTGAGAGGCATAGCTTTTGGTCATCCGAGGGAAGGTCGAAGCGAAGTGTTGGGGGTTGCCAAACATGTCAAGCTATGGGTCGGTATGAGTTTTCCGAGTGTGAAGACAGATGTTCACTCGTAGACGATATAACCGAGGAAGCTCTGCGACAGAGGATTTCCACGATATGGAAAAGTTCTAAGCTCCTGTGTTGGAGTGAATGAATCTACTTGTCATTCGCGTTCATAGGTCATTGTGACGGGGTAGATCACCATATAACAATGCATCAGATGCTGGCATACTGCCCCGACGGAGAACATTAGTCAAGCAGAGGCTGGGAGTAAGAGGCCGCTAGTGAGCGGCAAGGTCATGGACTGGCAGGCTTTACCTCTTTGCCTGTATGAATGTAGCCGGACAGGTTGGGCTGTTTCCGAGGAAATTAGATAAGTGCTCACAATCTAGACGTTGTTGATTGCCATTGCCATAACCCGTGTAGTAGATGCGAATGCGTTTACACAGGAGGATCGGAAGTTTATCGCGGTTTATATCAGAATGCGGAGTCCCTACAGTGATCTGATCACAGCCGGAGAGAGATGAAGAGGGGAGAAATGGGGAAGGAACCGCCAGTGGAGAAAAACCGGGGAAAGAGCCAGAAATGCCCTCATCGTGCCATTCACTTGGTGACTCGTGATCTCCTCCACTCTTCTTGGTCTTCTCGCCCATCCGCTCCCTGACATCCCCAACCACGCCCGTTGACGCGTGCCAGTGAAGCTGAACCTTTTCTCCCATCAAAATCCGATTCGCCCGAGCAATAGGGGAAAGCTGAAATTGACATTGACGGGGGCAGGTCGTTTCGTGAACAGCTCGTACTGCGCGATGCCCTGCTCCAAGAGGACTTCCAGCCCGTCGACGACCACCCAGCCCTTGCATGCGCGACTATACATGGACTCTCTCAGCGGAGTGTGTGGTGTTCCATATGCGACCTGGAGATGTCAGAGAAAACCTTGACCATATCGCATGAGTCACGTACATCGGTCAGTTCCTGCGTGCGGTTGAAGAAATCCAAGTTTGTATTGCCGCAACAGTTGGGGTTCCTCGGTGGTGGAGGGGAGTGGGTGAGAGGCCGACATGGAGAAGTATCTCACACCTCGGGACATCCGGTTGTCGCTCTCTGCAGGATGCAGCTAGTCAGCCCATGAAATGACTTCATCCAGGCTCTCGGCCCCCATCCGTCGCGTAAATTCCTACCCGCTCACCTGATCCGGGCCTGAATTCACACCCGCCCAGCAACCCTCGGTTTATCCCAGCCAGAACAGACGCCCCTCTGGTATAGGCGATAGACCGACTATCATCAGCACGGTCGGTATCATGCCCGGAGCTCCCGCCGCGAAGCGACGACGCATCACTCGCGCGTGCGACCAGTGTCGGCGCCGCAAGTCCAAATGTGACGGGGAACAGCCTGCCTGCTCCATTTGCCGATCGATCGATCGGACCTGTACCTACGACATCGCCATTCGGCATCGCGGATTGCAGCAGGGTTATGTTCGAAGCTTGGAGATGTCCATGGGTCTGTTTTTGGATCAGATCCCGGATAGTGAGAACACGCTGCGGCGCGTGCTGCGGGCTCATCGCGACAAGGCCCGGTCTGCGGCCGGCCAACTGGCAGATCTGTGGCGAAATTCGAAGCTGGCGAAGGATGTTGCAAGACTGTTGAATCCTGAGGCCGATGAGGAGGAGACGGCGAGTGAGCTGGAGCCGGTGCCAGAACCGGTGCCAGTGCCAGAGTCAATACCAGAGCCAGAGTCAATGCCAGAGTCAATGCCAGTGTCAATTCCAGAGCCAGCCCAGGTGCCAGGGCCAGCCCTAGAGCCAGAGCCAGAGCCAGTGTCAGTGCCGGAGCCAGTGTCAGAGCCCTTGCGGCAGCCCGAACAAGAGATCACAGAAGAGAAAGAAGTGATGGTTGTAGAAGACGACGACAACGACGTTGTTTTTGTTGCAGAATATCAAGATGATGAGGACAGCTCCGACCAGCCAGAAACCCCCTGATTCTGAGATTGATGAGTCGGGGAATCCAATAGCCGGGAGGTATACCCATTATCTCGCACTGCCTTTTCCCGAAAACACAGATAAATTGCCGGAGTATTATTTCGCACACATACACAGCTGGCTCCCCATGGTGGAACGCCGGGAGGTCCTCCGCATCAGGCATACTCCTCCAGATGCGATAACCAGGAAGGATGCCACGCCCTTTCTGGCCGGCGATCTTTCCGGTGCATGTCGACTCTCCGGGGAGCTGACCAGGAAGCTGAAGTTGGTGGAGGAAAACGCCATGGTTGGGCGCTATCAGCACACGTTGAACGCGTGTATTCTTCTGGAAAATCTAATAGCGGGTGCTTTCGACATGACACCCCAGGTCACAATCGCTGATCGGAACTACTGCCGCCAGGTGGACGAGAATGACGTGGATGAGTGGGAGAAGTGGTTGATATCGCGCCGACGTGGGCAGACATCTGTCTCGAAGGACGCGTTGCGATCCCTGAGTGCCCTCAATCTCATCCACGACCTTATGACTCGGCTCACTCGAATCCTGCATCCTTGCTCGACGCGAGCTCCGTTCCCGGCGCATGATCTTCTGATCGAACTGAAAGGGATACTGGCGCTGATTGGCGAGCGCTACCCCTATAAGGGCCTCGAGTTCGCCACCCCTACCGTCCTGACGCTGCATCTCACGGCGTCATTCGCCATCTTTGCCCTGGTAAAAAGGTGCGGACTGTTCGAGCCCAGCGTCAAGGATCTCGTCTTCAAGAGCTTTCGCTCCACGCTCGATATGCTGGATGCATATCGCGAATTAACCGGCACGCTCCAGCCCCCGCTGCTCTGCTGCTTTGTTCATCAGATCCATGGGTGTCTGCGTACCACTCTCCTCGACGTGGAAAGCCCAGACAAGGAATTGTTAATATCTCGACTAACGCGGCGTGCTGAAGAGTCGAGGTTCTACGTTGCCACTACCGATCGCCATCTGCAGAAGTCTCCCCACCCCCCTTATATCGTCGGCCCCGAGACTCATCGCCATATGCACGGCCAGTCAGCCAATCGGCCACTCAAGATTCGCGCGTGGATCAGACTCGAGCTACTGATGTACAAGGCGCCACTTCAACGACTACGTTGGCGGAAATCGACCAGCAAGCAATACCCCCGGACCTGTCCATACCCGCTCTGATCGACGCTGCAGGTGGGCGCGACCAACCTGGAAGGCAGACAGAAGGCTTCGGATGCCCTTTTCAAGGAAATGATAGCCTCTTTACCCCAAGCCCGGTACGTGGCACGGCGCATCCTTGCCTGAACGACTCACAACTAACGCGCGAACAGCCATGAGCCGACATTCGCGGAGAATCTAGGGCTCTACGCCGGGAATCTGGACACCGACTTTCTTGCTCAGCTACCAAACATGCAGGATATTGATGGAGCAGGCTCATAAGATATAGTCCTAAAACAGTCAGTAACAGCATTTGACTACAGATCCAGCTCCTTCGCCAGCTGCTCCCACGCCCTGATCGCCCGCTGGGAATGCGAGCGCGGCACCGTCGGATCGGGATCCGCCATTGTCCTGGAGAACAGCTCCATCGACACCCATCCCTCGTATTTCAGCCCCTTCAAGATCACCCGCGCAACTTCCACCACGGGCATATACGCGCCTCGATCCGTCTCATACAGGAACGTCCTGGCATTGCGGCTCCAGCTCATGCGCGGAGGCTGCCCATCGACATGAAACGGGTGACCGGGCAGAAGCGGCTGCTCCATCTTCTCCGCATCAACGACCTGGACATAGAACACCTTCTTCACATCGACTGTCCGGACCAGACGTTCCAACGACTCCGCCAAAGCCATATCCGCATCGGGGGTCCTTCCGTCCCCGCTCGCCGGATCCGCCCAAACCCTGCCCGCGATATTGAACGTATCCAGACAAACACCAAAATTCGGCCGATCGACACGCCGAACGACCTCCCACATCGCGTCCCACGTATCGATATACGTCCCCCAGGCCAACGCCTCGAACGCGAACCGAACCACCGGCTCCTCCTTCAACCCCATACTGCACAACTGCCTGTCTCACCAACACCTCCAACCCATCCTGCACCTCCCACCCCAACCGCCCCGTAACCCTCATCAGCGGCGTAACCTTCGGCGTATCCGCCATCTCCACACAAAGCCCCCTGCGCTTCCCAAACAGCCCCCCCCCCCCCCCGAAATCCTCTTCCGTGGTAACCGTCCCCGGCCCGGAATCGTGCCAATCCCCACATCCACCTCTGCCCCAAATCCACTCTCTTTGAGTCCCCCCAGCCCCTGCACCGCAGGATTCAAGTCCGCGAAATCGTCCACGATGCGCTGCGCCTTGGCGAGTGTCCGGTTGCAGACCATGATCTTGGTGATGGATTTCTCTTGGAAAAGGGCGTAGACGGCTGCGCGGGCGGCGCCGAGGACTAGTCCGGTTGCGTTTGGGGGGGCAGGGAGGGCGCGTAGGAGGTGACGAGGTGCAGTGCGCGAAGGCGGTTAGTTTGTGCGTCATGGTGACGCTGGCGCCGCCGAAGGAGGGGGCGTGGATTAAAGGTAGTTAGGGCGTCGGTTAGGGAGACGCATTTGTGGATGGTGTAGTTGTAGTTGTGGGGGAGGTGGTGGTGCGCGAAGGCGGCGTTGTGGATTATCGGCGAGAGCGATTTGCTGATGTTCGAGCCGAAGATGTGGAAGGTTGGTTTGGGGGGGTGGTCATTTTGAGGGTTGCAATTCACCAGCTCTATGCTACATGGGTTCCCTGATTCCATTCCTCTGGTTTAGTCACTTAACTAGTCTAATCGAGCAGGTTATATTGAGAGTGCAAAGCTCGGCACCTCGACACCAGGCGGCTGTCTTGTCTCTGGTGCCCTGTCTCTCAGCCCTAACGGGTGTCTCTCGGCCCTGCATAGTACAGTACCCTGGCCTCGGCAATGGTCGCCCAGTCGCATGGGTCACCCCTAATGAATAAGTGAGATGCAACGGGCCATATGCAGGCAATAAAGCTCTTCTTCGTTTGGGGGATAAGATGGGGGACGAGCTGAGCTGTGCACTAATTTAGGATGCCACTAGCCCGTGCACTAACTGACTGGCACCGTCACATCACATCTCAACTCCCGAGCATCCTGACAGACCAAACAGAACACTCGACTAAAAAGGTGTCCAAACGCCTAAGTAGGCATGATACTGAATGATACTAGGTTTGACACATCCCCTACTAGTCAGTCCGCCGGGTCTCCGCGGATGACACTCTGATTTCCTAGCTGGCCCAAAACGAACCGGCTTTCGGGAGTCCGGCACTTGAAATCTGGAGCTTGATCGTTCCATCGGCCGAAGCGGGAGGTTTGGCCTCTGACAGGCCCCCGGTTGCTGGCACCCCAGCCCCTGGCCGGGAGCGCGGACCGCTCGCTCACAGACTCTATAATATGCCTATTAAGCAGCGCCGCAAGTTGTCATCGACGCCAATTGGCGCTGTTTGCCAGGTGGACTGGGGCTGGTGGGCTGGACATTCGGTGATCGGCAACGGATTATTTGTGATACAGATGGCAAGCTATGCCCTCGGTCAGGATGCCGAATCTTATGGATTTCTTTATTTCTTTTCGTTCGGTTTCATTCAGTGATGTGATAGTGATATAGCGACTCAGACCATCAGGGTATGCAGACTTGGGTAAGACTGATATAATTTCATACTTCCTGAACTATCATACTGAAGTTTTGCTAATGTGATGATTTGGATTTCGCGTTTTGCCCAGGATAGTAGCACTTTTATGAAAGAAACTTAATTTGAAAAGCCACCCAAGCCCTCAGGCAAATGTCGCCCCTATTCCCCCGCGGATATATGTGCCCTCTTTACATTGGAATGGGCCCATATCTGGACCGGGGGCCTTTTTGTCGACTACATTGTCCCTTCGGAGCATGTCTCCCATGAACGTCCAGACAAGACAATCTGATCAACCGCCGCTGTCCCACTATGGCTACCATTGATACAGATGTGGACTTCAGCGAGAGTCGAGCGACCGAAATCAATGTTCTTGGGTGGGTGTTCACGGGCACTGCGACTGCGACCGTCTTCCTCAAGCTCCTTGCCCGTGGCCATGTCGCCAAAGACCTCGGCTGGGATGACTTCTTCATTCTATTCTCCTTGGTAGGCAAGGTAACCATGTGAAAGTAGACGAGCACTAATGTCTCCATTAGACCCTTAGTGTCATTGCCGCTGGGATCGTGTCCCACTCGGTCTTCCTGGGCCTGGGACGACACACAGCCGCAGTGATTGCAGAACATGGCATGGAGGGATTCGAGATGGCATCCAAATGGCATGTATTGGCATTCCGTATGTACCGATACCCTCACAATAAGTGCCACCCCGGCTTCGCAGCGACTAAGCTAATATTGTCAGCCTTCAACATCGGTCCGTCCAGCCATACAGGTTAACAGATTGGAGCCCAAAAGCTAACCTGGATCATTCAGCTTCCTTCAGCTTCCCCAACATCGCCATCGCCATTCTCGTGAGCCGCCTCCTTGACCCGAATCCTCTCCGCACCCGATGCCTTTACGCCATGGTCGCCCTGCAAGTTGTCTTTGCCATGGTCTCCATCATCCTGCTTTTCCTACAATGCAAGCCAACACAAATGCTCTGGAAACCCTCCATTGAAGGCAAATGCTGGGACGAGTCCGTCTTCAATGCATACCTTTACTGGGTCAGCGCGTACACAACAGTCACGGACATCGTGCTGGCCGTTGTGCCCATCAGCGCGTTTTGGAATCTGCAGATGCGAGCGTCAACCAAGTGGGCGGTATGCGTCATGATGGGACTGACCTTTCTCTCGGCGCTTGTCACCATCGTCAAGGCAACATACATACACCTGTTCTCGAACCGTACGGATCCTCGTCAGTAGACCCACCTCCTTGTCGAATCTGGTAGACAGATCGCTAAATCAAGCAGTATACAAGATCGTTCCGTTGGTTCTTTGGGGCCTGTACGCGCCGCTTCCTTCCCTCCCCCTGTCTTGTCTGCAACTTCTAATCGTCCCAGTGTCGAACAAAACGTGGTCATCGTCGCTGCCTGCATCCCCACCCTCCGCCCATTATTCCGCAAGGCCTTCGAGTCCAGGAACTCCCGCTCGGGCACCAACTCACGCCCGCGTTTGGGATTCACCTTCACGCTGCCATCGACCCCCGGCCCCGAGCGTCTTCATTCCGAGCCCGAGTCAACCATCCCTCTCGGGTCCCGAAAAACCGGCTTCGACGCAAAGAGCGACAACAGCCAGCACGGTATCCTGCGCACGGTAGACGTGGACGTGGATAGCGACGAGGGGAATGATCTGGAGGGAAACGTGGACGGGACATACATTCAGCATCCGAGTGCCGCAGGGAGATGACGATACAATATTCTGTACACTATTAATAGTATTATAAAAAAGCGCCAGCCACTATGTACTTACTGAGCGCTTCCAACGAATCTCCTGCCCGAATAGGCAGATAATGAACACGAGCGACACACACTGTCGGGCACCGCGTGGGGTTTAGCGTGCGTCAGCAGCATCCACTTTCCCACCCCGCGAGACGGCAGTTTTGTCCGCATATATAAAGTGCTGTCTACCCCCCTTGCTTCTACAAATCTTCTTGGTACTGATATCTTTGGTCATAATCGGACTAGGCCGACCCTCTTCCACGGTTCATCACCCCAGACTGCCCTTATCTGCCCCCAATCTTCGCCACGCGACTGCATATCTCCGGCTTCCTTCCCGGTTAGTTCGCCTTTAGGGCCGGGACCACGCCAATCACCGAACCCCCCCTTCCCCCCGCGTCCAGAAGTGACTCACGGGGTGATCCTTTCGAGTCACTCTACAGACGGACATTTAACACTCATTAAAGAGGTGTACATAACCCTACCAAACACCCCTCAATTCCTCCTCAACCACTCCCCCCCCAAACCCCTCAAAATGCCCTTCACCATCCGCTACGCGACAGAGCAAGACGCTCCCAACCTCGCCATAATCAACATCGTCAGTTTCCGGCACCAACCCATGTGGGACAACCTCTTCCCGAGCGTCAACATCGACGGCGTCCTCCCCCTCAAGACCGCCCGGTGCCTCGACAAGCTCGTCTCGCCCCAGGTCCACGTCGTGGCCGCGGTCGACGACGAAACGGGCCAGATCATCGGGTACGCGCGGTGGGTGATCCCCGGCGAGCCGACAAGCGTGGTGGAGTTATCTCCCGTGGGGGCCGAGACCCTCGCGGGGCATGCCAACGGGAAGGCCTACCCCGAGAACATGAGGAAGGATGTCCACGCCCGGTTTTGGGACATGTTGAAGGGCAAGCAGGAGAGTTATGTCCAGGAGGATGATTTTGGTATGGCTAACCCAACCCCTTCCTTCCCTCTCTCGCTTTTTCTTTTTTTGGTATTCCATCTCGAACCCGATTTCCCTACAGGAGAGTTTGTGGTTAATATAATGGCTGCTGACTCGTTCCAGTCCTTGAATTCCTAGCCACCATCCCCGAGGCACAAGGGAAGGGTGTCGGGACGGCGCTTCTCCGGTGGGGCCTGGAGCGCGCGGACGCCAGGAACGCCAGGGTGTATCTTGAAGCCACCACGGATGGATACTCGCTGTATCGCAAGTTTGGGTGGGAGGATCTGGAGGAGATGAGGATGGATTTCACGGAGCTTGGGGGGAGGGGGGCGCAGTCTTGGTTTGCGATGCGGAGGGAGAGGAGGGTCGTGGCTTAGACTTTATGTATACTATACATAAAGTCTATATATAGTATAGAGAGTGATACATGTACGGCTGTCTATCAAGTACTGGGCGAGGGTTCGTGTATATATTTTTGATGTGATGAATGATGGCTATGATAAATAGATTGATTGCATACCTGCTGACAGATAAATTCGCACACCGGTGCCTGCTTTTGCATAATCAATTATTTTTACCTCCTCGTCGAGGCTGTCTAGATATCTGGAGTCAGAAGGCAATAGGTCTGTTCGTGGTGACTGTTCGTGGTGGGTCCGAAGCAACGGTAAGTTATACCTGAGATCGATGGTTTGGGTCCTTCTTAGGTCGCGTGGGAGGGTTTTGTGGACGGACTATCGGTAGATTATGGTTTTCCTTGAGGGTAGAATAGTAATGAAGTAGTAGGGCCTGGTGAATAACTTTTAATAAAATGTATGGTGGTTTAGGGTTGGCGCGCGATCAACTTCAGGTGATACAATTTCTACGTCTGAATGATGTAATCAAAAAAATACATCACTTCAACAAGAATCCGATATGGTGTAGTGGCTAACATCGCCGTCTCTCACACGGCAGCCGGGGGTTCGATTCCCCCTATCGGAGAGCGATTCTTCTTTTTGTCTTGTTTTTTTTTTTTTTTTTTTTTTTTCGGTTGTACTCCGTACAGATGTAGCCGTGGCTCGGTAGCGCCGCAATGCCGTGTGCCCAGCCACCGCTTTTGTCTCCGGCCGTCTGGCTCCCTCCCTCCCTCCTCCAACCAACCCTTACTATATCCCAGTGAGCTACGCCGAAGGCTGACTTACCATCAAATAACACATGTGGAGAGAAAGAAGCTGTGACGAACCCTCAGGGTTATCAAGATATAAACGCCATGGAATTCTCTTTCTTATCCTGCGTTAACAGAATACAGATGCCCATCTGACGAGCGCCACTGCGGCAAAAGGAGTATTCCTGCGCATGGCGCTGCGGAAGAGGGACACCTGCGGTCCTGACACCATCTCCATCAAAACCGTCTGCAGATTCATTGATGGCATATCTTGGGCGAAGGGTCACAATATGGCGGGAAATGCGACCAAGGGCCAGTGACCCCATCTCCCCGGGGGCAATGATGCCAAATCGAACCTCCGAGTCGCCTAAAGAGCAATAATTCGTCAACACCAGCATGGGATTATTCTCCAGGCCAACAAATGTGATGATGTCACTAAGGTCTCTCAGGCACACACATATATACAGCCATAGGATTTTGGCCAAGGCCGAGCTGGAAGAATCATTCAAAGCCAACGACTGAGAGGGTTGCGAAAGAAGTATTGGGATGCTTTCCCTTCTGACAGAACTTCTTTATTGTTTTATACATAGAACATTGCTAAGTAGACATGATACCAGCAGTAAACATTATACAGAATAGTGAAAGGCGGCCTCTATTTAAGTAGACAAAAGGTAATGGACATGACGAAAGGATATGAATGCAGTCGCAGTGAAAGGCCTTGCCAGGCGCCTATAAAAAAAATGTGCCTCTCACTTCAAACCCTCAAAAACTTAGACTCTTCACCATCCATCAATCTATACATATTGCTAGGCAACAAGCGCTACTGGCTCAAGATGTCATCCATCTTCCAATTTCAACCTCTTGCTTGGTTTATATCTCCAACATAATGTCCCGGTCGGATATGGTGGACCCATTGTACAGTCAATTTATAAAAGACAGCCGGGCTCTTATGTAGTCTCCCAGGGAGTATCAGGGGCCTCAAAGAAAAGAGACAGGTATGGGTTAAGGGACGTTGTTATCGCACCAGGTAATATCCCCTGGATCTTGGCAGCGAGAAACTAGGGTTCTGTGACAACATTTTCCCTTGGTGTCTGGTAACTCACATGAGAAACGCTAGTGAGATATATTATCGCTTTACATGTTATATTATATATCCTCGACGCTGGAACCCCGAAATCGTTGGTCGCTCAAAGAGTGAGTGTATATTCAATGCCATACGGCCGAATTCGGCATGTTGCAGAAACGTGCATCTATAGAATGCCTTGGCCTGACTGTAAACGGAAGCCTGCCAGTGGGAACAGCAAAAGATGAAAGACGTTCTCTAGAATATTAAACAAGGCGATGTTATTTTCGACAAGGCCAGCTTCTATCGGACGCCGAGGTCCTACGAGCTAGGTCAGAGCAGCGATGCAATACCAACGCTATGTATACAGGATGTTGGAAAGACGAATATCAAAAAGATCTTTTCGAGAAGGACGAGCAAATCCTCAACATTGCGTGCAAAATTATTCGAAACGGAAGCTGGGTTGGGAAATCGGCATGCGAGATCGCCATATCGATATGTCGAGGGGTTTGATAACGCCAGAATTTTTCCGGGTGGTGTGTGACGAAGGCCACTGTGCAAAAAGCGATAGTCTGGACACGTTACCTACTGAGTACTCACGATATCCCAACTTTGAAAGGCAGGGATCGTGATGCAATATGTGCCATCACATCAACCCCGGCTGAACATGTTGGTGTTTTTTATATTTATCCTTTTTCAATTAGGACCCGGAACAGCCCTGAAGTTGTTGACCTTTAGGTAATATTCAAAGACTTTTGGTCTAAGGAAAAGGTTGAGAAATGGTAAGATGCTCTCTTTGGGGACAGCAAGACAGAAAATATCGAGAAGTTACTCTATATAAACCATGGCAAGAGATTCTTTGCTCCATAGTTACTGGGTGTGAACACTGAAAAATATATTTCTCCAAGAGGTTTTAGTGGCCAAGCCAGGATAATACTAAAAGCGATCACCCGGAATTCCCGGATGACGAAGATCCACAAAATACGGTGTGGGGGTCTGGAATATGGTGTCGAAGAAGAGAATTGCCAGTAGCGATGATAACTATCCCTACCCGATACACGTCTTTTGAGCCTTCAATTTGAGCCTTCAGTGGCCCATTGTCTATTTCTATTCTGCACATATTAAAAAGCAGCCCAGACCGCACGTTCAGATAGAAAAGTTCTTCAAATGGGGGGGGGGGGGTTGTGGAAAAGACCATTAAATAGATTTTGGCAATAGGATCAGGGATAATGTATCGGTTCATAAGCATGTCTATCTGGTTGCTTCTCGGTCTGCCCATCTGTGGCAATGATTACTCCGGATCATATAGTCCGGCTTTGGCGTGTGAAAACCATTTTGGCCAAGCGGTCATCCCGGTGCTAGCTTTGTCCCTGCTCCTACGGCACGATTCACATATTCCCGGCATCCTGTGTTGGTGACGGTGAGTGTGACGAAATAGTTCGTCCTTCTCAGCACCATGATAGCCAGCCCTCTTAGGACCAAATTTATTTGTTAGCACTTGTTGATAGCCAAGCAAGCTGACGTCAAGATATCTGCCACCCTGTACCGTTTTTAGCTGAGCCAACTTACCCCGAATTTTAGGAGGGGGCCGGTCAATCGCCTCTGACCCTAACTTGGTCCAAAGCAGTGTTTCACTTTGACTGAGACCCTTTCTCCACTGCGGCAGATGCCATCTCTAACGGGAGAGATAAAAAGAAAAAGCAAAAAGTAATGGAGCTGCGGGGAATCGAACCCCGGACCTCTCCCATGCTAAGGGAATATTATACCACTAAACCACAGCCCCATTTGTTGAGGTGAGAGGCTTAAAGTATAATATAATAATGACAGCATAGTGATGGTTGTTTCTTTTGTCATGTGATCAGGTTGATATACACTGCGCAGAGCTGATGATGTATGTTTTTTCGTTTGTGGAAATATAATTGCATAGTATTGTGCATATAAAAGTATGTCTGTAAAAAAAGATAAGAAGTAAAAGCTGAAAATGGTCTGGAATTCTTCAGTTCCCTACCAACGATCCTCCACCGTCCCAAAAGATATAAATTGTCAACCCTAAAACACAGAATGTCCCAACCACATCCAAATACCCACGCTTAATCAAACCGCAATAACCCCCTTCCTCCTTTAAATCTGAACCAATACCCTTCCCAGAAAAAAAAACCTTCATCTCATTCTTTTCTTACTTCTACCCCGGACTAGAGAATTGTATCTTAGCACGCATTTTTAATACAGATTTATGGGCATATTCAGTCTACATATCAAGACATCACGTCCACTATTACCTGTCGCCTCTATGACCTTCCCCTTATTAGTCGACGTGATACTGCTAAACCGGGAGATCCTCACTGAGCATGTCCTAAGATGGTAGCTCCCAGCAAGATGGCCCCGAACAGGCGGTGTCCGATGACAGATAGCCCTGCGGACCCTCATCCCTTGCATCGGCACGAGATGGTACTGGTAGAGGGTGTTCTGCGGGGAAAGCTTATACTGGATACAACTCCACCTATGGTGATGATGCTAGCTACATCGGCCATGTTTGCATGTACATCTTCAAACGCCGTTTAGGACCATTTACGGAGAAGTCACCCTCGAGATATCTCCCCCATTTCCCGATTTAATTCGAGGAAGTGCGGTTCCATAATAAAGAGGATAACGGGGTAATTAATCGGCAACAGTTCAGACATCCGTATTTATATGACAGACGGTTTGGGCATTTAGGTTGTGCCCGACCAATCTTGTTTAGACTATGTTTTTAGATGAGTGAGGTGCCTTTGACAGTCACGCGGACGCGGCGTAGGTTCTTATCTGTAGGTGTAACCCTAACTTTAACCTTAATGTTAATTCCTCCCGTGGAGTGGTATGTGAGGGGGGATGGAGTCGGGTCGGTGAGGAGATGGGTCATGGATGGGCGAAGCGATGAGGATAGGGCGGTGGATGTGGATGCGGATGTGGAGGTGGAGGTGGATGTGGATGGGGATGCGGGTGGATGCGGGTGTGGAGGTAAGGGGAGGCAGGCGGTGTGGATTGACTGACTACTGAGACGAGAGATTGTTGGTGGCTGGTGGGGATGTTGGTGGTTATGCAGGTGGGGGAGGGGGGATAATTATTGGCCCGTCGTGGGGATGGAGGGGGTTTAAGGATTGAGGGTTGAGGGTTGGGGGTGGTAGTGCTACCTAGGTCTGCATGGATGGATGGACGTGTAGGATAGAAGAGAAGGGAGGGGTTGAATGCTGATGGTTGTTGCAGGGTTGTCAGGAGCAAACCTGGATTGCTGGATCAGGCTTGGATCGGGCATGGCATCTACTGCGTCAGTAGCTATTCCGGCCATATACTGGTATGTATGGAGGGGTAGGTAATAGTAGTAGTAGCGCGTCAGTGGAAGATCGCGATCCCCGTAAGGAATGTGTATGTGGCAGAAAATATGTATACCCTCCAACCCGCTCCAGGAATGAACATCACATCACATCACCATGACCATCAGCATGAACATGAACATGAAGTGTAGAAAAAAAAAACCTATATACCAACAAAACCGGGATATGATGAGAGATGAAGATGAAATATACAACGCCGGGTCCAACACCATAAGTCACAGTCGCAAGTGTGGGGTCCCATGATAATCAATGATAAAAAAAAAAAACCTAACCAGTCGGTCGGGTCCGGTCGTGGACCGTGTAATCGTGAATCGTACATGCAGTGTGTGTTTTTAGAAGAGATTCTCTTTTGGTTGTCAAGAATATCGGAAGTGCCGTAGACACGAGGGGTCTAATAATGTGAGGATTCATTTTCGGAGTCTGATTGAAGAGTTATTATTAGTATCTGGGTTTCACGTGGGGTTGGAGATTTTTTGCCCCCATCGCGATAGATAAGGGTAGGTAGGGTATCACAAGGGGAGGGCATGGGAGGGAAACATACACCCTGACTCGACATCTCGTACAACCGGCGCCGGAGGCTTGCCCGTCATGCCCATGGACTCGCGCTGGAAGAAGCCGAGGTTCTTTAGACGCACAGAGCGCATGTACTGCTCCTGCTCGCGGGGGAAGTGGAAGCGGTGTTCAGGCTCGTCGTTCCAGAATTGCTTGGTGAGGGCGGCGCCCAGACAGACGATGGCCAGACAGACCACGATGACGATGACGATGATGGCGGAATCGCTGAGCTTGGCCATGATGGATGGTGGGAGTAGTGCCGATGGGATCGATGGGATGGATAGATCGAGAATCGATGGCGTTCACTAGAGATATTACCCGTGGTCTGTGCTGGGTGCTAGTTGTGTGGAAGTATAGTGGATGCGATGGGTGTGGTAGTGGTGAGCCCGCGAGCGAGATAGAGATAAGGTAGTAGATGCGTCAACGCATAATCCGGGGATGGAAGGAGGAAAGAGGAGGATCGAGGTCGGGGGTCGAGATATAGGGCCGGTGGTTGTCAGACGGAGTTTGACTGGCAGCGACCGACGCAGGCAGGCAGGTAGGCAATGGAATAAGAACGATAAGCCGCGACACACTGAAAAATTCGCGGTGGGCGGTGTTGGGCCCACTGTTTATTTATAAGTGGAGAGTGAGACACTCACGCTGCTGGTTGCCCACGCGGCCAGTCGTGCCCGTCCCAGCCAGTTCCAAGGCTGGACAGGGTGGACCCCGCGCCGTCATTGGCGAGTCCGAGCCTGGAGGGGCCGTGATTGGGTGGGGGACCCGCAGTGGGCGATGATGAAAGCTGTGCGGATGTGCGTATTTGCGTACGGCGTGGATACCAGACGCCCTCCTCAGCTCCGTAGTGCCGCCGGTGTGCATGGCATCCGTGCTGAGGCTGCGATGTACGGTGGTACACAATACACACAGCACAGGACAGTAAGTAGTAGTACTCCGTACGCCGTATTGATCGCCCGGCGGATGATGCAATCAATCAGTCCCTCTCGGCTCTTCTCTCTCCTCCTCCTCTTCTTCTCTTCCCTCTTCCTCTCCCCTCCTCACCTCTCCTCTCCTCATCACTCTCCTCCCTCACTCCTCATTCACCTCCACTCCCACCATCTCCAGTCGCTCCATCATCGATGCATTCTATCCTGTCTCCTCTGCTTGTGTTCCCCTCGCTACCGGGTTTGCAGCAGCCTGGCCCGGTGGATGTCGCGGGGCTCCTCGGGCCCGACCAAGCTGGCAACGCGGTTCCGCCCCTCCCGAAAGCTTGACCTCCGATCGGTGCCTGGCCGCCTGTGGCCACTGGCCACCCCTCGTCATTGGAGGATTTACGCTGACCTGCAAGCAACTGACAGTCGGCCCACCTCACCAGGCAGCAAGCAGACCCTGTTGAGTTGACTCGTTGAGTAGATGGATAGTTTTGTCTTGACTGACTTCTTCTTGCTTTGCCGACGATCGTTCACAGCCTAGTGCTTACTTATGGCTGAGAGGTGGGAATTTTCGGATCCCTGACGCTATCTATTCTCTAGTCTGTGCCCTCCTTCCGCTTTGCGATTGCAGCCTGAAACACGGGTCGACCGTGAAACACGCTTGATCGTTCATCCCAATGACAACCGACGTAATTCGTCCCTCGATCGTCCCCTTCATCCCCGTGGCCGGAAGATCATCTCCAGGGCCCCTAAGTACAACACAAACATATCCCGCGACCGCTGGTCAAAGCTCTCCGCCACAAACCCCGGCGCGTACTGCACGTCGAAGCTCATCACCAATCGCGCCACCGTCGTCCGCAGATTCATCAGCGCCAAGGGCTTGCCAATGCAGTTGTAAGCACCTAAATACTGCTGTCAGTGGCTGCCCCCGACCGGAGGCTAGAGCAGACACTTACCAATCGTGAACGGCGCGAATGCCGACTTGTCGCGGACGAGCTCGGGCTGTTGGTACCACCGCTCAGGGATAAACTCTAGCGGCTTCTGATAGCTCAGTTCCGCTGTTCCGTCGTTAGCCAGTCCCCCATCGTCATCCCCGGGATTGACTTACACCGCCCCATGACATACAGCGGGCAAATCACTGTGGTGTTGCCTGGGATGTATACTCCATCCACATGGATGCCCTCGGGCGGAGTCTCCCGCGGGAGGGCCGAGGGAATACCCGGGTAAAGACGCAGCCCTTCGTTGATGACCCCATTCAAATGCTCCAGGTGACTGATCTTGGCGTCCAGGAACTCCCCCGCGGGTTCGTTTGCATCCACATACGGGGCGAGCTCGGCGCGGAGCTTGCGGACTTCGTCCGGGTGCCTAGCGAGCTGATAGAAAATGCCCGCCAGGGTGGTCGCGGTGGTATCGCTAGGCGGGTGAGCTGACTTCAGGCAACAATAGGCGTAAGCTTACCTTCTTGCAACGATGATCAAGCGGGAATCTCCCCCCAGCCACTGTCGTTCTTCTACAGTGGGTGCTCGGCCCTTCAGCGGTGCCAGTAGCGATGCACTGATGTCGGGGATATCCGGTTCAATCTCTTCGGTCAGCACCGTAGTAGGACGAGAGGGACCAACTCACCTTCATCCTCTCCACTAGTCTCGCCTCGCTGTATTCCAAGAACTTCCAGAATCCGCTTTTCAGCCCTGGGATTGCTGCCACCAGCCGAAAGGACCAAATGGGCAGTCCGGACCCGGCAAACACCATCGTGTCGATCAACAGTCGGATGGCCCAATGCTCCTCACCCCGCTCCAGACTCTCAAACCCTTTACCGAAGGTCAGATCCCCCATCACGTCGAAAGTGTACAGATTGAACCATTTGGTCACGTTCACTGGGTGGCCGTCCTTGCTGGCCAACCGATCTACAAGTTTCTGGCGGTACTTGCGGACGCGCTGCTCGTAGCCCCGCAGCTGTTGGCTCCCGAATGCGGTGCTCCAGACACGCCGTCGCTGTTGATGCTCTGCCGCATCCCTGATTGCCTGCAGGGACTTGCTTGGTTGTGAGTGGTCATACCATGTGGACTTGGCGCATTGACCCTGGATGGCATCAATGGCCTTGGGATCGATGACGGACAGGTCGGACGATCCGATGCGCACATAGGGACCGTATTTCTTGTGCAGTTCGACCAACCTGTGATGGCGGTTGTTGTTCTGCATATGGAAGGGCAGCCACAGGCTGGAGATCCGAGCGAGCAGCGGACCAGGGAATCGGCCCAGGGGGTGCAACAGGAGGCGGTACACGAGCAGACTGCTGAAGAGGCCGACCAGATAGGATGCGGCATGCTGTGCGACGGTGGCCAGGGCCTCCATCCATGCGGTCTCCCGACCGGCATGCAAGGCAGCGGCTGCAGCTGTGAACAGGGCACTGAAAGCCTGTGCATACGCGGTCCCGTAGAAATGGTGTTCGCCTCGATGGAAATAGACAATGTGCGAGAGCCCGCCGGCAAGAGCGGCCATCTGCATGGTGTAAACCATTGTACGATCGATTAGACGTGCGACTGGGACAGCATCAATTACCCCGACGACCGAAGGTAGGAGCTCAACCGTCGTCCGTTTTATATTTACCCAGCAGGAAGGGTTGTGACTCCTCTTTCGAAAAGGAGCGATCCGATCGCCATAATGCCTTCCCCTCTTCCTCCACCCATAGGAATTACTCATGCAGGATGCATGGTGGTAATTTCGAACAGGTCACCGGACGGGATTTAGTCGAATAAATTGACATGGTCTCCGAGTGTCCTGCCCACAGACGCCGCCCACAAGTCCAGCTGGTCGGGACTGCCGAGGTTGGACTGTCAGTGTCGCGCGGGGAATTACCTATAATCGGAACTCCTCATTGGGCTGGCTGCGATCCTCGGTCTCACTGCCAGATGCGCTGCATCTGTCTAAACAAGTTTCGGTCCGTTCCCACTGCGGAAACTCTCCTCCGTCATGTCCAGAGGTCAGATTAAGCCATACCCGGCGCATATCACCCATCTATATGACTCGTACGACGCCAAGGACAGGTGATAGCGATCATGATCCACTCTAACCTGTCAATCGGACCTGATCGATTGGCGCTGTCATATTGCGACGGAGAAACACCCCCGAATATGGTCTAGAAGAGTCGATACTGTCAAATAGTCGGCCTAAACTTTCTTCCTCTCTGATGAGTTTAGCTCCGGTTTGCTGCCAGATGAGGGTTCTCAGATGCGACCTCAGAGATTTATTATTCCCACTCTGGATCATCCGTATCGGCATGCCACTCGATCAAAGTAAATAATGATACCTTCAATTTTGAGCCCACATCGTTCGCTTATGCCATCGCCACCGTCATCATCATTTTGCTCAGTGTCATTGAGCCATACTGACATGGTCCGTGCACCGACTACATGAGGCAGTGATCGTCCACGAAGACCAAAGCACTATCGTCATGAACCTGCAGCTGCATTTGAATTCTTGCTTTTGTGACCTTTGCACAGAACGGTGTTTGGCAGTCTCACTGGCTTAAAATCCCGCTCTGTTGATTTGAAGGTACTCGAGCAATCCAACCACTGATATTGTCGCCATGGCGACCGATGCTGGTTCCAGGCAGCTTCAAGTCCTCGTGCTTCTCCATCGCGATGTTTTGTAAATCTTCTTCTAGACATCGCGTCGTGTCGACCTCGTGGGATTTGCATTGGAATGTGTTAATACTGCCACCGAACCAACGCGAGAAGACCGCATGACCGATGATGCTCTAAGGCCTTGTCCCGGTGATGCGGTGTTACTTGCGACAAACCACTTCCCATTGTATCCAACCAGAAAAACAGGGTCTTTGTGGCTACAAGGTTGTCAAGATACCTTTTCAGTCTGGGGGTATCTTTCGTTTTGTGACACCTTGTGAGGCGTCACCACCCCCTTAACTTTTGATAGGGTGAGGGGAGGCACCAATTGGTGAAGAGTCGGATAGAACTAGGACATGGACCAGTTCTGTGGGACTGACTGACCGACCTTGTTACTCTGCCAAGGGATCTCAGTTGGTTTTCACGGCACGACTCGTCCGTCACTCACACGATACAATTTTCTACCGCCACGGACCATCAGCACATTTGGGCCTCATTTCTTCACCCGGATTGTGCATTCGAAAGCTGGACTGACCACTCAGGGTCAACGAATAGCCTAGATGGCCAAAACTACGGAATACTGCCAGCTGAGCGAAGTTAAACTAATAGAACTTGGATCCAATTTAAATTATGGTTATATCAACAAGGCCTTTCCCATTCTTGACAGCTTTTATCGCAACCAGAGCTGATATCGATTAATAGAGCACAGGCATTCATAAATCACATTACACATCGATCATTCATCGTCTGAGTACCATCCAGCCTTCACATTCGTGTCACGACGCGGGGAAAACCTACTAGGTAGGGAAAAAACCCACGCCAAGGCCCAACGCCATGGAATATTATCACGTATAGAGAGTGAAAATTGGTCGGGCTTTATTTGTGAAGGAGCGGACCAGACGGGCTTGAGAATCCCCCAATTGGCGTCTGGGTATATGGAGCATCGTTTCATCGGCAGTCTCCTTATTGATCTGGTTTCGAGGGTGGCGTTGAGCAGCTGATGACAGTTGAGGACTGTGTACCAGCACATTCGACGTAGCTCATCGTATTAGTTACAGTCACCTCGGGACGGACGGCTTCCGAGTATTGGTAGTAGGTGCTGCAAGCTTGGCAGGTTGGGACGGACGTGCAAGAATCACAGGTTGCGGTTGTCATGGAGTCTACAGAAAACGGCTGGAATTCCGCGGCTCCGTCGTCCTCCTCCTCATCATAGTACTCCGGGATATAATCTTTGATTCTTCTGCCGCCCTGCGTTCCCTTTCCTGCGGCAAGGGCAAGACCGAGGAAGACGAACAAAGCGAAGAGGATCTGGGATAGCTTGATGCCCTGCGCAAAAAGAGGTGTTAGCAAGACCAGCGGGCTGAGTGTGGATGACCGAGCCCAGAATAACGTGCCTGCATTGTGGCTCTGGTTGTGGTATGGCTGCCTTGTAGCTGACTTGAGACCTTGTGTTGTCGTTAATGGATTTCAGTAACGTCTCTGATGGGAGCAGGCATCTTATAGTGTCTTTTGGATATATTGTCAAGTCTGAATGAGCTTGTGTCTTTCTGAGTTTGACCCGACTCTCCATGACATATGAGACGCACTTCGAATAGTCATGGTGACTTATTGGTTCTAGACGTAGAGGATCATAGACATGGGAATGTCCATGCAGTTGTTCCATGGGCCAAGGAGAAAGAGGAGAAAGAGATGTGGTATCGAGGGAGTCAGGATCAATCTCATGCGAGTCACACCGGCCCGGATGCGTGATACCACCTCACACTCGTCCGCCACTTCTGCCGACACAGCCGATCTTGCTCCACGATGACCACTTCTCACGTGAGAAGAAAGCGTCGCTCGTCTAGACTAACCCCCTGCTGGCCTGAGAAAGCCCTTCCCCACATGGAATGCGCGGGAAAAATCCCCGAAAGCAGGGAAGCTACGTCCTGCACATTCCGGAGGACGGTACGGGAGCTCCTTTGGGATGTTTGCTCAAGCCCACATATGCCTCGCCGTTAAAGACGACGATATAATTGGAGGGATCTTTCTCCCTGTTCCACTTTTAGCATCATAGATGTCTACCACAGTCATACTTGTCTGGCTACGGGAGCGTTGACCATTGTTCATCGGTGGTTAAGCAGGCTGAACAACTGTGGAGCCTGTATGAGACCAGCTAGTCCTGTCGGGGCTTTATCCATGAAAGAATTAGGCTTGACACCTAGAAGCAGTCTATACCAGAGACCAATGAACTTTCAAAGGAAACACTTAACCTTGAGGTCATGACCCGTCACTACTGACAGGGTATTCGGCAAGGCTATCATCTGGCCCATCCCCGCACAGTTGTCCATTCTTGAAAAATGTCCGCGGAATCGAATTCTTGAAACATTACCGGGCTTCACGAAACCAGAGCGACAGCTTTCGTGGGAACGAATGGTCCCCGTTCGGAATGCTAGCTTAAGTGGGTACGGGACATGCCGGGCTTTCAACGGCGTCTTCATTCCAATGCTCTCGCTCCGGTGGGTAGTTATTGCTTCCGAAGTGGGGCGGAGGTAAAGCCCCAGTCAAGAATAACAAGACGCGGGGGTTTCTTTCTTGGGGTCTAGTATGGTCATAATCACTTTACTGACTTGGACTTGAGTTGTGACTCGTATATTGGGAGCGGATGCTTCCAATCAAGCAGCTTCCGACAGGTACAGTGTCCTGGTACAGCGGAGGAAGAAAGACATATGATATTATCATGCAGATTAACTTCTCTGTGGTCGTGACGCAGTGTCTCTTTGCCGCGAGAGGCAAAAGGAAGACAAAATGCAGGCTTTCAGGTCAATTTGGCTCGTTGTCTTGAAATGATAGAACATCTCCCTATCAGAAGACAGATTTTGAGTGGGAAGATTGAACGTGTAATTGGTTACATTCGACATTAGCAAACGGTGAACAACCACCGCCGTAAACTGGAGTCTCTGCCTGCACCATGGCTAAGGGACTTGCATTAGCCGGTAGCTAATCAAGCACTAGAAATCCAGTACTGCTGTAGATGATAGTCAATATGCCACTTACCACGACCGCGTGGGGCACATAGACCACTTCTAATTGCGGCAGGTAAGTAGCTAGACCTGCAAGCAGCGAAACATGATATCCAACGGTAGGAGATTACATGACGTCTCGATAGCCGAACTACAGTGAGTGGAGCTTTGACAGCAAGTTTAAAACCTAAGTCTCAATTGGCGCGGATCAAGAGGTCTTTCTGGCCAGAGCAATGGGCAAGTCAAAGCTCCTCCCGTTTACGGATATCGAGGGTGTGTGGGACTGACGCCTCGCGTCTCCTTTGGTCGAACCCTTGGGAGAAAAGAGAGATTTGACTTCCAACCTACCACATCATATCCCTCAAGCCAAACTGTGATACAGAAGGCCGCACCAGAAGCCCATAGATCTCAATAAATAGTTATACCCTAAACCCACCAACACCTTCCTTCCACACAACAATGTTCTATTCCAAATAGCCCCTCCCATCAGCAAGATCAACAATGCACATAATCCCCTCCGTCCTCCTAAGTCTCCTCGTCTTCACGGATCTCGGCCAGTTGGCAAAGGGAGCCCGGAAAGTGGTCAAAAACACCTGCCCCGCTCTCTCGGGATTACCCCTACCCAGCAAAATACTCCCCAGGAGCTCGAGTGCCATAGCGGAATCCTGCTGTCCAGACCAGACCATCTATGACGGGAAGAACTGTGTGCCGCTGATTTGTCCTGCCAGCCAGGCTTGGGATGGGTTAAATTGCGTCCCCGACGCTGATCCGCCGTGCGCGCCGAGACCCGTGTATAACCCCGCTACGAGGCAGTGCGAGGCGACTCCGGTTTATGATTGTCCGATGGGGCGGTATTAGGGATATGTTGTGCCCTGCCAACAGGGGGATACGTGACTTGTGGTCCTGGGTGTAAACGTGGCCAGTTCGTCGGACGTTGAAGCTTCTCCGGATAATTGTCCAGTTGATTAGTACTAGGACGGTGAGCCCAGACCAAGCAAGTGTTACCTGCGAGCGTATGCAAGTATTACAGGGGGCGCTGGGTTGGGATCATTCAACTAATCTAGTGGACAGCATTGTGCCCCTAGACCATTCTTCATCATACACATCTGCCACCACGCTCTGAAGTATGATTCTTGAGCTAGCGGAAACAACCCTGAATTCATGGAAATGAATCTCACCCTACAATTGATAACTTGGGGAAGTATTGAATACACGGACAGATGGTTCGTAGAATTACCTAGACCAAGTCATCCAGCTCTCCCTTGCCCAGTGGGTACGTGAGTTCCGGGATGTTCGGGAGATCAGCCGGATATGACGGACAACCGCCCGCTGCTACCCGCGCATTCCTGCACTCTTGATTGAGGCCGTGGAGTGGAGGATATCATACCCCGGGACTTGAACAGCATTTGTCGGATGCGTAGCAGACCTAAGTTGGTATGTTTCAAAAGTACAGCGTACCGTCTGGATACTGCGGGTATTTTACCTGTTCGTAAACTATCCTGCTGTCTTGGGACTATCTGGCCCCGTTTATACATCTTGTGCATGATGAGTGGAATGTTCCGGATATAACTTACGAGAGGGCGAGGGCGAGGGAAGTCAAGTTATCCCCACAAGGATGTAGGTTGCATCCGATGGTCGAGGGGAAGAGGCCCACAGTGGAAGGGAAAATGTCCGAGACGACATTTAATGTGCACATGCCTGGGAAGAGGATCAGCTATGGTGCTTGGAGTGAATAACCCCAGCCAAAATTTCTGTAATGGAGATAATTGAGCTCAGTGAATACCGCTAAATCTGACTTGAACATGTTCTGTGGGACTTGCCCCCCCCCCCCCCCCCCCCAAGCTTTTTCCTTGAGAATTGCCAATCTACCAACCGCTGATTGCAGCATTAAGGTGTTCGTCCTTGTCAACATTCAAAAGTATCCTGAAAATATCATCATCCGACATAGCATTCACACGCTAACTCACCTGCTTCTACTTAGACCGTTTTAATGCCCAGGGTCGTGCGTACTGTCTCGCTTGTCGATCCATTCTGGACAATTTCGCACTGTTGATCTCACTACACACTGTATCGTTATTGCTCCAGCCGATACCAATAGTGTTCGAGGCATACGAGGCCAGGACTCTTGCATCCAGTCTAGAAAGTGTTACCTGGCAGATTCACCACTACCAGTGACACTTCCGACTCAGTTCTTTTTGTCCGACACTGTCAGATAGACAGACATATAGGGGAAAGCTACCTACAACTGTTGATATTGTCTTGGACCTACATCGTACGATCACCTACACAATGGACTGCGAAAACCCCGTAGAGTGGTTGGAAAAGGGAGACAGTACTTGGATCAAAAGATACGAAACCTAAGACCAACCATCTGCCCGGGACTGTCTTTTGGAAGTACTTTACAAGCTTACAGCCTCCTGAAACTGGTTCTAATCTTGTTGAAAATGGTGTTTAGCATTGTGAGATGCTGCATGTTAAGGATTGGTGCCAAGGTCGCCTAAACATCGTCAGCAGTTCAGTCGGCATTTGAAAAGTACCCCGAATGTGTTCCGCCCATAATAAGAAGCCGTTCTACGCATTGCCACAGATGTTCGATACAACGAAATGTATGATACTCTTGAAAGCTGTCTAAGCTTACTATATTTCTCATCTACTGACAACTATCATCCATTCAGAGCCGATAAAAAACCCTCGATATCCCGACCCATATCAAAGTCTTGTCGGAGCAGGCTACACTGCGCGTGGGAGATGCTTTCGTCCTCTGTCTATGGACTATAAGTACAACTGATCACAGACACGTTACATCACTGAGTGCCGGAGTCCACAGGAACCTCATCATCTGTCCCATGATCATTCACCGGTCCTAGCCAAGATATCCATCACCGGTCTAGAAAGCCTACACAGCGCAATCCAATCAACCTCATCCAAGCCCATTACAGCCGTATCCACGTTATGGCCATCTCACTCACCTCAACCTCGAGCGCACCCTACACCACAGGGCTCACAGATGAGCTCATCAACTACAAACATTCGAACACAGTCCCTAATCCATCATCTTACCAGCGAGATCCAACGGACTCGCTAATTAATTACCCTTACCTTCCACTCCAGGCCACCTCACCACCACCGCCTACACCCTACACTACCCTCTCAATGCAAACGCCTCATTCCTATCCCATCTGCCGTCCCACATGCATATCCGCCCAAACAGCAATGTTCAACCGGACCACCGCCGTGCGAAACAACAATCATCTTGCCTCGGGCCCATCGACGTGGTCAGCGACACGAACACCTCTTTAACGACAAAACAAAGAAATCCAAGCCGGTCACCGACGCTGCCGTCCGGTCCTGTCTCCAGGCACAGATACCCAAGGGATACACGAAATAGTGCATGGCCCTTGCGGGGGTGCAGAAGATCTCGATGAAAGGGTTACACCTGCCTTGTTCGGTGATCACGGGGGATGGGGATCGGGTCTGCCCCGTGGACGCGACCCACCGGCGGGTTCCAAACTCCAACTAAACGTGGAGATTCTACCCGGCACGGGTTATTGGCAATGGCATGTCTCGGCGATCTGGATACGATGGATGTGGGTATGATTGGATAGGTTTGGCTGGCTGGCTGGGGTTTGTTGGCTGAAAGTGCGGTGTGGGGGAGTTTGTGGCTGATTGTTGTCGGTGTTGACTGTTGAGTCGGAGGTGAACGAGATGAACGAGATGAATGATAGCAAAGCATGAGTTGCAGCCTCGGAGCCAGGTGGCTGAGGACAACCCCCAATCTTGACCTTTAGGGCAGGGAGATGCGCTGGCCGACCTCAAGATCTCCGAAATCGAGTCTCCAGCGGAGATCTCCTCCGAATCCGAATTATCCCACATACGGATCCGTTCACCGCACTCAATTCCGCTCGTGGACGGCTGCGTCTGTCTGATTTGTTGCTGCTTTGGTCCAATCAAAAATGGGAGGTCTGGTCCATACTAGTACCGTGCAGCTGCCGCATCTCGGCCGCAACTGCAGGGTGGCAGATACGACGATGATGACGCGACTAGTGCTCTTCCAGAGATCGCGATGTTGATGGAAGCGATGTCATCGTACATCTGAGAATGTTCAGTCCAGAGGCCTTGGAACAGCAATTGCTCGTCATTCCTGTCATCAATTGGGGGTGCCAAGCTTTTCCCCAGCACACGCAACCCAAACCCCCATACAACATCATCCATGGCTTATCTATCATCAGTCCTCCACTGCGTTTACACTAGTGCTGGAACCGAGATTCGGCAGCCGTGGCCCAGCCCCACTCTGAACACCCCCACTTCAGATAGCAGCAAATAGATATATAACTAGTATCTAGTATCTAGATAGATAGACTAATAATAATAGCATCTTCTGCACGGCTGGCCTGCTTATCCCCCGTGACCTGATAAGCTAGCCCCGGCACCACCTGCCGGATGACGCCTAGCGCCTTGGCGATCTGCGATACAGGGCGATCGGAGGCCCCTGATTGGACAGGGAGGGGCCGGAGCGGGGCCGTGAGAGTCCGCGTCGAACTACCCGACCGGGCTAGCGCGGGCTGTCACGGGGTCGGTGTAGGACTTGCCGCATTGGGAGGGCAGGAGATAAAGGCTCCGGGCTTATAACCATCCAGCCAGGCATCGTGTCACTTCCTTCTTCCTCCGTCTGCCTCCCTCCTTACTTCATTCCTGCCTGTCCGTCCCACCGCTGCCACCCCCGACTGACCGTCCCTCCATCCCCCGCCAAGTCTCGCGCTCTGCCTCCGCCCTCCTCCTCTTCATCATCCCGCCAGTCCGTCCGGCAATCAATAGATGGCGCTCTCGCTCTATCCTCTCCGCCGTCATTCTCACGCATACACCATTGCCCTCTCACAACCCATCCGCAGGGCCAGTAGGAATTAAACCTGCCATTATACGTTTTACTACCCACCTACCTACCTACCTACCTACCTATCTATCTATCTACCTGTCAATCCACCACCAATATGGCCATCGAGATCCTCCCCTTGACAAAAGCGGACATCCCCGCGGCCGTAGAATGCATCCAGAAAGCATTTGCCGATGATCCGTACTTCCACTGGGTCTTTAACGATCCGTCCGGAGTGAGTATTTACTTTCCATTCGGACCATCTATCCCCCTCCCCAGGTCGGATCCGAATGATGTACTTGTACCTTAGAACGTACATGTAGAAGAGCCCCAGCTCTCCTCTCCCTCCTCTTTTCCCATCATTTTCTCCATCATCACCATCATCATCCTCTCCCCCCCCCAATCATCCAACCAAACCAGTTCCTAAAATCTCCTCAAATCCCCACAGTTCAACATCGACCGCAACGCCGCCTCCCTCGCCGCGCACTTCCTCTACGGCCTCTCCTGCCAGGACCCCATCTACGTCGCCAAATACACCACCCCGCCCACCAGCGACAAATACACGGCCCCCGCCACCACCACGGGCTCCGTCGTCGGCGTCTGCTGGTGGTTCAACCCGCACCCCCCGACCACGCCCGTCCCCTGGACCACCTGGGCCCAGGACTGGCTCCTCTCCTTCCGCCAGCTCTTCAACAACATCCGCTTCGGCGGCCGCGGCGGCCTCAACGTCCGGCGCTACTGGCTGTGGAAGGAGCTGCAGCAGCAGACCCACGAGAAGGTGTGGACGGACCCCCGGGGATATTACTTCTGTAATGTGCTCGCGGTGGATTCGTCGATGCGGGGCATGGGGGTGGGCCGGAAGTTGGTCGAGGTGGTGACGCAGCAGGCGGATGAGGATGCCGTGCCGTGCTATCTGGAGAGCTCCAAGGGGGTTCCCAATCTGGTCATCTATGAGAAATTGGGCTTTGGGCTCGTTAGTGAGATTGATTGTGTTGATGGGGGGGATGAGTGTAAGGTATGTTTTTTTTTTTTTTTTTTTTTTTTTTTTTTTTTTTTTGCAGCTGGCTGTCGTGGTTATAGTTTTATAGTTGGATGGGAGAGGCTAATATCCATCCAGCTATACTGCATGATCCGCCAGCCGACAGTGAAGGCGTAACGGGATCCTCCAGTTCTCTTGAAATAGACTGGAGTTCATACTACATGGTGAGGCTATTTTGGGTCGGCTTATGCAGAAGCGCGTTTGGGAATGGAATGGAATGGTGCGGCTTATCTATCTTGCTTGGCATTTGCGCTCTGGCATACTTCTCTCCTACTATCGATCTATCATCGCCTCTTCCGGTCGGCTGTTTCTACTTCACAAGCGTCTCTCAATCTCTCTCAATCAATCTGAACTACTACGATATCTATACTGTCTTTGAGCGTCTTCGAGATGTCTCAGATTGAGCTATCTTAATTGCAGTCAGATATTACTTACTTATCCAAGTTGAATTGAAGGATACCAGGGCTTCTATCCCTCGCCTGTTGACGAATACTATTTCTTTTATCTATCATATTCCTGGCACTAAAATCGACACTTTTTATGACGTCAATAGCTATATCTTTTGGGGTTTACTATTGTCGTTTATCATCTGTACAGCAATACTGCTATACAAAACACAGAACAAGGGTAAAAGACGAAAATAAGAAAAAAAAAAAAAGAAATAATCAAGAGAATGGAATTAACAAAAAAGAAATAAGAGTGGAAGAAAGGAAAAGAAGAAAACAAAAAAAAAAAAAAAAAAGCTCTCTGGCATCACACACCTATCACTTCTATTTCCTATGTACCGATAACACCATCAACGTCTTTTCCAAACTGCATCTATGAACATGAACATCAGACCACCCGATCCCAAACAACCAAGCATTATGAAAGACTAGGCAAAATTAATTATCGCACTCCCTGATACGTTCCTGTGATGCTATTCACATTCACATTGCATCGAGTCATTGGCCAGCAATATCTGGAGTGTGCACACCTCCCATCTTGACCAGTGGTCAGAAATACTCTGTTTACTTTTGGTGCGGGGGAGTATCCTTCATCCAGCCTAATGAATCAAACAAACAGTTAAAAAGAATGGAGGATCAGCGAGCGTTATCTATATCTTGGTTTCGGTACCACAGGGTCCCCGCTGGGGAATGCTGGTGACATACCCGATGATATGATATAAAAAAGGGTTGTTGACTGGGCGAGTGTTGTGGTCACAGGAATATAGATTACAGACAGATCTATGTATGCCTATATATGGAGAACTCTCCTTTGTTTTATTATTTTCAATCTTGCCGGGGAGCTGAAAACATGGCAATTACTGTCATGCTAGGCAAGAGTGATGTTGTTTCTCCCTCAACAGTGTAAAAAACTGGTGCTATAATCTGATGGCAATTGGAAAAGACAGTAAAAGTAGATGATATATGCCTATACTGTGTCTTCTATTCCAATATATTATCAAATGATTTATTTTGTTTAATACCATTACACCGAGTCTCTCACCAACCCTAGGTATATACCTAGGTACCTAACCATAACCACGGCCTCCTGACATCAACATTGCTACATCGTCAGATATCCATCCATCCATCCATACCCACAGCCCCATCCACAAAGTACACTCTGGACCTACCTACCTACTTTACCTACCCATCGACCCACCTGCCTTACACTTCCACTTGCAACAATGCACAAAACCCCATCCATCCAGTTACATAAAACAGCACATCTTGTTGATCTCAAAAAAAAATAAAAATAAATTTAGTCTTATTAGAAAAAGGTAATTTTTATACGCCGTATTCCGTTCCAGATCCAACAAAGACCTTCGAACAAGTATAGAATCGAAGAAACATCATCCAGACACCAGCTGAGCGGGACTGGACTGTTTATAGGACAGAGCCAAGGGCAATGCAGGGAAGGGCGATGGTGCTCTGCATATACTCCATTAGCACCGTCAAAAGCAACAGACGGGGAAGAACTAGGCCAAGGGGGTAGTGGTGGTGGAGATGAAGACAAACTTACCGAGTCGCTCCCGCTCTTCTGGCAACACGCCACGTTCTGCTTACATTGCTGGTTGAGGAAGTCCTGGGCGCCGACGGCGATGATGGGGACTGTTCATTCGGGTGTTAGTATTTGTTTATTTGTTTATTTTATTGGTGTCCATGTTCCCGGGGACCGGGGTATAGGGATAGACAGAGACGGGCAAGACGTGTAGTGTAGTGTGGAGTGGAGTGTGGGAAAGGCTGGCTGAGGAGGGAACATACTGTTGACATCAATCTTGGAGCAGTCGTTGGCGACACCCACACCCTGGGAGCCAGAACCTCCGGCAACGAGGTTGCTCAGCAGACCGGCCAGGATGCCGTCGTCGACGTTGGTCGAGTCGCCCGCGTAGGTGGCCTGGTTGCAGCACGACAGCTCCGCCTGGTCACCGCACTTGGCGGCGCCATCGTCGACGGTCCAGTCGTCGGGGATGGGGTACGTGGGCTTGCCGCCGTCCGTCTGGTCCTTCAACGCGGTGGTGCCTGTCGAGGGGCGCGCGACGGCCAGGGTGGCCAGGGCGAGGGCGATGGCAGTGAACTTCATTGTGACCGGGGGTTTGGTGTGGTTGGGAGGGTTGAGGAGTGAGGGTTGGAGAGTTGGTGGTGGCGAGGAGATGGGAACGGGGGGGAGAGGAGGGCTATTTACGTGCTTGGGCGCTCGTTAGGGTTTGTCTCTGGTATGGTTCCTGAAGGGGTGGCATTCCGTAGGCTCTGGCTGTTTGCATCGGCGGCGTTGCATTGGAAACAGGTACGGAGCGTTAGATTGGCGCCTGGTCGGGTCGCATTGGATTGTTTGGCTGGAATTAAGTTTATTTTTTTTTTCTCGTAGTTGCTGCGTTGGGATAGTTGGATGTTGGATCCGGCCATATGGTTGATGGCGGAGGGCGGAACGGCGGGTGATGCTGGTGCAGGTTGCATCCCTTGCTTCTTTCTTGGGGGGTTAGTTATCTGATCCCACCGACAGGGCTAGTCAGATGCCGGCCGATAAGAGCGAGGGAAACGGCACGATGACTCGGTCGGTTTGGGAGAAACATCTAGGGTGGCATTCCGGATCCAGCCAAGCCGACAATGATGCGCAGAGTCAAATTTCGCAGTCTGTTCCTGAACATTGCGCCGAAGAAGCCCGTGCCGCATGTCACACATCCACCCATTCATCTTCCTCGTCGGTATGCTCCTCCGGGCTTCCCCCCCAACGCACTGCACCACGAATTCCACCGCTGCCCTGGTTGTTTCCGGCTGCCTCGGGACGTGGTGTGTCGCGAAGGAGGTCCGCACCTGGGCCTTGCTGCACCGCGCCGCAAGCCGCCTGGTCATCCTGGCCGGGATCATGATGTCCAGTTCCGCAATGTGGTGGAGCACGGGCGTGCGGATCCTCGGGTAGTACAGATCCCTATACTCACGATGGCCCAGCATGAAGCCGCTGTAGCTGAGGACGAACTTGAGTGGGGGGTGGGACGTCTGCAGATCATGTCAATCTCATCGTGCCCTGGTAGGTACCGGAGCGAGATAGTACCCACGGTGAGTCCAAAAAGCCCACACCTCTCTTTCTTCTCCAACAACGCCGCGATCACCATCGCCAGCGTTGCTCCGGTCGAGAATCCTACAATGCCGACGACCGGGTTTATCCGCTCCAGTTGCCGTAGCACCAGCTCGACACTCCGCTGCAGGCCTTGGATCGGCTGGGTGTCAAACATCCCGAAGCCCCACGCCCTGGACCCCAGTTCCGGGCTGACCTCGAACGGTGCTTCGCAGTAGTAGAAGGTGAATCGCGGCAGGACTCGGTCCGGGCACGGCGATGCAGCCGCATTTAGGGCGTCTTGCAGGAAGCCGGTTTTGGGGTGGAAGATCCCTACGGATTGGCCATGGCCTGAGACATCAGTGCTCGGAATACGTTAGACAGTTGCAAGTGCCAGACCGTGGAGCATTAAGATGTTTGCTCGATTGTCGGTTTCCTGTGAGCCGGGGCCATCATCAGCATCCTGCTGCGTTTGCAGTTGATCCAATGAGATAGGCGGGGCGTCTGCCATTTCGACCTTGCTTGCGTTGTTTCTGGAAGAGGTCCCGGGACGCCATCGGTTGGACACGACTACCGTTGCGTACCGATTACGTGGGTTGACGGAATTGCTTTCCTCATGACAGGTCTGGGCCGTGGTCAGCCCAGCGGCCATCAATCTTCGGCTTTCTTTCCCGTGGGGCAAGTAGGTTCAGCCACATACATTCCTTCTGGAGCGTAGTAGTCCTGATGCTGCTGAAGTGTAAAAGGATCGATCGTCATCCAAGACAGCGATTCCCGGGTTATTCCACCTTTCAAATTGGAGCCATTCTGGCCTGATAGACCTTATACCCATCATCCAGTCCAGATACGGATATATATAGAGAAGGGTGGCCTTGAAGCAGCGGGTAAAGGTTTATTATCCCTACCGAGCATTTTTCATCAGGGACCGACTGCAATTCCTGGCCATTTCCCAAGAGAGTGTTGAGGAGGGCCCGGTGTGGGACAGTGGGATAGACACAGTGAAGATATGAAAGACGAGCCAGAAACGAGAACAAAGCGCGGCAGCCCCAGGCAGACCCAGGCAGACCCAGGCAGGAAGGCATCCTGAGGCACCAAGGCGGTGAGGGGGCCCTGGCTTGAAGCCCGGCCAGGTTGCGGGGAGGCGCCCAACGACGTCAGACTCTCCATCTCTCCATCTCTCCATCCCCCTTAATCGCCCATCATGAAGCTCCTCTATCTCGGTGTCAGTACCTCCCGCAGCCCTCTCGCCCCTCCCTCCCTCGTCTCTCCGCTGCTAACCCCGTCCCCCCCTCCCCTCTTCAGATCCTCCAAAATGCCCAAGCCCCCGCCGTGGAGCTGTGCGCCGAGCGCGAGCTCAGCACCTACTCGCGCTTCACCAGGGGCAACATCAGCGAGTTCATGACCATGTTCAGCAAGACGGTGGCGGAGCGGACGAAACAGGGCCAGAGACAGGATATCCAAGAGCAAGGCAAGTGCCACCCGCAGCCCCTGACCCGACCCGATCTCGATCTGACCGCCGGTCGGCCAACAGACTTCACATTCCACGTCTACGCGCGCACCCAAGGCATCGCCGGCGTCATCATCAGCGACAATGAGTACCCCTCCCTGGCGGCCCATCAGGTGCTCTCCAAGATGCTCGACGAGTTCCTCTCCCTCAACCCCAACGCCGGCTCTTCGCGCGACCCTATCCCCTTCCCTTCCCTCAAGACCTACATCCAGTCCTACCAGGACCCCCACCAGGTGGATAGCATCCTGAAGATCCAGAAGGAGCTGGACGAGACCAAGATCGTTCTCCACAAGACCATCGAGAGTGTACGTGCGCGCAGATCGACAGACAGACCACCCTAGAAAGACAGGGAGCCACAGCTGACCCAGACAGGTCCTCGAGCGCGGGGAGAAGATCGACGACCTCGTGTCCAAGTCGGAAGGCCTCAGCGCCCAGTCGAAGATGTTCTACACCTCTGCGAAGAAGCAGAATTCGTGCTGCGTGATTATGTGAGTGTCCCGCGGACACGGCGATGAACGACGACGACAACACCACCACCACCAACAACAACGACAACAACGACAACAGCGACAACATCAACAACAACCACAACCGGGGTGGCTGGGGAACGGGCACATCATCTTCTGCGGGGCTTTATTTGGAAGCGTTCTGTTGCTACAGGCATTCGTTTGTGGTTCTTGACCTTTTGTGTGACTTGCTTCGATTTACGGTAGATTATAACACCTTAGCCCGAGCAATGAAGTGGCTTTGCGATCACGTGATGCGGTCCGGTGGCTGGGGTGGCGCGGGTGAGGCAGTGTCGGGACATGCTGTGTCACGTGTGTATGTGTGCTAAGAAAAGGACGGCCTCGTCACGGCGGTGGATCCAGAGGGGCCATCTGCGGCCCTGCGGCCCTGCGATCCTTATCTCTGGGATGCTCGGGGTGATTGGCCCGCCCGGCTGTAAGTATCTAAGTGTTAGACTTGGTTATTGCAAATCATGGGGAGATTAACTAGCTCATCCGCCTCAGCCTGAGTAAGCTGCCTTGCTGCCTGATGCTGTGTTGGCGGCAGTGTATTCTTCTCTGCAGGACATCCATCCACTGATGTCCTCGGCCCTAACCTTGGTTCCGTTGCAGCAAGATTACATTTACCGCACGGTTGGTTAAGGTTATTTTTTTAAACAGTAAACCCTGCAAATCAACCGATCCAGATTCTCGGCCACCTGTATTTTAACTGACGACTTAGGGCTGGCTGCCCCTCACCCTCGCCCAGTGTGAGACGCAGTGGACCGCCAACGCACCCCTCCGGCCCTCGCCTTCCAATCTTCCAGAACCCAGGGCACTCCACCCACAGCCAAGCCTCCGTTTCCATTAGGTACGGCGATCCAGCTTCGGCAGGGCGCTGCCTATCGAAACCACCGAGGGTACCCGGTCCCGGCCCGGTCGCCTGCCATTGGCTGGGCCCGCCGAGTGCGTTGCCCCCGAATGAGGAGTGTGCAGTGAGTGCATACGGCTGCTTCTCTTATATCGCTTGCTGACCGTCCCTCATTATTCTTCTTCCACTCCTTTGCCCGGTTCAGCGTTGCCTTCAGCGATACATCCCTCCCTCCCTCTCCAGGTGAGTTCCCTGCCTCGCCACGGGACCGATTGACCCTGCTAACCCTGCGTATAGACCCCCCCCTCCCCAACTCCTTACTCCGCTCCTTTGCCTCGAATTTCCTTTGTCCCGATCCGATAGACCGCTCCTGTGCGTCCCGGGCCCAGGGTGACCCGGTGCAAGTCAAGATGGAACAGCTGGAAGACCTCCGTCTCCAACAGGCCCTGCCCTTCCGCATGCACCACAACACGCTGAGCGGGTTCCTGACGGCCGATCTCATGGTTGCTGCGGGTTCAGCAGCCCTGGTCACTCCGGCAGTGATGATTCTGGACAGGTAGCCAGCCCCTCGTCCACCGTCAGGACCTCCCCCCCCGTCCACGATCAGATCACTGACCGACCGGCCCTCAGACTGGTCGTGGAGAAGTCCTCGCACAACCAACCGTTCTTCCCGGCCTTCCGCCGCCATCTCTGGCTGTCCATCACCCAGCCCGCCACCTTCCTGACCTCCCGCCCCAGTCTCCTCGTCTGGTCGCTATACACCGCCACCTTCGCGGCCGCCAATGCCACCGACACCGTGCTGGACCAGGTCTACCCGCACGTCGACCACGCCATCGCCGGCGCGGCCACCTTCCTGAGCACCTTCCTGGTGAACTCCTCCGTCGGCGTGTGGAAGGACGTGCGCTTCGCCCAGCTCTTCGGACAGAGCCACGGCCACAGCCACAACCACAACCACAACCACAACCAGACCCCGGCCCCCAAGCCCGTCCCCGCGGCCCCGGCCCCCCAGCGCAAGATCCTCCGCTTCAGCCGCAGCATCCCGTTCGCAACCTACTCGGCCTTCCTCGTCCGCGACGCCCTGACCATCTTCGGCTCGTTCACCCTCCCCGGGATGGTCTCGGGGTCGATCCCGGACTCGCTCGCCTCGACGGAGCCCCAGAAGATGCTGTTCGCGCAGCTGGCCATCCCCGCAGCCATCCAGCTGGTCAGCACCCCGATCCACCTGCTCGGGCTGGACCTGTATAACCGCCGCGCGGCCCTGCCCAGCTCCGACCGCTTCTCGCGCGTCAGCCGCGACTGGGTGGGCGCGTCCCTGATGCGCATGTGTCGGATCATTCCCGCGTTCGGCATCGGCGGGTTCGCCAACACCGAGGGCCGGGCCTTCCTCCACCGGCAGTTGCGTCGTGAGGACGACTGAGTCAGTCAACACCCACTCACCACCCCCTTTCACCCCAACCCAACCCACAAACCGAAACCGCCGCAATCGGCATATCCTCGGCGGCCGAGCCAAACCTGGACAGTCGGCTGCCCGATCGGGTAGCGGGTCCGCTTCCCCTTCCTTCCCGCCAATCACCGCTGCCCGCGTGACGGAACAGGCCCTAGCCCTAGCCCGGAGCCCGAAAGGGGCCATCCGTCTGCCCAATCACCATGTGCCGTAGACCGGGCCGGTGCGGACGGACCGGACGGGCTTCTCAACCCTCCTCAGCGGGATGTGACTCGCCCTCGCATGATTGTCGGTCAGACACGTCACAGACTCGTGTCTGAGAACCGATAGGAAAGAAAGCACGGCTGGGACTGCCCTCCGAGTCCGGAGTCGGATGAGATTGAGGCGAGTGGACGGAGAATCACAACCGACCGTGCCCGCGGATAACTCAACCATCACACTAACAGCAACACATCCACATCCCACTTAGATGGGCGGAAAGGGATCCGGGACCCACGCTTCACTGCCAGAGCCTTGCGATGGATGGATGGGTGGATGGTTGGCTTGTTATGTGTCTCCCTGCAGTGGTGCATCTCATCGCAGTCTCGTTCAGTCTACCGTCTACCTTGCCCTGTATATACAGCTTCAATGCTACGGCCGTACATGTTTCTCATGTGAAATAAAGCCTGACGGCTGTCTCGATCAACTTATCTTGTAGTGTTGCAGTGTATGCTTGGTTGTAGGATACAGTGGATAGTTGTGTAGGTTACGGTGCTCAGCTGTGTGTTCCTAGTATCTGTGAATTGAGATTACTGGTGTGAAGAGGTGTCCGCCTTCCGAGATAGATGGTGGCAATGATACATCGTCAGTCTGGAAGCATAAATCCCTGGGGGAAGAGAGACTGAAGTATACCAAGATATACTATACACCTGGATCAGATATGGTGTGCTGTTGTACTATATACTTTTGCCAGAGACCGGTAAGTGCGCACCGTTGGAAAAAAAAAAGAAAAAAGCCACACATTATACGACTTAAAGGAGACGAGGTCCAACTATCTGTCACCGGTCTGGGATATTTGGAAAACAAGATCATGACAGGGAATAAAAATGCGCCCTCTCTCTCCTGCCCTTATTCTCAAGGGGCTCAGCACCCCGCACCCCCACCCCCACCCAAGTGAATGGCAATCCCCTGAACTCAAGTCTCTGCAGTGACAGCATGATCATGTTCATTTACCGCCTGGATGAATGGATCCATAGTCTTCTAGATACCATTGATCTTTCACCTGTGTTTGGGCGACGCTCGCGATCTCCGTCGGCTTTAACTGGAAGGTCCCTGGATATCTCCCCTCTCTAAGCTTTTCTGTAGACTCATGTCCAAGATATCAATGGATTTTCAAATGTGAGGACTAGAAAAGAAGTAGATACTGAGATATTGCTCATTCACTTGTCCTGCTTCAGCTATTCTGTTCTGGGACAGAAAACCGCGCACTGAACCGAGATAACACCAGCGTATCTGCCAGAAGCACTTCTACGGCGGAATAGTAATAGAAATCGCTTTATAGCGCCTTTGAGAAATCCCGTCTAGCAGAATATTCTATAAACCTCGAGGATGGAAGGACTATTTACACAAGCATTCAATCCAGGTAGCAGAGCACCCTCCTACTCCTCAACATCAAAGTCCCTATATCAACTGCGAAAGCCCCCTTCACCGAAACAACAAACCCTCCCACACCAGCTCACACATTCCGCCGACGCATCCGCCCGAGATCACGCCGCCTCGGCGCAGCCGAAATGGTCAACGTCTCTGAGATACCAGCCGTGCATACCGTCCCGTCGGCCACGCTCTGAGACGCATCCCACTCGCCGTTGACGCACCGCTGGAAGGCCGTGCCGCCGTTGCAGTACCAGTAGTCCTCCTCACTGCAGGAGCCGCTGAGGACACCGGAGGTGGTGGAGGCCGTGATACTAGAGGTGTTGGAGGTGGGGATGGAGTCGGACACGCTGCTGGTGCTTTCACTGGGGGTGCTGGGTCCAACCATGCCGGGTCGATTCTGGCCGGGCTGGTCGTTGCTTCCGGTAGGCTGGGGGCGGGAGGAGGTAGAGAGAGTTGTCTGGGCGGACAGTGGAGATGGTGTCTCAGTTGTTGAAGCCACAGCCGTGGTAAAAGCGCTGGTGGTCGCTGCAGAAGCAGTAGCAGCAGCAGCGGCAGCAGCAGTAGCCGTCGCCGTGCTACCAGCCGTGTAGAGCGTCGGACCAGGGATGATATAAGTACTCAGCGTCTGCCAGATATCGACATAGATACCGGGATCGGTATCCTTATACAGATGAGTCCCGAGGGTTCCGCTCGGCGTGGCAGTGCCACTGCCCGTGACATTCAGATTAATGCACTGGGGGTAGTTCTGCGCACCATCCAGATCCTCTGCGCCATGGAGGGCAATGATCTCGTGGCGGAGGACGTAATTCCCAGCTTCGATATCGGTCGGAATGGTGATGTTCCGACTATAGCTATCCTCGATCAGCTCGTCCGTGGCCCAGGTCCCGGGCACGTCAGCGTCACTGATCAGCCCGCCGGCGTCGATTTTGAAGAACTGCAGTGCGGTCTTGTCGACGTCCGAGCAGGATCCGTTGCAGTTCGCCAGGTACGTGATCACTGGCCCGTGGTGGTCCGTGGGCCAGGTGTTCCAGGTCATTCGGACGCTTCCACCGGGGACGACCGGGGCGGAGAGCGCGCCTGGCGCTGAGCCCCGGTGGCAGACGATGTTGGAGTTGTCGTACTGCGTGGGCGAGATGTAGCCGTCGTCGGTGGCGTTGGTCGACCAGGCGATTAGCTCTGGGGGGTCCGATTCGAAGTAGTACGTGTCCACGAGGTAGCCGCCGTAGGTGGTCCCGTCGACCTCGATGCTGGAGACGTAGCCGTGTCCGGCGACGAGGGTGACGGACGCTAGGAGGATACTGGATATTTTGGAAAGAGACATGTTTTTTGGTTTCACGCACAGCGGAATGAGTAACTGGGTGGGAAAAGAATGGACGGACTCCAGTCAATGGAGTCTGGAAGCGAAAGAAGGAAAGACGGGGTTCGAAGAGAAGCTGCTGGAGAGGTCGGTTTAGGCTGGACCGATGGCTCTATTTAATATCCCTCGGAAAAGACCTCTTGATGGCCTGAGATCATGCGTCGAGATGAGGCGGATAAGCGAAGGACCGAGTGGTTCCAGCTTGAATCGATTTGATGAAGGATTCTATGGAATTCTCAGCTGCCCAGGATGATGTTGCCCTCTTGTCGAACTAGTTTGTTTCACATTCTCGGTTGTGTATCCGTGGCATCGCATCGAGGCGCTTAGCCAGTGGCTGTCAGATGCCTATACTCTATACTATATGCATGACTGAGACCATGAAGCACTCGAACTGTCGCCTTTGGGAATATGACTAGCGTTTCAGCCTGGCTCATTCATTCCATTATCCACAGAAGATCGGTGCTGTAAAGCAGTTCTTCAGTAAAAACCAGCCTATTCGCCGGGAACAATCCTCGAAGTCTGCTGAACAAACATTCCAGTGCCATCCGGTGGAGAATGCAGACTGTCATCGTCCATCCAACCACGCGGATCGATCGGAATGCGGGATGTCTGAGATTAATTAGGGCCCGGCTAAGCGAGATGGCAGGATCCCCATTCCTCGGGTAGAACGGTAGCGCGGGCTTGGGTCTGTCTCCACCGGCTGCGGAATTCAATCGTAGATTGGCTTTGATGCGGCATTGGCTGGGGAAGGATTTGTTGAACGTGACTGGTAATTGTTGTCAGGTTTGTTAGTAGGCTTGGCACAACTATGAGCAGAGGAGGTAGGTTTCTCGTGGTTGGGAAACATGGCAACATCAAAGTAGGTGTCATAGAGCTCTATATGATTGAGATATCACAGTTGGAGGATGTGGTCAGGTTGAAGGAGGAAACACGATAGTTATGGAGCTGAGGAACTTGGAATTTTGCTGACTAAATATTCACTGATCTGGAGACTGACCCACCCGTGGAGCTCCGATTCCATACATCTGAAGGGACAAACCACCATATCTCCAGCTCTTCCCCACCCCCGCAGTAACACAACTCTCCAGCGTCTGCACAAACCTCGGCCATCGAACAGTGTCCTGGATTGCCTGTTCAATCTCTCGTTGAAGGACAGTACTTCCCACAACCACGCGTCCCATATCCTCGCTTCGACCGCCAAGCCTACCTCGAAACCTATCATAAACCCGTTCCCGAAAAGCACCGGGGAAGTCTTTCGACCAGACCCGCTCGGACACTCGGATCCATAACTATCCTGCTGGATCCTGGCGTTTCCCTCCGTATCAGACAGATCCAATCCCAGAAGCGAAACGCCGCTGGATCCTCGCAGAAAGCCCGAATACGGATCCCGAAAGTGCACCAACTGGTCTCGAACAATATTCTCCACCTTGTGGGGATTGTCGCCCCCGACATCCATTCGCGGGTCTCCTTTGTAAGAGAGCCCCGTGATGGTGGTATACAGCGCCCGCTCCGTGAATGTCTCAGGGAGTAACAGCATCGCCACACGGATAGCGGATCGGAGATTGGATTCATTCGCTTCCTTGACAGCGGGATTATCCGTGAGGACTAGAACTGGCTTTTGCAGTGGGCCGGCCAGATATAATGTTTCCCATCTTGACAGATCCCGATGGGGAGTATATGTGTTTACGACACCGTATTTGATTAGCCGGCTATTGATGTTGATGAACGGGTGAAAGGAGATTCCGGCCCCAAGTTTGTCTTGCAATGCGGAAACGAATCCTGGTCCGAGAGATGCAACTCCTGAGTAGTGGTGTCGGTGCTGTTTGATGATGTTTAATTTGTGGAATTGGTATGTGTCGGGGACTCCGAAGATGAATATCTATCATCTTGGTACTTGATGCCTCGGACTTTGTGCCCTGGGGAAAGACGTTAGAGCCGTAGGCAACAACGTTTTCCAACACCCCTACTTGTCTCAGGGAAGATCTTATGCGGGGAATCAACATGATGGGACTTCTAGAAATGAAGAGACTCAAGGGTGAACTATCTTGACGAGAGAAGGTTCAGCTTCTTCTAGGAAAAATATTTTCCCATTCAAAAGATGCGCTATGCAGGGGTCGAGATGAGCCTAGTCAGTTAGCCCACGACATCCTTGATTAGCGTCCGGTTTAGTCCGGAACTCTTTTTGTTTAAGAAGGAAAAGTCTCTGCATGACAGGAAGACTGAGTGGTAAGCTGCAGATACCTGAAGCTGACCTCTATTTAACGACTATCGGTGTTTGAGCGCAAATGCCGAGGAGATGGAAACGGCTTCTAAGGAAATAGGGTCAACCAGATAGTCCTTTTTGATATCTCTGGCTACCAAATATAATTGAGGAATTTATCGGTAAAATACCTAAATTCATGAGTAAATACTGAGAAAACGCCCGAACGCCAATTCAGCTAGGAGGCCTCTCCCTTTGCCACCTTTTACTCTGGTCTTCTCTTTTCTTTTTTCGTTTTGCAATTTTCCTGGTATAGTTTCTCTTGGCTAGATCTCTTTGTTGTTCACTTCCTCTGTCCGGTGGTCAACGCAGAAATGACCATTCAATATTATAAAAAGCTCAAAGCTCAAAGGATAAGAAAAGGTAAACGTGCATCCCCGTCCCAGTTTTGGCGAAGGACCACTGCATTCCAGTATCCTATCAAAACTGGCTTTCCCAAACTCCCGTTGCCCTGTGAGCTTTTTGAATTTTCACTAATATACTCTAGGGACAATCAACCCATTTTCGCCCAACTCTACGCGTATACCGGTCATCTCATCGTCGTTAAAGAGTTCGGACCCTTCGGAAGAGTCGATACCGTTCCATAAACTCAGAATATCGCGTCTCATGGCACCGATATGCTGGGAGCCGGGGACTGACGACGAAGGTATATTGTAACTTTCAGCAACACGCTCATAGACAATGCAGCTCAGACGTCTTGCCACTTTGAACCAGTCACTTTCATATTCAGCCAGTGAGCTGAAAAGGAAAGCGAAAGGTCTGCTCCCCTCTTTATCCTGGAGCATCTCCAGTGGTCCCTTCCCCCAGATATCTTCCACCCTCGTCCAGATCAAACGTTCTTCCACTTGCGAAGCTTTATCCCGAGAGGCCTTCAGAAACAATCTCTCTTGAGTGACAGACTCCTCCCAATCCGACTCCTCATAGATATCACGATGAAAAAGCAATGGAAGATTGTCGATCTTCTCCGCGAGCGTCACCGCAAGTGCGTAACTCTGCAAATAGAATTCATAGCCCCTCTTGTCAGGCTTCAGATCCGCTTTTTCAACATCCCAGACTTTAACCAGATCCTCGATTTCGGCACTACTTCCATCCAACGAGGAAGCTAGCTCTATTGACTTCATCAAGAAGAAACAACCTCCGGTCTGAGACTGTATCAGCATATTATTCAGACAAGAACGCACGGCTATTTGTGCGAACCCAAGCAAAGTGGAGCCGGTGGAGCCCCGAATAAGCATGAACGTTGATATCCGAATCAGGAGACGTCCCACCATGTTGCCCCTGGTGCTGGCTTTCTGTCTCGCGGGTCTTTCTTGCCGATGGGGCAGAATCATGCCCTCATACAAAACATACATCGTTGAGTTCACTTCTTATCCACGCAGGGGGACAATATCATCACATTTACGGAAATTGCAGGGTTGGATACAGTCTGTCAGCATTCCGCAGCATAGAAGGCGTTGCTACACGAATTACAAACTCCCCAAAGCCAAATTGGAACCAGTCCATGAAATCGAACCAAAAGATTATATAGTATACACCAACCCAAACTCCTCCTCCCGATGAATACCTCTCCCTCCTCACTCAACCACCTCAAACCTCACATCCCTCTCCACGCCAAACGTATCCCTCCACTCCTCCCACAACTCGCCCAACGCCTGGACATACTCGGCATGGACCTGATCGATATATTTCTCATCGGGCTCCCACCTCTGCTGCTGCACCTCGATGGGCCTCCCCACGACGACATTCAGCGGCCGTCTCCACGGGCAGAAGATGCCCCATCTGCCCCTGGAAAACGCAACCCTATGGCCCACGACCCCCTCCCACACCCTCGCCACCAGACCCCCGACACTACTCGACCGCGGATCAACGACATCAAACAGCTCGTTCTCCCCAAACGCCACCACAGGCACCAGATCCGCGCCCGTCTCCACCGCAATCCGCACAAACCCCTTGCGAATCTTGACCACCACGCCCATCGTCCCCGGCCGCGCGACGTTATACTCGCGGCTTCCGCCCACGGTGATCGTGATCGAGCGGCCCATGCCCCGCTCGTCGTGTCCGCCCCGCGTCAGATGCTTCAGGCACGACGAGCGGGACACGCCGCTCGCGCCCAGCGAGAGGAGATACTCCCGCTGCAGCGGCTGATAGAAGAACGTATCCTTCATGAGCAGGGTATTCGTGATCCCGGGGAAAAGCGCGGAGAAATTGACCGAATCGGCCGCGAAGGCGCCCACCGCGCCCCGCAGCGCGATGCCGTGCGGATGGTAGCCGAAGATGTATTTCCGGCGAGGCGAGAGGGGAGCGCTCCGGTAGAGGGCGAGGGGGAAGTACGCGGCGAAGGATTTCCAGATCCAGCTTGTCCGGAACGCGTCGTTGCGGAGCGGCAGCGTCCCCGACTTATGTGCCGTCGAGACGTACCTGATGTACAGGATGTAGAGCAGTGCGAGCAGCCGGAGTCGAGGGACCAGAAGCAGCGAGTATCCCATCACCGGAAGCAGGAACCACGTGTTGCAGAGGAGGGTCATCAGCGTCGTTTGCGCGATGTCGGTCAGGAGGGAGATTCGTCGTGCGGCTTTCCCCTCTGTCCGGGGCTGCTGGGCCGTGGTGAGTTCTTGCCCGGCGCGGTTCGTCAGGGTGTAGAGAGGGGGCAGGTCTTCTTTCAAGACGGTGGGGATGTGGATCGCCGTCGCTTTTTCGGGGTTGCGTGCCAATTCGGCGATTTTCTCGGCCGCCGTGATGCGCCCTTCTTTGCGGCAGAGCTTGGCGATCTCCGTGGCTTTGGCCTTGTAGGACGGGTTGTTCATCACCGTCAGCAGGGCTTTGCTGAGTTCGCGCGAGCTGATGTTTGGCGCTCGGCTCTTGTTGCCGTACACGCCGATTCCTAGCCATTCGGCCCGTGCGGAGTTCTCGTAGCAGTCTTGCCAGGCGGGGAGGACGACATGGGGGACGCCGTTTCTAAGGGGGATTGTTAGTTTTGGGGGGAGAAGGGGATGAGGAGGAGGAGGAGGAGATGGAGAGAAAGAGGGAGAGAATGAGGAAGAGGGGGAGGGGCCCACATACTGGATAGCCTCATACCACGAGTTAGCACCGCCGTGGTGGACGGAGCAGACGATATTCCCCGTCTGCAGCATAGCCATGGGCTCGACTTCAAACCAGGGACGGATGATGACGCTCCCCTCGTCGGTCTCCTGCTTGAGCGGCTTGATGGCGTGGGCGTAGATATCGCCCTCGTCGTGCGGATGCAGGGGCAGCTTCCAGAGGATCTGGATCTTGACGCCCCTCCACCCGTCGAGGAAGCCCTTCAGGCCCGTGGCAATCTCCTCGGCCACCCTGGGGTCGGGCGCGTACAGCGTGCCCAGGTTGACCAGAATGGTGGGCGCGCGGCCCAGCCAGCGCGCCATCTCGGGGTCTTGCTTCTCGACGGACGCTGTGGGTAGCAGGATGGGCCCCGCCGGCAGGATGTTGTCGGGCACGTTGCTGAACGGCCAATCCAGCTCCTTCAGCCCCGGCGAGATGTGGAACCGGTCCGGTCGCCAGGCGTCTGCGAAGGGGAACCGCCCGTGGATCTTGTGCTTGATGCGCCATTCGCGGATCTCCCGACGACGGCCGCTGCCATGGTACATCTTGGCCGTCTTGAGGACGGCGAGGGTGTTGAAGGGGATGAGATGCAGGGGGATCGGGTAGGGGAACCCGGTGCCCGGTCTGTGGGGGGGATTAGCCGGGGAGATGATGATATGGGGGGGGGAGGTTGAATGATATGGGAGTTGGGCAAGACTTACAGTGGGTATTTCCACAGGGCGGCGGAGTAGGGCTGCATACCCAGGACGATGTGGCTCAGGGAGGTGGTGTTGATGAGGATGGCCGTGTGGCCGGTGTTGTAGGCAGCATCGCGGCCCTGCAGGAAGAAGAAGTCGATGGCGATGGCCGACGGCTTCACCTCGTGGATGATGTCGACACAACTCTCGTAGATGTCGACGTACTCGTCCTCGGTCCAGCCCCAGATGTCCTCGCACAGGGACTGGAAGCCCAGGACGGCGCCATGGTAGCCCGGGGGGTGAAACGCCCCGCGCTTGCCGGTGCGGATGAAGACGTCCGTGTTGGATGGGCCCCTCACAGGGTGGAAGTGAATGCGCGACCGGAAGGCGTCGTCATAAGCAGATGCATTGTCTGCCAGAAGCTTCTCCACCCGTCGCTCGAGGACGGGAAACGAGCCGATATGGACCTCGACGTCGCCCTGGACGAGGAGCTCATGCGTGATGGCCAGGATAATGTTCGTTTGGCCATGTTCGCTGTTGGCCAAGAAGAGCACACGGGTCGGATGCTGGGTCATAGTCAGAGGAAACGAATGAATGAATGAATGCTCAATGGCCAGAGTTGCCGTGTCGGGTGGGAACTCGCAGAGAATTTAACCAGAAACCCAATGCGTGTATTCGAAGAATGGAATAAAAGAAAGGGGGGGGAGCCAGTGACCACGCAGAAGTCACGCAGAAGCCACGCAGAAGCCCCGGAGATGTGTCGAAACTAGGGTGAAACAGCTGAGCCCAGCGGATGGATGTGTGTCAGTGCAGGGAGGAGGAAGGGCCGCGGCCGGACCCTTTTTAAACATCCGAACCTGCGACACCTGCGAGTAACGAGGCGGTTTCTGGTAGATGAGATGGAAGCAAGTGCCGCCGGGGGGAAAAGGAGTGGGTCGTGGGTCGTCGGAAACGGAGATCTCCCAAAAATGGGCAGGGGAAACCACTCAACCCTGAATCCGGGGTTCCATTTAACTCTATCCACCACCACACCATGCTTAGCAGATAGGGGGTTTGGGCCGAGGATTTGCCCGATGGGTTTAGGGACCGACGGCTGAAATGAGATTGAAGCAGGGGAAAAAAAAATACATCGCATGACCGGTCTTGCTCTGGCTCTGGCTCCATACCGTTGGGGAATCTAGGTTAGCAACCCCAACCCGGCCCTTGTAGGGTTGTAACATCGCCAAGCCTGGCCAGTAGTTCCTGGCTAGATAAATAGATCAAGAAACAGCGCTGGAGTTCTCCTTCCACAGACTCGGTCTCTGTCGTGTTCATTCATTCTTTGCTGCCCTCGTTATCACAATCGTTTCGTTACTATGGTGTTCGCTATGGCCTTGCCCTCGGGCCAGATGCCCGAATTCCACCCGACCATAATGTCCCTGCCGGTCATGGCCATTGTGTTGGTATGTTCCGCTGAAGAAGCAACCTCGTGTGGCCGGGTGAAGGCTAATTGTCAGGTGCCTTGGATTCTCATCATCCTCATCAAGACCCTCCCTAAGGGCCCGACCATCAAGGGCGTCCCCGGGTCGTTCTTCGACCTGTTCTGCTGCGGTGTATGTCCCATGCGGTCGATGGGCCAGAGACTTTGCCAGCTAATTGTCCTCCAGGCCGGCACCAAGTACCACTTTGTCTTCGGCAAGAGTGCCCACTACTTCCACTCGCTGCACCAGTCGTACGGCAACATTGCTCGCTTTGCCCCGGGCCAGGCCACGACCAACACCCTCAAGGGCCTGCGCAACATCTATGGCGCGGGCACCGGCAAGGGCTCGGCCTTCCTCAAGACGAGCTTCTACAAGGGCATCTCGCGCCGCAACATCTTCACGGCCAGCGACCCGGTCTACCACGCCACGGTCCGCAAGCTCTTCGGCCCTTCGATGACGCCCGGGGCGATGCAGGCGCACGGCAATGTGATCCTTGAATGCACGCAGCGCCTGCACGGCGTCATCAACGCCACGCTGGAGAAGACCCGCACCATCAGCCTCAACCGCCTGCTGTACTGCCACTCGGTCGACACGGTGTCGGAGGTGCTGCTGGGCAAGTCGCTGGGGTGCCTGAAGCGCGGCAAGCCCTACTTCTGGACGGAGCAGCTCAGCCGCATCTTCTTCTGGGCCACCATCCGCGAGCAATTCGCCGGCTCGGGCGTGCCCACCCTGATCAAGCTGATGCTGCGCTACCTGATCCGCAAGGGCGTGCGATCCCGCGCCGAGCAGGCCCGAATGCGTCTCATCAACGAGTAAGTCGGATCCCTCCATCGGGACGAAGACAGGCCACCGGCACTGACTCCGACCCAGACAGCTGATCGCGCCACACAACCGCCGCGACATCATGGTCGAGGTGATGGAACGCGCCAACACCAGCGAGCTGGACGTTCCAGAGATCGCCGAGAACTTCTCGGCCATCATGCTGGCCGGGTTCCACACGACGCAAAACGCCCTCTGCGCCACCATCTACTTCGTCCTGACGCACCCGGAGGCCAACGCCAGGCTGGTGGCCGAGCTGCAGGCCGCCTTCGCCTCCCCGGACGATGTTTCAGGGCACGTCGCCGAGGGCCTGCCCTACCTGAATGCCGTGATCACCGAGTCGCTGCGCCTGTACCCGCCCGTGCCACTGGGTGGACCTCGCGTTTCACCCGGAGCCTATGTCGACGGGACGTACATTCCCGCGGGGGTGAGTGTTCTCCATCCATACTATCTGAATCTGACGTGTTTCGGACCCGGACAGCCCCAACTGACTCGTGACCTGTCGCAGACGGAGATTTGCACCTCGCTGTTCGCGCTGCATCACAACCCGGAGTACTTCAATGAGCCGTACGAGTTCATCCCCGAGCGCTGGACGGAGCCCGGCTCGACCGACAAGAAGGAGGCCGTCCAGCCGTTCCTGGTCGGTAGTCGGTCCTGCGTCGCCAAGTACTTCGCCAAGCAGATGATGCAGCTCACCCTGGCTTCCTTCTTCATGGAGTACGAGGCCGAGTACGTCGGCCCCGTCAAGGACTGGCAGCGCGAGAGTCGCTGCTATGCCTTCTGGGAGGTGCCCGACCTGAAGCTGAAGCTGCAGCGGAGGCAGTATTAACACTCCTTGTGTCTTTACCCATTGCACCCATTCCATGCATTCATTCCATGCATTCATTCCCTGGGGGGTTTATCTTTTTTTTCTTCTTTCGCTGGATATTCGAAAGCCACTTTCCTTCATTGTGATTTTTTTTTTCACTCACACACACGAATCGTCTGTCGTCTCTCATTCATTCCTGGTGGATTTCTGTCCTGGTGGACCGTTTGGATATGTCATTTTTTCATTTTTTATTTTTTATTTTTTTTTTTACCTTTCTACCTATCTCATGTTATACCCACGTCAAAGGTTTCAGTGCAACACCATAGTTTCTAGTATGCAAAATGGCAAAACGTCAATACGAGTATTAGGATTATCCCACACCTGCGTAGACTTAGACTTGGCACAGGGCCGAGTCAAACACGGCGTTGGATGGTGTCATCTGCCAAACCCACGGCTCGACCTCAAAAATGAGTCCCCGCGAAGCGAGTCAATCGCCCGAACCCGCGGGTTTCACCACCACCGTTAGTCAACGGCCAGTGCGGCCAGTGCAATTCCATGCGGGCTGTAATATCCGACAAACCCGATCTACGGCTGAAACGGGAGGCTTGTTCCGGTGGATCATTGCGAGAAACGATAGATCTCAGGGAGTGGCGGAGTGGTGGTGGTGGTGGTGGTGGCCCCCGGCTAGCCCTAATATTGGGGTTTATTGGATCCGTGCCTGGCGATCGGATCAGTGGCGGGCACAGTTGAAACGCCCGGTTCCACCACACGGGCCACTTGCCGGATGACCCAATTTTTCGGTCTTGAGCGATAATAAAGTTGCGACGAGAACGGTTTGCAAGAGTTGCCGCATCGCTGCACCGCTGAGACTCTGGTGGACACTGGAGAATAAGGAGGGTCGCGATCTGCTGACGTTCCGTGGGATTGGAGGGCGTTTCCCAGGACCCTTCATCTCGGTTTCAGGTATAGGTTGGTCGGTCCGTTGGTCCATGTGACTGTTGATACGGATGAAGGGATACCTCCATCCAACTGGGTTGGACTCTCTCTGACTTTCGTCTCCGGGAACCTTTTGGGGCCGTGGTGTTTCGCTTTTTACCTTTTTACCCCGGTCGCAGAGGTCAAATACTATACCGGTACTTCTTTTTCTCAGAGGAATGCTCCAGGCTGGCCGGTGACAGTCAGTGACAGGGACCGCGACAGCTGTAGACATCCTCGCGGCACCATGAAGTGGAATGAGGACATTTCGCTGAAGGAGCTTCCCAAGGTGGGTGATTCTTGGACACATCGACACATCGTGAATGAGACTGATGGATCGATGCAGTCTCCCTCCACCGAGAGCACGGCCATCTCGCTGTCCGACCTGGAGAAGGACATCCTCGACAAGCAACTGCGAGCCCTACCTTCCACCCCGGGCTTCTTCGGCATCTATCGCTATGCCACCGGCTGGGACATTGCCATCATCATCGTCAGCTCTCTCGCCTCCATCGCAGGCGGGGCAGCCCTGCCGTTATTCACTGTGAGAAACCCCCCCCTTTCGGAACAATTCACATTCTGGATCCCACGGCTCATCCTCCCATCCTCCAGGTCCTCTTCGGCAACCTCACCTCGACCTTCCAGGACATCGTCGTCGGCACCATCACGTACGAGCACTTCCACAGCGAGCTCAACCGCTACGTGGTCTACTTCATCTACCTGGCCATCGCCGAGTTCCTGACCATCTACATCGCCACCGCCGGCTTCATCTACACGGGCGACCACGTCGTGCAGCGCATCCGCATCGAGTACCTGCGCGCCATCCTGCGCCAGAACATCGCCTTCTTCGACAACCTCGGGGCCGGCGAGATCACGACGCGCATCACCGCCGACACCAACCTGATCCAGGATGGCATCTCCGAGAAGGTGGGCCTGGCGCTGACGGGGCTGTCGACCTTCGTGACGGCCTTCCTCATCGCGTACATCAAGTACTGGAAGCTGGCGCTGATCTGCAGCGCCACGCTGATCGCCCTGCTGGTCATCATGGGCGGCGGGTCCATGGTGACGACCGTCCACAGCAAGCGAGCGCTGGAGTGCCAGGGGCAGAGCGGCAGCTTCGCCGAGGACATCCTCGACTCGGTGCGCACGGTGGTGGCCTTCGACGCGCAGGAGGTGCTGGCGAGGAAGTACGACGGGCACCTGCAGGCGTCCGAGGGGCCGGCGCGCAGGGCCCAGATCACCTTCGCCATCATGGTGGGCGCGATGCTGTCGTGCATCCATCTGAACTACAGCCTGGGCTTCTGGCGGGGGAGCATCTTCCTGGTGCACGGCGACGACGGCGTGCAGGCGGGCGACATCCTGACCATCCTGATGGCCATCATGCTGGGCTCCTACCACCTGGGCAACGTCGCCCCCAACTCGCAGGCCATCTCCACCGCCGTGGCCGCGGCGTCGAAGCTGTACGGCACCATCGACCGGCCGTCGCCGTTGGATGCCTCGTCCGAGCTGGGCCTGACCCTCCAGCAGGTCAAGGGCAACATCGTGCTGCAGAACATCCGCCACGTCTATCCCTCGCGGCCCGAGGTCATCGTCACCAACGACCTCAGCGTCTACATCCCCGCCGGCAAGACCACGGCCTTCGTGGGCCCCTCGGGGTCGGGCAAGAGCACCGTCATCGGCCTGATCGAGCGCTTCTACAACCCCGTGGCCGGCCGCATCACCCTCGACGGCCACGACCTGCAGCACCTGAACCTGCGCTGGCTGCGCCAGCAGGTGGCCCTGGTGTCGCAGGAGCCCCGGCTGTTCGCCGCCACCATCTACGAGAACATCCGGTTCGGCCTCATCGGGTCGGGCTACGAGCACGAGCCCGAGGCGCGCATGACCCAGCGCATCCACGACGCCGCGCGCATGGCCAACGCCCACGACTTCATCATGGCGCTGCCGGCCCGCTACGAGACCAACATCGGCTCGTGCTCGCTGTCGGGGGGGCAGAAGCAGCGCATCGCCATCGCGCGGGCCGTCGTGAAGGACCCCCGGCTGCTGCTGCTCGACGAGGCCACCTCGGCCCTGGACGCCAAATCCGAGGAGATCGTGCAGGCGGCCCTCGACAAGGCCTCCCAGGGCCGCACCACCATCGTCATCGCGCACCGTCTCGCCACCATCCAGGAGGCCCACAACATCGTCGTCCTCGTCAATGGACACATCGTCGAGCAGGGGCCCCACGGGGAGCTGATGGGCCGGCAAGGCGTCTACCGCGACATGGTCGAGGCGCAGCAGATCAAGCAGCGCGACGCCGCCAAACGCCACGAGTCCATGACCTTCCTCTTCGACGACGACCACCTCCCCCCCACCGAAGACCTCCTGGACGACGACGCCTCGGACATCGGCCTGAAGAGCGGCGCCAGGCGCCGCCACCGCATGACGCGCATGTCGCTCTTCCTGCCCCAGCTGCCCTCCAAGAAGAAGCAGACCTTCTCCCTCTGGGCCCTCTTCGCCTTCCTCGCCTCCTTCAACCGGCCCGAATGGCCCATCATGATCCTGGGCCTCGCCGCCTCCATCGTGGCCGGCGGCATCCAGCCCTCGCAGGCCGTGCTGTTCGCCAAAGCCGTCAACACCCTCAGCCTGCCCCCGACCGAGTACCCCCGACTGCGCCACGAGGCCACCTTCTGGTCGCTCATGTTCCTGATGATGGGCTGCGTGACGCTCTGCGTCTACAGCTTCCAGGGCACCCTCTTCGCCTACAGCTCCGAGCGGATGATCTTCCGGGCCCGCAGCCAGGCCTTCCGCGCCATGCTCCAGCAGGACATCTCCTTCTTCGACAGGGAGGAAAACACCACCGGCGCCCTGACGTCGACGCTCTCGGCGGAGACGAAGCAACTGGCCGGCATCAGCGGCGTCACGCTCGGCACCATCCTGATCGTGACGGTCAACCTGGCCGCCTCGCTGGTCGTGGCGCTGGTCATGGGCTGGAAGCTGGCGCTGGTCTGCATGTCCGCCGTGCCCGTGCTCCTGATGTGCGGCTTCATCCGGGTCTGGATGCTGGACAAGATCCAGCGGCGCGCCAAATCGGCGTACCAGAGATCGGCCAGCTCAGCCTGCGAGGCGGCCTCGGCCATCCGCACCGTCGCCTCCCTCACGATGGAACGCGAGGTCATCGCCTCCTACGAGTCGCAACTGACCCGGCAGCTCCGCGGCGACATCCTCCCCATCCTCAAATCCTCCGCCCTGTACGCCTCCTCCCAAGCGCTCCCCTTCCTCTGCATGGCCCTCGGCTTCTGGTACGGCGGCAGCCTGCTCGGCAGGCACGAATACACCGTCTTCCAGTTCTACGTCTGCTTCAGCGAGGTGATCTTCGGCTCCCAGGCCGCGGGCACCATCTTCTCCCACGCGCCCGACATGGGCAAGGCGAAGAACGCCGCCGTCGAGTTCAAGAAGCTCTTCGCCAGCCGCTCCCTGCACGCCTACCGCGACGGCGGCGTGCACGTCTCCTCCATGCAGGGCGAGGTCGAGTTCCGCGACGTCTCCTTCCGCTATCCGACGCGTCTCGAGCAGCCCGTCCTCCGCCATCTCAACATCACCGTCAAGCCCGGGCAGTACGTGGCGCTGGTCGGGTCCAGCGGCAGCGGGAAGAGCACCACCATCGCGCTGCTGGAGCGGTTCTACGATCCCCAGGTCGGGGAGGTCTACGTCGACGGACGCAACATCACCACCCTGGAGAAGAAGTCCTATCGCAGTCATCTGGCGCTGGTCAGCCAGGAACCCTCCCTTTTCCATGGGACCATCCGCGAGAATATCCTGTTGGGCTGTACGGAGAGGGAGAATGTTCCCGAGAGTGTTCTGGTGCAGGCTTGCAAGGATGCTAATATTTATGATTTTATCATGTCGTTGCCGTATGTTTTTTTTTTTTTTTTTTTTTTTTTTTTTTCCCTTTCTTCTTTCCTTTTCCCCTGACCCTTACTTACCCTAACCCTTACTTACCCTGACCTTTACTTACCCTGACCCTTAAACCCTAACCCCCCCCCCCCCCAAACAAAAAGTTAAAAAAAAACCCATAATGCTAAGATGGATAATCCTCCAGACAAGGCTTCCACACCCTCGTCGGCAACAAAGGCGGCATGCTCTCGGGCGGCCAGAAACAGCGCATCGCCATCGCGCGCGCCCTCATCCGCAACCCGCGCATCCTGCTCCTCGACGAGGCCACCTCTGCCCTGGACTCGGAGTCCGAGAAGGTCGTCCAGGCCGCGCTGGACAAGGCCGCCAAGGGGCGCACGACCATCGCCGTCGCCCATCGCCTGAGTACCATCCAGCGCGCCGATATGATCTATTTCCTCGAGCAGGGGGAGGTCGTCGAGGCGGGCTCACATAAAGAGTTGTTGCGGAAGAGGGGGCGGTATTATGAGATGGTGAATTTGCAGAATTTGAAGTGATTTTTCTTTTTCTGTTGCGGAAGTATATATATATATATATATGTGTGTATAGATAGATAGATACAGGGTTTGAGTAAAGGGGTGTGGGCGTGGAATGTCATCTAGTGAGTGGGTTTCGTTTGGGTTTAGGCATGGTGTTGGGGATATTTTATTTCATGTGGATATAATTGATTGATTGATTGATTTTGTTCTTGCTTAAAAGGGTGCCTTAACAAGTCCTTCCAGAAGGGTCTGGGATAACTATAAGTTAGGGCAGTGAATATCTATACAAGGCGGGGAAGACAGCCCTGCTCTGCCACAAGACTGTATACTTAGATAGGAACACACCATCAAATCAACAAGTAAGCCAGAAACTCTTCCTAATCACCTTCCTACCATCATCCTAAACCCTCCAACACCCACCCAGTTAATTATATCCTGCATCTCCTGTAGTGGAACTGCCTCAGGCACCAACCCCACTATAAGAACTGGCCCGTGCCCACCCCATCCTCATCCAGCCTAGCCCCATCCCCATCCGGCTAGTGCGGGGGCTGACTCAGCCAGGGTGAAGCTGTTTTTTCTGCCCGGGCCATAATTCCTCAAACTCCCCCGCAATCTCTCCTCTCCTCTCCTCTCCTCCCCAATACAACAAACACACACACACATCATGACCCTCCCCGCCTACAAGACCGACTTCCTCGAGTCGTGCCTCTCGGCCAACGTCCTCACCTTCGGCACCTTCACCCTGAAGTCGGGTCGTCGTACGTACATCCATCCATCTCAGGAGGTCCGAGGAGTGTGAGGGTCGGGTCGACTGATCTGATAATAACGATCCTGCAGACTCCCCCTACTTCTTCAACGCCGGCACCTTCCACACCGCCACCCTGCTGTCTTCCCTCTCCACTGCCTACGCCCACACCATCATCCGCTTCTTGAGGGAGAACCCCGCCATCCCGAAGCCGGATGTCATTTTCGGGTGAGATTCGATTATCCCCCCATCCACATCCCAATCCCACCCCTCAATGCACTAACCCCCCTCTTCCCCCAATGGTAGTCCCGCCTACAAAGGCATCCCCCTCGCGTGCGCCACCCTCCTCGAACTCAACCGCCTCGACCCCGCCACCTGGGGCCCCGTGTCCTACAGCTACAACCGCAAAGAGGCCAAAGACCACGGCGAAGGCGGCAACATCGTGGGCGCGGGCCTGAAGGACAAGACCGTGCTGGTGATTGACGACGTGATCACGGCGGGCACGGCCATGCGCGAGACCCTGGATCTGGTGGCCAAGCAGGGCGGCCGGGTCGTCGGGTTCGCGGTCGCGCTGGACCGGCTGGAGAAGATGCCCGGCCCCAAGGATGCGCATGGTGTGGAGGACGATGCGCCGCGCATGAGTGCCATGGGCCAGATCAGGAAGGAGTATGGCGTGCCGACCACGAGTATTGTCACGCTGGATGATTTGATCGTGTTGATGCGGGAGAAGGGCGAGGAGGGCGATATGGCGCGGTTGGAGGGGTATCGGGCCAAGTATCAGGCTTCGGATTAGATGGTAGATTGGAAGAAAGGGGGGGGTGGGGGGTTAAGGGTCTGTTTGGGAATCATGACATGTGAAAAAAATCCATTTGCATTGCATATATAGCAGAGGCTGTATTCATGGTGGGGGGGGTGGTGGGCCTGTCTGTTGTCTGTCTGCATGCCCTCGGGCAGATGTCTGCCGTGTCGGATGACGTTCTCTGTCTGTCGTTCTCGGAAATATGAGCCGCAACGGACCAGTCAGTCAGTCAGTCAGTCTGGAACAGTCTCCTGCAGCTAGGATTTGCGCTCGGGATTTTCTCGAACGAGCTAATAATGCTGCAAATCGCTCGGCCAGCTCGGCCAGCTCGGCATTCCCTCGGTGCCGATCCATCGCCGAGAGATGGCCTGCCCTGCCCTATCCTATCGGCCTCTTCGGCCACTAGATCCTCCCTCACTCACCCAGCTCGACCCTGCCGTTTTGACGTGTCATCGCAGACGGACTCTTCACAGTTCAGTCCGAACTTGGTCCGGTCTGAGCAGAGTTTTTGCAAAACCTTCCAGCAAATCCCGCATGATGAGCGATCTTCCCTGGCGTGGCGGGTTGAGTCCGACTGATTGTTCGGACTGGATGATGTGGATGACGGTGATGGGACCAGATACTGAAGATGAAGGTGCAGTGTAGAGAGATGTTGTGCGACAGATCTGGTGCTACATACCACGTAGCACAGAGATGCCATCTATCGAGCGTGTGACCATGGTGTACACACTCACGAAGAGGTCCACGCGGCAGACCCTGAGTGACCATAACAGTTTTAAGTTTCGGTGTCCCAGGAACAGGACCGTCCACATGCCAGATTGACAAGGGAGAGATCTGATCTGATGTAATGATCCGGCTCGGGATGTTCCACGACGGTGGTGGTGGTGGTGGTGCAGTCGGCATGCACACCTGCCGGCCCTAACTCGGTCGGTCGGCGATGCGTCGGCCAGTTCGGCGATTGCCCGCATCGATGGATGAAGTTATCATCGCACACTCCAGTATATAAGTTGCTGTGTCCTGACTCTCTTAACATCAGCATCAGCATCATATTCTTCTGCTTCAGCTTGGCTTTGAGCTATCATTCAAGGAAAACTCTGCCAACCTCAGGCTATCCGACATCATCGACGCATACTGGATCTATCTGCAACCCATCCTACCGATCGCTTCCCAAGATATCATCCAAATATACTTGATCTATCTACCGCGACTGCCATGTCTCAATCCACACCCCATCCCCCCGAGGACCCCCATCCGGGCATCCTGCGGACCGAAACCCGCGCGAGCCTGCAAAACCAGGGCATCACGCAGACCCCCCCCCCTCTGGACTACAACTATCCCGACGTGGGCCGTCAAGACAACCCCATCTTCCCCGAAGAGTACACCGTCGAGACCAGCACGGGTCTCGTCCCCGAGCAAACCCTCGAACGGATCCGCACCCGCCAGTCCCACCCCGACAACTCCTCCTCGGAAGAAGAAGAAGACCGCGAGAAATCCCGCGACACGGTCGAGTTCGTGACCTTCACCCTCCACGACCCCGAGAACCCCTTCAACTGGTCGCGCACCTACCGGTGGTACGTGACGATGATTGCCTCGCTCCTGGTGGTGTGCATCGCGTACGGCTCGTCCATCGTCACCGGCGGCCTGGGGCTGATCGAGGACAAATACCACGTCTCGCTGGAGGTGGCCATCCTGACCTGCTCCATCATGGTATGCGGCTTCGCCGTGGGCCCGCTGCTGTGGTCGCCTCTCTCCGAGATCATCGGCCGGCGGCCCGTCTACATCATCTCGCTGACGCTCTACCTCCTGTTCAACATCCCGTGCGCGCTCGCCCCCAACATCGGCGGCCTGCTGGTCTCGCGCTTCCTGTGCGGCGTGTTCTCCAGCTCGGGCCTCTCGCTGGCAGGCGGCACCATCGCCGACATCTGGCCGCTGGAAGACCGTGGCATGGCCATCGCCTTCTTCGCGGCGGCGCCCTACTGCGGGCCCGTCATCGGGCCCATCGTGTGCGGCTGGATCAGCGTCGGCACGCACCGTCTGGACCTGTTCTTCTGGACCAACCTGGCCTTCGTCGGCGCCGTCCTCCTGCTGGTCGGCTCCATCCCCGAGACCTACGCGCCCGTGATCCTCAAACGCCGCGCCGCCTCGCTCCGCAAGTCCACCAACAACCCGCTCATCATCACCGAGCAGGAGAAAACCAAGCCCTCGTTCCGCGACATCCTCCGCACCAGCCTGATCCGCCCCATCACCATGATCCTCACCGAGCCCGTCCTCGACCTGATGTGCATGTACATCGTGCTGATCTACGCCATGCTCTACGCCTTCTTCTTCGCCTACCCCGTCATCTTCGGCCAGCTGTACGGCTACAACGACGGCCAGATCGGCCTGATGTTCATCCCCATCCTCATCGGCGCCGCCTTCTCCCTCATCGCCACCCCCTACATCGAGAAACACTTCCGCCGCATCTGTCTCTCCCGTGCCCCCACCCCCGAAGACCGTCTCATCGGCGCCTTGATCGGTGCCCCCTTCGTCCCCATCTCGCTCTTCATCCTCGGCGCCACCTCCTACAAGCATATCATCTGGGTCGGCCCCGCCTCGTCCGGCATCGCCTTCGGCTTCGGCATGGTCCTGTGCTACTACGCCGTCAATAACTATATCATCGATAGTTATCAGAAGTATGCGGCGTCCGCGCTGGCCGCCAAGGTTTTCTTGAGATCGGGCGGTGGTGCGGCCTTTCCGCTGTTTATTACCCAGATGTATGATCGCCTGGGGCTCCAGTGGGCGTCTTGGTTGTTGGCTTTCTTGGGCGTCGGGATGGTGTTTATCCCGTATGGGTTTTATGTGTTTGGGGGGAGGGTGAGGGAGAGGTTTAACGGGGGAAAATAGAGAATGGGGGGATGTGAGGAAAGGAGAAGGGCGAAGGGAGATGATGGATGATCTAAAAGAGGAAATGAAATTACGGACGATGGATAGAAGAAGAGAGGGTAATGGTTTACGTCCAGATTGATTAATAGTAGTGATAGACTCCTACCTTAGTACATAGATATTTAATTAGATTTCGATATTTTAACACGCCTTAATATCCACATAGTCTCCTTGCTCAAATCACTCGAAAAACAATATCAGCCGAAATTTGAATTAAACCACGGCAGCTATCTTCCTTCTACCCTGTTTCGACTTTAAGGATTATATCATATAACTTGTATTCATATACCTTACGCTGAATTGTTTGTTAATCATATCGAAAGCTCACAGACCGCGATCTGTCACTCATGTAATGTCATCGAGATTGACAGGCTTGGTAACAGAGAGACCCGAGTAGAGAAAAGGTGCCCTTATCCACCGTCCGACTACTTTGTCGCCCGGGTTAAACCCTGAGTATTCGGTGACATTCTCTATCAACAGACCGTAATCGAGATCATCTGTACAGATTGTCTCAAGAGCCCCTCTTCTGTACCCCACGGTGCCGTGCTTGCGGAACCCCGCCAGCCAGATAGTTCGCTTGATCGAACCTCTACTGTTGTCGGTATGGATGATGGAAACAGCCTGTGCGGCGATCGTCGTGCGGCGAATTCGATAGAGTACTTTGACCAGTTGCCAAATTTCCGTAGTTCAGGGTCAAGCTGCGACTAAACGTTCGAAGATACCAATTCCACGACCAGCATACCTCAGACCTTTCGCCGCGATGCAAATGCGGTTTCAGGTTAGATGTCTGATTCCCATCAAACACGCCATATCCCATCTTTTCCTATGATAGTTTTTACTTGGAGCAGTAATGCATGTTGACTCGCGTATTGGTTTGCGGCTGGAAAGTGGGAGAATTCGCCGTTATCATTCTGTTCAAGGATATCTGCGCGTTGAGCCAGAGTAAAAATCTTTGGCGTCATTGGCTTGCCGTCTGTTTTTTCCTGGCTTGCGTCAAAGGCAGTCTAATTCTCGCACTTTCCCTTCGCGAGAATCATGAACCCCAAGGTATTTATTATCCGACCATCATTACCTCCGGCTGACAGAGGAAAAAGGTGGTATGCATGATTCCTGATCACGACACGCCTGGACAATGGAAAAGACATTCTGTCTCATGGACTTGAGGTAGAAACAGCTTCAAGAACCGGATGCATCCCAGATAACAACTCTTGCAGGATATTCCGAAGATACCATGATCTGTGCTTCGAAACCGATAGAGCTGGGGGCGCCAGCGGCGCGGCTTCGCGGGTGGTGGGGGTGGCATTTCTCGATCTCTGATACCAGCCAAGCTGGATGATACAAGAGTCGTGTAATCAGCAACACATCATCATTCTGCAAATCTAGGCGACGCTTGCATTTGCTTTAGCCATTAGAGCGCCGTGCAGGTGAGGCAATACCTGTTTAATATAGCACTTATGAGGGATTAAGTCCACACGAATATGTACCAAAACCCCACCCAGCATCTCAGAGCTGGAGGTACATTGGAAGAAGCGGGTATTATGACAATCAGAGTATGCTTGCCAGGTAGCAGTTCTTCGAAGTCTGTTATTGAGAAACTTCAACTGAAACGCATTACGGCTCAAGCGGTGGAGGAACCTTCAAGCCTGGCCGATGTTTGGAAATTTACCAGAAAGACAACCTCATCTGATTCGGCGAATAATCTGCGGCTCGAATCTCCGTGGATTTCGGTTTTGAGTGCATGGCATCTTATAGATATACTTTCACGGTTCCACGGCTTTTAATTCGGGTGTTTGGCGTTGCAATTCTCAGCGCATGTACCAATGTGAATGTACACTTCCATCTAGGTTTGCGGTGCAGTGCGTTGGAGGCCAGTGGTGTATTCCTCTAAGACCTTGCCACTAACTGCACCTGTCCAGTTTGTTGCTTGATGTGGTCGATGATGTAAATTCCAAAATGAGGAATATATACAAATCATGATCGGACCTAGATGATAGAAAGTTCGACACTGTGATATGATAGCGTGTCATTCCCAGCGAAAGAGAAGTACCAGCCAGCCGTGTCACTGCTAAGACCGTCGTTAATTGACCACTTTTGGCGACCTGGAAAGAGCCCGAAGCTCGCGAACCGGTTTCCATCACTGAGGATACTACTTTCATGTGTAGACCTCTCCACATCCACGATGTAGGCAGCTTGAATGCATGCCATATAAGATCTCAAACTTTACCATATCTTACCCATTTCCGGCATCGTATGACCAGACATGCGTTCTAGAAAACACCCACCATCACTAGTGGCGCTGCCAATGTGTATGTCACCTTTATCCTTGTTGTCATTCTCAAGGGACCCTCAGTTGCGTACGGGTGGCGAAGACGGAAGTACAATCCATTCTTGTTGCTTTTTATCTTTCCCAATTTTCTCACTCCAATTTGGCCAAGAAGCCACCAATGAGACTGTTCTAGGGGTACACCCTAGGTGACGTGGATGTTTCGGTCTAAATCGCTAGATATAGATCTTGATTTGATCATCCCAGTCCTTCCTCCAGGATTCAAAATCCTTCCAGACATCATCAATTAAGATTTCCATTTCATCGAGTTTATTGCGTATCTCAACAGTACGCATTCATTATTCCATGAGATATCAACTTTCTGGATTTGAGGGGTGCATGCCGCCCCCATGCTCTGCTCTTTTTTCTCTATCATACAGCAGCTGTATACCCTTTATACCGGTTAGCATTGCGACATAGACTAAGGCTAGTCCCTTGCTTACTAGTTCCTGTAGAGCCAGGGCCGTCCCCCGAAGTTACAGCGGAAGCTATCCCTTATAGTCATGGGTGGTGGCGGGGGCAGGCAGTCCATTCAACACTCCTTAATACTTAGACCTATAGACGACGCCAGAACCTCGTTTTTTGTTGTGGCGCGTGATATTGGCCGCAAATATCTGGAACAGTGGTCGGATTAAAACACTGTGTTGGTGTCAGAGCTATGTGGTGGGCACATCGTTGTCTCGGCATGATGCTCATGATGGACAAGAGCTTTATAGACTTTCTGCGCAGCTTTGGTATTTACCGGCGACGGCTTATCAAAATTAGAAAAGCTTTTTGCCACAATCATCATAACTGTCTCCATTAAGATAATCATCCAGAGCGAACCAGGCCCCTTGGGTATTGTGGACCCTCATCCAGGGGACTTTCAGCTCCTCAGCAATCTTGGACCACAATTGCTAGAGACATCCATTGCGTCTAGTTATATCTCAAGTAATCCTTCTAGATTATGCAACTAGATACCGGATAATGATATTGAATCTCTCGCAGAATATTGCTGCTGTTGCTGCAAGGTCAGCCCGAGATGATCCTTCATACGCCCTTCAAGAGCTTAATCATTTGAGCTAAGCCTTTAAATGCTCAACAGAGTGGCATCGTACCACTTGTTCTGCCAGGACCGAATATTGACAAAGATTGCATACTGGACGGTAAAACTGAAAGATAGTTGCCTTGTCTCCGCTTCGATGTTTGTAAAAGTTCTTCTAATCGAGAGTCGATTCCCTTGCGTGCTCATCTATTCCGCTTGGTCTGTCACAACAACGTGCAGTGCGGGTCCTGATCCCAAAATGTGCTTCTAGATCAAGAGCTTTAGCGCAATCATTGGACTTGGTGTATTCGCAGGCTTCTTGGGCCCTCTTATAATTGTCCCGGCACCGGTGTACAATATTTGCAATGGATAATACGGAAAAAGAGTGATTAAAGCGCTTGCTTGGGTCGAGAGCAACACCATCGAACTTCAGATACCCTCGGGGGCGCAGAAGCATCCGGGGTAGTAGATATAAGCATTTATCGCGTGCTCCAGACAGATTATTCAGCTGCATACATGAAATTGTCTTCTTTGACTCATGAGACACATTTTGATCGACGACGCATCGCCATCGGCGGGCGCGGAGGGGAGGGTGCGTCAGGGGCGTGGACGGGATGCAAAAACAGCCAATGTACCATTAGTGTGGTCTGTCTAGACCTGATGGAATGCGTCCATTGTTTCTAGGCCAGGGTTCTGAGAATGCGCTTGATTTGCTCCACCAAGAGAACTTTCTAACAGTAACTCGATGTGCAAGAATACTGCAGCATAGATTAATTCGTGGGTTTCGAAAGAATCCGAGACAGCCACTCGGACGTGTTGCGGATGAAACGCACATTATTGCTTAATGATAGTGTGACTGGGTGGAACATTTGAGAAAACAATCCTGGAGAGCCAGAGCACACATAAATCTCTCGCTGACTACTGACAGCTCCCCGTTTTCGTTCGGGTGGGGCTTGTCTTAGATTCGATTATGATGGAAGTAGTTATATGGTCATGGCGAGATTCTCGTCAAAAATAGGTTGAGAAACAGTAAGCACGTAATATAAAGCCACACTCGTTTCATCGCCATAACATCTGATCGTTGGAATTGCTATCCAGTTTTATTCCACGCAGAGGTTTACGCAGATCTGGATCTAGCCACTGGCTGATAGACGCCAGCTCAGTAGAAGTATCATCACGAGCGGTCATTGTAGAATCTTGGGCGGGTTGACAGAATTGGTCCGTATCATTGGTGGATGTCAGCCATAGATCGACCAAGGTGCCCTTTTCGAGGACCTCCGGGTGGCTTTGGCAAAGATATGGCATGCATGTGTCAATGAAGTTCTGCATATCCAGCGTAGAGAAAGAGAAGAGATTCCGATTCGAATTCCAATGGTCGGCAAAGGAATACTGTAGAATATTGGCCGTGTTCAAACCACCAGTGGAAACGCATTCCATCCTTATGAGACGGATAATGTCGGGCGAGATGCAAGATAGAACCCATCCCGATACTTGTCGAAGATATATTCGAATGAATTCATGGTGCCAAAAAGGTTCAAAGAGGTTTAGGATGGAAGAGCAGCGCCAAGCTAGGCATAGACTCTTGAAGACCATTATTTTCACCCAGTATTGATGCCATCTCCGCCCAGCTCTCATGTCAGGATTCATCTCCTTCATCAACAGACCCGTTCGGAGGGTCCAGGACATTGAACCCACTGCCTAAACCCGAAATGATGGCGACCAGGGAGTGTCCTTTATACATCCACAGGACATCCCTCTATCCTGGAGCAAAACAGGTCAACAAAGTCCATGACGATCCTCAATGACTTTAATGGTCTTCGAATCATTGGACATGAAACCGAATAGGCACGCAGCGGCAGAAGTCGAAACCATACTTCTGCAACGTACTGAGGTTGACCGGAAGATATCCTTGAGAGATTTTGTGGGGCCAGAAGCGGACTGGCAAAAGACTGAGAAAGCAAAGGCTCTCTTCGAGCAGATAAAAGCGCAAAAGACTTCGAAGAACATGTGTGAAAGGCGTAAAAAGGAGCTGGATCCCGTGTGGTCTCTTGCAGACCCTTGATGGCAGAGCTCGAGTGCGTCAAGCCAGTCGCGGGTCACTTACCTCTTGCGTACAGATGGGCCCGAACTCTGACGTACGGCTTTGTGGTCCGCGACTAGTCATGTCCAAGACGGACAAACGGTGGCTGTTGATCTTTCCGAAGGATGGAAATGTATTTAATTCTGGACATTTTCCAGCGTGTATGGGTTCTCACGCGCCCTTCCCATATGACCTCTGCTTTATTTCCTTGAATGAGACCCATCCCCATCCGAGATGGTTTCGGCGCTTATTGGCTTGACACCGTCCGCCAGAGGCTGATATTAGCGAAGCCAACGGTCTTAGTCTGCAACATATTTGCCACGTATTTTTCTGCCCCTTTACTCGTATTGACCAGGCATTTGAGTCCTCCATCCAATAGGGACTTTGAAATAGGGTCATGTCCCTGCTTCGGAATGAGAGTTTGTAATCGGGGCATCGACTCTTCTGTCAGCGGGAGAGTCAAAAACCAGTATGTACAGAAACACCAGTTGCATAGTAGAGTGCTTCATGGAAGCTATGACAACTCAGAATGCTTGATGTAGTTACCACCTTGAGAAGATGGTACGCCAGAATGTCAGGATTGAGGGAGGTAAGATGATTGTTGAGGAAGGACGGAGAGGATGGGGTCTTGGAGGTCAATATATAGCCGGGAATGGGATGGTGTGAATTGCTGTCTGAAAGAAATTGCCGTCGCTGGAATGAACTGGAATGTGGGTGAATTTGGGGGTGTGGCAAAGCATTCATTTGAGATACTCAAAGGAGAATCCGATTCACCAGTGTGATGACTGTTCCAGGGAGGTAATTATTGTACAAGCTCCTTTCGAAAGAAGATACTGGAACGTGAAACTCATGTACATTATCTTTTTTACTAAGATGACCGCCATGTGCATGTAATGTTCCCTGGATTCGATCGATAGAATTCCAATTCCCGTCGAATATAGCCAGCCTTCTGAAACCATGACAGCGATGGGATAATATGGGAATAGAATGGGAAATGACGTGCCTGTACAATCGACTGGCGCATGTATTTTGCCATTCCGCAATCTGATCATTCAGGGAATATTTGGATATCAATGGCCATCCTAATCAAATTACGACGGGGTCAAACAAGGGATAGGCCGGGAACAAGGGATCCCAATAATTAGGGCTCCCGGACTCGTCCTCATCCTCATCCTCATCCGGCAGTCCGACAACCGCCACATCCCTCGCCTTACGCCCACGCACACCTGCCCCCACCAGCACCAATCGCCGCCCTCCCATCAGCCGACCCACCCGTGTATGCACAAATTATGCGCCATCCGGCTGCATTGGTAGAAGATACATAGATAGATGTCTGACCGCGTCTGGGCGTACAACCCACGTGGAGCTGCCAGCACCAGCACCATCAACCCTGAACCATCATCACGCCCACCCACCATGTCAGAATCCCGATCCCTCTCCTCGGTGGAGAAGAAGCGGCTGCGCGACCGTCGCGCCCAGCAGGCCCTGCGCGATAAGAAGCTGCAGTATACGTCCCAGCTGGAGGACAAGGTGGCGCACTGCGAGCGGTATCACGATGACTCGGCGGCACAGCATCTGCTGCAGGTGATTGAGGGGCTTCAGAGGCAGAATGAGGTTCTCCAGAGGAGACAGGAGGGGCTGAAGGCTCTTGTGCAGGGTTGGGAAGAGGGCACAGATACAGTCCACGATGACCACAGCCACAACCACGACCACAGCCGTCTCGACTCAACCAGCACCCCATATCGCCAGCCAACACTCCCTCCACAGCCACCAATACCTCATAGTCCCATCCATACTGCTCTCCCCGAACTCCCCCTCCCCCTCCCTGTCACCACCACAGGAGACTCCCCTATCCCAAACACCCACACCCACACAGACTCTTCAAAGCCACCCCCACCCCCTCACCCTCACCCTCACCCTCACCCTCAACCCCTCTCCACCCTCCTCCCCCTACACTCCGACCACGGCACGCTGCTCTACCTCTCCAACCGCAGCATGATAATCGCCTCCCCGCCCTCCCCCTCCCCGCTGGACCTATTATACGGCACCAAATCCAACCCCCTCGCCAACGCAATCTACACCTTCTCCCTGCACCGACCCCTCCGGGATCCCGAACGGCTCGCCTTCGGCTGGCTGAGCTACCACTACGCTAAATGGCTGACCAGCCCCTCGCCCACCACATTCATCAAACTCGCGCCCTTCATGCGTCCCACCCCGGAGCAGCTCACCATCCCGCACCCCGCCAGTCTCGATCTGATCATCTGGCCTGCGCTGCGCGGGAACTTGATCAGGGAGTGGGGCGCGTACGCAAGGCAGAAGGATGACTTGTTTGGCATCCTGGCGTGCTGTATTCGGGTCAGATGGCCGTGGGGGCGCAGCGTGTTGGAACGGGATGAGAGGAATGAGTTGGTTATCAGGGGGGAGTTTTTGGAGACCTTTATGAGGTTGGATGGGTGGGGGATTACGAGGGAGTTTGTCAGGTGTTATCCGACTGTGTTGAAGGGGATTGATGTGGGGGGGATTTTGCATGAGGTTTTATGATCATGGATTGTCTTTCTTTCTTTCTCTTTCTCTCTCTCTCTCTCTCTTGGGTTTCTTGATTTTTGCGGAAGTGGATTGGTGGGGTTACTGTTGTTTTTGTGGTGGATGGGGTATGGAGTTGAAAAGTAAATAAAATGTAATATGATATCATAAAATAATCTAATAAGAAATAACCCGTCTATGGAACGCCCTATGTGCATGCATGCATAATCTGTACACCCCCCATCCCAGCCCATCCCATCCCTAACCCTTACCCTTACCCCTCTCCCCCACCCCTACTCTAAACATAACATCCAAAAAAAAATAAATAAATAAAAAATAACCCCCTACTTCTCTAACTCAACCGGATATCTCTCCCTAATCCTCCTCCCATACTTATTAAACAGAATCGGCACCGGCACAAACGCCAACGCAATAAACCCGAGCAACGAATTCCCCCACCCCAGGCCAAGTGAATCAAACATCTTGGGCCCGGCCAACGGCAACAGCGCTCCCACCAGCGACCTTTCCGCCGTGAGCGCGGCATTCGCACTCGCCGCATACGCCGGATAACAGTCGATCACGTACGTCTGGATAGGCATATAGACGCCCATCATGCCGATGCCGAAGGGCGCCATGCCGATGATGGGCACGATCCACTGGACATGATACTTGGCGGACCAGCCGTACCAGAAGAAGCTGACGGGGAGGAGACAGCTGAAGAAGATCATGGTGGGGAGACGCATCTCGGGCTCGAAGACGCCGGCGTTGCGGGCGGTGAGCTTGAGGACGATCTTGTCGGAGGTGAGTGCGATGCAGAGCAGGCCGGTCATGAAGCCGATTCCGATGCCGAGGTAGGCGAGGCCGGAGAGGCCGGTGGAGAAGCCGTAGGTTTCCTCGAAGACGGAGGTGATGGTGGTGAAGAAGAGGTAGAGGAGGCCATAGATGACGGACATGTAGGTTGAGAGGAGGAGGACGATGGGCGATCTGATCAGCAGGAGGAGAGGGCGTTTGAGGCCCTTTTTCAGGGCTTGGGTGACGGTGGGGGGTGTCGTGCCGGTGGAGAGGTCGAAGACGCTGCGGAGGTCGTTCCGGTTCAGGGACTTGGAGAGTTGCGCCGTTTTCCACCGGATGAGCACGGGGGCGTAGGTCTCCCGGTTGAGGATCTCGATTCCGATGGAGATCGTCGCGCCCGCGATGAGAAGAATCCAGAATACCCACCGCCACCCGATCTCTTCGCCCACGAACCCGCCGCAGATGGGCCCGACCACGGGGCCGATCAGCGGGCCCAGGGCCCAGATGGAGGTCGCCATGCCGCGCTTTTCAATCGGGAATAGGTCCGCGATGACCCCCGCGCCGAGCGTGATGGAGCCGACGCCCCCGATGCCCGCGAAGAACCGGAAGATGACGAGCGCGGTGATGTTGGGGGCGAGTGCGCAGCCGATTTGCCAGGCCACGAAGAACCAGTTCGCGCAGCTGAGGATGATCCGTCGGCCGTAGATCTCGCTGAGGGGGGCGAGGAAGAGCGGGCCGAACTGGGAGAAGGTTGGTTGGGGGTGGGTTAGGGTTGCGGGGATAGGGGAGACATACGGTATAGCCGAGGAGGTAGATGGTCACGCTGAAGGAGAGCAGGGTCTCATTGAACACGCCGAACTCTTCGCCCATGTAGCCCACGGCCGGGGAGAACATGCTGGAGGCGAGCGGCGAGATGAAGGTGATGGAGCTGATCAGCACCAGCAACGTCAATTTCTTGCTGTCGGCGAAGTTCTGCGGGTTGGCGGGGTCGTCCTGGCTGTCCCAGCCCACGATGCCTCGAGACAGGTCAGTCTCGGGGAAGAGGGCTTTGGCGGGGGTGGCTGTGGCTGTCGGCGGGGGAGAGCCCTTTTCCGTGTCTTGGTCTTCGAAGTCGGTCATGGTGAGAAGTCTGCAGGGGGGGGGACGGTGTAGACAGGTAGGCAGGTGGTGTGGTGTGTGAGGCAGGGGGGATGCCCGGGAAGCCCTAAGAGAGACCGAGGGGGTGGGAGATGCTGTTGGACACAGGACACAGGACAAGAAAACACGCAGGAAAATAAACAGGGCGATACAATGCGACAGGCATGATATTTAAGGATCCCAGCGCCGACATAAGCAGCTGCATAATCATCAAGGGCGTCAACATCATCCCAACTGCGGTGAGTGGGCATAACAGGCTGGCCATCTGCACGGACGAGTCAGCGGGGGAGTCTGGCAGGGAGTCCAGCCAATGCGCGACCTCTGTCGGGCCCGGAAGGAAGGCGCTGAATCAGTGGCTCCATCGCGAAGGAATGGGGCCCGGGAAGAGGAGTGGAGCCGGGAATACACGATCCAGTCAATTATGGGGCGTCCGTGTCAGTGTTTTTTTCTTTACCGTGTAGATAGATACTGCTTGAGGGATGCATCGCACCCCAGCCTGAATAATGTTCATGATAGGTAAGCAGCCGACACGTGGGGAGGTTTACACCCGAGCAAAACACAGGCTTTGTTATTAGCCGACTGACGATCAGCTGTTGGCCTGGAAATTGCAAATTGCTTGCTGACCAACGATCAAACGCTAGCCAAAAAGTATTCTCCTCAGCCACTCAAGGCCCGCAAGGCTGGCTGGCAATTCCACCCGACGCGAAGACCTTTAATCAGCCGCTGAATCGCCCTCCTGCCCTCCATTTCCCCCCAATCTCGGTCCATTTTGCCGCGCTCTCGTTCGGATGGCGTTCCTGAAAACCTTGTGCTCCCGAACTGCCGGCATCGCCGATGCGATAATAATGCAGAAGAGAACGATTGTCGACGAGCCTCCGACTTGACCCTCGACTCTGACACTCCCTTCGGGCGGAACAGACGAGCAAAGTCGCAACACATCACCTCACCCCCCCCCCATATCGCATCCTTCGAAGCTCCACCTTCACATGCCAACCACCACACAGCCCACCCCCCCTATCTATCTAGATCCTCACTGTCCTCCCATTTCACCTCCAACTCCATAGTAAATGCCCATCCACCAACACAGCCCACCAAACAAAAAAAGCCTCGCCCACTCAAATCCCTTCAAAAAACGCCCTTATCTCCCACACCACCAGCTCATTCCTCTCCAAATGCACCGCATGATTCGCCCCAGCCACAACCACCAGCTTTGCCTCGGGCACTCCACGCGCAATGGTCTCCGACTGCGCCGGCGGACAGATCCAATCCTGCTCGCCCACTCTCACGAGACTCCGGGCCGTGATGCTGCCCAGCTGGGCTCGGTAATCGAACCGTTTCTCGGGTTCGGCGTACAGCGCGTCTGTTTTTCCCCGTTCTGACGGACGAGTTAGTCGGTGTTTTGTTCGGGCCGGGATGCGAGGCTTGAGATGCAGGATGGAAGATGCAGAATGCAAGAGGAACTGGAACTGAAACTGGGACTCTGGAACTTCACTGACTGTGAGCTTCTTCTGCATGGAACACCGTCCCCAGACCATTCCTGAGCGCGACATCCGCGTCGAATGTCTCGCTGAACGGCGACGCAGCGGCGTGCATGACGAGCTGGCATTCGATGTCGCTGGAAAACGAGCCGAAGATTTTGTCGCGGAGCATGGACACGCTCAGGCTGGGGGCGCGGTGGAGGCGCGTTTGCAGGGTTGAGAGGGCTTCGGCTTCGTCTGGTCATGGTTATCTCAGCATCAACTTTGCTAATGACAACGAAGTAAGTCTAGGTATAGGTATAAGTATAAGTATAAGTATAGGATAAGGTTCCTCACGATGATGCGACGCCGCCGTCCCCCGCAGGATCAAGTGCGACACCTTCCCTGCGTGCTGGATCGCGTATTGCAGCGCCAGGAAGCCCCCGAAACTACCCCCGCAGATGATGGCTGGTGGGTCGGGGCCCAGGAAGTGGTGGCGCAGTGCCTCGATGTCGTCGACCAGTTGCTGGAAGGCGTAGGGTGCTGTGCGCAAGCTCTGGCCGTGCCCGCGGTAGTCGAAGGAGAGGAGGCGGTGGGTGGAGGTTAGGGGGGTGTAGGCCCTGAAGTCGGAGGTGTGGTCGCCTGTGGTCTGGTGGTTCGATGGGCTGAATGAACAGAGCAGGGGGATGTGATGGAAGACCGCTGTTGCAAAATGGGGACTCCCCGAAACCGCGGTCGTCGTGGAGGGTGATGATTAAGGGGGCATCGGGGGGGCCGATTAGGATGAAGTCGATCATTTTGATGATTCCGGAGGGGAGGGGGAATGGGAAATGGGGAATGGTGGAGGGAGGGTCTTGTATTGACAGATCGGAGGACGTCCCAGGAATCTCTGATTATTGGAGACATAAGTTTCGCATCGCACGTCAACTGTGGTTTCACCGTGTCATTTTGATTCTTGTTAGACTAGTATCTTTGGTGTTTCATCGCCAAGTAGTGCGACTGGCATCCTCTATGCCAGTCTGACCCTATATCGACCCACCCACGCCATCACATCCAATTCACTCCTCCTCGTCACCATGACATTCACTTCCAATTCCTATCCCATCATTACCCACGCAAGACACACCTTCCCTCCCCCCTTCCCAGCCAAATCTTCCCTCCCCCCTTCCCAGCCAAATCTTCCCTCCCCCCTTCCCAGCCAAATCTCTCGTCCATGTGATAAAGACTGACTGCCCCAGACACATCGGCGGCTCAATCTCTGCTCCATCGCATACCCGCGCCGTCCAGGATGAACATTCTACTGGTGTCGAGGATCGTCTGGTTAGTTGGCGGTGTTATAGGGTGTAACTTGCAATGAGGTCGACATCATGTTCGCAGTCGGGAGTAATTGGTGCGAATGTTCGCGAAATGCGTCATGTCGATGAGGGATACTCTCTGGATATGTGGTGGGAGTTGGATTCTGTCCCCTCCCATCTGAACATCCCCCTCTGCCCTAAATCAGCCAGGAAGCGAGTGCTCCCCACCAAGATACCAGCATCTGGGAGCAGGATAGAAGAATGCCATTCAGTCCATCTCTTCAGCTTCCGACCGCGTCTTCAAGCTACTATCCGAGGATCCAGCCAACTACCGCGACGCCCCGACCGAGGCCATCCGCCGCGCGTTAGAAGCGATCGAAGGGCGCGCGATCCCCCGATCCGAGAACCTCGACGGCTCGCGCATCGCCTCGTGCCGCATTGGCACCACCATCGCCACCAATGCCCTGCTGCAAGGCAAAGGCGAGCGCTTCGCCTTCGTCACCACGCAGGGCTTCAAGGACGTCTGCGTGATCGGCGACCAGACCCCGACCGGAGCTGTTCGATCTGAAGGTCCGCAAGGCGAGGCCCCTGCACGACACGGCGGTGGAGGTCAACAAACGCGTCACCGTCGAGGACTACGATCTCAACCCGTTTCCCATGGATAAGACCGCCGAGCTGACCGATCCGGCACTGGTCCGGACGACCAGCGGTGAGATCATCCGCATCCTGCAGGAGTTGGACCTCGAGGCGGTGCGCGAGACGCTTCTTGGGCTGCAGGCAGAGGCATACACGTCGCTCGCGATCGCGTTCATGCATTCCTACCTCTTCCCCGACCATGAGACTCAGGTTGCGGCGCTGGCTCGCGAGCTTGGGTTCCGATATGTCACCACGTCTGCGGAGGTCAGCCCCGTCGTGAAGTATCTCCGGCGCAGCAATTCGGTCTGCTCGGAGGCGTTCCTGTACCCGATACTTCGAGGATGGGTTCTCTGTCCCCCCACACCGAGTCGACTTCATGTGCTCCGACGGAGGTCTCCGATCGTCTACGAAGTTCAGGGGCAATGAAGCCCTCCTCAGTGGTCCGGCGGGGGGTGTTGTCGGGGTGGCGAAGACCTGCTTCGATCCGAACGAGGGCACGCCGGTCATCGGCTTCGACATGGGAGGCACCAGCACGGACGTCTCGCGGTACGATGGCACATACGACTACCTGAGCGAGACAACGATCGCAGGACGCATCATCACCACTCCGATGCTGAATATTGCCACGGTTGCCGCAGGCGGCGGCTCGATCCTGTTTGCCCGCAATGGGCTCTTCGTCGTCGGGCCGGACAGTGCTGGCGCGCATCCGGGCCCTGCTTGCGATCGAAAAGGAGGGCCTCTCACGGTCACGGACGCGAATCTCTTCCTGGGCAGACTGGTTTTGTCCTCGTTTCCCTCGATATTTGGGCCAAATGCGGACCAGCCTCTGGGTTATGCGGCGACGGTGAGGAAGTTCCAGGAGATCACGCAGGAGATCAACACCCAGACAGGCCAGAATCTCACCCCTGAAGAGGCGGCCCTAGGCTTCATCAACATCGCCAACGAGACCATGAGCCGTCCGATCCGCAACGCTACCGAGGCGCGTGGCTTCCATCCCGAGCGCCATAACCTGGTCAGCTTCGGGGGAGCGGGTGGCCAGCATGCCTGTTCCATTGCGAACCGACTCGGAATCAAGCGCATTCTCATCCACAAGTACTCGTCCATCCTGTCGGCAGTCGGGATCTCCGGGACAGACTTGCAGTCAATGCCCGTTTCAACGCCCTCCGCGCTCGCGTCCAAGATGCCCTAACTGCCCAGGGTGCATCCCCCGAGTCCATCCACTTCGAAAAACGAGTCCTTGAGCCTGCGCTATCAAGGAACGGATACCAACCTGGTCATCCCCAAGCCCGCCGGCGAGGACTACGGCGCTGCATTCCGAGACACGCACACGCGCGAGTTTGCCTTTGCACTGGACCGGCCGGTGATCGTGGATTCCATCCAAGTGCGAGGCAGTGGCAGCAGCGGATCAGATGTGTCCTCCTCCCCATTCACATTCCTCGACCATGTCAAAGCCAAAGCAGTGCATGCCGTTCCCCAATCCTCCCAGTCCGTCTTCGTCGAGACCTCGTGGCAGGACATCCCCGTCTACCACCTCGCCTGGATCCCCCAGTCCATCGTCCACGGCCCCTCCCTCATCATCGACGCCACGCAGACCATCTTCGTCGAACCCTCCTGGCAGGCCATCATCCTGCCCGAACATATCATCCTCGAACGCACCCAGCCCACTCTCCCCCCCCCTCCCTCTCCCCATCCTCCCCCATCAGCCCCATCAGCCCCATCAGCCCCATCCAGCTCTCCATCGTCGCCCACCGCTTCATGGCCATCGCCGAGCCAATGGGCAACATGCTGCAACGCACCTCTATCTCCACCAGCATCAAAGAGCGCCTGGACGTCTCCTGCGCCATCTTCTCTCCCGACGGCAAACTGGTGGCCAACGCCCCGCACATCCCCATCCACCTAGGCAGCATGCAATTCGCCATCCAACACCAGCACCGTCCATGGCACTCGATCCTCGAGCCCGGCGACGTGTTGCTCACCAGCCACCCCTCCTGCGGCGGCACCCACCTCCCAGACCTCACCGTCATCACCCCCGTCTTCACACCCTCCCAGCCCCCAACCCAAATCCTCCCTCTCCTTCTACGTCGCCGCCCGCGACCACCACACCGACATTGGCGGCAAAGGCATCACGGCAATGATTCCCGACTCCACCCACCTCTGGGAAGAAGGCCTTAGCATCACATCCCTCACAATCGTCTCCCGGGGGATCTTCCTCGAAGGCACCATCCGATCCGCCTTCCTATCCGTGGAAAGGGGGGGGTGGGGCGGTCATGGCGGTGGAGGGCAGGGTGAGGTTGAGGTTTAGTATTTTGAGTGATAGGAGGGTTGTTGAGCCGTATGGGGCGGACGGAGGGGAGGGGGGGAAGAGTGGGGAGGAATTGGGTGTATAGGTGGGTGGATGGGGGGAGGGGAGGGGAGGAAGCTGGTGAGGGGGAAGGACGGGGGGAATGGATGGAGGTGGTTAGTCCGGGGGGTGGAGGGTGGGGGGTTGATGATGAGTGATATGTCTGAGATGGATGATGATGGATCTGTGTTTTGACGGCTTTTGGAGTTATTGAGGTGATGTAGGAGTTGAAGTGGATGAATTTAAAGCCAGAAGTCGTCGGCAGATTGATGCTGGGACCTGGATTAGGGCTACGGATCAGGCATCCCCGAGGCCGGATCCGACCAGCCGCTATAATACAAATATTATTACTGAACAGCTAATAAATCAACGAAAGCAATTTCAAGTGGGCCTCAATTCATATCTAGACAGATCTTCCAAAAAGTGATCATTATATCATGCCTACCAAGAACCTTCTCAAATAAAGACCCCAAAGCATATAAACACCCTCAGATGCCTCCCATCACACGCCCCTGTCCCTCTTGATCCGAGTATCAGATCCACTTCCCTTGCTCCATCACCTGCAATCAAACCTTCTATGTTGTCTCTTACTTGTCTCCGCGTCCGCAGTCTGTTGGGCTGATGGGGGTGTAGATGCTGTTTAGTCTGGGTTTGGGGTTGTGGTTTGGGTTGTCGCTGGTGAGCATAGAAGTCAGGGGGTGATTGTTGAGGGTTGATGATCTATGGGTTAGTGTAACCAGAAGTCTGTGAGGTCTCGAGATTACTCCTCTGTGTAGGGGCCACGACGCAATACAAAGTCTGATATATGACTTATCAGATATTCTGGTTGCTTTGGGCATGTACAAAGTCAACACTTACTCTAAACCTAGTTTGACTTAATGCCTTTTGCATCTCGCATAAAGAGCATAAGTCCCTACTACAGACCTGGATATACAACTCTGTGTACTCCGTACCTATCTTACCTAAATAAGATGTTATCCGCGGAGTATATAGTTCAAACCCAGCTAAGTGATCTACTTGAGCATCTAAGCAGTGACATTCATAGCTCTGACATAGACACTCCTTATTTTAAATCATTATAACATCCTCCTCCTACACACAATTAGAACATGAAACCCTTTCTTCCAGTATATCCTGATAGCTGACACCTAAATATATATTCACAACACCTGCCCCCCCCCAACACACCCCCTTTATTGAGTGACAACTTAATAATCCTATACTAAAAATCCATACCACCCGCCATGCCCAATATATATCTCCCACATCCCTATCAACCGGCATGCCATCCGCCGACACAATCTCCTCCGATTCGACCAGCACCCAGCTTATCTTCCAAGTTATGTGCAACCACCCCGTAAGCCGCATACACAGTGTACTGTGTACTGTCACAGGACTCTGCATGGCTGGCTAAGTGGTAACTATGTTGTGTATACTCCGTACTCCGTATGGCAACCGGTAGTATGCGCCGCCGTACTCCGTACCGCCTGCAACATTCCTCACCCGAGGTCCGGCGCGCTCCCGCTGACCCGACCGGGTGCCTGACTGCCTCAGGCATCGAGTACTGATGTATCACCGATACTGTAAGCTTACATTTAGTACCAGGGCGATACATGTATGATACACCAGCACCGTCCCTTCTTCAGTGGGCGGCACCCCCAATCAATTACCCTGGATTCGATTTCCCATGATTATGCTACGCTCCTGCAGATATACATACTTCGTTGTGATCCATGTGTTTAACAGAGAGCATCGCCATTGCGTCCAGCAGCAACAGCAACAGCACCGCAGAAGCAGGAACCGGGTGTTTCAACGGGGGCCCGAGGCCGGCATCCCTGCCCCAGCTGCATGCTTAAATGAGCAGGCGGTTGGCGGTCGCCGTTCAACCGGGACACTGGCCGGTTACGTAATGCTGCTGGAGGATATCTCGATCAATCATGGATCATCTACCTAAGCACAGAGGGGGTTGAGGGAAAGGAGGGGAGAGGGAAAGGGGGGGGGAGGGAGAAATTAAAACCAGTAGTCATAATTTAGGTCGCAGAATTTGCCCCCCTCTTGGGTAGGAGGAACCAACCCTCCTCCCTCCAGATCCAGGTATAAGTATCTAGAGGATGCCTTCATGGGATGGAGTCGAAAAAAAAAAAAAATAGGGGACGGACGGGTGCGGAAGGGAACAGACAGACGAGACAGACAAGACAAACAGCAACACAGCACAGCACCCGGACGATAACAACCAGTGCATTCCCTCGCTAGCGCTGATGGGGGTGGGAAATTTTTGTCCAGTCCGGTTTCGAGCCCGCGGAAGGTTTTCGTGGTGGTGGTGGTGTGTGGCCGCCACCCACACCCACACCCACACCCGCACACACACCACAAACCCCCAACCCCCCCCTCTCCTCTCAAGTGAGCCAATTTCTCTGATCTATCCAAAAGATATATAACCCGCGCACCACCCTCGGACGGAAGACAGATCTGGCAGACAGGAATGGAAGGGGGGGGGGAAGTACGGACAGCTACGGCGAGCTACCCTGCTAGCTTGAGAGAGCTTCGGAAGACTCACGCCGGACGAGCCGGGTTGTCCCAAAACGGGGGGATACCCAAAACGATGAGTCGGTGAGGCATTTCCCGAGGCAAGAGCGACGCTTCGCAGCAGCCAGCAGCCAGCAGCAAGCAGCAAGCAGCAGTAGCAGCAGCAGCAGCCAGCCAGCTCCTTCCAGCCGACGAGGACAGGACCAAACCTGCTTGCGTCTCAGTTTCCCTCCCTGTCCGGGTGAAGTGGAGCCACATGCCCGATTCGGCCCGGTTTAATTGCGACCGAGAAGCTGGCCTGAATTCGAGCTTCCAATTGAGCCCGCTGATAGGCTGTTACCCCGACACCGAGTGGGTCGGGCCCCACTTGCGCGGATCCAGTTGGATGCAGCGATCCACTGAGCCGGCCGGCCTGGTTTTTTGTGCGCCCTCGCCAGCTTCGTCTCATATTTTTTTTTTTTTTGTTTTGTTTTACATACCGTAGACTGTCCCCGGCGAGAAGAAAGGGAGGGAGAGCCAGCCCTTCCGTAGCCCGGGAGGCCGTGGGAGGAGAGCCAATTTATATGTAAGGAAGAATGAAGGGCGTGGGAGGGGGAATGCGGTTGGCCTGCACCAAAGGAAGGGAGGATGGATCGGATCCACCGTGTAAAAAATTACAGAATACCAAACGACCCCATCAGCGAGTACCTCCAGCTCCATCGCGGACCAGCGCGGCCAGGCAGGACCCTGAGACCATTGGCTGGACCAGCAGCAGCGGCCCTTGGCCCCATCCCGAGGGAACCCGACTGAGGGCATGCGGCGTACGAGCTGGGTAACAGGCTGGGTAAAGGGCAGGTAAGAGGCAGGTAAGATAGGGATGGCCAGCAATACGGCGGTACAGGACGATACCAGGCGTCAGGGCCAGGTAGGGCTTTTTGTGTGTCCCAACAAAGCGCACTAACACCCGACGGGGGGGCTGGGTGGGAAAAGGGCAAAAAACCGCGAAAATTTAGCGGGAGAGTATTTATGTGCCGGGCGGCCGTCTGTTGTCACTTTTCCTCCAGCTTTTTCCCTCCAGATAAAAGTTCTCCTCCTCCTTCCTTCCCACCCCCCATCCCATCTCACGAAGAATCCTTTCTCTTCACCACCACCACCACCACCCATCACAATGGCCTCCACTCGTGTCTTCGCCTCTCGCCTGGCCTCCACCATGGCCGCGTCCTCCAAGGTCGCCCGCCCTGCTGCCCGTCTGCAGTTCGCCCCCAAGCGCACCTTCACCACCCAGCGCCAGGCCGTCCCCATGACCCCCTTCCAGACCGTCAAGCGTCAGTCTCCCTCCGGCCTCCTCCAGGCCAACGCCCGCCAGGTCTTCGCTGCCCAGCAGGCCCGCCGCCAGTACTCCTCCGAGATCGCCGACGCCATGGTCCAGGTCTCCCAGAACCTGGGCATGGGTTCCGCCGCCATCGGTCTCGGTGGTGCCGGTATCGGTATCGGTCTCGTCTTCGGTGCCCTCCTCCTCTCCGTCTCCCGCAACCCCGCCCTCCGTGGTCAGCTCTTCTCCTACGCCATTCTGGGCTTTGCCTTCGTTGAGGCCATCGGTCTGTTCGACCTGATGGTTGCCATGATGTGCAAGTACGTTTAAATTATGAACACCCGCGCGGAACAACACATGAATATCGCGGTGTGAGGACCGAATTTTACAACAATCCCGGTCTTTTTTTTTCTTTCATCAACAACCACCCTCCCAGCTTGAGACGACGGAATGCTTTTTTTCTCTCTTGATTTCTGGAAGGAAGTTTGCATCGTTTGCAAGCTGCGAAGACCGAAGAAAAGATCGATATTCTTGGGAAACGAGGGATTCATGCCGTGATAGGAGGTAATTCAAATTTGTGGTGGTCTTTTTATATATCATGTACTACTTTTCCCGTCATCATCTACCAACATCAAATACACTGTACATATAGAGTTTAAAATGGCCACTAAACTCCACGGAGAACCCCCATTCCATGTGCTTTGCCATTTGTCACCAGTTCTTCTGCTGGCATTTCTCTCTCTTTCTACTTTCTTATCATCATCATTTTCAGCCGGAGTCAGCGTTGTACTTTCTTGGTTGGTCGTTTTTCTCACGCGTCGGAATTCCACAACCAAAACAAAACCTGGGGTAGTAAGAGATTCTAGTCGGTGCTCGGTCCAGCTCGAGAACAGATGTGGCCTTTGAGCATCGAATTCTAAGCCAATGATCGTATGATCACGGAGGACGAGCTTGATTGAGCTTGATTGAGCTGAGCTGAACTGAGCTGGCCAAAGCAAGCAGGCAGAGCTATCGACCTACAGACCATACTACGGAACACCCTCCAGTGTGTGAGACTTGAGAAGAAAGTGAGTGAGTGTCCGGCAGAGCTTGATGCCAGCTGTCGAAAACGAAACCTCCGGACCCTCCGGGGAGAGCTCACCAGCTCACCAGCTCGCTCCTTCTCCCTTCCCATGCCCACTCTTCCTTCCGCGTCCCGGGCGTCAAGCGTCAAGGGGCGGGCAGAAGAAACCCCAACCCTCAAGTGCAATTGCAATTGCAGGACCCCAGACCGACTCAATGGATTCATCCAAATTCCTGACGACAAGCTCACGCACCCCCCCAACACGCGACCTGGCTGGCCGTTGCCCTGGCAAAACCAAATTCTTCTCTGGTTGTCTCGTCTCAAGGGCAACCGACCGCCAGCCCAAAACCATTGGGTGGGTGGATAGTGTGTACGGTAGGTAATGTTGTTGTAACAGTTCGATTCCAGTGTAAACGTCACCGCGGATGTGACCGATCGGGTTTGCCTGAGGTGTGTCTGTGCAGACGGCAAGGTTTACTACCAGATAGTCTACTCTGTCGAAGAAATTCTTTTCTCTCGAGGTCGGGATGCTATCAACAGGGTTGAGCTGCTGCAGTAAGTATGATTGATGCATTGGTACTCCGTACTATTGACTATTGCTTGGGGATATCATGAATGTTGTTGAGCTGCCGACGCCGGCGGACTAACGCTGCGCCAAGCCGATGGTGTCGGTGGCGATCTGGATCGTCTCTGTGTTTCTCTCTCTCTCTCTCTCTCTCTCTCTCACAGTCTTTTCCAGGGGAAAGGAAATCGACTGGGAGAGGGATGGAACGTTCAGCATGTGTGGAATTGGTGATAAACAGAGGAGCCATCGATTTGAGTTGTCGAGATGATTCATGACTGTTGACGATGATGGTCCGTCCGGCGGGACCTGACCTGGGAACGAGTCCGGTACGGCGTGTACGGTATGGTGGTAAGGTATGCGTTCCGTATGGTACTCGGTACACTGGTTACGCGGACAACATGTGACCTGTATGTATGTACGGCTGGGCATGTGACCTCGGGGGAGTTGCCGCGTCGGGTTGAGTCGGTTGGGTGGCTGATTAAGGAGTAGAATGGAATTAACTATTCTATCTTTCTTTGTTTGGCAGTTCTGCTGTCGGTGTTCTTAATGTGATGTTTGATCTCATGTCTTTCATCAAGGAATATATCAAGTAGGAGATAGCTTCATCGTAGCAATCCCCATCAATCAAGATGACAACTACTACCACCACCACCTAACTATCCCGACACCACACCCGGAATATATCCTCTCTTCCGCTTCCCGATCCCACCCGATCCGCGCCGACATCCTCATGGCGAGAATAATTCCCGGACCAGTACCGTACATCATAACTCCCCCATTCACTAGTTACAATCTATCTACGTACAGAGTACTCGATACAGTGAATAGCACCAGATCCATCCCATCAACCACACCACTAAAAAAAAAAAAAGAAAAAAGAAAATGTCCCCCGAACCAAAATACTCCCCCCAAGACGTCCCCTTCATCAAGAAAGGCCGGAACCGCCTCGCCGGCACCCGCATGAAGCAGCTCCTGCGGGCCGCGGAGCGCGCGCACGATGACCCCCCTCCGCAGTCTGGGGAGTGCTGTGGGAGCGCGTGCGATCCGTGCGTGACGACCCTGTGGGCGGAGGAGCTGGCCGTTTGGAGGGAGAGGTGGGGGGAGGGGGCGGTGGAGGATGCAGCCGCAGCTGTAGCTGATTCTGGGTCTGGGGTTGATAAGAAGTCTGAGGGGGAGGGGGGTTGTGCAGTGAAGATGAAGATGCCGGGGGGGTGGGAGTGGTGATTCTGCCACATGCTTGGCCTCCTTACCTTCCTGCGTCTTTTAGCTTAAAGAGGAGGGGGGTTCAAGCCATGAGAGGCAATAATTAAGGCGACCAGGGCATGGTAAGTTAGTCCTTAGTGAATCACTGTGGTCTTGGAAGACCTTGACTGATGCTAATATTTCTGTAGGTGGATGATGTCGTCGTGGCTTGACGGCTTAGGGCTGCCGTGAGCCCCGTCCTGTCTTTGGCACGGAGGGTATTTTACTCACCTCGGGGCACTCCAGCTCTTCATCGAAAGAGATTCGAGCTGGCCGTGGGCAGATGATCTGCTGTTCATGGCCTCGACTGTCGGTGGTCTGTGCAAAGATAGCAGTTCTGAAGAGTCTACGACGAACTCAGAAGACGACATACGAGCACAGCTGATACACTGGACTATTAATGGGGAGATGACCATGATATGCAATTGACATGTTACAAAATCATACCCAAACGACAATCCCCCGGCAACCATACAGTCCAGTCTGACATCTTGAAACGATCTTCCTCCGCTTCTAGTTCACATCCATGCGCAGTCAAGCCACACTGACCTCCGTCCCAACGGGCACCTTAGCCCCATACTCCAGCACCAAGCGGACATCCTTGCCCGGCTGCAGACGAACCATCCACTTGACCTCGCCATTCTGCCCCAACCGCGCCGTCCCGTCCACCGGCTTCTCCGGCGTCAATTTCACCTCATCGCCCTCCTTCTCCAGCCCCTTCGGCTCCACAATCTGCACCTTCAGCCTCTCGTCATCACTCACAGGCACCTGATCCAGCACCGTCACATCCACCGCATTCGCCTTGGTATTCTTCACCCAGCACACGCGCCGAAACACTGCCGCATCCTCCTTATTGAAGAACCCGCCGCTCACCCGCCGCACTGTCGGCTTGCCATACGTCACCTGGATGGCTGGATCCACGCCCAGCGACAGCGTGAACGAGTCCTTGGGCGCGCAGCTCGGCACCTGCGCCGCCCCCAGGAACGTCCCGTCGATCGTCATCCCCACCTTTCCGCGCAGGATGCTCACGCTCGAGGTGTTCTTGATCTCCGCCCGCAGGAACGCTGCGGCTCGGTGCTTGGGGACGATCACGTATGCGAGCGTCATGGATTGAAGGTCTAGTTCGGCTAGAACGTGGCGACGGGCAACGCTGGAGGGTGCGAGGGTCCGACGGCCTGGGAGCTCGTATGTCGTTGTCAGGCCGTAGTCCTGTTTGACGGAGTCTTGAACTTCCAGGCTCGGTGCGGCGAGTCCTTCATCTGCACCGTCGTCGGCGTCGTCCTCCTCGTCGTCGTCTTCGGATTCGGGCGCGTCTCTGTTCGGGGTTGGAAGTTGTCTTGCCATCGCCATCATCACTGGTTGAGAATGGACTTGAACTGCTGCTGTCTGTTGCACCGGCTGCGCATTACTGAAAGGATTCACGCTCTGTGGTGGTGCTCCTCCAAACAGACTTGGTCTCGCCTGTCCATTCGGGGGTTGACTCGCCGCCGCTCCAAACAGACTCCCAGACGGGGCTGCCTGTCCAAATGCCGGGGAACTCCCCGGTGCAGCCGGCTGAGCAAACTGAGCAGATCCCGTGGCCTGGCCAAAGAGAGGCTTCGAAGCCGCTGTTCTGCGCCGTGTCGTCGCCTGCTGAATCGCCTGGACTGGTGCAGGCTTGACCTCCGCTCCACTCTTCAGGATATTCTCCCACGACGTCTGCTCCCTGCCCCCCTTGTCCATCGTGTCCACGACCACACTCCACGCCTGCAGCGAGGGGATCTTCTCCCCCAGCCCGGCAAACGACGCCTGCGACGTCGACAGCGTCACCTTGGCGTCCCTCCACGTCTCCGAACTGACATTATAGAACTCCGCCCGATACACCATCTTCGCGGCCGCCGCCGGCGTGTTGATACTCAGGTCATACCGCGGCGACCACGACGACCCCGGAACCACATAACTGAGGCGCAACACCACCTCTCCTGCATCCTCCTCTTTCCTCTCGACAACAACAGCAGCAGCAGCAGCAGAAGGACTGACCACCGAGCTCCGCCGACTCGACCCAGGCGTCATCCCCATCCCCATCCCCTCCAAATGAACAACCACCTGCCCCACAACCGGCAACCGAAACTTCTCCCTCTCCCTCTTCTCCCTTGTCCTCCTCTCCTCCCTCTCCCTCCTCTCCCTGGCCTTTCTCTCTCGCTCCTTCCTCACCCCCTTCAACCTCCGGTTCTTCTCCCTCTCCACCCTGCCTTCCAACCGCTCCACCCGTCCCCTCAACTTCTCCCCCTCCTTCTCCCTCTCCCGCACCTCCACACTCGCCAGGTGATACTTCTCGCCCTCGATCACCCGCTGCGCACTGTACATCTCCATGAACTCGCGCAGAGTTGCCACATCCACCGCTCCACTTCCCATTCCTGTTCCTGCTCCTGTACATGTGACGCCTCTGCCAGTCATATCCTGACTCTGCCGATCCAAAAACCCAATCACCTCCGCCGCAGTATCCCGTCTATCCCTAGCAAGCATATACGCCGCCTCCGCGCGCGCGAAATCCGCTTTTGCGGTTTTCAGCGCCATCCGCGCTTCATTCCCACCGTTCTCATCGTCAGTATCATCTGCATCGGAGAAGGTATCCGAGTCGGAAGAAGAAGAGGACGACGACGACGACGACCACCCATCTTCGCCGTCCGAGTCTGATACTGTGGAACGCGGAAGAAACTCCGTTTGGATGTCGGTGATGGTTGCGGGCCCGGAGCCTTCGATGCGGATGGAGTCTGTGTCCACGTGTCGGTTTAGGCCGTGGATGGTGATTTGGTTGGGGCCCGGCTGTGGGAGGGGGGTTAATGATGTTTGCTTCTCTGTATCTAGGTGGGTGGGTAGGCTATTTGGGGTTTTGGTTTGGGGGGGGATTACCTGGATGGAAATGGGGATCTCGCGGGTGATGGTTGCGCGGGAGGGGTGGAGGGTGACGGATTTGGTGGGGAGGGAGGACAGGGAGATGGTTTTGCGGGTGAGGTCGGTCATTTTCTTGGTTTTCTGTTTCTTTTTTGGGTCTTTGGGTTGGGGGGTGGTGGTAGATCCCACTATGCAGTAACTTGATGAAATAGATGAATAGAATAGATCTATGGATGAATGAATGAATGAAACCGATGGTAAGGGTTGTTTAAATAGCATTTCTTAGGCCGCGATGAGGCCGTAGCCTGTGCCACTGTGCCACTGCGTATCCCCCCCCCCTTCGTTCACAGCCTTGTGGTCTTGGGATACTGATTGGTCCGCTGTGAGACATTCTGATCGGGCGGGTTTCGCGCCCAGACCCTGCGCCACACCAGCAAAAGCCCTGATTGGTCTGTGGGGAGTGCGCGGGGGGTGTGAGTCAGGCTGGGGATATCGGACTTAGGGCTGCGGATGCCTGAGGCTGTCATTCCGGGATTGGTTTGGTGGAGAATGTATGAGTTCTGGTTGTTCTGTTGGGTGGTTTGTTTGTATATTTGAGTGTTGATGGGTAGGTCGAGCGGCAGATTATGTTGTATTTACGTTGAGTTATTGTGGCTCTGGGTGTTGGGTGTGAGTTGTACTGGACTGGATATATATATTGTTAGAACAACATGGCATGGGATATAGTGACGGGTTAATGGTGGCGCTTGGGGATTGCATTACCCAGAGACGATCTTCCCCTTACTACAGATGCTGGGGGGAATGGGGGCAAGAACAGAGACCTACTTCGACAAGGCCGTGACATGGTCAAGTGTGTTGAAGTCAGGGAAGGAGAAAGCAGGATATAGTATATCCAGATATCTTCAACTACTAGTGTACCATCTGAGAGATAAATGACTGTATCTTACGAGGGGAATATGTAATATGTGCTATTTGAGATTGCGGAAAAAGAGAAATATTTATGGTTGTAGATTTGGAACCTTGTAATTAAGGATGGAGAGATGATGAGGAAGAGGTAGAAGTGTGTTGTTACAAAGGGCCATACCTACATAGAATGCTAGTGTCACAATACAACCATTGAAATCTACAGGATAGATTGCAATAAATATGATCAATTGATGATTAGGGCTATATGACAAAGAATGACGCTGAAGCTATAGACAAGTCCAGGGAAGCCGCAGAAAAGACCAGGATCAAGATCAATCAACAGCACGGGCACCAAGGTAACTAACCAGGTCAGACAAGACCCTCACTGCCCAGATCATCAGCATGAGCGACTGAAGACCAGATAGAATGTGTGAGATACATACCGTTTAGTGAGTGTGCTCGCTGTCCGAAGCCTGGCCGTTCTTGAACTCCTCGTCGCCACCGCTCTTCTGGCTGGAGCCGCTCTGCCACTCCTTGACGTCGTGGTCGTACTTGGTGTCATCCTCCTTGCCGGAAGAGTAGTTCTGGGACTCCTGGCCACCGGCCTTGTGGCCCTCCGCTCCGGAGTTCTGGTGCTCCTTGTCGGAACCGCCCCAGGAGTTCGAGCTCTCGTGGGGCTTCTCGGAGCTGCCCCAGGATTGTCCGGTGGTGGTCTCGATCACGTTGTTTCCGACGCCCCAGCCACGACGCTCGATGTTCTGGGTCTGGGCGTAGTGGTCGCCGGAGACTTCGATGGTGGGGGCTACATGGATTAGACATGTGTGGATGGGGATGTGATGGGTTAGTCGCTTACCGTTCTTGGCACCACCGTGTCTGCCAGAGCCCTCGCGGCCCTCACCGCGGGAGGGGTACTCGCCCTGAGGGTATCCGCCCTGAGGGTAGCCACCCTGGGGGTATTCGCCCTGGGGGTAGGCGGGAGCCTCGTCACCGTAGCTGCGAGCGATCTTGCGGTCCCCTGCGAGGGATTAGCATGTCATGACCATGAGGGGTGACAGAAAGGGGAAGAAGTACCAGTGGCGGGGGCAGCAGCAACGAGGCCAGCGACGGCGAGGAGGGAGAAAACAGCGGAGACCTTCATCTTGATGGTTGGTTGATTGAAGATTGGAAGCGACGAGGCTTGGGCTTGAAAGTGAAGGGCTGAGAGGGCTGAGGAGTGCTGAAGAGAGAAGCTTGATGGTGATGAAGAAAGGACTCTGAGGGCGAGGATGGAAGGCCTCTTTATACATTTCCCTTACGCCATCTCAGACACAACGACGCAATGGATGCTCTGCCCTATTTCGCCAGGAGATCTGACATGTGGCCTGTCGGGCAGTGCCATTGATCGACCGAGACGAATCCGGCCAGACCGCTGCGATTGCCCCCCGGCCAGAACGTCGTGGATCTGACTAATATTGGTTGGCTGCGCAGCCGATGACAATAATTGCTGCTGAATCTGTGGTTCTATCACCAATAGTCGAGGGATATCTATGCATGATGCTCCACGGTTGTGCCGAACGGGTGAGTATTGTGTCGATAGAGTCGGATTTGTTTACCGAAGAATGAACGGGTACCTGACGTCTCAATCTGACACAGACGATGCGTTCCGTCTCTGGCCAGGATCTCCAGTTCATCGCGAAACCTGAACCCTAATTAGTCTGCCGCTGCAGCCAAGATGCTCGACCCCGGATTCCGCCCTCATGCAAGGGATCCGCCACATTCAATGTTACGCGGTCTCCCGCCCTCGATGGATGAATCGATCGAGATATCTCGCGGTGGCTGCTGCGGCAAAAGGGGTTTGCCCCGGATTGGGCTGACCCCGGGGTCTCTGTCATGGCGATGGACGTTGCCCCCCTGTCTATCCCAGTTGCCACCGTCTACCCCTGGATATGGACTCCGATCTGTCATGCGGTTTGTTCTGATCTAGGCCATACTCTTCTGCTGATTTGGACTTGATGACTACCCACCGAGGCAAAAGGCTATCCAGAGTCGTGTCGCTCGGACCTGGCAAATCTAGAAAAGCAACCCCCTACTCGATCTCTCAGAGTTTGTACAAAGAAGAAAGAAGAAGATCTCAGAACCAGGAAATCTATTTCCCGAATTACAAATTATACATTCACATCTAGCTTCTAGTTATACAATCGCCTTGCTTCCAAGTACCGGCCTGCAAGTCATCGATATTCTTGACCACCCGAAACCATCGCCAGTCATCCTGCATCCCCGAAATTCAGCTAGACTCCACGGTGTTGGTATACCAGCCATCCAGCCTCGATGCTGACATGAGCAGCATTTAGAGAACACTAGCAACAGCAACCATTAGCACATGCTCAGTCTGAGTATTGACGATCGTAGAAAACTCACTCCTCGTTCAAGTCCTCAGCCAAGGCCACCGCCCGAGTTGCCCGAGCCTCTTGCAGATTAGTTGCGCTTGATGTTCTGGACCTGCTCGTTGACGTGGTCCAGAGTGGCTCCGTTCTCGGTGCCCTTGTTCTCTCCGTAGCGGCTGGGCTCCTCGCGGCCGGAACCGGAACCAGGAAGCACCTTGCCGACGACTCCGTCGAGAGGACCGCCGCGCTTCAGGTGGAGCTTCTCGAGCTGCGCGTTGACATCGATGAGGTGGACATCGTTGAGAAGACCGTCGTTCTTGCCGACCTGGTTGGCGTTGTTGTTGCCGCTGTGGTCATCGTGCTCCTCGGTGGGCCTACCCCAAGGGGCATCATCTCCACCGCGCTTCACGTGGATGTCCTGGACCTGGGCGTTGACGTCGGCCAAGTGAGCGTCGTTAAGGACACCGTCGTTCTTGCCGACCTGGTTGGCGTTGTTGTTGCCGCTGTGGTCATCGTGCTTTTCGGTGGGCTTGTCCCAAGGGTTTCCACCGCGCTTCAGGTGGAGCTTCTCGACCTGAGCGTTGACATCGATCAGGTGGACGTCGTTGAGGAGGCCGTTGTTCTCGCCGACGCGGTTGGCATCGTTGGAGCCGCTGTGGTCGTCGTGGCTCTCAGACTTCCTGGGCTCATCGTCCCACGGGTTTCCGCCGCGCTTCAGGTGGAGCTTCTCGACCTGAGCGTTGACATCGACCAGGTGGACGTCGTTGAGAATGCCGTCGTTCTTGCCGACGCGGTTGGCATCGTTGGAGCCGCTGTGGTCGTCGAACTTCTTGTCGGACTCATCGTCCCAGGGGTTTCCGCCGCGCTTCGCGTGGATGTTCTGGACCTGGGCGTTGACATCGGCCAGGTGGGCGTCGTTGAGAATGCCATCGTTCTTGCCGGTGCGGTTGGCCTCGTCCGAGTCGCTGTGGTCGTCGTGACGGGTGGGCTTGTCAGAGCCGTCGTTCCAAGGGGATCCGGCACCGCGGCGATTGATGGTCTGGATCTGCTCGTTGACATGGTCCTGCTTGGAGCCGTTGAGCACGCCGCTGTTCTTGGGCTGACCGTCGTGGCTGGGAGCCACGCTGGCGGCGGCGCGGTCAGAAGAATCCACTCCCATGCCATCGCCGCGGGGGACTGTCATCAAACGCTGTCAGTATCGACCAGCTGTGTTCGCCGAGTCTGGCCAGATACGTACCAAGGATGGGGGACGCGGCAGCCATGCCAGCGGCGAAGAGGCACAAGACAGGAGAGAACTTCATCTTGATCGGTTCGGTGCGGAGCGAGAACTGGAGACTGAGACTCGGGGAGAGCGAGAGCAGGATTGTTCTGAGCGAGGCGGTTGATGGTAGAGAAAAAGATCCTTGAACAGCGAGACTCAAAGCCCCTTATATACCCATCTCCAGGCAACTTGCACAGCATCCCATTTCCGTATCCTGAGCATCCCATGTCTCAATCCCGACAGAATATCTGACACTGACATCCATGCCTCCCCGATCCAACCCTCCAGGTTACACGACACGCCAATATATTCCCCCCAAAGACTGGTACAACGAGATGTACGACCCCAATAATCGAACCGATCCTGCCAAGGACCGTCCTACTTACGGTAGCATCAGATTCCAAATCCACGAACCATCAATCGGACATGTGCCATCAGCCCCTGAAACAGAAGCCACGCCCCCGCCACGTGCGCCGCCCGGAATCAATATACCGAGTGCGAAGCAGGGCGGGAAACAAATGAATAAAGACGCAGGCACCCCTTGCATGCTGCCCCACTGGGTCTGCCCATCGCATCTTGGAATATCTAAGATCTACGGAGGCAGAGAATCGTCTACCGCGATGCTTTCAGTAAGAAGTCGGCCTCCACAATGATAGACTCCTCCCCACTGGGCATTCGCTCGGTATAGGATCCTCGGTTCGGTCTTCCAGGTCACATATAGTAAGTACCCCATCCGTTCGTACCACGGCACAACGCATACCTGACCCTTGCCGAGCAGCGTGTCCAGAATGGCTATCTTGTTCATCTCGATGTAGTATTGCTTGCTGATTGCGTTCACCGCCACCTATTTGCGTTCTGCGCTGCCGTACGGTTCTGATCTCGCTAATTGCTTCACTTGCTCTATGGTCTGGCGACCGACTCCGCTGGTGGTACTCCGTATTCGGAGAGGATGAAGAACGTCTGGATGGTCACGATGGATCGGTCGGGTTTGGGTGAGCCCCGCGTCAGGGGGATCGGCGTACAAGTCGAATGAGATGTGACCTGCGCGGATGGGGCTGTTGGTGGCGTTCGGGTTGGGGATGGCGATCCAGAATAGGGATTTCAGGTTCGCGGCTTGCTTGGCTCCCCAGGATAGGAGGTGCGGGTCGGAGAAGTGCCAGCCGCTGATTTGGCGTTGGCGTTGGAGTTCGTTGTAGTCGTGTGCGTGGAAGAGGTTGACTGGGGTGAGGGTGAAGGTCATCGTGGTGGTGTTGGAGGTGTGAGGTGGAAATGCAGGTTGGCTGGGGATGGGTATTCACTGGGATTGAGCAGCCCTTAGTGGGAATACCACATGTCTGGTGATTATACTGTCGACTGGACGGAAAGAAATGGCATTTGGTCACTGTTAATACCCTCATCTCGGCCGTACCTAGAGCCCTCTTACTTTCTAGGGTTCTGATGATTTTGTCCCTAACTACATCCCTGGTCCAGGGCAGCGCTAGCCTCGTATGAGATAAAATTCCCAATCAGATGCGATTGCGGAAACGAATGGAGGCCTCCATACTCAACTGATCGTTGGATCGCTCGGAATCCTTCATCCTCTCGCCACAGTACAGTACTCGTGTAAATCTTTATCCCATGACTGGATGGAACGAGGTCCTAGAGCCTCAAAGCCATGGATCCATCCCGTTATTTTGCTACCCGGAGACATGATGTAAATAGACTTGATAATTAGCAAGCGTGGCGTGCTCCATTCATCCAAATATGCCCACATCGAACTGAAGCTGTCAGATCACAGTCATGAGGTTGTCTCAGTTCTGCTCCACTTGTGTCATGTTCATGGAGACTTCCGAGGGAGGCGAGGATACAGAAAGAAGACCTTCTCTGAATCTTGATCGTAAAGTGTAAGCTTAATTAAGGGTCTTCGCGAAGGGGAGGGGGGGGGGCACGGATTTTATATCCGTCGGCTCGTCCACAGTTTATATTCCACTGCCAAATAGCACGAGGCAATCTTTGGCAACTCCCGTCAGTCCATCATCTCTCAAACAAGCCATGTCCTCTGTCCGGTCCAACGGAGTTCTCAGCTCCTGCGAACCATGCTGGAGGTCCAAGGTGCGATGTGACCACGCCGTCCCCTGCAGTCGATGTCGGTGCAGGCGCAAACCAGCCCTCTGCGTGTTTCTCTCCGCTCCGATGACCCGGAGGATCGGAGGGGGGAGGAGGGCACAGAAGCATGAGCAGCAGCAGCACCAGCGAGCAAGGAAATGCAACAACATTCACTGACGATCCCACCGCCACCCCGACAGAATACTTCACCTCCCTCCCCAGCCGGTGGGAGACCATCGGGCTGATATTCTCCGTCCTCTGCATCGGCGCACGTCTTCTCCCCCGACACGACTTGCCACGCCATCCCAGCACGACGATCCACCCTTTCTTTCGATCTGAGCACCGAAAGCGTCCCCTCGTCGCGGTGTATTGTATGGATAAAGGTCTATGTACCTTCCTCGGTCGGCCGCCGCGGATTGTAAAGCGTTTCATTAACACCGATCCGCCGGTGGATGTCCCGTTGGAGACTGTCATGGGTGGTGATTCTGATGCGGTGGTGGTCGGGGTGGCTTCGACGGGATGGAACAAGCGTGGCGTTTTCACGAGGGGATCGTATACGCGGGTTGTGGAGGTTTCGCTGACGGATTATCTCCAGGGTGAGGAGTTGGTGCGGAGTGTTGAGTATGGACATCCATCCATCCATATACCTATCTGTTTATTATCATGTCCTTGGTTTGGAGTTTAACATCTTCGTGAAGGGAAATATGCTCCCAGCAGCGCAAATCCGCAATTCCCTTCCAGCAGGGCTATGCCGCATCAGCAGCACAGAGGACTTCGAGCGCGACCCAGAGACGAGTAAAGTCTCGCTGTGTCTGCATATGGGATCTGTCAGCAGGCGAGAAGGGTCTGTCATTCGACATATCCTTGATCGGGTCTCGGAGGGGCCGCTTCTGAGGGGGACTGACTAAAACCGAATGCAGGCAGGCAGGCACTGACCGTCCCCCCCGCGGGCATCCCCGACGATCCCAGGGGCTGCTGCGAACAGGGCAGACCCCATTGGCCTGGTTTGAGGCTGGTGGGCCTCGAGTGGAGCATTGCATCATGAGTGAGAATGACTCATGCCGGCTTGTCGTCGGCCGGGCGCTTGGCGGGGAGCGGTTTAGTGGCCTTTCCACCCTGTCTCATACCGTATCATTTCGACTCAGGATGGGATGGGGGGATGGGGTTGTGAGTCGAGATGATGGGTGTGATGTGTGATATATATCCATCTGTGTAGCAGCAATGGCAATATTAAGAGATACCTTCACCAGACAGAAATGACTTGGCTCAGAATCAGAGCTGGATGGTGTCAGTGTCCCTCCACTTCCCCATCCCCCAATGATACACCATCTGACCGTCCTGCTGGATGCATGATAAGTTATCTGAGCTGGGTAATGAGGTTGGCTAACAGACATCAACCAGGAATCCCTCGAAAGATAAGGTGTCTAGCGTAGTCATGTAATTTAATTCATGTCCAATGCCTGTACTGTACATCCATCCATTCATAAAAGCCAGCAGCCCTAAACCACCGCCCCCCGCCCAGACCCCACACCCGTCCGGACTCCGCCTCCCCATCCGAGGCCTTATAAGCCCTCACTATTCCCCCTCTCCCTGCGCTCTTCCCTCCCACACCCCATCGCCTCGGCGAACGCACTCCTTCCCTCTCTCATTGTTCCGGCTCCCCCGGGTCCCAGGACCCGGCCTTAAGTATACAAGAATGGACGTCGCGGGAATTACCACCATGCACGCCGTCAGGCAGACCGTCAACTTCATCTACCAGGAGCGGCAGGTCCCAGCCGTCGCCATTTGAACACCATCACTCTCATCACTCGCAATACCCTCAATACCCCTACCCCTCCGACCCCTTCTTCCCCCCCCAGACCTCCTTCAACCTTCCAATCCGCCCCTCGACCTCTCCCCCTCCGACTTTGATTTCGACCTCGACCTCGCCCTCGCCTCGTCAGCGTCCTTCCCCCCCGTTGACCCCACCCTTTTCTATGACTCCCCCGCCGACTCCCTCACGGGCTCCGCCTTGTCCAGTCTGAGTGACACCTGTTACGACCAAGATCAGATCCTCGGCTACCCGGACTTGTCCTGCGCCAACCTCATCCCCGTCCCTGGAGCCGATTCGGATGCGATTGCCTCTCTGCTCAGTTCCCCGGATTTGAGCGAGTCGCTGAATCTCTTCCCGTCGCCCGGTGTGCAATCAGTACCAGGTGAGCCTACCCCCCACTGGACACTCCTATCCCTTTTCCGAGAATAGGGACGGGAAAAGAAGAATTGAAAGCTAACTTGACTTTCTACAGACCCCTCTCACCACCCCTCCACCCAATCCCAACCAAACCCCCAAACCCAGATGCCATCGATCAGCTCATCGACATCTCCCTTCGTGACCACCTCCCGAGCCGAGCCCGCTCCGAAAGAACCTCCCAACCGCGTCAAGAAACGGGAGCTGAACACCCTCGCCGCTCGTCGCTACCGCCAGCGTCGACTGGACCGGATGAGCGAGCTGGAGGCGGAGCTCGAGGCCGTGAAGCGGGAGCGCGATGAGCTGAAGATGCGGGTTTCCAAGTTAGAGGGTGAGACGGATGCGCTGCGAAGTATGGTGAAGGTGCAGGATAAGCAGTAATTCTCTCTCTTTTCCTTTTTTTAAATCTTATTTCAATATTGTTCTGCTATTTTGAGTTTTGAGTTGTAGATTGTAGTTTAAGCTCCGTGTATACCTGTCGCCAGGACAGAGGCGGATACATTCAATTCTATGCTCTAGTCTCCCAGCCCCGAGGGCTTGTTTAGTTCAGTCTATCTCTACTCAAACCTCATTCTTATATACACATCCCCCCTGCCAGGGAATGGATACCAAATCCACTCCCCCACCAACGTCACCTGCGACCCACTCCGCACCACCGCCCCCCCCAATCCTCCTCTCCATGACCATCCCCATGTCTCCTCTGATCCCATGTTCCCATCTCCGTCTCCATTTTCACTTCCTTCCCCCCTCGACTTCTCCCCCAACCCTCTCCCCCCCCTTTGAAGCCCCCACAACCAACGCCCTCCCATCCAAATCATCAAACCCGGGTAGAGCCCTCCACAGCCCCGTCCTCACCGCCTCAGCCCCCACCACCACGGTGACCACAAACACAGCGACGATGTACACCGGCGAGCCGAGCCGCCACGCCTCGACGCGTACTTCGGCCGTCACGGGGTGGTGGGATCCGCCGACGACGAGTACGAGGAGAGGATGTCGTCGACTAGGGAGATGATGGCGTTGCGGATGCCGATGAGGTGGATTTCGGAGGGTGGTGGAGTTGAGTGAGGTAGAGGTAGATCTCAATGTAGTAAGGGAGGTATCATAGTCCGAGATACTGGTATTGAAGGCATCGCCAAGAGTCGAGCGATAGAAGGAGGTGTGGATGTGGGGGGCCGCATCGTTGGATCGGGGAGACATCAGGCCATCGATCAAGTGAGTAGAAGGCAGGAGATGCAGGTGCTAGCGATGCTAGGGCCTGGTTGCCGGATCGCGTCGGGGCCACTCGTCGATAGCCTGCAGCCTGCAGCCTGCAGCTTGCATTATTAATCCGCAGCTGATTAATTGCCTCATGGCGCTCTCTCTCTGTCAGCATCTTTGTGCTTACATGCGCAATTCTTTAGATGCCCACGCAAACTAGCCCAATTCTTGGATAACAGCTGACCAGGACCGGGGGGAGGGGGTACAAGTACCACCATAACCCCCCTGCCCTATCTTACCCTGTAATCCCCTCCATCACCACCACCCAAACAACAACACCAACTCCCCCCACCATGCCCAAAGCAATCGTCCTCACCACCCCCCCCACCCCCTCCCTCGTCCTCGACCACCCCTTTCCTCCCCTCCGGGACGGCTGCATCCGCGTCCAAGTCATCAGCGTGGCCCTCAACCCCACCGACTGGAAAGCCGGCCACCGCAGCCCCGCCGGCGTCGCGGTGGGCTGCGACTACGCGGGGATCGTCGAGGAAGTCGGTCCGGGGGTCACCAAGCCCTTCCGCGTGGGCGACCGCGTCTGCGGATCGGTTTTCGGCTGCAACCCCAAGTACCCAGCCGAGGGCGCCTTCGCCGAATACGGCGTGGCGATTGCAGACACCCAGATGGCCATCCCGGATCGACTTGGCTTCCAGGAGGCCGCGACTCTGGGCGTGGGCATCATCACCGTTGGACAGGCCCTGTATCAGAGTCTGAAGATGGCGCCGCCCGAGGCGCCGCTGACCCAGCCCCAGCCCATCCTGATCTACGGTGGCTCGTCGGCGACGGGCACCCTCGCCATCCAGTATGCCAAGCTGTCCGGGTATACGGTGCTGACGACGTGTTCGCCGGGGAACTTCGAGCTGGTGAAGGGGCTGGGTGCGGATCGGGTCTACGACTATAAGGATCCCGGCGCGGCGGAGGCGATTCGCGAGGATACGGCCGATGGGTTGGTTTTGGTCCTGGATACCATCTCGCTGGAGTCGAGCGCGGAGTTCTGCGGACGTGCGATCTCCTCTCGCGGGGGTGACTACTCGGCTCTCAATAATGTGAACGTTCCCCGCGAGGATGTGCGCAGTCGCTTTACTCTGGGGTATACCGTTTCGGGCGAGGAGTATAACTTCCGCGGAATGGTTATTCCGCCCAAGCCCGAGGATAGGATCTTTGCGAGCGAGTTTGTGGATAGGGCGAGTGGGTTGTTGGCGGAGGGCAAGGTCAGGCCGCATCCGTTGGATGTGAGGGCTGGTGGGCTGCGCGGGGTCTTGGAGGGCTTGAAGGAAATGCAGGAGGGGAGGGTCAGTGGGAGGAAGTTGGTGTATAATGTGGCGGATACGGAGTGAGCTGCTCAAGGTGGATAATGTGGATGTGAAGGGTTGGACCAGGATGTACAGAGCTAACATGTATTCGTTCTATGTGGCAGCGTTCGCTAGTGGAATTTCATGCCCCAGATGACTGGCTCTCGAGTATTGAGAGTGTCGCAGATATCATGATCGGAAACTCCATCGAGAGGCCCGTTGGTCGACTGGTGGTTTGCCACGGGAGATGGCGATGGTTGTTTTGCATCTGCGGATAGGGCTGCGTCATAGCGGAACTTGCCCATCAGACTTGGTCTGGCGAGCACTGTCTTGAGAGAAGATTCCCTCAGCTCGGTGATGTAACCAGGCAACAGAAGAACAAAGAAGGCGTATACTACCTACAAGGAAAATAGGCACAATCCCTGGTTGAACACTCCCACGGCCCGAGCCTTTCATCAACCAGGCCATGGATGATGGAATACTCCTCCAAGGTCGACGACAAGCCATAAACTCTCCATGTTTGACACTGTCGCAATAAACCACAGCCAATGCCCATGTTTCTTTGTTCATCCACGGGGGTATCCACCCCCGAAAGAAGGCCATCTCAAATCCTGGACAGGAAACCTCCGACGAGTCTCCGCCTCACCACCAAACAACGGCGCCCTCAAAACAGGAAGATACCCTTTTCGTTTGACTATAAATGCACCCTCCCCTGCCCGAAGGCATCCGCACCCCATCGCCCACCCACCTACCGGCCCCGTAGCTGCCCACCCACATCCGGAGTAGCACCGCGTCCATCTCTCACTCTAGGCCATCTCCAGACCTCCTCTAGATCACCTCTAGACACCCATCCATCTGGTAACTTATCTCGTAACCTACAACCCACCCAGCCCGCCCATCTCGTACATTTCGTACGTCCTCAACTCCACCCTCCCACGCCCAGCATCGCCATCGCCATCGCCATCGCCATCGCCCTCCCCCTCCCCATACAACAACCACCCACCATGGACTCCGCCATCCAAACCCTACGCAACACCTTCCCACCCCCCCAGGTCCTCGTCCCCACACACTCCCTCTACACCCTCCTCAACAAATCCTACCACGCAGGCCAACAAGCCGACCACCGCCCCGCGGCCATCTTCCTCCCGCGTGGCCGCCAGGACGTCGTGCGCTTCATGCGCCTGATGAAGCCCTTCTTCGTGCAAGGCGACATCACCCTCGCCATCCGCAACGCCGGCCAACAGCTCACCGCCAACTGCGCCAACATCCACAACGGCATCACCATGGACCTGTGTCTGCTCACGGGCATCCGGTTCCGGGCTCATGATAACATCGTAATGATTGGAGCGGGGGAGAGATGGGGACTGGTCTATGAGGTTCTGGCCGGTTTGGGACGGGGGGTGGTGGGGTCGAGGAGGGCGGGCGATGGGGTTGGGGGGGTGGTTTTGGGGGGTAGGTTCTTTCTTTCTTTCTTTCTTTCTTTCTTTTTCCGTCTCCATTGTGATGTTATGGCTACGGGATGCTGACAAATGACCTTTATAAACAGGCGGCCTCTCCCTCCTCTCCCCCCGTGAAGGCTTCGCCTGCGACAATGTCGTCAACTTCGAAATCGTGCTCCCCTGCGGCACCACCGTCCACGCCAACGCGAATCACCGCCGCGACCTCTTCCTTGCGCTCCGCGGCGGCGGGAACAACTTCGGCGTCGTCACCCGCTTCGACATGCGCACGTTCCCGCAGGGTCCCCTGTACGGTGGCTGTCTGTACTATGATCTGGGTGAGATGCCGGGGCAGGTCGAGAAGCTGGTGCGGTTTCTGAAGGATCCGGTGGCCGGTAATGCTGGCGATGTGGATGTGGATGTGAGGATGGGGTTGACGTACGCGAAGAAATGGGACGGCGTGTTGGGGAGGAATGAGGTCTGGTATACGAAGCATGTGGAGGAGGGGGAGGAGGATGTGGTGGAGAGAGGGCTGGAGGGGTGTCCGTTTGTCGAGGTGAAGAGTAGAATGAGCGTTTTGAAGATGGTGAGTCTTTCGGAGGCGGCGCAGGTGAAGGTGGATGATGTGGAGGGGCAGAGGAGGTGTGTTGATCTTTTTTTTTTTCCATCTTTCTTGTTCTTATCCAGAGGGTATATAATATAGTATATGGACTGACACAATCACAGATGCACCACCATGAACACAACCGTCAAAGCACACGCCCCGACTCTCCTCGCTGCCTGCACCACCTTCCTCAACTCCAGCAACACAATGGATCACATCCCCGGCCTGTACTTCTCCCTCACCCTGCAACCCTACCCCGTCGGCATGCTGCACAAGTCCTCCCTCCTGGGCGGCAACTCGCTCGGCCTGAAACCCGCCGACGGCCCGCTCGTCGGCATCATCCTCGTCGCCTACTGGGACGACGCCAACCACGACGAGGAGGTCCTCCGCGCCATGAAGTGGGTGCTCGGCAAGGTCGAGGATGAGGCCGCCGACCGCCGCACCGGCTTCCCCCTCAAGCTGATGAACTATGCGGGCGAGTTTCAGGATCCGATCGCCTCGTATGGACCCCATAATCGGTGGAAGTTGGGGGAGGTCAGTCGGAAATGGGATGCTGAGGGGGTGTTTCAGAAACTCGTGCCGGGGGGGTTTAAGTTGTTGACTTAGTTGCCTTTTCTTGCTCTTGTCTTTTTTGTCTGTCTGTCCTTTTTTTTTTTCGCCTTTTGCTGTTCTTTGAGGTGTGTAGTTAGAGAGACCTTGAATATAGTTTCTTTGTCTGCATGATATTGTACGTGCATTCTGTTCGTAGTGTGTAGTCGTCATCCTTGGGGGTGCGTGTACTACACCCCCACTTCCCAGAATCGTCGTATAGCCCCCAGGAAGACGTTCATTCTAGCACGTGACCCGGTCGAGAATCTCCCAACCGAAAAAGAATGGCTGGTGTCTCAGCACGTCGGCAAAGTATCCGGGATCTTCGCGTAGACACCCCAGATGTGATCCTCTGCGGCGGCACATTTGGCTGCCACGATGCCCCCAGGAGACGGGAGAGATCGAGACTGGCGGGTACACGGTAGGGGGCCTCGGCTGTCATGACGCTGAACAGGTTCATGGCTGACTCTGAGGGGGACAATGCCGGCGGTTCAGGCTGGATGGGCAGATCCGTCTTCGGGATGTCCTCGCGGGCGTACTCGCACAGCAGCTGCATGCAGCACTCGACGAGGAAGCTGTACAGTCGCTCCTGAACCTCCAGACACAGGCCTATTGGTCCCCCTGAATGAGTCAGCGGCTGAGTCAGAACTCGGTCAGCAGAAGATTTAGTCATTTATTCGTCAGGTACCACTAGACCCGAAAGGGAAGTAGGAGCAGTGCTTTTTACAAAGGAAGCGTCCAACTGGGTTGGGGGTGTCGGACATGTTTACTCAGGACAACTACGATATTGCACATGGCGAGGTGATGAATAATCAATTCAGGATGTAATGAAAAGCTATATGAAAAGCTCAGGGAAGCGCCTGAGTGTGGGTGGGTCTCCCACGAACAAAGGAACGAACAAAGGCCAATAGCCTACTCCTCGGACTCGAAACGAGTCTTCAGAACCTCGTCCTTGATCTCGTACAGGAACCCCTCGATCTTATCCCAGTCATCCTTCTGGTGCAGGCCCTGTGGATGATGGATGCTGCTGCGCTCCATCGTCTCCATGTCTCCGTTCCAGCATTCCTTGGCGTAGAACCACACCTTGTCTGCCACCATGTACCCCCCATAAGTCTTGACTTCGAGAGGCACAGTGTCACTGGCCTTCTGCCACCGGCGCAGCAAACGTTCCGCGTTGGCCTTCCTCGGGTCCTCCTCGGCCTCATCCCCAATGACGAAGGAGAAAAAGAGCCCGTGGGCGTAGGTGAAGACGGTCAGGAATTGCCAATGAGGGTCCAAGTATGAGATGTTGTTGCTGACCGTGAAGCCTTCTTCCTCGGGGAAGATGTTGAGCAGGGCTTCATACCACTTCCAGCCCTTCTTTTCCATCGCCGGGGTCGGGGTGTCTAGAATTGGGGTTGTCGGAAGTGGGGTTCCTGGACGGAATGGACGGGTTCGACGGCATCCCTGTTCGTTATCAGACAGTCCGGTGTCTGGATTAGAGTCTTCTTCGAGGTCAGACAAGGTGACTTCGAAGAAGGATGTCTCTCCAATATCAGACATGGTTGTGGTTGAACACGAAACTGCCTTTTTGGGTGATAAGTTCGAATGGGGGGAGCAGTGGCTAGGTACCCAACTGTGACCTGGAGACAGAGGATAGTAGGACCATACTCTGGGAGTTGGACCTCTTTATATACCCCTGAACCGTGGTCAGTCGATGCAGCATGCCATGGCGTCTCAATTCATATGGTGTGTTCCTATAACACCATCAGAAGGTAATATCCACCGCAATCCGAGGAAATCAGGGTACAGGAAGACGCAATATTTGGAATGAAGCTAACTCCCACGTGCCCGCCTCGCGCCTGGGGCCGTAAAACTCCACATATAATATGGTGAGCCAGTATAGTCTGGTCAGACAAGGGAGATTGCCACTATAAGCCATGGAAGGAAACGCAACAATCCGGTTGTTCCATTGACCATTGTGTGATTTTGGATTTCAATGGACAAAGCCGTAGTGTCAGCCGTCTCTCCGTTCAAGTACAAAGAATTCATAATACGCTCCTAGCTAGGAGACTGTCGGCTGTGTCCGAGGTTATCGCCTTTTTCCTCTCTTGCTTCTTCTTCGGGTAGACTAGCACCGCTCCAATGGCCATCATGAGTCCTCCCATTCGCAGTTTACCTTGGTCCGATAGAGATTCGCCCTCCATGTCAATGCACCAGCTTCTGCCCTTAGTGCGGAGGGCAACTTCCCCCTTTGATCGGGACCTTTCACTGGCACACTCTCATCGACATGATACAAGGTGCCTTGGGATGGAAAACCCCCGCGGCAAAAGGAGAATTCCCCCTCCGCGTCTTCCAGGAAGGTGGCCAACATCTTGACAGGCAATTTCCTATTTCAGTAAGCCAGCACTTCATTGATCCAAGGGATAATCGGGACTTTCCCTTTTTGAGAGAGATATTGAGCCCAAAGAAGAACGGAAACCTTCTTAAATGTATGTGCCACCAACGGCAATCCCCGATGGGCCATAGGAACTTCTCGTCGTCTACTCGCATTTCCTAGACAGTATAAAGTCCCCGTAAACATTCACGGTCTATTTCTTCGTTTCAACCGACTTAGCCTTTGTTACGGATACGATAATCCCCCTTCGATCTTGCAATGGCTACACCGTTTGATATCAGGGAAGACTCTTCTGACTCGATGGAAGAGCCTACTCACAGAATGAACGCGGTAGCGGAAGATCCAAGCGAAGACGAAGAAGATGAAGATGAGGAGGAGGAAGAAGACGAAGAAGAAGAAGACGACGAGGAAGAAGGAGAAAAGGAGGAGGAAGAAGAAGAAGAAGAAGAAGAAGAAGAGGAAGAAACCGACTGGCCGAAAGTGTGGAAATCGTTCCTTAGAATTATATTCCCACCGAGGGAAAGTTTCCTGATCCTCGGATCCACTCACCAAGACGGAGACTTCTCCTATGAGGTCATCACAGTCAGTCATGGCTTTGAGAACCCGTTCTTTACTCTGGTCACCGGCTCACTCATATATTTGATGCGTTCCTGGGATGATCTTGACCCTGATCTCCCTGAAGGGTTTCGCTCGTATGGCGCTGTGGTACAGGCCGACCACATTCGGTTCTACCAGCACATGATGGATTGGACCGACGACAAGGAGAACTTGCATCCCGGAGAGATGATTGAAGGGGGCACACCTGGCAGTGCAAACTCATGGCAGTACTTCACTCTCAGAGGAGACAACCTTGGGGGCCAGAACTTCTATCATCTCTTCTTGGACGGAACCCCATCGCGATATTGGACAATTGCTGCTCGGTTCTTTACCGAGATCAAGTATCAGGCCACAGGCTTAGGGGTTGTCGGTAGACCCCTTTGTGCACCGCGTTCTTAGATGCCATGTCTTCTTTTTCGCATCACGTATGAGCCCTGCTATCCAATATTAAATGCCATTGATGTTAAAGCTGAAGACCTACTTGTGCTTTCCTTCTTAGCTCCATGTAGTCGCCGTTCAACGGCCTTTGCGTAGCCAGCACTAATAGTCGACCCTCGCTCCTTCGCTCTATGTAGTTCCAGTACCTGACTGTGAGACACTTTGACACCAACATTGGCACAGTACTCCTATAGCGACAGTCCGATGTGAGAGTCTGAGAGGTAAATGTAATCACTCAGAGGTTGTAAGTCGGGCCCTTTCAAAGTATAATCTTATGAGCTTGGTATTAGCATTCATAACTTTGAAGAAATACCTGATAGTTGTATGATGACCCAGAGGTGCCGGTATCCTCTGCTCCAATAGATCAAGGCCCCCGTGGCTAGACCGCCGCAGCTGTCAAACCCAGTATCATTCAGTATCAAGACTACTTAGGTGTCTGGACATCTTTTTAGCCGAGTGGTCTTTTTGGTCTGTCAGCAGCTCTTTTCCCGGTGATTTTAGTGCCAAGGTGGGTCGATCATTGGTGGGATCGTCTAGTAGCAGATCCAATCCTCCCCCAAGCTGGTCATTTGCTCCATGTCCCCGCCTGATATAATATCCGGGAGCCTTGTGGCCTGCATAGATCAGAGTGGTGTCACTGTAGTGGTGATCCATATTTCGTGTTTTGGTTTTAACATTGCAGGGGAGGGTTTCGTGCTGGGGTGTGGATTGTACAGCCCACACATCCTGTATTCCCGCAATGGGCTTAAGTAAACGGACGGCGTGGGAGGCTGCGACGACAGCCACTCCCCGGTACAATTTGACGCGTTGAGATCAGTAGCTCACAACGCGTTGAATGCCCTTGTAGGCAGTCTCATCTTTGTATTTTTGGCGACTGACGCGTCGCAGCCGGCTGGCAGGGTATCTGATTCCCCTCTGTAGGGGGGCGAGTACGTCGAACTGACTGGGTGTTCCAGGTTGTGGATTTGATATTCCTTGGATGTCTCATAAGAAGCACACGCAGGAGCCACAGATAATGCAGCCAGTCCAAATAATAAGCTGGAAGGATGATATCCAAGACACTGACGGGATGAGTTGCAGATTCAGGGGTGTGGCTGCCAGTGAATAATCCGACAGGAATGGGTCTGTGGCGCAGTCACATGAAACATCCCCAGACTTTAGGAGATTCTATAATTACAATCTTTTTACCTCGCAGAAGCAATACACTGCGCTTTTTGTGTCCAGCTTACTATTCGTGGCTGATGTTCGGATTCGTGTTTTATTCCCGTTGGATCCTTTGCCGCCTTGACTGTTCTCCTTTATATATATTCATCCTGAGCCGTCGGGCAAAAAATGGGAATTGTTCTACTGCACGGAATCAGGCTCTGTCTTGATGTATTTTCTTATTCATTAAACAGTTGCAGCTAAAGTTTCGATATACAGATGACTAGTGAATGGTAGATCCGGCAGACACAAGTCCCGTGGCTCTTTAATTCCAAGGTTCTCGCACGAAAACCAGCTATTCAATTATATATCTGGAGTGGAAATGTGTGTGTTAGGTAAGAAGAATACGAAGATTTCTGTGTTGAGGAGTGGAAAGGATAGATAAATTATACTAAATATAGCAGTGTCCTAGCTACAGAGCTATTACCGCAGCTCAGACGTCCACACATCCCTCTGAGCAACTCAATTGTCACATAAACACATTATAGCAACATTTAGGTCAGGTAATCATAGCACAGGTAGCCACCCATGGGGTTCATCACGGTCTCAACAGTGACGTTGGGGAGGATACCGTACGAGCTCAGCACGTAGTCGAGGGTAGTGTTCTTCCAGCCGGTAGCAGGCTCCACGTTGGCCGACTCGTTGACGGAGGGTCCGCTGATCTGGTACAGACGGGACTCGGGGTCAGCTCTCTGCCAGTCAAACCAGACCTTGTCGATGTAAGTGTGGTGCATGAAGAAAGTCGGGTCACCCGGGGAGGACTTGATATCGGCCATCTGTTGGAGTTGACTCAGCGTTAGCAAGGTACAAGGGCAGCTAGATAGAAAGATGAGTTTAGATTAAGGGGACATACCACTCCACCAACAGCCGTGTGCACACCCTTGTGGGGCAGCTCGGCAATGCAGTACCACCAGGGCGAGTACGTGTTGTACACACCACAGATATCGTAGATGACCGTGCTGTTAGCCATCTCCAGAGCCCAGGCGTTGTCCCAGTCGCGGTTCAGGCAGTAGGTGGTGTCCTCGTTCTGGGGTCCGATGTGCTCGGTGTAGTTGGCGAACGCGCCGTCCACCACACACCCGTCAGCTCCAGAACCGTTGCCACCGAAGGCCTCGGCGTCCCACATGGCGGAATTGAACATATCGCCTGTATCGGCGTCGAGACGCTCGTCCCAGTAGCTATCTTTGTGTTAGTATTGACCGATATCGCTGGGCTTGGAGAGCATACGTAAGGGGACCGGTGTAGTTGCATTCCTCCCTGAGGAGGGTCTCATGCACGTGCATGTAGTACCGGTGCCAAGGGAGGAATTGACCCTGGGGGTGGGGATGTTAGTCTCAGGTCCTCCTAGGGTAAGTAAAAAGGGGGTATACCCACCACATCGTGGATGATATCTCCAACAGCGGTGTTGGTCATGTAGCGATGCAGGGCCTGGAGGTCGCTGAAGCGGTTGGTCGTGGCCGTCAAGCCCGACTTGGCAGGAAGGCTGATGAGGCAGTTCTCCGCATCGAGATAAGCCTTCTGCTGCGTGGTGGTCAGATCCCGCCACTCCTTGCGGATGGACACCTTGTCGGCGGTGCAGGTGCCGTTGTAGTAGTCGAAGGTCGAGGCTGTCTCGGCGGTGCGGGCAGAAGCCTTGGGGATGGATGCCGCGTAGGTGGTCGAGGCCAAAGCCAGGGCACCGTAAACGAGAGGGGAGATGGACTTCATCTTGAAAGACAAGAAAAGGAAAGAACCTTGGAGGGGAGATTGGTCTGATGGATACACAGCAGTGAATGGCTCCGAGAGGCGGTGGTACTCGCACTTTTATAACTCACTGTCCAGCATCACGCCTCAGGCTGCTTTCCTGACCGATTCCTCTCTATCGCTGCAACCCGCGTGCTCGATGCCATGTGGCTTGGCATGAAGCTGCCATACTCCCGATTCATCCTACGGAGTTTGAAGAAATGCCTCGCTGTCGTGGACAAATGGGTCTTGGTAGGGCTGTCAGTCCAATCGGAACTACTTCGGCGAGGGGAATTTGCCCTCCCTCCATTGAAGTCCGAGCGAGGTTTTTCGTTCTGGCCAGGGTCCAGGACCTGAAGGAGTGCCGGAAATTGAATCCATGATACTAGCCTTTCCATCTTCCAAATAGATCAGCGGATATGCTACTCGAACAAGACAGGTAGGGTTTGTCATGCTTACAGCACCCCACGGCAAATGACTCGAGACCCAGGTGGACCCTACTCCAAATAATTGAGGCTAACTGGGGATCGTGTGAAGAAATACGCTCAAGCATTATTGACGGGTCTTAGCTCACTCGGTGATTAACTAGTCGAGAAGGACTTCGTCAGCAGGGGGTAGATTCGGGAATCCCCCGAGACGCTCGGCAAATGATAAGATCTTTTTAGCTGCCGGATATGCAGCGGCAGCAGGGCGCGAGGAGTTGTGTACTCTAGGCATGAGTATCACTGCCCAATTGGCTCCTGACATGATGATTCTCCGGAGGATTTTGGCTTTCGGGATTGTCAGTAGCGATCGTCACAGAATCGGAGGGAGTTCTAGGCTTTTTGTCCGAGCAAACATCCTCAAGGTAAGAAAAACTCTTTCCTACCCGTCCCCCTTGACTCCGACGGCGGGGGCAGAAAACCCTGTCTTTGGCACGCGGACATGGACGAATTTACTTCATTCGTTATCTCCGACCCAACAGGCCCATGCACAGGGTTCGGAGACTCGATCTAGTCTGACGGGCTATCCTCAGGATTAGATAGTTAACCGGAGACAACGCAGTACTAGTCTTCACTAGCCTCGCGGTCGTTGGCCGATACCACCATTCTGTGGGTTCCTCCAGACTTTAGGGGCTTGGGATTGATAGAAGTTGCCAGAAGTATACAACAATCAAGCGTTTGCCGAGGCCACACCTGCCGAGGACCGAGACTAACCCCCGGCGGCCGTCGAGGGAGTTGAAGAGACAATCCCCCGGAAAGGCTATCTACAGAGCTGCATCTCGTCGTCTGGATTGCCTTTTTACTGCAGATTCCCCACCTTATCCCTCCCGAACCAACAGTCCTGGCGCAGGGCAGTAATAGTGGAACCGCCATGCTGCTTGGCCATTCACCCGGCATGCTCTTGGGGATTAGTCGGAGACTAGACTAGATCGGTTGTTGGATTCTTCAAGCTTTCATCTTTAGCAATTTTGTCTCCAGTGTGGTCCCCGCAGCCGCCCCGTCCGTTACGTATGTCTAATCTCTCCCGGGTGGGCCGGCACGCCTTTCAGATTAGGTGCCCTAACCTTGTGCTGAGCGAGACCCCGACTGCCGATCAATTACTGCATCAATCTTAGCCGTCCATTGTCTGCCACGGGGGAAGACAAAAAGAATCTGATAAGATGGACCACCAGCTCGCGACTGAGTCAGGCTCGGTGGGATGGATGGAATGGGCTTATCTTGAGAGTGCAAACAGCGTTTCGCATGAGCACACCGACAATAATAAGCGACGTTATAGCACTGAGTCCATGCTTGGAATGCCCAAACACCACGGAGGACTCCGGATCTAATTAACCGATAAACCTAGACCCTGGCGGCTTTTGTTTCCCCTTATCGCCTCTCTTCCCCCATGCCTCTTGAGGATTAGTTGGGCGCTCCAGCCGAGAATAATAGGCTCGACGCGAATCCCTAGTTCAACGTGTGCTCCACCCGGAACGTGTCAGGACAGGGCGTTAAACCCTGAAAAGTACTTTGTTCCGACCCTACTATATTTAGTCCCACGGGTTAATCAGATGAAAATTATGCTAACGCGCTTGGCCCGGGATCGATAGCGCAGTATGTTAATCAATATAGAGTTTTTGAGCCCTGCGCCGACTCACAGGGGGCTTATGCTGTGTCCTCGTGCTGACATCTGTCAATTCTGCCTTCTTGACTCGGACGAAGTTTACGTACTGTGATACGCTTACTTCCGATTTGTAAATTTACCATGCGTGATCCAAAAGGTATGCTGACTTACTAACTGCTTCTGTGAGACAGAGTGCGTGGGCGTTGCGTATACATTCCCCAGGCACCGGCATTTATTGTCTGGGCACGGGGACTATGGACTAGAGTCCGCCTAGCACCACAAGGCTGCTTCATCTAGTCCGAACTAGATGGCCCACAGCCTGACATTAGATAATAATTTGCTCTAGCGGATTGAGCTGATGTTACTAAGATTTTGCCATGCATACTACTGCAGCTGAAGAAGGGCTAGTCACACGTGGGATCTATTTCCCAGGGATGAATATGCCTGAACTGTTATTGACAACAGATAAGGATTCCAGGGTGGCAAAGCTAGATTTTCCGCCGTCGGGGAATTTTCGATCCTTCTGCCTTGAATACGAACTATCCAAACACTAATTAAGCATAATCGCCGGTCTACGGCGGACTTCCGTGGACCGTGGTGATATAGATGGATTAGAGCCGAGGTTCGCCCTTATCTTGGGAAATTGAATGGTGGCACTTGTTGCATTTCGCGCATTCGCTGGAAATCCCCATTTTGCTGCTGTGTTTCTTATTTTGAAAGTTAACTTGACCAGGTGCTGAAGCTTTTTTTGCGGCTGATGTATCTACACATGGACTATCTCTCATGGAGATCGTCTGGAACTGTGCTGACATGGAGAAAAAAGTTACCAAGGTACTGGCCATCCTGACTGCATGTCATTTCAACAGTGTGTAGGCCAGGGGCTTCTGACACTACACATTGACCGCTCAGTTGGTGGGCAACGGCCGCACACAGCACCCTCCAGCTACTGACAATTTGTGCGCTGTTGAAGGAACATGTTCAAACTGGGTGAATGGTTGATGAGCGACAATGGGAGCCTACAGTAGAGACACGAGGTTGTAAGACCTTGGGATTGATACAAATGATCGGCTACTTGGAGAAAAAGGAGAGAGGAAGAGGAGGCCGCGGAGGAAGTCTCTGGCAGGCGCTAGTCGCAGGAAGCAACCTGTTGACAATGTGTCCCGCGAAGGTTATTGCAAAGTCCTCCATAATCACAACACATACCCGGTAAGGATCGTCCAAAAGAATCCCTGCCGAAATCGATGATCAGGCCTGACAGGGGCTACGGTGGCCACCTGGAAGGTCTGGCTATTCTTTTTTCATTTTGACTCAATCTCCCCTGGGAATCAGCGTTTTCCGTGGCCTATGTGTTTACTCGATCATTACATGCCCCTGGTGCGGGAATGGAAATAAATGCCGGACAGGCCTAGTGATATACTATAACTTTACGAATTCAGGAGATCCGGAGACTAATATGGAAGACTTAGTTGGCTATCACTCTTTATTTCTTGCCCCAAAGTATCCCCGATAACATGACATCTTGGTAGGAGCGGTAAGCATGGGTTCAATCCTCTATTGTGATGCCCCAGCGGGCAACTCAACTCCTCCCTAGTGGAGCGTTATATATAGATGTGTACCGAAATCAAGAACAATCAAACAGTGACATTGTCGTCATCTCGGCTATATCGGATGAGTGTAGGTATGTCTGATGATAAGGCACTATAGCAAAAGGAGAAATCCCGACTTGAGCCTTCCCAAGTTTGGCCTACATGGCGAAGCTGCCCCCGCAGGCTGTCAAAGAGATGGCCTCAACAGTTTCAAAACCAGGTCTCACTGTGTGCTTCCTGAGTGGTCTAACAGGTACAGGAAAGGCTGATACAAGGTTGTATTGTACATTGCACTAGAATTTCTGGGGACTGGGATGGACCGTTGAATGCAAGGATTTGATGATGAAGCTATCCTGGTTGAGTTATTGAAGTAGACACTTTGCATACATGAGGGCTGGTTGGTTGGGATACAGGAAGGTGAGGTGGTGGTGTATCACAAAGAGGAAAACATCGGGGTGCCTGATTATACAATGCACCTGCCAACAATGTCCAGGGATATCTGGTCTTGGTCTGGGGGGAGCGAGCTCCTTTGCGTCTGTGCTCATCATTGCTACTAGTAGCCAGATATATGATATAATGGTGAAGATACTGAAGAGCAGTTTAGAAGGTATCATATTCCATCAATGAAAAGTCTACATGCGTACAGTAGACAAGAGGAATACCCGAGATCAAAACCCCAAGCATCCCTCCAGCAGACACGATACATATATACCCTAACCAAGACAACCACCACACTAGTACTTCAACCAAGCCCTCGCGACCGCCCAAGCCTGCAGCGCAGCGCCGAACCCAACCACCCAGCCATTCTCCTTGATGCCGTGCCGGAAGTACCAGGCAGAACTCGCCCACAGCAATCCGTTCATGATGACCGCGATGGCCTTGTTAGTGGGCTCCTGCAGAAGGCGGGGGTTGGAAGCCCATTGATAGTGGAGGAGACCTATGATTCGGTGAGTTAGGGGGTCTTGACGGTCGCCGGGCTTTTTCCGGGTATCTCCGGGTATCTGGTGTACTACAGGGGAGGTTGGAAATAACTACATACCGGTCATCATGAAGAACGCACTTCCCTGGAGAGGGTGTTAGCATGTATCTAAGATTTGCTTTTTTTGGCGGTAGTGGCGTCTGGAGATACATACCTGAAACCAGCCGACGATGCCGCAGGCCCACGGCTTGGTGCCCGTGATGACGCCAAATGCAGGGTCAGAGGTCCATTGGCGGCCGCCGATCTGGAGACATAAACGGATTGTGTTAGCAACTATCTTTCCCTAGGTCAATTGATTGGGTGGGTGGTTCAGGAATCGCAATTATGGCTGGGATGATGATCATCCGGGTAGTCGCGGATAGCCGCATACCGTGTGTCCGATGGAGAGGCAGGCCATTGATAGGGCCGAGGCCTGCAGGGAGCGAGATGGAGATGCCATTGTTGATTGTGATGGGGTTGAAAGTGTTCGGGAATCGTGTCTATCGCGATGGACGAGGTTATATGGGGGGGGGGCAGCGTGGAGGTGACGTGATGATGGTGTAGCTGGGGTGGAGAGGGAGAACGAGGGAGGGAGAAGGAGAGAGTGAGGGTCATACCACGTCACGGGACCCACCCGCTCCGTTTCAGGCTGGGACCCTGGCTGGGATGAGGGACCGCCTGCCGTTCCCGTTTATTTTGCCGGTTAAAACATGGATTTTCGACGTAAGATGTGAGTCAACCTCGAAAGGGAAGCGGTGGGGTAAAAGACCATATCTCATTGGTCAGCCACTGCACAGTCCAATATACTGTGAATCATAGGGCCTTGGGAATAAGATATATAGATAGAAGTGCACTTTCTTGACAGGTGAACTAAAAACAGTCTTCAATTTACAGTGTTTCAACCCCGTAGCACTGTAAAAACTAAAAAGACTGAATGACCAAAGAGGCTTTGATGAAACATTTTGGGCTAGTAAATTAGCGAACCCTAATAACCGGGCAGGGATTTGATTCCTTCGCCCACAGATGATGCAGATTTCACCAATCGGGTAATATCGACGAAAGATGTCTGATCTAGGTTGTGCATTCACCATAGAACCTTTGCTTAGCTGTTCCCGGGTTCGACTCCACAGACATATCCCGAAACATTCCATTCCGATCCTTTGATCATACATCAATTTCAGACAATAACAGCCCGCACCCCCAGACTCCCCGACCAAGGGACCGGACTAAACAGATCATGGTCATATTTGGCATCTCTCTCGGTGGTCTCATACAGCCGCATATGCGGAAACACCCGGATAACGAGCGTTGTTAACACCAGATAGATTTCGCAAAGCGCCAAACTAACCACCCTCGTTAGCTCTTATTCCTGCGATTAAAAGAAAACCAGAAAGAGTTAATGCACATACTTCACACCAATACAAGCCCTCGAATCTTTCGAAAACGAGAGCAAGCACCGCTCGAGCTCCAGATTCCGCTCCATCTGGTCATCGAGCCACCGCTCAGGACGGAATTCGTGCGAGTCTGGGAATATGTCCTCGTTGTGGTGCGTAATCACCGGCGACATGCCCACTGCGAAGCCGCGCGGGATCGCGTATTCGCCGTTCTCGCCCCGGTATACGAGGTCTTCGTCTGGGACGATTCGGGCCATGCGGATAGATACCCCGTAGGATAGGCGGAGGCCCTCGTGGACGACGGCCCACAGGTAGGGCAGCCTTTCGAGATTCGTCCAGGCTGGAAGAGTGCCGTCGGATGGGAGGATTGTGTTTAGCTCATCGCGCAGATGGGTCAGGTGGTCAGGCTTGGTTAGCAGGTGGAAGGTCATCACGCTCAGGGCCCAGCTGGCGGTTTCAGTGCCGGCGCCGAGCAGTCCCGTTGCTTCGTCGGTTAGTCGTTCCATTGTCTTCTCGGGGGCTGGGAGGTCGGACTCGAGGACGAAGCCGAACACCGTCTGTTCTTTGGCGGTGATGCCGCTGGTGAGGTCGGTTTCGGCTTTGCGGATTCGGTTCGGCACAAGGATCTATTGACATGAGATTTCTTTATTCAAGGGAGCGAGGGAGATCCGCACAGTGAGGGTGTTGATGTTGCTGCTTCCGGAGCTTGAAGGCTCGGATCAATGCAGATGCCATTGATGTGAATGAGACGGATAGAGCTGTTGTTGGTGAAAGAATCCACGATCCGATCAGAGTTTAAACTAGGTGGCTGGACTGTCCGCAGGATGGCTTAGCCATGGGGGTGATGGATTATGAGGGTTCAATAATGAGTTGAGGGGCTGGGTTTTAACCCCCAGTGGAAGAGTGGGGTTGTTAGTGCTTACTTGGGTTGATATCCAGAGCAAGCACCCGACTGTCTTGGATCCCTCGCCTGGGCAGATTGTATGAGCAATTCAGGAGCCTGACTGTGGATTGATGTTGGCGGGAACGCATCAAAAAAAAAGTTTCTTCATCGATGGATTGGAACAAGTGAAAGAAATCCCATGACAGCTGGATGTGCAGGACATCCTCTGTCACCAGTCCCGCGACCACCTAATACTCAAAGTCCTGACCAACCAACCTCTCACTCAACTCCCACAGCCTATCTGCACTCTTCTCGTCGCACGCATGCTCCGCCGGCTCAGTAATTGCACTATTCTGCAAGAAGGCAGGCGCTTTAATCTCCACCTCCGGATCCAACGCCGCGATCAACGGCGTCGCCGCAATTTGCGTGTACGTCTTGAACCTCGGTTCCTCAAACACAAACTCCTTCCCCATGTTGCGCTTAGACGCCGGGAAGATACCAGCATAGTCGTCCCAGGTGAGATGACTTCCCAGTCTGGTATCGCCATTATAGCCGGGATGGGCCGCAGCGGCAACGATGCCCCGGCTGCGGAGTCTCTTTGTCAAGCCCCATGCAAATAGAATGTTGGCAAGCTTGGCCTGCCCATATCCGGTCCAGAGGTCATATACTGCTCCGTCAGAGAAATTATAGTCGTCGAAGCGGAATGGCGTGATTAGATAGCCTGAGCTGGTGAGGTTTACCACGCGGCCAGGTGTCGCTTCCAGCGCGGGAACGAGGAGGTTTGTTAGGAGGAAGTGGCCCATGTGGTTGGCGGATAGTTGGAGCTCGATTCCTTGCTTGTCCAGGGTGTAGTCTTTGACGGCCATGATGCCGGCGCTGTTGATCAGGACGTCGATCGTGGGGGTTGCGCCTAGGATCTCGTTTGCTGCGCGTCGGACGGACGCGTGGTCGGTTAATTCGACCTGAATGGCGGTCGTCTTTATGGTGCTGTCGATGCGAATGATCTCGTCTAGAACTGGCTGTACTCGGCTGAGCGTGCGAGACGCAATCAGGATATGTGCCGGTCCGGCTTTGGCTAGTGAAGTGGCCATTTGACTGCCGATAATAAAGGGCCCCATATAATCACTGCTCAACTGTTGGGAAACCGTCCTCTTATTTCCAACATGAGACTCTTTCTTCTCCGTTGACAAAATATACTCAGGCAAATATGACGAAACGATATCAAGCAAGCGATTCCCCAGAGAAGTCTTCGCAAGCTTTAAATTGGAGCCACTGAATCCTGCCACAACCCCGAGCGGCTATCTTCCCATTTTGGAAGCTGCCATATCTTGAAAAAGCGCGGTACTCGGTTGCCAATGTTTTCCCGGCCCTCTTTTTTTCTCGCTCTGGGCAGAGAACGCGCAGGCTTCCAGGGTTAGCATAGTGGGTTGAAATCATACAGACGAGCCCAAAGGCCATCAGCCATAGTGGTGAAGTCCTGACACCGAACCCATCCGTCGTTTCCCAGTATTTTGAGGTCGTAAAAAGCAATATTTGACCCGAGTGTTGATCGCTGGTAGGGGGCAGAATATTGAACGCACGTAAGTTCTTCATTATAGTAAGTCTGCCAAAGTACGCATAAGAGGCCGCAGCGCATCAAAGCGAAAGAAAAAAATGACCTTGTGCGGTTTGCAGAAAGGTGAATGAATCGTGGACTATCTGTCTCGGTGCCCTCGCTTAACGGTGCAGCGTTGCAGGGTTTCCCAGCTAGGCGGGGTTTTCGTCTGCCCTAATATCCCCAGCGGAAATCAATCCGGGTTTCCCCCTTCCTCAGTTGGACCACCGGTGAAAACATCGGAATAGTTAGAACTCGATGGCAGAAAGGCAGGGTGATTGGAGCCAGAGTGTAGGGTTGCTACTCTAGGAATGGGGTGTCGCCTGAGCAAAAAATATCGGCAAAGGGGATGTGGCGCTACGCTGCTTTGGGATATGTGGGGTGGCAGAATGGGGTGTTTATTTGACGGTGACCGGATATGGGTTCGCATCTGGGAATGGCAGGATGTGCCCCCAGCGGCACCCCCTTCAACCCTGATCAGACATTATCACGTTCGATATAATAAACATCCCCCGTTGATACAAAAGCAGGTATCCCGATCAGCAAACCCCCTTACCCTGGATCATGATCGGGTGGTGGAACCAAGACACATCTACCAGTAACTACCAGCCAGATAAGACGCACCCCGACCCTTTAACCCTGTCTATTATTATATAATGAAATAGCTTGATGTCTCTCAAGAAAGCTCCATGAAAACTGTAAAGCCACCCACAGAGTAGCCTAAGTCCGCCCGAGTGGATCCCCACAAGACAACCCCCGCTCCACGAGCCGAAGGAAGACGAAGGATCGATCGGCAGCCAATGATCTTCGCACGTCATATTGCACAGGGTTTTCGGACCCCTTATCAGGCCATGAGATCGAACACGAGGGAAGGAAGGTCTCACTTGTGAATGCTAAGGATTGGAAGGATGGGGTGGGTGATAAGGGATTTGGGTTTACATTACATCGTTCGTATACGAGGGGATGGGTGGTGATCGGCGGGTGGTCCATTCACCATGAGATGGGGAATGACTCTTTCAGCTGGGGTCATCATGAGGGTGTGACTCCCAGTTGCAGCTCATTCGAGAGAGCGTCTAGTTTGGAGTTGGACACCATGATTGGATTTCTATATTGGTCGCCACAGGACGCGTATCTCTCGAATTGCATCTTCATGGAGAATCATGTTTCAACCCACGAACTTCAACTACATGCCTAACCCAGTAGAACGAAGCAAGCGACACCGGAGTTTCATCGGTAAAACAATACCTACCCTAGCAACACAAGGTGAACTTATTCAAAGTGACACCCACCATATATAGTAAGATCATCAGGATCTTAATCAACTAGGACGATCCTGATCGATCCTCCCCTCCACGCGATCACCAAACCTCCCGCCGACTCCGTCAAGATTACTGCTTCAGGAAACATGCCACTACATCCTCGATAGAGTATACTCATTCTCAAGGTGTCAAAGGGGAAAGAGATAGAGAGTGTCGGTGTGGAAATGGCATCAGGATAGATAACTATGCTTCAGGCTAAGGTATAAAAGAATGGGATTCACCCTGCTTATGGTCCCATCAAGCAACAACCATTCCTCGAGTTTCAAGTCAAGCACTTTTCCAATTTATAACCCTCGTCTTACCTCAACTCATAAAGATGGTCCGCCTTCTGACTCTCGGCCTGTTCCTCATCAGCGCCCTTACTGCGCAGGCCTGCACCTACTGCCAATGCGAGTTCAGCGACGGCAGTCATTGCTGTGTTTATTCGGTGAGCACTATGCCGGGCGTTGTTGCGAGATAGATAAAAAGAAAGTACTAATGAATAGTAGGATGCAAGCGTTGGAGAACTGGATTGCACGACCTACTGTGCCAGTGCGCATCGTGCGGACGGTGTCAGCAACGCTGATGGAACTGCCGGGACTGCCTGCAATGCGGGAGGCGCGTACAAGTGTGCCAGTGCGCTCGAGGCTCAGGACCGGACCTCGTGCTATGCGGAGTGATTGATGGTGTGATTGATGGCGTGATTGATAGTGGTGGATGTCTGATCATGTGTGGATGTATCTGAGGAGGCTCGAGGCCATCCATGTCCGTTCGGAAGTCCTGTTACGTCCATGTAACCATCTTAATTGAGCCATCGCGATAGTCACCTGTATGTAGTCTCAAGACCCATACTCTGGGTTTCAAACCCAACTATTCACCCCCCACTAAGCTCCGAACCCGTGTCGCTTGTAAGTGTCAGCCCGTCCCAATGGGCTAAGATCCGATCCATATCGACCTCCTCCGAGGCACCCTTGTCTTGCCGAATGGCTATGGAGAAGTTTGGATACGCGCTGCTGAAGCTGTTCCAGTCTTCCGGGCGCCAGAAGCCCTGTTCGAAGGTCCTAAAGATCTCAACGATGTCAGGTGGTTGATAAGCGCGGAGCTGCGTCATTGCAATCTGGATCAGGCGGAACATTCCCCTCGCCATCTTCCAGCGTGGAATGTGAACCATCATCGCCTTGGCCAGGTTACGGAACGCGGCGTGGCTTTTCTCGTCGCGCAGATCGTCAAGGAGGTTATATAGCGCCACAGATATAAATTGGATGTCGAATAGTGCCACGCGCTCGATGCCCCATTGGTTTCTGTGGATATTGACAAGGTCGCTGACGATGTGCGCGGATGAGATGCATTTCTCTCGGGCGGATTCTATCGATTTCTCTGTGGTTTCGTCGTCTTGAGGGGCGCGGGTCCGTAGAAAGGCAAATGATACCATGATTATGGAGTGGTAGTATTGACTGGAGTTGTCAGTGTCGAGTGATTTCACCAGGACTGCTAACTCACTGTAAGCTCAGGATCTCTGGAACGGAGTGATCATCGCAATGCAGGCACCCGGGTAGATCGTGCATCCAAATGGTAAGTTGTGAATACGCTCGGGTGACGACCTCCTCCAAGTCAGGCCGTGGGGGCTTCCTCCCGTTTGAGAAAAGCGCCTCGCAGACATCCGTAGCGATTTCGGCGAGCCTTGCTCTGTAGTTCAAGGCGCAGTGCCTGTGGGCCGCGGGAACCGGGTCCATCTGACGAGGGTATGGGGACCATGTTCCGTCATCACCCTGGTGGATGGGAAGTTGGAGACCCTTTGGGGGCTTCATGATCGGCTCTTTCTGTAGGCAGAGGGTACATGCCCTAAGTGAACCATCAGCACCCTGCGTCCATGTCCAAGGAAGGATAGGGTGTACACTGTTGCCCCGAACAGGCCAATCTCCAGGTAATCCAAAGCCCCAGCCATGACATCTCTCGGGACATCAGCAGTGCGGAAGAGTTCATCGGATGTCGATCGTAGATACTCGACCGCGTGAACTGCGCGGGACAAGTACGTCCACCCTTGTCGGTCTTTGCCCATCGCCGACAAACTGGTATAGAGTCAACAGGGTCCGGGTGCTCTACCGTCGGAATAGATCAGTCTCACCAGGTGTACAGCACTGCAATACCCTGGGCAGTCGCGAAGGTGATCTTCCCCTCCTCCGCATCGATGAGTCGCTCGGCCTCGGTGAAAAAGTGTTGCCCCAGGCTGTCGGTATTCCCTGGTTCTGCCCATGCTTCAGGGTAGTCGGAGTAGAGCTGTACCCATGAGAGATGATCGTCAGCAGCTAGGTCTGAGCGGTAAGTAGGGTGACTGACACACGCCACTGCCAGGATGGCATTCACGAGGATGGGTGAGCAAAACGTGCAGTTTACATTCCCAGCGTTCATGTCCCTGAAAAACAGGTCCTGATCGATCCAGTTGCAGAACGCTTGCTGCCAGGTGAAAAACAGGGAGATGAGGTGTGAGACGAAGCCGTTGTCATCGGTGAGCGTGGTCCAGGGGCGCGCCATCCCGAGGAAAGGGGGGTAGTCGCAGAGCTGCGCAATATTCAGGGCCTGATTGCCGCGCTTCGGTATGGGGTCCTGGAATCGCTCGACATCCTGGTAGATCCGGAGGAGCTCTGGGGTTTTTCGGAACTCGTGCGGGGGGAGGTGCTGATCCATGTAGCGTCGAATCGTCGCGAGGTCCGGTTTCTCCTTCTTGATGTAGTCCAGCAGGCCATCGACAACGTGGCTGCGATGGCGGAGGGTGCGGAGGATTCGCAGGAACAGACGCTGCTCTTCCTCGAGTTCGTCGATTCTCCGCCGCAACGGGATTCTCCTCCGCTGGTCATCTTCCGGGTTGAAGACACAGTCTCGGGCTTTGCGGACGCAGGCGGTGCAGGGCTGCTCCCCACTACACTGGAAGGAGATGGTGGTCAGCACGGTGGTGAGGGTCAGAGCCCAATCGAGAGATTGATCATGACCTCGATCACCTTTTCCTTGGCGTTCTTACAGGCCACGCAAGCATTGGTCAGCTTGCGTTTCTTGGGTAGCGAGTCCTCGTGGTCGGAAGGGGGCTCGGGGGGCTCGGGGGCTTGACGGGGCGGATGGACCCCGGGGCTGGGGCTAAGGTGGGCAAGTGAGACATGGCAGGATACCAGAGGCAGTGGAGGTAAGTATTTTGGAATGATGGGAGTAGTAGTTGTAGGGGTTGTAGGGGTTGTAAAAGTTGCCGAGGCAGGAACATGGGCATACTTAGTTATCTGGTGGTGTATATTTTGTCATCATGACATCCATGAGGGCGAAAACGGAGAAATCAGCTGGATATCATTGGCCTCACTGCCGGATCAAGCACTGCAGCCCACCGGCCCACATTAGGGCAGACGGTGGTTGGCCGGTTAATATATCCAACACCCATGTGCCTGGTCTGAATTATTTCCGCCCGGGCCGTCTCGGTTGTGTTTCCCCCATAGATAGTTACTGTACTATCATTCTTCTGTATTCTTTCCTGGGTTTCGGCACCATCGCCGCTTTCTCTGTCTTCGCCTGTCCCACACCTGTCCTACACTGTCTGTCCCTTGTGCGCTGATCGATTCTTACAGCCGTCGGGATCATTCTATAACATATAATCTATAATATATGAAATTGCCTCCGCCAGGATTTCGCATCCCCATGATTTCGCATCCCCGAGGCCCACCGCCGCGACCGCCGCCACTGACTCGCCCCAAGAAAGTCTCGGTGGCCTGCGCAGAGTGCCGTAAACGTAAGACTAAAGTAGGTGCTTTTTTAGTTCCGTTCTTCGGTTCTCATCAGGGGGAGGCGGAGATAATTCTTCACTAACAATCCCTCAGTGCGTCGGGGGCGTCCCGTGCGCGATCTGTCGCCGACACAATGTCGATTGCGTCCTTGACGAAGACACCGATCGTCGTCGGAAAGGTACTCTGGAGCGCCGATTGGAGGCGTTGGAGCAAGATCAAAGCCTTCTTCGGCACCTGCTGGGTACCATTCACGATGATGATCCGACACGGTTTGATCGGATTCTGGAGTTCATTCGCACCGATGCCTCGTTGGATCAAGTGCGCCTGTTTATCACCAACACCTGTTCGCAGCCAGCTGATGGGGAGCAAATTCGGGTGAGAATGGGACAATTTCTTCAAGTTTCACTACCCGGATCTGATGTTGGTCGCTCAACAGCTATTCGACCATCCGGTGTACCTGGTACCCGCCCAGCCGTGGACCTCGTTGACTGAGGATGACGACTATGTGTCGCGTCTTATATCGCTCTATTTCACCTGGAACCACCCCACGCAGATCTGGATCGATCGCGATCTCTTCATCCAAGATATGCAAAGCGGCGACCCGAACGCGTTATTCTGCTCTCCCCTGCTTGTCAATGCCCTCCTGGCGGTCGCCTGCGTAAGGATGTCCTTTCTTCGTCCAAAGCTAGTCCTCACGCGCTCTGATACTCGTTCTTTAGTGTTACCTGGACGTGCCAGACCCAGTCGCCGTGGCAGGTGCACCTCCTGGCCGCCTGAGGTTCTTTAGTGAGGCGAAAGGACTCTTGGGTAAGGAGGAAGGGAAACTTTCCCTCCCCAGCTATCAAGCTTGTTGCGCCCTATATCTCAGGTGCGACACCCCTTTCCCTGCTCCCCGCTGTCCTATCTCGTCTTAACTGCCAATAGTGCGTCCGTCCTGGGGAAATGTATGCTCGCGTGGCAATACTTAGTGGACATTGCCAGGTACGCCCGAGAGCTTATGGAAAAGCACAATATGCTTGTTGCAAGAGCCGGTGAAAGGGTTTCGGAGATGGCTCGAGGCCTGGACACGGCGATCCTTGGCTCGTTTAGCCTCCTGCCGTAAGTGACCTTTGCCCCATGCCGTGGACTGTCTAACCCGGCCAGAGTCGCGGTGCCGAGCTTCCATCAACCATCCAAGATGAAAAAGCCCGCGTGTGGATTTCCGCCGCAAGAACATGACTTGGAGGACACTTGGCACTCCTACCCTATAAAAGGCTCATCCACCCCAGCGCACGCGAATTGTCTAGCCGAAGCATCCTTCGGCCTACAGTTGATCGTGTGGGATATCTCCAACAACTCGTTCGGGAGGGGCCAGGGACATGAGACATCGGGTCATGATTATTATGACCGCCTGAAACAATGGGCATCACAGCTTCCTGAATGCGTGAAATTCAAAGATACAAAAACCCCCGCAACCCTCGACTTACAGTAAGTAGACCCGTCCTGTAAACTGTTCCAATCACTGACATCCCCCCCCCCCCCCAAGAATGCGATATTACAGTGCTGTAATATCTGCCTTTGAGTTCTCGGAAGACACCAATGCTCCCGATGTGCGTATTTTCTCCGCCCACACCATCTGCTCCCTGCTCGGCGAGTTCATGGCTCGTTGGCCCGCTACATACACGCCCGTGAATTATATTCGATACATCAGCGTTGTGCTCTCAACATTACTTCCCCATCTCGGCAAAGAAGAAAACAAGTCCTTATTTATATCGTGTTTCTTCACGCTTCACTCTATGGAGAAGCGACTTCCCATGGCGGCAAAGGTCCTCCAGCACATCCGGGACAAAGCACGACAGTTGCATATCGGTCTTCCCCGGCAGGTCATCTCGCTGGGCTAGAATTTCGAATCGGACGTCGTATCGCCTAATAACGCCACTGTATAATCCCAGCTTTATGTGATCGGAATGATGCCTCTTGTATACACACCGCTTGCCAATGCGGACAGGGGTGTGGCGGGCGGGATCATCAACGTACTCTGCGTCGGCACCCACTATAGAATTATCAATGGAGAATAGCTGTTAGTTACATCACACTAGAAGCTGAATTGGACACGAAATGGGATGCTATGCATACTGACTGAATGAATACGAAGGCAGTGAATGGAGCACATGACACGCGGTAGAAGCTGCAGTCATGCATCGCAGAAATCCTTCTCGGGAATATGGGGCTGCGAGTGTCCGTTTAGTGACTGTAACTTCAACTTTGCCCGCGAAAAGCAGCAACGATTGTTCCACGGCTGTCTGCTGTCCGGAGCTATCCATCTGGTCCAGCCAGTCCAACGGCGGTGGCGTCCCATGGAACGGCGTATCCCGGCTTGGCCCACGTCCCTGACGTGATGGTGAGCTAACGGGCCTGTTGACCTCGGGCAATGTCTTCTGGCGGGGGAAAGGCATTCTTTGCCTATCCACTTTCTTTGCCGTAAAGGCCCTTGCCGGCTTCATATAACCTCCCTTACAGAACCTCTGGACAGGCATCCGCAAAGATGAAAATCCTCCTAACTGGCACGTCGCCGCGCATTATCAACGAACCGTCCATCGCTAACCACCTCCAGGAGCCAGCGGATGCGTGGGCAGTCACGTCCTTCACGAGCTCGGCCGTCGGGGGTACGTCGCGACACTTGAACTCAGCCAAGATTCAAAGCCGACTAACAGATGGACTCTAGCCACGAGGTAGTCGTGACAGCCGACTCCGCCACCAAAGGCGAAGACATTCTTCGGCTGTACACGAAGCTCGGCACCAAGGACACCAGGCTAAGCTACGTGGTGATAGACACCAACATAGCCCAAAAAGGGGCCTTCGACGCGGCGGTTCAATCCAACCCCCCCTTCGACGCCGTCATCCACACCCACGGCCATTTCCCGCCGGATCTCAAGGACCTCGAACAGGACGTGCTACGTCCGATCGTCGACGGAACCACCTCGCTACTGCAGTCCATCAAGGCCCACGCTCCACAGGTGAGGCGGGTGATTCTCATGTCCTCGACCGCGGCGATCATCCGCAGTGACTCGCATCCGGCCATGTACGACGAGTCGGTATGGAACAACACCTCGTATCAGCCTGGGCTGGACCTTGAATCGGTGTACGCTGTTAGCACGACGATGGCCGAGAAAACCGCGTTTATGTTCCTGCGGAAGAAGGGTCCCAATTTCTCCGTCACGACGATCTGTGGATCGGCGCATTTTGGCCCCGTCGTGAATAGGGACAGGGCAGACAAAGCGACTGTCGATCCCTGCGATCGTCCGATTTGGGAGCTCATCGAGGGTAATTACGAAGCGGCTTTGCCCCCTCCTGGTTCCCACTTGTGGACCGATGTCCGGGATGTGGCTCTTGCACACGTCCAAGCACTCGAGGCCCCCGAGGCTCCCAATCAGAGATTCTTGGTGGCCGCGAAGCACTATGATAATAAGAAGGTGGTGCAGATTATGCGTGATGAGCGTCTTCAGCTGGATTCGGCACCACCTCCCACCGACCATCCTATCGATAGTCCGGCAGACTTGTTTAAATTTGATAACACCAAGTCGGTGCGCATTCTTGGGTTGAATTATCGCTCTTTACAGGACTCTGTGAAAGATACAGTTCAAAGCATTCACCAGCTTCGGGGATAGGGGGTATTCATCTGAAAGCAGGCTGTCGTCGAACACAGAAATGTGTAAAGCACGTGAGACTGTGATTACTTATCATGCCAGTGTCAACCCTCCGCGGTAGCCATCATTTGGGAATGACTGCGCATGGCTCTTTTGAACTCCTCTGCGTGACTTCTCTCCCATGGCGCATTTGCTCCCGCAGTCCGGATGAGCCTTTCATGCGCCGGGGACCGAGGTGTAATCTTAACATCAAAGGGCTTGGGGTGGCTCAGGATAGCAGGGATAAAAGCATTCTCGAGATCCACCGTTGCATGACCGGTCTTCGGGGTGATGTTAAACCCCACCAGGATGCGTACAATTGTAAGATAGACCTTGAAGTCCGTCATCACCTGTCCCGGACAAGCGCGCCTTCCAAATCCAAAAACAAATGTGGATGGATCCGTCTCCGGCGTAGAGCCGTCAATGGATAGGAAGCGCTCGGGCCTGAATTCCATTGGGTTGGGGTATACGTCAGGGTCGTGTGCGTATGCCCTAGGCGTGGAGTGTGAGCATGGTAGTTATTCAGCGCTGGGTTGGGGAACGCACCAGATATTAGGCAGGAATACCGATCCTTTCGGGAAGTAGTAGCCTTTATACGTGTCATCCTTGATGAGCATGTGCGGCGATGCGGTGGGGAGGGCTGGATGCCAACGCAGCGCTTCCTTCACGAGTGCGTTTATGTATGGCAGGCTATCGCGATCCTCGTGTCCAGGGAGACGGGATGTTCCGACGACGCGATCGATCTCATCTTGTGCCTTTCTTTGCACTTCTGGGTTCAGGCTCATTGCGAGGAAGAAGCTCAGGATTGTCGACACTGTCTGTGGTTGTGTTAGGGCAAGCAATGGATGCCGAGCAGACAACGTACGGTATCTGACCCCCCGAGGTAAAACTCAACGCCAGACCATTTCAAAACCGTCTCCTCTTCTGACCCCGGCTCCGGCTTGGATTCCCGCAGTTGATTCGACATGTATGATGAGGTGCAGTCCCCCTGGGCCATTCTCTGCCTCACAAACATGTAGGGGATGTCCAGGAAGGCCGCTGCGTGCTTGCGGTATTCTTTGGCGATGCGAACGAATCCAGCACCTGGAAACCAGGGCGGGAGGTATCTCACTGTTCGCTCTTAGCCATCTCCGCTCCTATGATAGTCGACGATCCCAACGTACGAATTGGCACATAATCAACCAGCCAAGTCCCCGGAAGCATCGCCTGACAGATCTGGTCGACGCCCTTCTCCGCCAGGTCCACGAAGGGATCACTTCCCTCCGGCTCGACATTATATCCGTAGGTCATCTTGAGAATGAAAGAGAAAGATTCCCTAGCACCAACTCATTAATTAGTGGAACTCCCTCCGCTCACCATACACCTACCTCTTCAGATGCCCCCGGAACTCTTCCGGGCTTTCCAGCAGCCTCAGCAGGAACCGACTAATCTCCACCTCCATCATGCGATCGAAGCGGGAGAAGGCTCTTTTGGTCCCGATTTCCTGATGCAATGCCTTGCGCATTTTTGCGTAGTGGTGTGTATTCTCCACGGTCGCCATGGTTTTATCCCACCCCGTCCTGCATTCGTTAGCCCGGCTCAGCGCACATCGCATCATGGTCCATTGGCTGTTCACATTGCCATGAAAGGCTGCTCGGGGCGGGCCGAGTAAATTGCAGATCTCTTATCCAGGATCTCGGTGGCGAGACGCGCTTCGTTGAGAATGATGATCGGTTGGCCGAAGACTGTGATGGAACTGATTGGACCTGAGAATGATAGCCATGGGCGTCAGTGTAGTGTGACGTCTGTAGTGGGTAAATTAGAAGGATGTACCGTATAGCTCCTTATGTCTGAGCCAGTGTCGCCATTGTGGCACGCCCTGCGCGGGCATTTCATCCAGGTTTCCGACAAACGGCTTGGGTTTGGGGCCTGGCGGGAGAGGCAGGTTGGATTTCTTTCTGGCTAGGAATATTCTGACCAGGTATAGGCCGACAAGGCCGAGAAGGAGTTGGAACAGCATCCCGTTGCCGCTCTGCTATGTGGTTGTTCGTGTGAGTGAAAGATGCCCGGGGGCAAAACAGCGGGAAAGTAGAAGCGAATTCACCAGTTGCCGATGAAGGTTGGGGAATAGGTGTGAAACATCAAAAGAAGTGGGCAACATGCTGTATATCGGAAAGCCTACAGGAGCCATTCTCATACCCTCCCCTCTAAGCCCCGACTCCACCATTGTGGTATTGGGTCTTCCACTCGGAGATTGCCGCTGAGACGCCTCGCACGGCCAAAGCAAGGAATGTCAGGAATGTACGTTCCCACGTCAAATGTTTCAAAAATTGCCGTATGACTGACAAGCTGAAAGGCGGACTTATTTCCCCGCAGTGGCTTGCAACTGCAAGGCAACCCGTCTGACAAGGCGGTCCTCGGGAATCAGAGTCCCTTGCTCGTGACATACCACGATGACCGATCAGCTTCGGCACGAGCACAGGTGACATGAGATCGCCACTCTCAACAGTGCTGTTCTCAGGATGGCTTCCCCTGAGTAGTCTAGCAGCACTGGCTGATTTAACAGTGAGATCCACCGCACAGAGACAATGTCTCATGTCAGCCCATTACAGTATCCTTTCACCGACTCCTTTCGTGCTGTATATGTCGACTGCTGTCCCCTGGCATCTGACATGGGCAGCAAGGGGTGGCAGTGTGTCCACATATCTTGTTCTTATAGGTGCGAAGCTCGGAAATAAATCTCATATCTTCAGCGACGAGACATACTCTGCATGATGCATGAGATGGACAGCCGTGGCACATTGTAGGTGGTGCCTGGTGGTATTTTACCATCCCAAACTTACTGGCGCAAGGTCGAACACTGACAATGACGGATTGACATGTCAATCTAATAGATAATTTTAATGTCTGGCAGATGTTGTGACTTTGGTCAAGTGAGTCACTCAATGACACAATAGGCTGGGCCAATGAAGGGGTTGTGTTACATGTTCCGAGTCCGTCATTTGAGCTGACATCGGCCTCGGTGCTAGGGCACAATGGCTTTCAGCTGCGCCGCATCGGCTGCAGAATGCGCTAGTTCCGGACTGAGAGAAGGTCCGATTGAACCAATAGACCCAGCTATACAGTTGTGAGATGCCTTGCCTCCAGCTGATGTGGGGGACGCCATCATGTATAGTGTCCCAGAAAGGTAAATGGCAGCTTCAATCAGCTATCTCGCAACAGCAGCGATCGTGATGAACACTCAATCCGATCTTCCTATATATTTGCTTTAGGAAGAGACAGAAGCTTTCAATGACTTATCTGTATGAACTATATCCTGCAAAATATTAGAAAGATTCGAACGTGAACCATTCTTCTTCCATTCCGAAGGCATATCATGACGCTCGCATCTTCCCTCGTCACCCAGTCCTCCCAGGCTACCAAGACCGTAGCCGCCAAACATGAGGAGCCGTGGAAAGTGCTGGATCGGCTACTGCCTTTCCTCAACTCCAGCTGCAGACTCTGGTGGGACGAGATGGCCCCAGTGATCGGGCGGTCGATGCTGCGCACCGGGTACAGCATTGAATCGCAGTACAAATATCTTCTTCTCGTGCAATCGACCCTGATCCCGTTCCTGGGACCGTTTCCCAACCAAGGCCGCTCGAACATCACCTGGCCGTCGTGCATTGCGGGCGACAAAGGTCCTCTGGACATCAGTGTCAATTACCAGGGGAACTCGAAGCCCACCTTCCGAATCACGATCGAGCCCATCGGTCCCTACGCCGGCACAGACACAGACCTGATGAATGAAATTGCCCCGAGACAGCTACTGCACCAACTGAGCCATATCCAACCGGGAGTCGATCTCACCTGGTACGACCAGCTCGAGAAGGTCATCACCATCAGGAACCACGAGGCGCGCCAGAAACAGGATGCCCTGGCCCATTACTCGACCAAGACCCAGACCCTCATCGGTCTCGATTTCCACGAGGGCTCATTCACCGTCAAAGCCTACTTCTTCCCACACCTCAGAGCATCCGTCACAGGCGAAGACTGGGCTCGGATCCTGTTCGACGGCATCAGAACGGTCTGCAACACAGACGCTTTCAACCGCGAGTTGACCAAGATTGAGCAATACATCGGCTCTATCCGCCACAAAGTGCTCGCAGAAAAGCCCAATGTGGCATTCGATTGCAAGGACCCCGCCAAGTCCCGCATCAAGGTCTACGCCGCGGTGGACATGTCGTCTCTGGATGACGTGTACGATTTCTGGACGATTGGAGGCCATCTTCACGGCCCGCATATCGAGAACGGGTTTGAAATCGTCCGCAAAATGTGGAACATGATCTACACGAAGAGTCTTCCCAATGGTAAGCCCAGGGAGTCGATGACGGTTCACTGTAACTGGGAGTTGTCGATTAGCGATCCTACGCCCGCGCCAAAGGCGTATTTCCTGGTTGCGGATGACACGGATCAGCACGTTTCAAGTGCTATTACCAATCTTTTCCGGGATCTCGGATGGGATGAACATGCGAAAACGCACAATATGCTGGAAAAGGAGGCCTAGTAAGTAGTATTCTCGGCTTCACAGTCTGACGTTTCTATCGTCCAGGCGCTGACAGATCTTAGCCCTGCCTTTGACATGAAAACGAGCACCGATGTCTATACTTGGCTTTCATTTGCCCACTCCAAGAAGACTGGTCCGTATATCACGGTTTATACCAAGCCGCTTGGTGGTACAGATGAGCTTTGATTGCATGATTTCATGACGCAGTGATTTGGCATTCAGTTTCCTTCCCTGGGCCAGGCCAATGAAGGCTCGTCGATCCGAGGCAATTCTTGGTTTATGTTGTCAATAGCAATCCGTAGCAAATCGTAGCAGAAAGGAATAGTCTGATCTGTGATTACCGGAATAGTTAATGTTCTCTACCCTGTCTGGTTAATTGCATAGTGCGTCAACCAGCACTGGGAGGACCCATGCGGAGATTTCCACTTCGCTGTAGTTATATTCTACCATCATGTGCTCAATATTTCAAGGGACAGACAATCTGGAATGTGAATTTCCGCCGACAAGGCTACGTCTGACCAGTGGTCCGGCCCGATCCATCGTACTACATGCCAGAGCATGGCGACGTAGGATTCTGAGTGCCTGGGTCTCAATCAAGGGTGAACAAGCCCTTACTTTGTTTGAGGATCTAGATCCACCTGGCATTAGTAAACTCGCCATCGATCCCTGGGGCGCAGCTGGTGATCAACGTCCTGCTGCTACTTTAGTCCTCACCGACCTGCATTTCTTCGTATGACTGATCCGGTCAGCTGCGATGGCACATTCTGGGCAATCCCCCCTGCGTCAAGTACAGGTCGATACGTAGATACAGACATGACGTGGCGACGCAAAGTCGCGCATGCAAGAGTTTGCCCACATACCCTTTCGGGGAAGACGGGGAAGACCGGAACGCTCGCTGATGTGTTGACCGATGAGCATTAATAGTTAACTCTCTGGACCTCTTGAATCGACTGTACGCCTACCTTGCAAATCCAGTCCTGTCACTTTCCGAAGTCAGATCGGTTTCTATCCTTACAATGACACTCTCCTCAACTGTCATATACGATGACCCAGCAGTCTATAAACAATACGAAGAGCTCGTCTTCAGCCAACAAGGCCTCGCCCTGCACCCCGAATGGACCCTCATGAGAGAGATGATAGGCGACGTTCTCGGCCAAAACATCGTCGACCTCGGCTGCGGCTTCGGATGGTTCTGCAAGTGGGCCAGCGACCACGGTGCGACCCTCGTCCACGGCATCGACAACTCGAGCAAGATCCTCGAAAAGGCCCAAGTCGTGAACAGCGGACCCGGGATCACGTACGAGCGGGCGGATCTCGACGAGGTCGTGCTCGCCAAGGAGAAATTCGACCTAGCCTTCAGCTCTCTCACCTTCCACTACGTGAAAGACTTTGATCTGCTTGTTGAGAAGATCCACGGCAGCTTGAAAAGCGGTGGTCGCTTCGTCTTCTCAATCCAGCATCCGATCTGGACGGCCCCGGATGGCGTCTCGTGGCAGGAGACTGCCGACGGACAGCATTACTGGCCGCTCAGCACGTACTGTCAAGAAGGTCCACGGATCAGCAAGTGGATTGCAAATGGGGTGACGGTTTACCATCGCACGGTGCACACCCATTTTGCGGTTTTGCGCAAGCATGGGTTCGAGGTGTTGGATGTCGCCGAGTGGATGATGCAGCCTGGCGAACTCCCGTTGGGTCACCCGGATCATGGGAAGGAGCTGCATCGGCCGTTTTGGCTCATCATGAGTGCGAGGAAGAAGTGATCTGTCCGTTTGTCATTTGAAAATAGAACACTGCAACATTGATTCTGTTGCATCCTTCGAGTGTACCGAGATCAAATCAGAAAGATACAGGCCCAGTGTATGGTACGGCGTCGGAAATGAAACAGTCGTTCGGGTAAAAAAAGAAAAGGGGACAAGGTTTGCCCCGGACTTTCCCCAGAAACGGTCATGTCAACCGAGAGCATTGAGAACTGTGGGGATCGTGTAGACCATCCAGGATGGCAGGGGGCCAAGATGACGACTGCTGCAGCTCCAGAAGGGAGAATCCTCCCCCCCCCCCACCAAATCATCAATAGATACAAACACTAACTATGCCATCCCGTGCGTTAGATTAAGTGGCTGCCAGGATCCGTGCCGGATGGAAGATTTCTTACCCGCCCGGCCAGTGAATCGCATTGTTTTTAGGGCTCCCCCCGCATTCCCATTCTTCCATCCTGCCATTTGTCTCCACTCCACATCCCCCTTCCTCCTCATTTCCCCCACCCTGAGACCCTGATCCCTGCGCTGGCCTACATTATCAATTAATCAGTCGTCATCGATATCGGCCCTGATAATAACGGCTCGGCAGGTTGCTGTCCGGCTGTCAGTATCCCTCATTCGTGCAAAATTCACTCCCTGGCCCAGTTCCGCATATCGCCTCACCATGGTTGGGTTTCCAAAATCGAGTAACAAAAAGACACCCAAGACCAGGATGCCCCGGTCGGACCATGGATTCGGAGTTTAGCAGAAAGTGTGGGGAGGAGACTTTCCGTGATGGACATCCCCACAAAACCACCTCGGGTACGGACTGCGAGGGAATAATGACCCTCTCCTGTGGCGTCTCGCATTAGGCGTTGGGTCCCTCTCGTGGCCATCAGGTCCGACATTTCCCCATGGGGCTTGGAAGCTGTGCGCGGGGGAAAAGTGGGGAGCTCATCAGTCGGCAATAACACGCGGTGCGGTCCGAGCTTCTGGCTGGGTCGAGGCCAAAATGCTCCAATGGAGTCCAACATCCTCGTGTTCTACCCCACAAAGTCAATTCGATGCCGGAGAGTGGGCAGGACCCCGGATGACGAGGCCTGCGAGCAGGGAGTGGGGAAGATGGCTCCCCCGGCTGCCGAAACCTGATATAAAACCTCCCTTGCTTGCCCATTTCCTCTCCAGTGAATCGAGCAGACAGCATCCCCTCTCCTGCCCGTCCACCATCTCCTCTCACCATGCGTTCCTTCATCTGGCTCCCTGCCACTGCGGTCCTCGCGGCTTTGGCCGAGGCCACAACCCTCTCTACTCTCGAAGAACTGTGCACCGAGTCCATTGCTCAGGCAGCCCTGCCGCCCTCCGAATTCATTCAGGGCCTCACGATTGACGCAAGCTCGGTGACGACCAACATCGTCACCAACGACAGCGTCTCCGGCAATGACTACCCTAATGCCGTGATCAGCTACTGCAACGTCACCCTGGCCTACTCCCATGATGGCATCGAGGGTGACCAGGTGCTCCTGGAGATCTGGCTGCCTGCACCCTCCGACTTCCAAAACCGCTGGCTCTCCACCGGTGGAGGCGGATACGCCATCAACTCTGGAGACACCTCCCTCCCCGGCGGCATCATCTACGGCGCCGCCTCGGGCATGACAGACGGCGGGTTTGGGGGCTTCTCAGACCAGGCGGACACCGCGTTGCTGCTTGCCAACGGCACCCTCAACTACGAGGCCCTGTACATGTTTGCCTTCAAAGCCCACCACGAGCTCAGCGCCATTGGCAAAGCCTTCACCCGCAACATCTACGGCCTCGCCGATTCCACCAAGCTCTACTCCTACTACCAGGGATGCTCCGAGGGCGGCCGTGAGGGATGGAGTCAAGTGCAACGGTACGGGGACGAATGGGATGGCGCCGTTATTGGGGCCCCTGCCTTCCGGTGGTCCTTTCAGCAAACCCAGCACCTGTATTCGAACATTGTAGAACAGACGCTGAATCACTATCCCTCACCCTGCGAGTTTGACTTCATCGTGAACGCGACCATCACGGCCTGCGACCCGCTGGACGGCAAAACTGACGGCGTTGTCGCCCGCACCGATCTCTGCCTCCTCGACTACAACATCACCACGCTCATCGGCGAGACCTACTCCTGCGCGGCCTCTCGCGGCTCCCCAGCCGTGAACGGCACCCTGACCGCCGAGACCATCGAAGTCGCTCAAACCATCCTGGACGGCTTGCACGACTCCGAAGGCCGTCGGGTGTACTTCTCCTACCAGCCCAGCGCGGCCTTCGACGACGCTGAAACCCAGTACAACAGCACCACCGGCGAGTGGGAGCTCAACATCGATCAGCTGGGTGGCGAGTACATCGCGCTCCTGGTCAACAAGAACGGCACAACGCTCTCTAGCCTAGAAGGAGTCACCTACGACACACTGAAGGACTGGATGATCTCCGGCTTGCTCGAATACTGGAGCACCCTGCAGACCACCTGGCCCGATCTGACGCCGTACCACAACGCAGGCGGAAAGATCATCCACTACCACGGCGATGCGGACTACAGTATCCCGACTGCCTCGTCGGTGCGGTTCTGGGAGTCCGTGCGGACCACTATGTACCCCGGCCAGGATTACAACACCAGTTCTGACGCTTTGAAGGACTGGTATCGCCTGTACACGGTTCCCGGGGCGGGCCACTGCGCGCCGAATGATGCCATGCCGAACGGGCCCTGGCCGCAGACGAACCTGGGAGTGATGATCGATTGGGTTGAGAAGGGGGTCGTGCCGACGACCCTGAATGCCACGGTCCTGCAGGGCGAGAATCAGGGCCAGAATCAGCAGCTTTGTGCCTGGCCGTTGAGGCCCCTGTGGGTTGATGGCGGGGAGACTCAGGAGTGTGTCTATGATCAGAGATCGATCGACTCGTGGCATTATGATCTGGATGCCGTGCCGGTGGTGGTGTATTAGGCTTGATTTTGAGGGGTTGAGAGGTTCGAGATGCGATGCCGCGGAGGGGAGGAAAGCGGATATTTATTATTATTGTGATGTTAAACAGATGTCTGGGCAAACATGCTCCACGAGTACCCCAATGCCGAAAGCATATTCACATCCACACTCCCATCATTGCAATCTGGACTTGTGTAATGCATACCTCTCCGTCTCACACACTATATCCGGTGCCACATTTCCCACCTTTGTATTCAGGCAGCGATCTTGTTCCCAAAACTCTCTTGATAAAATCAACAAGCCTTAAGTAGCCTAACCGGTGCATCAGAGGATACTCCATCTACTCGGAGTGTCCCTGATTCATCACGCTGAGGGGCGGCGGTGGCACTATTTTCCGTCCTCTCCAGAGGGGAGCTGGCCGTCACTGGCGGGGGGAGGAGGCACCTGGCCGCCGGCGGCCGGGGCAGGGGAGCTTGGTGGAGGGCGGGGGCAGCGGGCTCCTGGTCGGTGGGCGGGGAGGCGGCACCTGGTCTGGGGGGGAGGGAGGGGGCGCTTCGCCGGCGGAGGGGGCGGCACCTGCTGGTGGTGGTGCTGGTGCTGGTGCTGGTGCTGGTGCTGGTGCTGGTGCTGGGCGGGGGGGCGTGGTGGCCACCACTACCACCACGCCCACCACCACGCCCACCTCTTCCTCCTCGCCCTCCTCGCCCTCTTCTCCCTCCTCTTCCTCCACCAATTGCTCCTCTTCCTCCTCCTCCTCCTCCTCCTCCTCCTCTTCCTCCTCCTCGTCCTCCTCCTCCTCCTCCTCGTCCTCGTCCTCGTCCTCGTGCCTCTCGGTCACGCATAATCTCACGCCCCTTCATACTCATTAGCATTGAGACATATCCTATGGCCAGCCCTTTGCTTACCCATGCGCGTAGGCCCAAATAGATGGCATGGCTGGGGCATTCATGGGGCATATGCCCCCCCATTTGGCAATGGAAGCACGTGGGCTACATTACAGAGTGTTAGTCAATGTACAGTCCTTCCAGCCCCAAGGGCACAAAGCAATGAGATATAAGTGGATCACTTACTGTCATGGCTGGGCGGTGGGGTGGCGGGCGGGCGGGGAGTCTTCCTAAAACTTATTAAGATTTCGAACCATACACGACTCGCAAGTCTTCACGGCAATCAGACGATACTCACCCAGGGAAAATAGCAGCAGAAGGAGCAGCAGAAGCAGCAGTAGCAGAAGCGGGGGCAGGAGAAGCTAAGTCAGACATGGTACAGTCAGACTCATGCCTTATTCTCAAGTCTTCACAGTAATCGGACAAGACTCACGCGAATCTCAGCAGCAGCAGCAGCAGCGGACGCAGAAGAAGCTAAGCCGGACATGGTACAGTCAGACTCATGCCTCATTCTCAACTCTTGACAGTAACCAGACAAGACTCACACAAAGCTCAGCAGCAGAAGTAGCAGCAGACGACGTAGAAATCTCTTTCTAAGCCGGACAAGGTACAGTTAGACTTGTACAGCACTCTCAACTCTCACAATGCTCCCACAAGACTCACAACGATTGACGGGGGAACGGGGGGCAGCGCAGGGGCAAAAAGAACGAGGTGGCCAAGGGGAGAAAGGAGAAGAAGAAGAAGAGGGAGAGAAGGAACGAGAAGAAAGGAAATCCGGTGGGAAGAGGGCTAGGGCGAGGGGGTCATGTGTTGTTGAGGGTGTTGGGGGGGGGGGGGTGAATCTACATAGATTGAGCACGGCCAATCATGACCGGGGCGCCAGGCACCGGGTTACACAAGGAGTATACGACCCAGGTGAGGTCAACACCCAAAGTTCTATCCCTTTCATCGAGAATTACAGAGCATTGCATCGACAGATTGGATCAGATGTCCGCAGGTGGATGCAGCTGATCTTTCCGCATCAATTGATACCCATATTGTCTAGTATCAAGCACGGCGCGGGGGACTGATGGCCAAGAGACTGTTCCGATTATCTCACTCGGTACGTAACCCGGATCGGGCGAGGTCCCACGCCGGCGATGGCGCAATCGGTCGCTGGCCTGGTAGCCTGAGGCTGTTGAGCGGGGAAGAGGCAGTTCTGCAATCCAGCCGATAGCACCATGGTTTTGGCAGCGAACCTAGTAGTACTATCAAGTTTCCAACCATTTCTCATGCTCGTTCTCCCCACGCTGGGCTACAGCAAAGTCCATGCAAGATATATAGCCAAATTGAACGCTCATGCAGCTCCCAATCTTCCTGCGAGGATTCCATCTGTTTGACAGGTTGTGAAATGATACGATCCTCAGCCTTAAAACTGGTCCGTGCACCCGGGTCACCGATGTTGCAGAATCCCTCGAGGCCAGGAGTTCAAAAAGGTCAAGGCCCAAGGGTGGAACATACGATGTTATGTTTACATGGTGACACTGCTCGAGATTTCTAGGAATGACATTCGTTCCGATAGTGCGGTTGCGAAAAAAAAAAAAAAAGAAAGAAAACAAAAACAAAAACGGGGACGCCAACCGCAATTTCCGACTACCAGACTTCTGACTGACAATTGCCTTTCCTATTTGACCTCCGCGTACTCCTGCAACGCATCATACAACCGCCCAAAGGCACCGTTGTGCCAGCCCCGGGCCTCTTCCCACTCCGCCTCGGGCATCGTCACGCCCATCATCCGCAGCCAGCCGCCCACGATCAGATCGGCGTAGCTGGCCTGTTGTCCGAGGAGGAACGGCCCGCTCCTATCCCTCGAAAACAGCTTAGCGAGCTCCCCCAGGGCATCGTGGAAGGAAGTCTTGATGTTCTCTCTCATCTCGCTCGTGATCGCAAAATCATCCCAGGAGGAGACGCCCGCCCGCCGGACGAATTCGGCCTTGGTCTGCTCGGCGGTTTCCGGATCCAGCGGCATATTTTGCATGAGCGCCACGTGCGAGGTAAAGAGGGCATCGATGCTGGTGTTGAATCGGGCGTAATCGCCAAACTCGATATCGTTCCGCTCGGAGAGCGGCACCATCAGCGGCCCATCGGTGGTGAAGGTGTAGTCGAGCGATTGTTCGGGGAACAGGTTGCCTGCGCCGGAGTCGGGGTACGTCTTCTGCAGGTAGACGGCGATGTCGAAGGAATCCCCGATCAGGGAGCCGGTGGTGGGATCGGAGACGATGGGGAGCGTGCAGAAGTCCGTCCCGTCGGCAAACTTGCGACCGGCGGGCAGGCCGAGCCCGCGGCGGACGGGGGCCACTTCGGGCAGCTTCACCCACGAGGTCGTGTACGCCACGCCCTTGAAGTTCAGCGCCAGCCGGGCTTTCCACGGGTTCGGGCTGCAGCAGGTCTTGGTCACCGGGGGGCGCATGGCAATGTCGTAGAATGTGAGGGCGGTCATGGTTCCGAGATCTTGATGAGGGAAAGGAGGGAGTAGTGGCAGGGGTTGTATGGTTTTGTGTATAATGGTGTAATGATGAAGAGGAAAGGGAGCTTTTAAGATCTGAAGATCCACATGGACGAACTGCAAACAAGCTAGATACTCATCAGTCAGTCACCTCCAGTCAGATTGACTCATTTCGACTCATCGTCACCGAGTGGGGCTGCCCGCCCCACCTTCCGCGTGCGGTATAGTCGTGCTGGAATGGGCCAAATTGATCAACAGGAGGGTCATGTAGATATTGGTATCTGTAATAATGTCAAAGGCTGTCGCATGAGAAAATGCCTCGCGAGGGGGAATGAATTTGCCTGCCGCGCAAGGCAGCACAGGGCAGTCTCTGGCAGGCACGAACCTCAGGCATCCCCTACACTTTCCTCCTTCCTTTCACCTCCTCCCTCCTAACCTCAACTTCTCAACCGCCTCATCTCTCAGCCATGTCTTACCTCGCAGTCACGTCTTACCCCCAAGCATATTATTCCTGACAAGCAATCTCTGGCCGGGGCTTTATTCCTCTTTTATCCCCTTCCGATGCCCCCGTCACCAGTCCGCAGGTCTCCACGTACTATGTTGACACCATTCTAGCAGAGAATGATGCTGTTGCGCACCTGCACAGTCCGAGTGAGTATTCCAGCGGGTGGGTGGAAGCCAAGAGTCTGACGTCTGCTTATGAAAATGTTTTACCTGCGAGGCAATACGCTGATTGTTACTGTCCAGTGTTCAGTCCTCCTCGGATGCCATCGCACGTCTAACATCACTCCAGCAGTAATAGTGGCCACCACCACCACGCTCCCCCATGGAGCAGATGTTCGATCTTTTGCTGTCGACCGATTGGCTAGACACACCACACTCGTCGCGCCGCTCAAATCCTACCTTTTGGTTTAATTCTGTAATAAATTCCGCCATACCTTCTGCTGGCCGTGCATTCAACAACATCTCAACACAAAGAGCAAATATCCCACACCTCGCATTTTAGATCAAGGGGTGGACCCCATGTTACGGGGCGAAATATATATTTACATCATAGCGAGAAAAGCCTCGTCTCTGGAATCGAGGGGGCGCTTGCACAGCAGGCTGTAGTAGGCCGGATACGTCAGGCTAATGAATCCTACTACTCCTGCTGCTGCTGCTGCTACTGCTGCTATTACCATTATTCCTATGTAAATGGTAAGATAAAAAACGTTTGGTAACAGTCTTACTGTGATGATCAGTAATAATAAGCCTGGAGGTGGGAGGTGACAGCGAGGTCAGAGACAGTGGACAGGTGGTGAGTCATAGATGTGAGAGGTGAGGGGTGTAAGAAGAAGGTGTAATGTCTCGCGATGCGTCAGTAGTACCTGAGATTCACGCCTAAAACTATCAATCGCGGACTATTTCTCTATATTTCTCTTCCCTCGCGACATTGTTGGATACATAAGATACTCATTAGCTGCGTGATATTTCTCTGCAAAGAAGAGGACGATTATTATTAATATAATTACAAGTATTGTATCCTCAGAAGTAATTCTATAGGCATATAATCCACTCCCTCGAACCGATTCATGACCCTTCTTCGACATCAGTTTACTCAATTGCGTCAAAGACAGCGATGATACTATCCGGCAAAAACACACCAACAACGATATTCTTAAAGATGGGCTACGCTAGTTCCACCATTCAAGTATTTTATATCCTCAATCTGCAGTCAACAAACAACAAGTTCAACAGTGGCATCACCAATTATCTGAGTCACTCACTAAATACCAGACGGGCCGACGCATCAGACTATGGCCCCAGTTCTCCCGCGCCGGGGAGAAATCTATCCCCGCCGTGGCCTGAGCAATGGCGGGATCATCGCGATGGGCAATTAGTGATTATTTTTACAGCGAGATCGGCCGTACGGTCCACCCGCGCCGCGCGGGCCGGAGATGTATGACTTTCCCTTCCCCCGGTTTAGTCCTATTCCGAAGTTGGGGTGCGATGCGCGTTCCTTGCTTCTGTCCCGCTAAGATAGCGATCGCATTATGGGTTGTTTTGGTTTTCGAGTCACTACTGCGTCGATACCACATCTCAGGTCCCCGACAGCGGGCGACCAGTGTGCATCCACAGCAGCAGAAGTGTGATGAAGAGGACACAAATGCGGGAGTGAAAATTGTGTCGTTTCACTGCCTACAGTGGATGATGAGGAGTCCAGGGGAAATCTGACCAGGAGTAAAGCAGTCGATTAAGTTGCAATGAAAGGAACTATGGCAGAGATGTCGGAATGGCGAGGCAGGAGCGGAGGAGGACTGAGGCATCCAACGCGGCGTGGTGAGCATCGGCGTTATCTGATCGATCGATAACCTTAAAACGAACGTCGCGCTTCTCCGAGTGCTGGTATGCGGTTTTTTTTCAACCACCCTGCAGAGCTCTGGCTGGCTCATGGAATGTCAATGATATTGTAGAAGAGAAAGCAAGTCTAGCAGAAGAGAAAGAGGTACGGATGACTGAGATACGATCGCTACTGGAGAAGATTGTAAATGTCCAAAGAATGTATATTAAAGTTGAACTTGTCTAGGTAAATATGTTAATGTACAAGTATCAGTAACACTCCACCCTGGCTGTTACATCCCAGGTCGACTGGTCACTCCCGATTCAACCGCTTAAAAGACGGGGGTCTTGAAGGCGGGGAAGTTGTAGTAGAAGGTCTCGGCACCCTCAGCATCGGTCTCACACTCCCACGCGCCGTTCTTCCAGAGGGGACGCTTGGGGAACTGGCAGAGCTGCTGGACCTCACCGTCGTACTGGCCGGCATCGACGGTAGCGTTGAGCCAGGCGGGCTGGACACCGTTCTCGATCCACTGGATCATGGTCTCCATGTTGTCCTCGGGGAAGGGACCGTCGGGCTGGAGGGTGTTGCGGCCACAGTGAGCAGCACCGGGGACGAGGTACAGCTGGTACCAGGTCTTGAGCTTCTCAAGGGCGTCGGCGGTGGACAGAGAGGGGTACATGGTACGGGCAACGGACTGCCAGTAGTGGACGGAAGAAGCGGTGGGGACAGAGGGGTCAGACTCTCCGTGGTAGTGGATGATCTTTCCGCCGGTGGACTCGAAGGTGGTCAGGTCGGGGAGAGTGGTCTGGAGGGTGTCCATGTAGAGAACCATGGCCTCGTTCATCCACTCAATCAGGGTGTCGTAGGTGACTCCCTCGAGGGTGGACAGGTTGTCAACGTCCTGGAGCTCGATGAAACGGCCCACGAACTCCCCGCCGGTTGACGGAATGTCGCTAATTGATCAATTAGCATCGATATAAATGACTGGGAAAGGTTTGGGAAAGGTTTGAGCACTTACACGCCCCAGGTGCCGGTGGTGTTGTCGTAGGCGGTCTCACCATCGGTGAACTCGGCACCGATACGGTAAGAGAGGTACGCACGCTCTCCAGCAGAGGAGAACAGACCGTCGTAGATCTTCTGGGCAACCTCAACACCCTTGGCAGTAACGTTACCGCGCTGGGCGGGGGTGGTGGAGACGGAAGAGCCGTCGTTACGCTTGTTGAAGTTGAAGCCGAGGGAGGCGGAGGTCTCAGCGGCGCAGTAGTAGGACTCGCCGATGATGGAGGTCAGGTTGAACTCCAGCTGGCACAGGTCGGAACGGGAGATGACACCGTCAACACGGCCGTCAAGGGCGTCACAGCCAGCGATGGTGGCGTTGACGATCTTCTCCATCTCGCAGGTGGGGGGGTAGTAGTCCAGGGTCTGCTCGACCACGCTGGAGAACAGGTGGTTCACCTGCTGCTGGCCGTAGCGGAAGGCAGGGGCACCGATGATGGCACCATCGTACTCGGCTCCGTAGCGCTGGATCTGGGACATTCCCTGGCGACCGCCATCGGAGCAACCCTCGTAGTAGGTGTAGATCTTGGCGTCGCTGTCGAGGCCGTAGAAGGCACGGGTGAGGGGCTTTCCGACGGTGGTGAGCTCTCCAAGAGCCTGGTAGGCGAACATGAAGATGGGGTCCCAGTTGATGGTACCGTTACCCTTGATGTTGACCTCATCGACGGTAGTACCGGTCAGAGCGCCGTATCCAGCGTCAGTGGCACCACCGACAGCGCCGTACTCGAGACCACCGGTGCTGGAGGTACCCAGGGAGTAACCGAAGCCACCGGCAACGTAGAAGCGGTTGCTGAAGTCGGCGGGGCTGGGGAAGCCGTAGTTGAGGACGATCTCATCGGTGGTACCGGTGTGAACGTAGGAGACGCTGACGGCACAGTAGTCAGAGCCGGACTGCTGGTCGGAGGAGGTCTCGGCGGTGACGGTGGAGGGGAGCAGGTCGATTCCGAGGAGGGTTCCGTTGGCGGGGAGAGCAGCCTGGACGTTGGCGACGGTGCAGAGAGAGCTCAGGGAGGCAGTGTTGGTGGCCTTCGCGGTGGCAGCCAGTGCCACGGCGGCGGCGGCGGCACGCGAGTACTGACGCATGCTGACGGTTGAAGGGGGGTTGAAGATTAAGAAATCAAGAAAGATTGGAAATCGCAGGAGGAGTGCGAGAGAAAGAATGAATGGGTGGAGAGAAAGAATGTGAATTGCTGGATGGGAAAGTTAGGTTTGGGCCGGGGAAACGAGGTTATTTAAACTGCTGGCCAGCGAGAGAGAGGGGGAGAGAGAGAGAGAGAGCCGGTGATGGCTGTGACGCGGCCTCGGTCACACCATGCATGGCCTTGTTTCTTTTTCCGGGGCGTTCTGGCATCGCTGGCCGGAAAGCTAATCTCTGGCGTCGAGATGTGAGGGTGAGTTGCAGCCATGGCTAGAATGGCTGGAAGGCTTCGGTGGGGGAGCCCCTTAATGATCCTCCACTTCCCGTGCTGAAAGCGTAATCAAGTTAAACACACCGGGTTTCAGTCGGGGTCCCACCCACGGATCAGAGCCTTGATCCGGCCGACTCTAATTTGTTCTGGCTACGGAGGACTTGCTTTCGACTTGCCAGTGGTGGGTGAGTGGCTTGTCCTGAGACGAGGTGAGGTGTTTGGATGAGGAATCTTCATCAGCTACTCTCCTGGCCAGGAGGAGTGAATCAACATGCGTGAATAGTACCGCGTGTCTCTTTTTTCTTTTTTCTTTTTTTTTTTTTTCTTTTCCCCTTCCCTTCCTGCAGGAAGCCGGTTCCTGACCAGTCTGCCGATCTTCGCCCCATACGGTGCATCTGCGGCTCAATTAGAGTAGGGCTACTTCGTCAGATTATTGTGGGACGAGCAACTTGCAACGCGAGTGGTTTGCTGGGAGATAGGGACGTCATCCGGGTCGCTGATTGGGGTTGTTGGTGGGCAGCCCGGATGGGGATGCGTACGTCAGGAAATATGGAAGAAGAATTACCAGAATTGCGGACGCGTAGGCTTGCAGGCGTCGCACTACCGGGGTGGACCGGGTGGAAACGGTGGAAACGTTCTAGGGGTTTCAGGGCCGCGCCAAGAGGGCTGCAGAATCGAACCCCCCGGCACTTAGGCCACCCTTGGCAGGCAGGGTTTGGCAGTCGTGGATGCGTCCAGAAGGCGTTGCCCCTGGTTCGGATAGAGTGCGATCGAAAGCTTGAACCACCGCCCTGATGTGACCATCATTTCTTCCGAAGTATGTGAGGGCCTGCGATCAGCGTAAACCAACCACCACCATCGGCATCGGTATCACCACCTACTTCTCACTCCCCCTCCATCTGTCAGCTCCTGTCAGGTGGATATTCCCTTCGCATCCCAAGAACACCTTCACCCTCCCTCCCTCCCTCCCTCCCTCCCTCATTCCCGCACATCCCGCGCGCTAGAGTCAAAATGCCTCAATCTCACGCTAAGGGGTAAAACCTTTGCAGGAGATCCACAATTCGGTTATCTTCATTCCACTTTTCAAGGCCACCGGACCCACCCGCGAGAGGCACAGCCAGTGCGAATGGCGAACGGTGTGCAATGAATGGACCCCCCCCCCCCCCCCAAAAACCGCTTAGTAGGGTACGAGTACAATCTTTCGTGCCTCTGCCGGGAGGGGCCTTTCTTTGCTGCCTGGATATCTATCTCTCTCCCAGATATCTCGATACGGAGTAGTCTATCTCTCTATCGGAGGTCGTGAACACTCTGCAGACCTGCAGCAGAGGTGCCAAGGGTTCTAGTCTACTCCCTCCGTAGCGCTCCCTTCCTCCCCTATCTGCATGCTGCCGGGGGCTGTGAAGGCTGGTACGCGCACGTTCCCGGCATGGAAATTTGGTTGGGTGGGGGGTCCGGCAGGGTTTAGCGTCTGTAACTGCCCTGCTCAGGGCCCTTGCCATTGTTGCAGGCTGCAGCCCTGCCAACGGTTGATGAAGCATGCCTTGCTTCATGTTCTGTGCCCCGTGACGCGTTGCTTGGATGACATGACAGGAGGAAACTGGCAGGCCCTGGGCCCTAGACCCATTGGGACCAGGGGTTCAACCCGGTTCAACCTTCGAGATCTATCAAGAAACATCAACCCTCGTCATACTGTCTGTCTTGGAGGTAACTTGCTTCCCCTCATAACAGTGTTAGTAGAAGTAGAAGGAAAGAATTGTAGAAGATGAAATTTACATGCGTAACCAAGTAGCTTGATGATGTTTTGTGCCTACCAGTCTCAGGAAATATATATCTGTGGTTGGGGTTCCCCAGAGGGGAATATATACCCGCACCGCAGACATCGATATATATATATATATATATACATAGTATCTATAGTTTCAGTATATCCAAACATCCAGTCACAATTATATCAACCAAGAGATCATGTAGACCGGGAAAAACTACCATACAGATTGAATCTACAACGCCTGTTACCCTACACGTCCACAGCATTCCCCCACAGGCAACATTCCCTCCAAACCACCATCACCATCACCATCACCATATCCAGCCGCCATAGCTGAAGCCTCAGACATCGCCATCGCCCTACAGGTCATGTGATTGCCCGTGGCAGGAGCAAGACTTGTTCCGGCTGCTTCGTTTCCCCATCTAGGGTTCTAGCGCGCGGCGGCGGAGATTAACCGGCGGATGTCGTCCCCAAAGCGTCTCCGGCCCCCTTCGCTCCGTAGAACTCCGTCGGTCATGATATCCGACCATGCAGGTGGCGTAATTTAGCGGCATATCTTCTGATCCCAGCTGACGTTTATCTCGTGCGGTTGCAGGATCACACCCCTGAAGCTGGAAGTATTGCAGTCGGAGATGCTGCGTAATCAATTTCCACCAATTTCATGCATGTAAGAATATAGCATCTCGACCTATATTAGCCAGCCTTACGAGCTATGAAGCGAAATTTGTCACAATAACACCGTCCTTAGTCCGGGACCCTACCCAGACAGACTACTCGAACAGCCCAACTCCCCAACCACGCCACGCACAACCGTGTAGAGAAGAGGCTTGGACGCTGCAAATTACGATTAGTCACCCTACCCATCCAAGATAGTTAACTAGACAGAGGGGTGGAAGTGGGCCAAATCCCGGGGTGTCGAATGTCAACCATTTAGACTTCATGGGTGTGACGCTGCACCTAGATAGGCGCTTGCCTTCTAGCCTGTCCGGTATTCCGTATGGCGTCCGGGTATGAGACGGTCTCGGTCAGACCATTTTGGCGTCTGGGCATGGCTTGCGGTGGCTGATTCACATTTTACCGTTCAAACCCCTGTCTTGGCGATGCAGCAGTGGTTGTGCATTATTTACTAGTGCTCGATGGACTTCTTGCAGAATTTGACAAGTGCTTACTTGCTTGCTCCATGACCAACTGGAACTTTCCCGCCGGAAACCCCCGAGCACTCCGTCGCACTCCGCCGAATCTTCGTATCTGCCGCGTGGAAACTGTAGATAGTTGGTATATTGCCCTTGCCACTAATTCATATGCTACGGAGTTCAGGAGAGGAGATGAAGACATGCAGCCAGTCAGCTAGCTAGCTAGATAGCTAGATAGCTAGATAGATAGATAGATAGCCATCACACCGACTTTGCAGCACTCGGTAGACGAGTGGTGGAAATTGGGTCCACGGGTAGGACCCACGATGCTTCTTCACCCACAGCGGTCAAGTAGATAGGGGGAGAAAAAGGTTAGTTGCATAGGGCAACGGGACGACTCTAATTCCAATGAGGAAGTAGAATGGAAAAGGCAAGGACTTTCAGATTAGTCAGGCGGAGTCCGCCAGGATAGGGGGATTTTCGATTTTCCCACACGTTCCACATCCGCTGGCTGAAACGGCCTGTTCGACCTTCTGGCACACGAATCGCCCATCTGGACGGACACGATCCCCACAATCATACGAATCGGCAGCATGATTGTCCTCTGAAGTAATCCCGCCAGCGCCTCCCGCCGCTCATTCATGCTCGCCAGTTCCAAGGACAGTATCCCATCCAACACCTTGTAGCTCTACATACGCGCGCGGGGCTTCCGTACTCCCCCCCATCAGGCAAGACGATTCCGGTCACCGCCACATCGCTGACGGGCGGGTGCAGCAGCAGGACGGCTTCGATCTCGGTTGGACAGACTTGAGACCTAGATAGTTAGTTAGTTAGTAGATAGTAGATTCGTCAGCGCCTCGCAAGATCCCCATCCGCGAAGCTAAAAACAGCACTAGAAAGAACGACGCGAGGAGGTTATGGGGACATGGCGGGAGGGGGGAAGGATCTTACCCGCGCACTTTAATCAACGCCTTCGACCGGCCCACAATGAAGTATTGCCCGTTCTTCTCGTACGCAACGTCTCCGGTGCGGAACCATCCTTCAGCATCCACGTCCTCCTGCTCCCCGTGGCCGATATGTCCTTTAAACAGTCCCGGCCCGCGGATATACAACTCCCCAGACCTGGCCCGCGCAGGATTGCTCGTGCATGGAATCCTGGAATTTCTCCGTCGAGGAACGTCTACGTATCGCAGTGAAGATATTGATCTGGTTACGTCCAGTGTCTTGGGGGCTTGGTTGATCAAGTGCACCATGGTGGGGACGAGGTAAGTTTCTGTGATTTCGTACTGCCGGATAGCGTCCAGGAAGAGGTGAGGTTTTGAAGCCCCGCTGGATGTAGAGCGGGGGTGGCCGTAGCGGAGAGGAAAGAGGTGCGTCCAGAGGGAGCTGAACAGGTGGAACATAGGGAGGGAGATGAGACGGGACTGGGAGGGGAGGCGAGGTGCCGTGGTGAAGGAGGGTGAGGATGGTGTTTGTTCTGGGGGTCGAGGTCGGGGAGTCTGGGGTTGAGATTGGGCCCCGGGCCTGAGGGAGTTAAGAGTAGATGTCAGGGATACGTCATCCAGGAGGAGAATGTTTTCAGCAGAGATGCTGTTTTTGGCCGAGACGGGAAGAACGGTTGGAAGGGCATCGTCCTCGGCGATGATCCACTGAGGGTTGGTGAGACGGACGAGATGATCAAGTTCATCCCGCTGGCTGTGCGGGCTCGAGCCCATGCAGACGCCTCCTGCCCCGATGATGGAGAGGAATAGGGCCGGGTAGAGGACCTGAAAAGGTGAGATTATGTCGGAAGGGGAAGCGGTGGGACTTAGATGATTTGCCAGGTGGAGGAGGACACAATCTCTTCGCACAGGGGATTGGGCCTTGAACCCGGCGATTAAGGTATGCACGAGCAGTCGGAACTGCGTGGAGTTGAGTGTCCGGGTTGGGTCGTGGGCATCGACGATGAGAGGCTTGGACGCGTCATACTCATGCTGGGCCTTGAGGGCGAAGGACACGAAGTCCTGGGAGGCAGAGGTATGCATGACGATGGCAGCAGGTCAAGAAGGTGCAGACAGGAAGGCATGTAAGGCATGAGGCGAGGACTGACCCGAGATCTATAGAAAGATCAAATCCGCCAACCCAGGGAAACATAAACCGATACCCTAAGTGGATGCCGTGCACGGAAAGTCCGCGGACACCAGACTCTCGACGACATCTGTTGGTAGGATCGACATGTAACCTGTAGCCTGATAAGCTAAACAATCAATGTAACCACTCGGTAAAGGACCACGGGTTGGGAAGACTCCGCGGAACCACAGAAGCCTTGCTTTCAAGAACCATGTTTCGGCTATCAAATCAAATTGGGCTATTATGGCAGTACAAACTTAGCGATACTGGCTAGCCCTTTCATCACCTCCACATTTATAGACACTTCAGGCCGCGGCCAATGCCGTCTGAATCAAAGGAACCAACCCCGGATCGAGGCGATCAGCCGCACCTCCAGCCAGGACATCGATGGATGATCCCCCCAGGAGCTGCAACACCGGCACATCAACCCCCAACTCCTTCACGAACCACATGCGTAGATCGACCGCGACGAGCGAGTCGACTCCAACCTCCGTTAGTAAGGTCGTGCCTGCAAGAGCGGAATCGCCCGGGAGATGCAGCTTGTGGCGCAATTTCCCCCGAAACCCATCGGCGATGATCTCCGCCACATGCGACGAGTTGGCCGCGCCAGCAACTGTGTTTTAATAGGCGCTTGCTCCGAGCCGGCGGTATGCACTTCAGACTGCCGGTAATACTCCACCAATGGCCACATCTTGGGGTTGCGGTACCAGAGCACATTGGGGAACCGAGCCGGGTCTCTCATGTCCAGACCCCCCCATAATCTTCGATAGCTCGTCGTAGAAATGGTCCGAGTCTACAGGCCGCATTCCCGACACGGTTGAGCCCTTGGGAGGCAGAAGTGTGGATTTCTGGGCCCCAAGCGTAACGTCTATGCGTCCCGATGCACAGCAGCGCAGGATACCATCCATAGTAGCCTGACAGGTAAAGGCCGGGCTATCTGTTCCCCATCCGCTCTACCAAGCTGCGAAAGAGTAAAGAGCATTTCCACACCGAGAGTATCATCGGGGATGGTCATCGTGCGATCAATTGCCAGACCATGGATGTCCATGGGTCGAATTGACCGTCGCCCAGTCATGGCCTGGGATGCCTCGAGCGCCATGGTAATATAGCCGGTAGCTGGAAACACGGTCTGGGACTGCACTCGGTATGCGTCCAGGCATTCAAGATCATGCGGCCGCAGGCAGTTCCGCCATCGCCACTCGCCCTCTCCGGTCTCCGGACTGGTCGCTCCCAGCAGAGGGTGGACGGGCAAGGGAAGGTGGATGTAGGCGTCGCTCAGCCGCGGAACGGCAGAGTAATCTGTGTCAATGATCACAAGGGCATGTAGGTAGACCCGGAAGATATATTAGATCCCGCGCCGGGGAGAATAGCCGGACATAGGATGAAATATCAAGAACTCTGCCTCCGAGATACGCGCAGAACGAGCCCACCGCCAGAGCAAGGGCTTCGACGCCGCCATATTTGCGATTAGCTAGGGAAATATAAGGCATATCGGCATGTTCAGGTTGGATCGTGGAGAGAGTCTGTAACGTGGGTCCCTGGAGGGCAGCATGAGGTCCGACTTCCACGATGGCATCGACACCCGAAACATGTTCCATGGCGGCTATTAACGCCTGCGAAAAGCGCACGGGGCGAAGCATATTATTGCACCGGTATTAAGGCTCGACATCCTCCATAACCTGGCCGTCAAAAAAAATGGAGAACCATTTTACGCCAGATGGGGTCTTGCTAGTCTCCATCGGGAACGCCTTCATCGCCTACAGGTAAGGATCGGCGCAGGGAGCCATGTGGTGAGAGTGATAGGCCGTGTCGACTCGCAGACGGCGTGGGGATTGCTCCAGGCTTTCGAAGAGCCATTCCAACTCGGACAACATGTCGCTGTCCCCCGAGAGCCTCACGCTAGTGGGGGAGTTGGAGGCCGCGACAACGACCCACCCAGAGTAGGGAGCTTCGCTGCAGATAGCCTGGGCTTGGTCCCACGAGATACCAAATGCCAGCATGGCACCCGATTGCCCCTGGCATCCCGCATGCGACGCGGGAACTTCACGGAGATACGCAATTCGGATGGCATCCAATGCGGTCAATTGTCCTGCTCCGTACGCTGCGCCAATCTCCCCGGACGAGTGTCCAACAACGGCCGCGAATTCGATCCCGAGAGAACGCAGAATTCGAATTTGGATTATCTGTAGGGCTGTGCGAATAGGAAGCGAGAAAGCTGCGGAGTGGAGCCGGGAGATGACCTCTGGGGCTGACAGCTCATCGAGCAGTGTGAACTTGGGCCAGTCTTGGGCTGGGAGGGTCTCGAAGGAGTCCAGGAGCTCCTGCAACCACGAGGCTGCGTGAGTGCATGTGGATATCACATCCAGGCCCATCTGCGGCCACTGCGCACCCTGACCCGGAAAGACAGCCAAGACACTCTGAGCACCAATCTGGCGCCGCCGTGTAATGGTTGAGGGTTGCTTCGCGGCGCGTTGTCATAACTGCTGCTTGATCTTCTCCTGTGCATCTTAAAACGAGTCAGCCGTGAGAACAAGGCGGTGGCTGAGCACCGATCGTCTGGTCAAGAGTGAGCCGGCCAGATCCAGTAAGTCGATCGTGGGATGCTACGCGAGGAAGCTCTCATACTGCCGCAGAACTGCCTCAAGGGATTCTTCCGATGCAGCGGAGAATGCCAATGGGAGTATCCCCGAACTTAGGGTTTGAACGCCCGAGTCGGCCGCACCCGATCCAGCTTGACTGAAACACTCCAACACGGCATGCGCATTCGCACCATCAAAGCCAAACAAGTTGATTGACACGCGCCGGGGGGTGTTGGATGGGAGATCCGGCCAGGGCAGGGCCTGAGTGGGAACTCGGAGATGAGAGGCATGCTGAGCAACACCAGGGCTGAATTGCTGGAACAGGAGGTTAGGAGGGATGATACCATGCTGAATGGCCAACGAGGCCTTGACGACGCCAGCTAGGCCTGCCGTGGCTTCGGTGTGTCCGGTCAGCATCTTTATCGAACCTGCGCATATGACATCCTCCGCCGGAGACTCCGGGGAGAAGAAGGCGCTCGCAATAGCAGAAGCCTCCGGTGGATCTCCTACTGGTGTGCCCGTGCCATGAGCATCAAAGTATTGACAGCGGTCTTCCACGCGGGTCGGATCCAGTCCTGCACGAGCGTAGGTGGAACGTATCAGCTCGCGTTGGGAATCGTCAGGGACTGATTACGGCCATCGGCATGAAGCCCGGTCGAACGGATGACGCATTCAACCGGGTCGCCAGCTGCCATCGCATCGTTCAGGAGCTTTAGCACCACCGATGCCGTCCCTTCGCCCCGGGCGCATCCATCTACCCGCGCGTCCCACATGTGGCTGCGGCCCTGTGGTGACAGTATCTGCATGTGCGAGCCCTAGATGAAGGAGCCCGGGGTAAGCATCAAACTAGCCCCAGCCGCCACAGCTAGCGTGCACTCTCTGTTGCGCAAAGCCTCCACGGCCAGATACAATGCGGTTAAACCCGAGGAGCACGCCGTGTCGACGGTAAACGAGGGCCCACGCCAGTCAAAGAAGTAGCAGATGCGGTTGGCTACCACGGTCGTCGTGTCTCGGAGAGGAGAAAGGGACGGTGTAGGGCATTGGTGTCCGCCATGAGCAACTTTGCATAGTCACAGGGCATGACTCCACAATAGACTCCCGTCGATGAACCCTCTAGCTGCTCCACTCGCCGTCCGGCTCTTTCGATGGACTCGTGCACGGTTTCCAGGAGCAATCGCTGTTGAGGATCCATGGCTGCCGCCTCGGCCGGTGAGATGTGAAAGGATGAGGCATTAAAGACCCAGACATCCTGGTCGAGGAAGTAGGCCTCCGGGGAGTTCGTCATGCCAGGACGGGCTTGTAGAAAACGTCACTATTGAAGCGATCATGTGGCGGCTTTGACGCGACATTGCGCGGGTTTTGGAGAAAGTCCCATTAATCGAGAAGGCGACGCGGCTGAGCCTGAGAGTTGGCAGCCTGTACCTATGATGGCAATGGATTACGCCGATGTCATGGTGTCTGTCGGGTCTCAACCCAGCACAAACAAGTGGGAGGATGAAGTACTCCTTCAGAGAAATTGCGAGGGAAGTGGAAAAGTAACGGGGTTAACGGTCAGCCTTAACTTCAAAGTTATAGGATCATAGCAGGGTGATAAGGCAGGTTATCAGTCTGAGGCCTTATAGAGACTTCTCTTCCTCTCTTCTCTCCGCGCCTCTGATTTATCTGCTCCCCCCCCTCTGTGGCCATCTAGCCAGTCCGCGGAGCATTCCGCCTATCATCACCTCGAGGTCCCCAGATTCAGCATGTCTTAGTGGTAGAATGAAACGAACGCCGAATTACCACGGTGACAATGGCAACACGGGAGTAGTCGAAGTCAATGATGTAAGAGCTAACCAATAGAAAGGTGGTCCTGTCGTGCAAAAGCAAGCTTCGGGATGCCGACATGACGTCTCCACGTGGGAAACCCTAATACATAGCCGTAGTACTATCCTGTCAACACTGTGTCAATTTCCTGGAAATTTCTCAACGAGATATGGAAGAACCTTCCATGTCCAACGACTGCAGAGGTCTCGCCTCGGCCATGGACTTCGATGATCAGGAACCCCCCCCTTCCCTTCGTCCCCGGATAGTGAGCACACTCCACCGTCCCATTCCTGCCCGTTTCCCGCTGTTTCTTCGCTATCTTCTGTCCTTCAAGTACTCCGCGGTTGCTTGACGTACTATCGACTGCAAATAACTCCGCCGACTCACTGGTGCAATAAAGACACGCGGCTATGATTGGTACTCGGGCTTTTGGCTCCGAGTTTACGATGTCCTCGTGCACTGGTTCAACGACCGCTTTGTCTGGAGATGCCCCCCTTTGTCCTCCACGCGTTCTTTGTGGCCAACACCGGGTCCCGGCATATGGATATTGGCGTCGGAACCGGCCTTTTCCCTGCTGTCTACCGCGACGAGATGCAGCACGAAGGTAAACAATGGCCTCAGCAGTTGACTCTCGTTGACATGAATACCGCATGTTTGGACAAGGCAGCCGCCCGCATGAACTGCCCCGAAAAAACCACCGTCCTCCAAGCGGACATTTTTGAACCCATCCCTGTTCCCGCCGAGACCAAGTTCGATTCCATCACGCTGATGTACCTGCTACACTGTCTTCCCCCTCCTTCGGAGCGCAAATCCACCGTCTTTGCCCATCTGAAGGACAATCTGACCCCCGAGAGGACTTTGTTCGGGGCGACTGTCCTGGGACAGGAAGTCCACCACAATTGGATCGGAAGACTGTGGATCATGCTCTACAACTGGAAGGGGATATTCCACAACGTCGATGATACTGCGCAAGCGTTCGTGAAGTCCTTGGAGCTGGAGCTTGAGGAGGTGGACGCAAACGTCGTGGGGGTGGTGCTGCTATTCCGGGCGAGAAACTCCCGTCTCCCTTGATCCATTGTCAGCACAGATGCCTGGATATGTGCAAAATATGATGCCGTGTCGTGTCCTGCTGTGACATCGAATCTATAATCTTCGAGACGAATTCGGTATTCATGGTAGCCGCTCGCTAACCGCTGAGCTTCATGGTTGCCTGGCCGGTGGAGATGAACCCCACTGGCGGGTGTAACACTCCTTATCGCCATTTCGCCATGGACCAAAGCCCGTCCTTGATCCAGTCAGATTCCCAACTAGATGGGACCGCCACCTCGTTGGTCCTCTTCCACAATGCTTTCTGCCTCGGGAGCTCGGATAGACCGGTTTACGGCATCAGTAATCCTAAGTTTGACAGTGGAGGAGACTGGAGCCATGGCCTGCGCCAAATGAGCGTAGTCTACACGCATCTGGTGAGAACCGGTTGATCATCTCAGTCACATCATGAGGCGTGATGCCTGACCAACTTACCTATCCAGGAGGGTCACTGGGCGGCTGTCTAGCATTAGAAGTTGCCTCCCGACTCATGCAACTCCCCCAAACACCGTGCAAGGTATCATCATGATCGACAGCATCTTTCCCACACCCGAAGTTACCGCCCATTACCCTCAGACGCTCCCCGATGTGATATCCAGCTTCCAGCTGCCAGTCCAGCAGTCGAAGAAACGCAGGGTTCAAACAGTTTCCGGAATCCGTGCTTCCTCCCACGGTGTTCATCCGGGCAGATGACTCCCCTGAAGACACACGCTAGATCGACATTGCGCGCAGCTGCAAGTACCTCGGATGGGATGAATATGGCACCGGCTTCATCCGGGCTTGTTGGGACACTCCGGGGAATCACTTCGCCCTTTTCGATGACCCTCATGTCTGTCTCCCCTCCCCTCCACTGCAGTCCTTTTGGCTGGGATAAACCTGCGTAGGGCGCTGACACCCCCTGCAGGTCGAACAAACCTCGAATCGACTCCGAGACGCATGTGCCTTGTTAGCTTTACGAACTAGAAACCGATAGCTCTTGGTGCAGAGTTTCAAACAGAAGTAAAAGCGCTATTTTAAATTTTTGGGCACGGCACTCCGGCTCTTCATATATCCGTCCTCGGTTGTAGTTATTACCATGCTGTAAGATTCAAAACTGGCCAGTCCTGGCGTGGGAGAGACGCCTGAATGGGAGGTTGAAGTGGGCCGTTGGGGAAAGGATGCGAGGTACTATCATAGATGAAGGGTTAGCCGGATAATCACTGGCAACAGAGGAGTAACCGAAGTTATTCGCATAATTCGACGCGAAGAAGCAAGTCCAAGCCATATATTCGTAGCTAGACGCGTAGCTGGGATTGTCGGTTGGTTGAAGCGAGATCCAGGATGTGGAAGAGGAATAAAAACTTCTGAAGTGGGCATTCACTTGCCCAGCAACCATGGCCTGACGTGCAGTGAATTGAGACCCTGCCTCTGCTGTCCTTCAAAGCCGCACGACGCCACTCCGCTGATCAAGACCCGGTTGCCAAAGGAACCCGCCTGTGCTCGAGGTGCCTGATTTATCTTTAGTCGCTCGAGTATGTCGTGGGACAATGTAAATGGCACCATTTACTGTTTGCTAATACAACCGGCATTGCACCTCTGAAAAAAGAAATTTCGAGTTGTTAAACCATTCCAGCGAGTTCCTTTTGGAAAGGCGATGCTGATCGAAATCATGTATGGCTTCTTGCCTATATTAATATCCGCAAGTCGCAGCATGGGTTTAATTTCAAACAGCGCCTGAGCGTGGACAACGACTTCAAAGTTTGCTATCACTGAGATTGGCGCAGCGTGATGCTTCTCCATGGCTGTATATCTAATAAATTATCGAATTTCAAGCTTTGATTCGAGAAAGCTTATTCTGTTAATACAACAGTAAGTCGAACATTCCCTCCTGTCTCTCGGCACCACGAAGCTGTAGTTCCGACTTAATCGCCTGCACTGGATTATTCACCTTATCCATTTTGCCTCGCAGTTTGAAGCTATATTTGGACTGTTTGAACAACACGTCAGCCTGCAACCATCTCCCACGACCCGAAAACGGTAGCAGACAGGAATAACCCTCACGATATACCCGGGAACGTCCAAACGGCCACATACAGCTCCGCCGCCAGAGCATGCATATCGTTTGTCTTTTGCGCCTTGACAGCCCTCCCAGTTCTCTGGATCAACTTCGGAATCTTCTCGAGAGCATCACACACATCTGACCGCAGGTTCATTATATTCGCAGCCGCCTACTCAATGCCAAACAGCTCGTATGAGCGACAGCCCACACCCAGCAACATAAATTCGAGAACATACATACCCCAGCCATCAGCTTAATCCCCCCACACACCACCGACCCATGCTCCGATTTCGACGGAAGCAAGCCCAACCACCCATCCAGAACCGGGGCAGTCGAGCCAGCTGCCTTGCCAATCGCCAGGAGGCATTTGTGTAGCGACCCCAGCTTCCCCGTGAACTCTTCATATCGCTTCTTCGCCAGCCCGACTGCCTCGATCACCTCGTCCCAGGTGTGTCCGATCCGGATGTCGACGTATGTCTTGTGCTGAGGACCAACTTTGGTCTTCCATTCTACTAACGCTTTGACAAAGCGAGCTTTCTCCTCGTCGGCTTCCTCGAAGAGATAGGAGCTGAAGGCTCGGCTGTTATTCGGGTTTCCTCCGATGAACGAGCAAGAGGCATACTGCGGATCAAGTTTCTTCTCACTAGAGAAAGTCGCAGCACCGCACTTCTCCCCCTCATATCCCGTCATCGCACGTCCATTCAAGCTGCTGCGAATATACAAAGCCAAGATGAAAGACAGTCTCCTGGATCGAGAAAGCCAGGCCGGTGGGGTCTCCGTCACGCCCTCATCCACCGAAACTGTCGAGGCGGAGAACGACCAATTCAGATGCCTGGTGGAGCTGTTGGATAGTCATTACTTGGAGCTGAAACTTTCGTCCTCTATTGCATGCCCGGACCCTTGGCATCTATTCTCCCCCGGGGATCTCATCTCGTCCGCACGGCAGCTGGAGAGCAGACCTTCCGAGTCACCGGAACGAGCATGAATCTGTGTTTGTTCAAAGCGAAGGAGAGGCATACCATCGGGCCTTCCGTGCGGCTAGGCCAGCGAGTCAAGCGCGGGAAGAAATTAGCAGTTTTATAAGTCCGCTGCTATTCCTACGGATGACGGCCGCCAACTAGTTCCGGTCGAGAAAGTCTTCACCATCCCCAGCTATGAAGGACCGTGGCCGGTTCAAAGTTTACCGGGTTATCCGCTAGCGAAATTCTGTGTTGGGGTAGAAGATATCAGATATAAACAGCGTGGTCGGAATAAGGTTCTTTGTACATTAGGGCTTTTGTCTTCCCCGTTGACGAAAGGAAAAGGCGCAGCATTGGTACACCACCGCGCCAGAGCCAACATCAACCAATGAAAAGAAATGACAGCATTCCATCAGGAAAAGAACAAGCCGCGCACTAGCGTCCCCATCCACACCCAAGCCCTGCCCCCCTATCTAGCTCCCGGACTCCCGAGCCTCAGCCCTAAGCCTCTGATTCTCCTGCAGCAGCCCGATAACGCCATCCATCACCAACCCCAGCCCCTGAACCAGCTGCTCCCCCACCAGATCCCCACCCCCTTCCCCCTCCCCCTCCCCACGACTACTCAGATACCCCTCCAACAACGGCCTCAAAACATCCAACCGCTCCCCCAACCTCCTCGCCCCCTCTCCACCACCGGCGTCTCCTCCCTTCCCCCATTCCCCGCACCCCCCTCCCCAAAATCAACCGACACACTCCCAATGAACTGCTCCGAAACCCTCACCACCTTCGGATACAACGGCTTGAGGATCGGATTCCGCCGCATAAGCTTCCGCACCCACTGCTCGCCCACCGGCGGAGCAGGCTCCCCGGTCCCCCGCCGCCCAATAATCTCCCTTGCCATCTCGCGGATGCGTCCGTGCGAGGGCGCCTTCTCCTCGTCCCGCGCGACCTGCAGCACCCACTGCACCAGGCCGTCCTCCTCCTCCTGGGTTAATTTGTAGTTGGCTGTGCGCGCCTGCGGCCCGCGTGGGGAACGGCCCAGGAGGCGCGCGCGGAGGGTCGAGATGGGCACGTTGTGCTGCCGCGCGGCTTCGCGGATGGAGGTCAGTCGGCCTTGTTTGAGGATTGTTATGGCGGTTTGGATGCGGGGTTCTTGGTTGGGGTCTTTGGCCTTTTTGGGGATGGGTGTGTCTGTGGGGGTTGGGGTTGGGGTTGGGGTTGGGGTTGGGTTGGTCATGCTGGGGGTGGTTTTGCGGGGCGCCCGGGGCCGCGTTTGCGGGTACGTTTGGGGGCATCCTGGAGGGTGGTTGTGGTGATGATGTATCTGGTTGATGTTGACGAGACGCGTGATGGTCGGCCGCGGAGCTCGGGTCTCGGCCCGAGGAGCGCGTCTGCATCGCTACGGCATGCGGGAGCGGCCAGAGTGGCAGACAGGCATGACAAAATGCGCATTTCGTCGAGTTCTGAGGATGGTTTTGCTGCCGGTACAGTGTGCTCTGGGTGTATACATATAGCGCCACTCCTATCCTCACACCTGTGTATATGCTGCCACATTAACCCCACCCTTTGCCCAAAGCACCCATATGATATGTACTACGTACAAAGCACCCGATCGATGCCTTGCAGCCTGAGCCATATAGGGCTGGGAACGGACCAGGTTATAAATTCAGAATCCTCCACAGACGCCCATGCCACGTATGATTTGCTAAAACGCGGCTTCAAGCCTGGTAATCCTCGATGATTGATTCCTGATGACACAAACCCCGGTACACCCACGAGCCGTGCCGCTCAAACAGCACTACGGAGTAATTTGTATGCCATCCATGACTCGCCAGCACAAGCAGTGGCTATTGCTATCTAGCGCAACTGTAGCCGGCTTCGATCATTTAGAGTAGCTCAGTAACTGGTGGAATCCGACATCGGGTCCACCCGTAGGCTAGGGAACTAACTCAGCCGGGGAAGATTGATGAGGGGGTTTGTTCGCCTGCGGCGCTAATACTAAGTAAATAGTGCTGGGATGGCGTCGAGCTAATGCACTATTCATGCATCTGCTGTCCGAAGTAGGCGAGGTGATTTGGCAATCGGCTGGTTAGACTAGCTACGGAGTAGTATGGATAGTAGTAGAAGATAGGTAGGTGATTTTCCTGATTGTCAGCTGCAGGCGGATCAATCCTTCGCCTTTGCAATTCGAATGTAACCTAACATCCCGCTTGGATTCTCGATCAGCCGATTGATTGATTTACTTTCGGTTTGTTCTCCGTAGAGTTTTGGTTCTCAAGCCATTTTTCCTACCAGGAGCGTATTCTTTGGAAAACAAACATAGATACATAAATAACCCGATACCACAAAGCAAAACAAAAAGACATCGCTGCATCGCATACGTCATTATCCGTGGACCATTCAAAAGACTCCCCGACCCTTCGACAGAGTATGAGACTCGGCCTGCGCGGTCCCCATATCGGAAAAGGCATGGGCGGTGGTGGTGAACCTCTCCGGGCCATAAAGGGGGGCGATGCGGCCCTGATCATCACTACCATCATCATCTATGGTCTCGAAGACCCTCGTGATCTGCGTCTCCTTCTTGATCCCCTTTCCCCACCCGACCTTTCCGAACTCGAGGTTGGTGGAGCCAGTGGTCGCAAGAGAAGATCGGTGAGCCGAGGTTCGGAGCTGGACGAACGTGCGTAGCGAGGGCAGCGACCCGGTCATGAGCCCGAGGTTGAATTCGATGACCATCCACACGAGGGACTTGGCGGCTGAGTCTGGGGTCGGGGTGAGTAATGAGAGAGGATAGAATAGAGATGGGTGGGTGGGCGTCGTGTCACATACAGGTATAGTCCGTTTCATCGGTGGCGTAGGTCAACGTGCTGAATCGGACGAGGGCGGCGATGCATGCGGCAAAGCCTGGTTTTCGAGGTGGTTAGTGGTTGGTTCTGGATATTGGATGGAAGGTCTGGTACGCGTACCAAGCAAAAGCAGGCCCAGGACTAGGATCCGTTGTCGGAGGGGCATGTTGAGGTTCCAGATACAACGGACGGGGAGGGTCAGAATGACCACGTCCATCACGAACATGATCACTCCCTGGAGGATGAGGATAGCAAAGGATGACTCCACCGTGTAGCACTGGGAATCGGTGATGGACTTGTCATAGACGGCGCGGAATGGTCGACACTGGAAGGCGAGGGCCAGAGTGCCCGAGAGGGTGAAGGCCGCAAGAAACCCTAACATGCATCTGCCGATGGCTTCGATCCGAGGGGTGGGGAAAAGACGCATGACGAAGATGGTCAGGCTGGCCTTGACCGCGAACGCCACTATGAGGTAGCTGCACTGGGCTGCATAGTAGATCTGGAATCCGTCTTTAGCGGTTGTGTCGGGTTATGCTGGGCGGTTGTTCTACTTACTTTGAGCCATATTACCAGATGCGACTCCGAGACGTAGCGGGTCCTCTGCCCCAGTCCGTAGTAGGTGATGGTATAGCCAAGAGCGGAGAACCCATTAACCATTATCTATCCCAGCTCATCAGCATGGAGGGAACTGTCTGATAGATTGCCGGGACACCTACCAGAGCGAACACCACCATCCAGTCGTCCAGCCCAAAGGATCTCAGGATAAACTTGCGCACGTACAGCTGTAACGACAGACATTAGAGGAACCGAGCCTTTTTCTTCATCGACACGCCAGACAGCCTTGCCAACCAACCAGGGCATACCCGTAGACAGCAGACCATCGTGGTCGGGATGGCGAGGACAAGCACAACCGTGCGGACAATAATAGCCATCGGAGGCACACCCCCCGGGTGTTGCAATGTAACCGATCCGTCCACGTTGAGCTCCATGGTGATTCGCAATGGTATAATGGTAGCACAAGAAAGATGTCCGGCCCTGGAAGTGTCATGACAGGAAACCTCCGGGGTTAAAAGCAGACGACTTATTCGCGGGCCCGACGGGAGATCCATAACATCCAGCCGTGGACGCCCAATGTGATTGGAGACAGGCGCCTAATGGGCGCGATCCATTTGGCAATGGGTTAGTCTAGCAGCTAGCAGAGCAGCTAGGGCGAGTCGCGCGGCCGCTAACCATCACATCGTCAATATTGCTTGCGCCAGGCCCGGGTCATCCGTTCGTCTTCCCCTCTTTGGGGGATCCCTGTCATCCCAGCCTCGCGCACGCACGACCTGTCACCATCACCCGCGGCGCAAATTCTGCCCTGCTAGGCGTGGGCGCCGTTGGCCCGAGTAAGGGCAAAAGTCGAATCAGATCCGGCTTTGTGCGCCTGGCGGGGTCTGTTGGCGATGTTGGCTATCTAGCCGTCTCGCCGTGGCCCAAACTTGCATAAATCACGCAATGGAGGAGATGGCAATGCTGCTCTCGAGGGTAATCAACGGGTTTTCGCATGCTGTCATCCCGCATTCATGCAGCGGTGGCTGTGGCTTGCAAAACACACACCACAAGGGACAAAGGAATTGTTTTTCATCGGGTGTTGGTTTGTCGCCGGGAGCCAACTGTCCAACGGCACTAGCAATAGCAGGGGTCGCTAGTCAATCCTAAGCAATATTAATAATCCCTTCTGCTCTGGTACAAAAGGGTCAGGTCGGAACCGGAATAACTCTTCGTGAGAATGAGATAATACATTATTCTGATTCTTATGTAAATTTTCAATAAACTATATTTTATAATTGATTGCTTTTTGTTATAATCTTTACATATATCTTGAATTTCTTTTATGTATATATATATATAATTTCAAACTTTGTCATGATTAATGGACTTCTGACGATACCATTGCCTCGGGAAAAACATCCCACAATCAAAAGGAATCTCCAGGGAAAAAAAAGAATGGAACCCAAAATCATGGCATCTGGTTTCAAAACACTATACTATACTCTCACGCACGATAGATCCCCCTATCCCAACCAATCCGTCTGATCCCGAAGCTCAATGGTTTCACTAGTGACCGAGATCTGCACATCCTTGACGATCTGCAGATCCGAGCGGGAGTGCCGCAAGATGGGATCTTCCATATGATCCAACTGCCGGGAAAGGGTGAGTGTCCTGCGTGATCTGGACCGGGGCTGGCTTTTCCCGCGCGACGACTCGTCCATGTACGCCAGTCCGTCGTCGTCCTCATAGGCAGCGAGGAACAGCTTCGCGGAGGAGAGCGTCAGCAGGAGGATGCTGGTGGAGAGATGCAGCTCTTCGATGACGGTGGCGTATGCGCCTGCCAGCGTGGGATTGCTGGAGGTGATCTGCTCTCGGATGGAGGTATAATGCAGTATGGCGAGGGGGATGAGGCTTCGGGTGGTTAGCCGGTTGTCCCGGTGTCCGTGGGGGACAGGCATCGTCGCATCGAGACTCACATTCCGCGGCAACCCAAGATGGCCAGGACAGTCAGCTTACGGGAGCGCTTGAGGTGCAGGCGGTAGATGAGCTTCACCGGATATAGCAGCAGCATGGCTTCGACGGCAATATCGAGCACGGTGATCACGGTCCAGTGCGTGAGCTGCTGTGAGTTAGTCGGTGCGGACAATGCTCAATCAATTTCCCTCGGAAAGCGGGTATGGTACCAGAGAATCACAGTCATGATTGATATCTTTCCAGGGATCACGGCTACACCGGATGGCGAGAAGGAAAGTCGAGAGAATGGTCCAGGCGACCGACAGTCCGAGCAATCCACGAGTGACCCGGCGGGTGGTGAATGGGGATAGGTGCTGGTAGAAGAGACTGGTGCAGCACTTGGACAGCCCGAGGATGATGATGTAGAGCAGGTCTGACGCATAGACGCTCTATACCAGAGATTAACAAGAAGTGGGGATGGAAACACAAAGGCATCGGGGGAGCACCTTGTCCATAGCCCCGGTGTCCGACGGATTGAGTAGCTCGCCACTCTTGCCCCATCCCACGTGGGCTTCGAAAAGCACCACACTAATTTGCGCCACAGCCACAGCCTATGGAGAAACCAGACAGTGGAGGTTCAGCTTGAATCGTGATGTATGAGAAAACGGGGGGGGGACATACGACTGCAAGGGTGAGGACATAATCGTCGTTCATGACCATCGACCGCTGCGAGACGGCATAGATTCGCATTCCGAGTGAGCTGAGGATCAGAAACAGACAGATGCTGGCAAAAATAATCACCAGCCCGGTATGGTTGTGGGCATTGACCTCCGCTAACGGCGGCGATACCCCCGTTGGCAAGCTGGTATATGTCATGGAAACACTCGGAAGCAGAATTGAGAGATTTTCGCAATAGGGGGGGATGCCACGAAGAGGCAGCCACGGGGTTATAATAACCTCAGATCACTGAGGACTGGTGATGGCGCATGCTAGTCAACCGTAATCGATGCGGGTTTTTTTTTTCCCCATTTCACCCCCCCCCCGGTTGGGACTATGGAGTACATGTGACAGCCTTTTCCTCGAGCTCGCTTTTCCTTGGGGGACATGATACAGCTGAGACGAGATAGGACGATAAGATCCCTGACATGATCCACCCGACCGGCCGTTACTAAGCGGCTAGGGAAGGTTCGCCGTGCATATCCCCGAACTTCGTGGACTGCTGTTTCACTGTTGCCTTGGTGAGCTGATGGATCTGTGGAGATCAGGCCTGGTCAAATCAGCGAGAAGGAAGGGATGGATTGCGTCGCAATTCGGTGGGGCCAACCCGGTCGGCTGGGACGAGTTGACGCTTTGTAATTTTCCATCACTACCTCACCGTCCGTATGTCCTGAGCCAAATATGCCCGCCTGCAGGGATGTAAATTGAGGACTCGGGCCGGAGGACAAGCCATGGCCGCGCCGTCCCGCAGCCACCGATTTAGAGTGCCGCTTAGTCCCGTCCGGGCCCACAATTCCTTATCAGAGTAAGACAATCTAGTCTGTTAGTAGTACTAGTAGATAGTAGTATTGCTGTGCCGCATGCATACCACTAGCCGGGATCTTCGTCTCCCTCCCCTCTCCCTTCCTCGAAAACTCTTCTTCCCTGCCACCTTGTCCCCCCCCCACCCCTCCCTCCCCCCTTTGTGTCTCTCCAGCTCAATTCTACTCCGGTCGGAAGAGCCAGGACTTCGAAAACCATGACCTTCACCCAGGAGATGCAGCCCCCCGTCAAAGAGGCCGTTATCACTGACCTGCAGAGCCACGAGCTCGACGGATCCAACGCGGACGAAGATGGCACGCGATACGACGTCACGGACATGGATCGCATGGGGAAGGCCCAGCAGTTCAAGGTGAGTACTCTGTACCAGGGTGCAATTGGACATTCCCGTGCTCAGACGCTTTCTCGCAGCGAAACATCCGGCCCCTGGCAGCTCTGAGCTTTTCCGCCGTACTGCAGGCCACCTGGGAGTACATCATGCTGTAAGTGCCGCACATCACCAGACAACGACCAACCCTCACCAAGACAACCAGGTCCGACTATGAGGGACTGCAAGACGGCGGACTGGCAGGGATGCTATGGAGTTATGTATGGAGTTCGATCGGATTCGGATTCATCATCGTCTCCCTGGCCGAGATGGCTTCCATGTACGCGAACCGACCCCCCCCCCCGAACGATCCATGACCCGCTAATCCATCCGCCGTCAGAGCCCCCACGTCTGGCGGCCAGTACCATTGGGTCTCGGAATTCGCATCGCCCCGATACCAGAAATTCCTCAGCTACGTGACCGGCTGGATGTCCGTTCTGGCCTGGCAGGCGGGCACCGCGTCCGGCAACTTCCTGGTGGGGACCATCATCCAAGGCCTGATCAGCGTGCGGGACCCCAGCTACGACCCCAAAGGCTGGCAGGGCACCCTGTTCGTCTTCGCCATGATCCTGATCACCTACCTCTTCAACGTGTACGCGGCAGGCCTCATGGCCCGCATGCAGAACCTCCTGCTTGCCACGCATATCTTCTGCTGGGTGGTGGTGGTGGTGGTCCTGTGGGTGCTGGCTCCTCTGCGCTCCGCCGAGGATGTCTTTACCGACTTCCAGAACTTCGGAGGCTGGTCATCCATGGGCTTGACCGTGATGGTCGGCCAGCTGGCGGCCATCTATGGCTGTCTGAGTACGTACACACATACACATACACGCACAAGCAAAACTCACCCCTCCCACTCCCAGGCTCCGATGCATGCGCGCACATGTCCGAGGAGATCAAAGACGCCGGACGCTACGTCCCCATCGCAATCACCTGGTCCTACTTCGCGAACGCGATCATGGGCCTGGTCGCACTGATCGCGATGCTCTTCGCGACGCCGTCCGTGGCAGACGCACTGAACGACGACACCGGCTTCCCCTTCATCTACAGCTTCAAGCAAGCCACCAACACCGCGGGCGTCAACGGCCTGACAGCCATCATCCTGATCCCCGTCATCCTCAGCAACATCCTCTTCAACGCCTCCACAGCGCGCCAGACCTTCTCCTTTGCGCGGGACCGCGGCCTCCCCTTCGCCCGCTGGATGGCCCAAGTCGACCCGAAGCGCAAGCTCCCCGTCAACTCCATCATCGTGACCTGCATCATCAGCTCCCTCCTGTCGCTGATCAACATCGGGTCCGAAACCGCCTTCAACGCCATCGTCTCCCTCAACGTCGCCGCCCTGATGTTTTCCTACAGCATCTCCATGAGCTGTCTGATCTGGCGCAAGATCTTCCACCCGCACACCCTGCCCCCCGCCCGATGGGGCCTCGGCCGCTGGGGTCTCGCCGTCAACATCATCGGCTGGCTGTATGTCCTTTTCGCCCTGTTCTGGTCCTTCTGGCCCGAGTCGACCCCCGTCACCACGGAAACCTTCAACTGGAGCGTGGTCATCTTCGTGGCGGTGTTTCTGGTCAGTCTGGTCGTGTATGTCTTCCAGGGTAGACATGTCTATGATGGTCCGGTCACGGAGGTTAAAACCCATGGTTTGTGAGGTTCGTGTCAGCCAGCTTAGCTCCTTTTCAATCACGGCATGCCACGGTGTGTATCAGCATAATATCTCCCCCGTAGTATATCCCGCTTTTTTTTTAAAAAAAAAAAGAAGAGAGGGAGGGAGGGAGAGAAATGGGGTTGCGCGAGCAAATCACTCTAGACGAGCTGGTTGATCGGCATCTGCTTATGTATCTCTGGCCGTAGTCACATATAGAGCCGTGGGAGGGTACTACCGCCTCGTAACATGAAGTTTCTCTCCCCCGATAGGGCGTGTGGCTCGCGGGAGGGCCGAGAGCAGACCCACCTGTCAGATTCTTATTTCACTTCCGTTTTCAGGCGGACCCACTCCACAAGTGGTAACAATGGCAAGCCCTCTACATGTTCGATCCATGTCACAGCCTAGACATGCGATTCTATCCATCTGGCACCCGTCAGATTACCCTCAAGAATCAAAATCACGATCACAGTTTTCAACATCCAAGTACGGTACAGTAGAGATATCATACAAACTCACAACACAGACAGTACACACATAACATAATCCATCATTTTCGATCCAAATCCCAATCCATCCAAAACGCCAACCCAACTCCCACATTTCCCATAAAGACACCCTCCCAAAGAACCATAAAAGGGAATTGCACCCCCCCCCCAGCTAGACAAGCCCCCCCATCAACGAAACCACCCCCCCAAGCAACGGCCAGACAGCCCTCCCGGCATTCAACCACCCCCACCGAGCCAACAACCCCCTCACCCTCTCCTCCTCCTCCTCCTTGTCGTCTTTCTCAACCCCCTTCCCCTTCTCCTCCCTAACCCCATCCCCACCTCTCTCCGCCCACGCCATCAACTCCCCATTCGTCCCCCCCATGACCACCGCCGTCCACGGCACAATCCCCAGCGTGAGCAGCGCCGACCCCACATACACCGCCATGCTATGCTTCGACGCGAGGGCCTCGACGGGGGTGTTGTGCCGCACGCGCCACGCCAGGTACAGGAAGGTGGAGGCGGTGAGCAGGGCGAGGGGCGGGACGCGGCGTTTTCCGGTCTCGTAGAGCGTGCGCCATTGCTTGGTGATGGGCTGGAGGGGGATGGCGTGGTCGTGGTGTGATTGGAGCAGGACGGGGATGGTGATGTAGGAGAGCGAGAAGATTGTTCCTGGTTGGGTTGGGGTTAGAATATTGGTGGGAGTTGGTTTGGGGGAGGGGTGGGGGAGGGTTTACCGGAGAGCCACGCAGCGCTCGTGAGGCCCACGGCCTGAGCTATGCGGAAGCTCGTTGGGAAGGCGCTCATTTTGGTGATGGGGTGACTTGATTGCTGGATGTGGTCGGCTGATGATGGTGGTAGTGGTAGTGGCGGATGATGGGGTTGGGGGAGAGAGGTGCGGGGGTTTTATAGTTCGGTGCGGCGGGTGGTGACGACATCAGGGAGCTTATTTCATTGTCGGGATTGGGCTGGAATTATTGGTGGTTATGTGCGAAATCAGGCCATGGGTGTTTATTGCTCCACTACTGAGATAGCAAGGGGGGGGGCTAGCCACGATACATGGTGGACAAATGCATGGCTCGGTTTTTGCCGGCTTTTGTCGGCTTTTGGGCCCGGTCGGGGTTTGGCCGCGTGCAAAGTGCGAGGTTGGCTAAAGCTACTATATAAGAGGGGTTCGGACCCTTGGGATATTTTGCAATATTGTATAGGATGGTCTGCCTTGAATGTTTCCGGAATGGAGATTCTATGACTCTTCTTTCGAGAACGTGCGGCATCTACTATCATTCAACTCAACTCTACTCAACCTCGACAACCACCAGCCCAGCCCAAGACCACCACGACAAGCAGACATCGCAACATTCACTGTATCCATCAGATCAGACATCATGTCGACGCGTTCCAGCCCGCCAAGTGGAATTTCGCGATTCCTTGACAACTCGCCCAAGCATGGCCGCTGATTGGTCAGTGTGTTTGCACCGTTTGCACCGTGGCAGATTATCGTTTATCTGATCTCCATCCAATTGCAACAATTATTATATTATCCCTGTAGTCTGCAAGCCAGGACTGCTAATATCTATCTAGGGCTTAGTTAGCTATAGGAATGGTATCATACCCAGAGAAATCCCCAACAACATCGCTTTGACCCCCGCGACGAACAACACCCAAGACCAACTATATAGTTCGCAAGCTCGCATTGACTGCCGTATGGAGTATCTTTTGCGACCTGCAGGACCCAAACCCCACCTCCCATTCCCGACCATCCATCCTATCAGACCGCACGCGCTTAACGCGAATACTGCTGTTATGTCCTACCCCACCCCATGCACCATCCATGGTAAACACCCGACAATAATACTAATAATACTAATAATACTAATAATACTAATAATACTAATAATACTCATAATACTCATAATACTCATAATACTCATAATACTCATAATACTCATAATACTCATAATACTCATAATACTCATAATACTCGTAATACTCATAATACTCATGATACTAATAATACTCATAATACTAATAATGTATCGGCGTTACTGTCTGACTGCAGACGCTAGCCCCCGCATATAGCCTAGGTACAGTCGGTATCGTCTAGTAGTAAGGAACCCGACAAGGCTGAGCTGACAGGAGGTCCACACTGCGCATTTACGGCGACTGAGCTGAGGAATCTCGGAGTAATCACGTCAGGTGTCTTACATCAGCCAATTCCTTATTCCTCATCATCATCATCTTTTTTTTTTTTTTTTTTTTGTTTTCTTTTTCAGGGGGTGTCAGAGATCTGAGGTCTTGTCCGCGTGGCAGGCTGAGGGTTCCATGGAACGACGACGCGCCCGTCGGCGTCGGCGAGGCGGCAAGAAACGCTGCGGCCTCGGCTGTCAACCATGTTTATTCTATCAAACAATCAACAAGAAACATTGGACTATTCCAGAAATCCGGGAAACGAAGACGCAGCGGAGCGGAGCAGAGTCAGAGTCAGAGGCAGTGTCGGAGAAATGACCGACACCGTGACTGAACTCTGAAACGGGCAAACTGGACGGAGACGGGAGAACTGATGGCAGCCCGGCCGGTCGGGGTTCCGGAGAGAAGATAGATGATACTAGGGAGAAAGACGACTCACGCTCGGCGGCCATCGTATCCGTATGCCGATGTCCTGCCCGGTCCAAGTCTAGTGCTATCGGACTATACACTAGGGATAGGGACATCTCCACACCCCCTGAACCCCTCGGCAAATCGCATCCAACCGCACTAAACCCACATCCTCTCGTACCAATCTCCTGCTTCGGTCAAGCCCGACCCCAAAAAAAGAATAAGCATGAAACGGACTTTATTTGCCATGGCTGGCTATCTAATTAATTACCTAGGGAATTCCGACTGCTGCACGGTAAGCGGATCGTCGCTGGGCCGAGCGAGCGCCCGTGCGAGAGGGACGAATACGATGGGGTAGACTAGACTAGGGGTTGTCAGGGCAGATGGGATGTTGGGTTGGATATTTAAGGATGGTGGTACCTGGCTGTCTGTCTTGTCTTACTGTCTTACTTTTGTGTAGCTGTCACCAGCCGAAAACTTGAGAAAAAAGAAAGAAGAAAGAAAGAGAGAAGATGATGATGTCGTCGTCGTCGTCGCAGGATAGCAGTGATGCGGATAGCGCTGTCTCGCCGAGTGTGGTTCAGTGAGTTTAACCCTACTTTCCTCCCTTCCTCCCTTCCTTTCTACCCATCCTCCCAATTCCCAATACAATCATCCCATCCCAAACACCACCCCAACAACAACCATACCACAAACTTATAATAATACCATAACCTAATCATCATCATAATAATAATCATAGAAAACCCCCCAAACTCACCTTCCCCCTCGCCCATCCCCCCCCAAACCCACCCCCTGCATGCGCCTCACCCCGCGCCTGCTGCTACAGATCCAACAACTCTCCTCCTCCAACCGCGCCCTCCCCATCCTGGAGATCTACCAACCCCCAACCCTGGGGAAACATCTCCCCCACTGTCCCCGGAAACTGCACTCGCGCGATCTGTACGTCCTGCAGAGTGACGCGTACACGAATCTGCCGTCCGCAGGCACAGCATCACACCAAGAAGGAGGGAAAAAACAGGACCCATCGTCCTCTGTCGCAGTCGCAGGGGTCATCTACACAAATCCATCATCGGCGGACAAATTAGTCGAGATATTTATCCCGTCTACCTCGCAGACTTGGTCTATTACCCGCACACCAGCGAATGCTACTGCTGCTCCTGCCTCAAACTACAAATTCACCCTCACACCACCCAAAAATACCACCGACTCACCCACACCCACACCCACAACCGCAAACCCGCTTACGTTGGAATGGAAAAAACGCACCCGCTCCCGCACCCGCTCCTCGACCGCTCGATCGAGCCTCAAGTCCGCGTCCGGATCCACATCCACATCCACATCCACATCCACCGACGTCTCCGACGCCAACCAGAATCAGCACGCGGGCGAATCCGAGGAGCGGTTCGTGTTGAGCGTGAGCGGGGCGGCCATGGGTAGTGGTAGTGGTGGTGTTTCGTCGCGACCGACGACGACGACGGTGTTGGCGGGGTTGGAGAGGAAAGGGGTCAGGGTGGGCGGGTGGGATGCGAGACAGGTGAGGGTGTTGGAGGAGGTGCTGGGAGGGGGGGCATGGAAGGGGTGCATAATTTGATTTTGACTCTGGGGGTGTATGTTTGTAGGGCGGAGGGGTGGGTGTGATTTTTTTTATTTTTTATTTTTTTTTATTTTTTTGGTGCTGAAGTTTCAGCCTTTCAGGGCTTGTTGGGATCGGAGTTCTTGGCTGGGCTGGTCGGCGTTTGAAAGGAGAAAGAGAAAGACTTCCCTTCCGCTCCGAAAGCCGTCCGGAGGGTTTCATTATTGGTTGGCGTGCATATTTCGGGATTCCGGTGTAGATCTTGGATTTTTTTTCTTTGTGATACCTATGTAGACTAGTAGTAGGAGCTAGACCATCTCACCAATCAAGGTTGCATCCCTTCTCCTTTCGCGACATAGTGCGAGGTCCTGAACTGGAACTAGCACACGGACGAACCGCTCCGACGAACCGCGCCGACCATTGCATCGCACCGTATTCAACAGACCGAAGCCCCGACCAGCCGCGCCTTAATCTGCAGCGCCAACAGCCGCGAGTAATACCGACACAGCGCCAGATTCCCCCCCATGAACCACAGCCCTGGATGCCCGGATCGCCGCCACATCGTCCGCATTTCCCCTGACGGGTCGAAGCCCCACACGTCGTTGACCCGCTCACCATCCTCGGGCCTGAAGATGCTGCGCGCCGTCGTCGCCATGTTCTGGTACCCCGTGGCCAGCACGATCTCGTCGGCCTCCAGCTGCGTGCCGTCGGAGAACCGCATCCCCCGCGGCAGGATCTCGGTGATCTGCTGGCCATGCTTCACCTTGACCTTGCCGTCGACGATGAGCTGGCTGGCGCCCACGTCGATGTAGTACCCCCCGCCCCGTTGGAGGTACTTGATCAGCAGGCCCGCCTCGTCCGGCCCCCGGTCTACCTTGAACCCGGCCCGCTCCAGCCCGTCCAGCGTCGCCCGGTCGTTCTGGTTCTGCAGCGCGGTGACCTTGACCTGCTGCGCCTTGAATATCTCCGACGGCAGGCTCCACAAGTACAGGTCCGCGTCCTCGGTCGGGGGGGCGTTCTCGTCGTACAGACCCTTCAGACCGATGTCGGTGATCGACTTGGAGGAGACCACGCAGGTCGAACTGCGCTGCACCATCGTCACATCGTACCCCTTCTCGTAGTAGTCCTGCGCGATGTCGTGGCCGGAATTGCAGGCCCCGACCACGATGGCCCTCTTGCCTCGCGACTCGGGGTTGGCGCCGGGGAACTCGCTGCTATGGCAGATGCGATCGCCCTGGAAGGCGTCCAGCCCGGGGATGTCGGGCATGTTCTTCTTCCCGGAATGGCCGGTCGCCTGGACGATGAAGCGCGGCTGGAGGGTGCGAGTCTCGACGGTGCCATCTTCGTTGTGCCGTTCCAGTTGGACATCCCATCGTTCCTCCTCCTCGACCCACCGGGTTCTGTGATGGAGAGTTGTGCCCGTCCACACGTTCAGCTCCAGCAGTTTGACATAGCACTCGAAAAACTCGGCAAGCTTGTCCTTGGGGGTGAAGATGGGCCAGTTGGGCGGAAAGGGGATGTAAGGCAGGTGGTCGAACCAGACGGGGTCGTGCAGCACCAGCTGGTGGTACCGTCTGCGCCAGTTGTCTCCGATGCGTTTCTCTTCGTCGATGATCAGAGAGTCGACGTTGAGCATCTTCAGCCGGGCCGCGATGGTGAGACCCGCCTGCCCGGCGCCTGCTCGCGTTAGCACCTTGGGTCCGCCTCGTCGGGGGGCGGGGGAACATACCTATGATCAAGACGGCCGGGGTGTTACCCTCGCCCTTGATCTCAGCCGTCCGGCGATCCTGCCAGTTCTTGCGACCCTGGTTCGCGCCATGCTGCACGCCTGCCGGTCGGTTGTGGGTGACGGCTTCCGGGTGGCCGACCAGGCCGACCAGCGACGTGAAGAAGGTGAAGATCTTCCACTCGCCATCCGTTTCGGCCAGCCGCACTACCCCTCGTCCCTCGAGGATGGCGCTCGAGAGGGTGACGAAGAACTCGATGCCGGAGACATCGCCGAAGGCATCGATCGGACCCACATGGGGAGCCCTCAAGGGCGACGATCGATCGACCTCGATTTTGGACGGGGAGCGGCCCGCTCGGAGGAGCTGGGCGATGTTGTCGCGGCCTTTGACGGTCTGGAAGTCCCAGGTCAGGCACAGGTGGTCCCGCCAGAAGCCCTCCTCCAGGAACAGGGCAGCGATGTCCTCGGGGCCTCCTCCCTGGGTGAATGCGGTGTTGATCTGGTCCACCAGCTGGGAGGCGACCTGGTCGGCATTCACGTCGGTCGAAGTGCATGTCGGCGGGAAGGTTCCGACGGGGACGTTGACGGAGCCGTTCTCGACCTGGACGATGGGGGGAGGCATGGTGGGGTGGTTGGGAGCGAGAGGATGGAGGAGGGATGGAGGAGGGAGGCAGCGGGGGGGAGGGGTTGTTGTTTAAATGCAGCAGCAGCAGCAGCAGGCAGCCCACCCCGCTTCTCGACAATAAAGCCGGTCGTACAAGAGGGAGGGGCCCGCAGCAGCCATGTCAGCAGTGCAGCAAGGCAGGCTGTCAGTGGCTGGGGGGGATAATAATGGAGCAACAGGGTTGGATGATTCTTGCCTCGGTTGCTGAGGAGGAAGAGGAGGAAGAGGAGGAAGAGTGGGTCCGGGGAGGGGGGGATCGACATGGTTGAGGGAATAACTATTGGAGTAGTAGTGAGGGGACAGTCATGGAGGAAGTGGGCGCAAGTGGATTATGTACCCTAGAATTGACGCTTTACATGTCAACAGCATCATTGGTCTAGTGGTAGAATTCATCGTTGCCATCGATGAGGCCCGTGTTCGATTCACGGATGATGCATCGCATTTCAATTCTTCTTCTTTTTTTTTCCTGTTGGCTATTTATTATCGATTCTGATCAGTTTCCTCTCCGCTCTCTTTTCTTCTTACCAGTTCATCGCGTTTCGTTTCTTTGGTTGATGAAATAGAATAATAATTATTGACATTCCACAGGTGGGGTATGTATATATGTAGCCCTAGCCCATCCAAGTCCAACATATCCACCCAGGATCGTATCGAGGTATCGTAAAATATATACAGCCGAAGAGAAACCACCTCCCGCCCATTATGTACCGCGTCAAAATGCCAGATAGACATATCCCATCCCACCCCTACCAAAGACAGAATAAAATCTCACCCCTCCAACGAAATAACCGGCACAATCTCCCGTCTCCTCCTCCTCGCCGCGCCCGCATACCGACTCTCGACGCCGAGTCTCCCCAACGCCAACGTCTCCAGGGTCTCCGTCTTCCCGCCCCAGAACTGTCCCCTTCCGGTCCCGTCCCGTTTGCGCTGAATCGGCGGGATCCAGTGCGACACCGCGCCGCCCAGGAGCATGCACACGGCAAACACGATCATCATGTACCCGTGGCGCTTGACGGGCTCGTTGCCGAACCCCCCGCCGAAGTTGTAGTACGCCGAGAAGAGCTGCACGGCGACGGAGCCGATTTTACCCGCGCCGGCGCTGAGGCCGTGGCACGTGGCGCGGTAGCGTGTGGGGAAGATTTCGGCGGGGATGATGTAGGTCGTTGCGTTGGGGCCTGAAAGTTCAGCTCTTAGTTGGTTGGGGGACGGGATAAGGAGGGGAGGGGGGCAGTACCAAAGTTGAAGAGGGCCTGTCCGATGACGTAGAGGACGACCGCGACAGGACCCTCCTTTTGGATGCTGATGAGGATGCTTCCCAGGGCGACGAAGAGGGCCGCGAGGGCGAGGAAGGAGTATTTCTGGAGAGCGACTCGGTCGAGTTTGTGGATGAAGAGGATGAGGAGGATGCCGCCGATGAAACTGCCCACGTTGAGGATGACCAGCGCGTGCGTGCAGCTCGCCCAGAACATGTCGTAGACGTTCGCGGTGGCAGTGTCGTTGATTTGCCAGTAGGGGGCGGGCTTCAACAGGTGCAGCGACCCCCAGGTCTTGGCCAAGAACTGCGGGCTGGACAGACTGATGCCGTAGAAGCCGAAGTCGAGGAAGAACCAGGAGATGCTGGTGGCCGCGAGCGTCCGCCAGTTGCCCTCGGTCCAGAAGAACTGGATGATGTCGGAGCGGGTGAGGTGCCAGTGGGAGTTGAGGGTGACGGGTTGCAGGATGCCGGTCTCCGAGGAGGAACAGTCTTCTCCGTTGACGGAGCGGGTGGTGAGCGAGATGGCCGGCTGCGACAGGTTGTTCCAGCTCTCCACATCGAGCGTTGGGGACGAAGAGGCGGCATTGAAGTCGGCGAAGAGCGCCGTGGCGTCGAACTCGGCCTTGACCGGGTCATCGTCAATCTCCAGAACGAAGCGAGGAGACTCAGGGACAAAGAACCGAAAGCAGGTGGCGATGGCGGCTGGAATCACACCGATGCCGACGACGTACCGCCACATCTTGTCCACCGACTGAACCAAGTCACCGCTACTCCTGCGACAGGCGGCAATCACGATGAGCGACACCAGATTGGCCCAAATCTGGCCCAGGGGTTGCATGAAAAACACGGACGCCATCATCCGCGCACGGTGTTTGGTGGGGGCAAATCTATCCTCGTTAGCAAGGCCCAAGCACAGTTTTCGTGAGGCATACTCCGACGTGATAACGGCACTCAGGGGGTAGTCGGCTCCGACACCAATTCCCACCACGATGCGCCACCAAATGAACCAGGCGTAGATGCTCATACTCCCGCTCTCGCCCCTGGACGCCATGACAACCCCCAGTGTCGACGTGATCATGAGAATCAGTTCCAGCCCGTACATCTTCTTGCGCCCATTTCGGTCCGCCAGGTATCCAAACAAAACCTGTCCCAGCAATGTGCCGCAGAGGGTGGCGATGTTGAACAGGGTGATCCTTAATGAGGACATATCCTCTCGCCAGTACACGTAGGAAATCATCGGAAGGGCCATGTTGCTTGCGAATAGCTGTCGTGTCTGTCAGTAGCTGGACCCCCAATCTTGCCACAGGATCCATTCGACTGACCGTGTATCCATCGAGGAAGAAGCCCACTCCCGCCACGAAAACGATCAGGTACTGGAACCCCTGCCTGTCGATTGTGTCGTAAACCTGCCGTGCCCTCACATCTCGATCCTGCTCATGTTCGAAGTCTCCAGCTCGATCAGTCTTGTACCATTTGGTGCGTCCCATGGCAGCCGACGCGGTGATGCTGATGCTGACGTGGATGCCGATGCGCTGTGTAGATGTAGATGCAGTGCGAATCGATAGAAGTCGTGCGATATACCAGATGACATCATGAGAGCCACTGCTATCGCGGTATGCAAAGAACGAAGGAAGAATCCTGCGGCCCCGAGGGGTGGAATTGGGGCGAAGAAAAGGGCCAGGGAGGAGGCAAGATAGGAGAGGGGAAGAGGAGCCCCGTTCACCCGTTCGGAGCCGGTGCAACGGGGGGGGGGGGAAACAATGGGGATGGGGACATTGGGAAGGTTTCACTACGGCGGGAGAGAGGCGGGGATTGGCCAGGGGCAGTGACGGGCGTGCAGTAGCTGCCGGGGCGGGTCCACGTTCTGCGATGGGTCTTCCGGCGCATGGGCCAATTCCTCCCCCCACGTGCCGCACGTGTGGCCTGCGCGGGGATTCATTGGGGGCCGATGCTGGTGGGCCCCCCGGGGGTTCGATCAGACGAGTTTGGTGTACTCGTACTAGTCTTCCGTAAAGTAGCGTGCAGTAGCCCGGAGTGCTCCGTACAGAATGGATAGATAGATAGCATGATCCCGAACCATCGGTAGCCTGGCCACTGCTGAAGGCGCCACTCCCCCTTCCCCCCAGACACGAGACGCAACAATCTCCTTTGAGTTCGCCGAGTCGAGTCCGTGCCTCCGACTGGCCGGCCAGGCCACGTGCGCCTTTGCGACATGGCATGTTGGATCTCTCTCGGACGGTCGGCACGAAAACATAGGGGTATATCATTAACTTTGATGCGAAACCTGACTCGTAACACAATGCAATGCCAACTGCCGGGTACGAACGCCTCCGAACTCCTTGCTCCTAGCTTGTGAAAGCCCGGTGCTAATGGGGTGACGATTGCCTACCCACGTGCCGTGAAAATTCTAGCAATCACGGTCGTCTTATTTGATGCGCTCGGCCAAGAACTCGCAGAACGCTTGCCGGTCTAGACGAGTCAGTGACCAGGCAATAGATCAGTAGAAACACGGGCACGACATACCCAAGTCGTCCAGAAAGAGAATGTTCAAGGTTCTCATCTGCGTCAGAAGATCGAAGTTGGGCTGCAGCTGTAGAACGACTGGCTTTCCGGCCTTCTTGCCGGGCTTGAAGCTGTCAATGCAGTTGACTGGGCCGTCAGCATCCCCATCCCAAAGACATGGCGGTGATCCTTACCCGGTATATGCACGTAGCGCTTCAGGTCCTTCCGCTGCGAGTTGGCGAAGAATAGCAGCACCTCTTTCCCGTTATGCCCACGTAGCACGCGCAGGTTCTGGCTCATGCACTCTTCCCCTCGCCCCTTGGATTTGGCCTCCGCTATCCCCGCAATGAAGACCAATTTCGACCGCAGTATCAACTCCTGGAATTGCACGCAATCTGATCAGAGTGTCAGCGCGAGAGCAATCCTTGGGAACCCGGGAACCTACCCTTCCACTCATCAAAGGTATAGGATATCTGTGTGGTGAACACCGTCTGTGCCGATTGCACGGTTTGCTCGTCCATGAAGGAAATGCGAAGCGAGGGCTCGTTGGGTAGTTTCGGGTGTTCGAGATGAGGAACAGGGAGCTTCGTGCCGTTGACTAGAAGACAGGGACATGAGATGACGGGGCCATGGCTCTGCTCCCCGGGGTTCACTCACAGGTATGGATTAGAGGGGTCTGCTGGCCAACCCCCCCGCCTAGCTCGAAGCACTTGAGGCTTCCCGAAGCATCCTTGCGGATGTCGATGTAGGTGTAACGTAACTTGAAGAGCTTGCCGCTTCGGACAAAGGCGCTGTGAAGAGTCCATCAGCACACGTTACGCAGACACGGCAGGGCGGACGAACATGGTCACGGAGTCGTTCAGCGGGAGGCGGCACACGTCGTCGTACAGGGAAAAGCACGACGCCTGCCTCGACTGGGATCCGATCGAGGAGGCCGTGCGGCTGAGGGCTGGAGGGAGGGTCGGGGAGGTGCTATAGCCGATGGCGCTGGAGGAGCTGGTCGACGAGGAGATGGTGCTGGCGCGCCCGGACAGCGCGATCGGCCAATCCTCCACATCGCAGTGCGAGCCTGGGTGGCTCATTGCAGAAGCAAGGGGTCCAGCAACGGCCCGGACGGATGGTGGGCGCTCTGCAGGGCGACGGGTAGGTCAGGCGACTGACAGGCGACGATCGTGCGGATCCCCAGGAGCTGATCAACGTGCAGGGTCGAGGGCAATTTCATCATCCTCAGAGATGTCTGATGCTCACCGCTCCAACGGCAGCGTCGAGCGACCGGGCTGGCTGATCGAGGGCGAGATATAAGAGGAGTGCTAGGATAGACAGGTGATTTAGATCGGCTGGTGCGGGCGCCATGGAGACGAGCGGCCAGCCCCCGGCGGGGAGAGGGCTGCGAGGGCGGACAACGTGCTCGAAAGGGGGCTTTCTATTCGAAGCCTCAGGCGAGTGGAGCCGCACCCCTGCCGTCGGGTCCCCTCATGGTGATGTGGTTCGAGGGTCGAGATGCCCTTTTCGAGACGAAGTCAGTGCTCCGCACCACCAGCAGCGATCCGGCCAGAAGGTCCGGAGTGTAGATATCTACCCACCCACACGTGTAGTATCGTAAGCGTTGGCGGAAGTCTGGAAGTTCGTGGATACCCCGTCTAGCTGGCCCGGTTAGTGTCGTTTGGCGTTCACGGCGGGTGGGGACGCGAATCATGGGGGAGGAAAAGGGCTGTCTGCGGGCAATGCAATCGGCCGGAATGGATCCAGGATTTGAGGTGCATATCGGACGGCATGGCCATGCTGCTGATCCTGGCAATGGTGGGCAACAATGAGGAAGAGAAGTCAAGTGCCGAAGTCGACGTGACGGTCGGTCTGTCTGCCTGGCGCATCGCGTTGTGGGCCTGAATGCACGTGGTAGGCTTACATAACCTACGCGTGCTGGTGCCTGAGGAAACCACAGCCTTGTCCGCCGCCGTCCACCGCCATCCCTGGCCAGAACTGGCACTGACCGACACACCTCCGCGACTGCTAGATTCACCAGGAGTGCCCGCATTGCCACAAAGAAAAGAGTGCGTAGTATTAGTCTATGTACTTCTATATGGACCACCCCCTCTACTCGGGGTATCCACAACCGGAAGAGAAAAACAACAAACCATATGCAAGACACCAAAACACCGGCCCAGCTTTGCAAGCTCAACAAGTCACAGTCCATGGCCACTCCGAGCGCCAGGGGTGGAAACAGCATGGGATGGGCGGTGCTTCGCCTGGGCCGGGGGGATGGGCATAATTCAAAACAGCGCCCGAAATCAGGGTATATAGATGCGATCGAGAGAAAAGAAAACAACGAAGATCTTCACAACCAGGCCTGAGGGAATTGTGCCGTCGCGGGTGGTGTATGCCTGCGCAGGAGACCAGCGCGGGAGGCACTCACGTTGGGTACAAAATCAGGATGCTGGGGGGGGGGTGACGCGGGGGGGACGGCGGCAGTCGAGTGAGGCGTCCATCCGGTCGGCATGCAGCGTGACGATGCAGTCGTCGCGTCCTCGTCCGGCCAGAGAGCAACGCATGCGATCGCGTGGGCGCTTCACTCCTCTCCTCACCGACCGCGCCCGCGAGGTAGGTGGGTGGACGTGGCCGGGGTGCCCCTTGTTCCGCCCTCCCATCCAGGTACTCCCCCCGCGACCGCGGGGGGAGAGGGGGGGAGGGGGGGCGTCTATTGTAGGGGCTTCTGGGCAATGATGCGGTAGCTGGTGGTGACCAGACGCATAGTATCCATCTTGATGAAGGCCTCGCCGTCGAGGCACAGACGGTTGATCAGGGTCTTGAAGTGGCGGGGGAGGACGTGGGTCTTGACGAGGCCCAGGATGAGCTGGCGCATGGAGCGGAAGTAGAAGTCGACCTTGTCGATGAGGGGGGCCTGCAGGCCGCCGACGCTGGCGTTGTCGGAGCGCAGGACGGTGAAGCCGGCGTGGGTGAGGGCGTCCTCGAGGGAGTCGGGGGTGGGGGTGCCCACGGCGCCGATGAGCGGCTTGACGCGACTCATCAGCTCGGCGTGCTCGGGGTTGCTCGGGTCGTAGGCGGGCAGGCTAGCCCAATCCAGCAGCGACACCTTGGCGCCCGGCTTGAGCACGCGGAACACCTCGCGGAACAGCGCGGGCAGGTCCTTGCACAGGCTGAGGGCCTGGATCTGGTAGAAGGCGTCGAAGCTGGCGTCGGCGAAGGGCAGCGGCAGGGTATTGAAGTCCTGGACGACGAAAGCGTTGGCGTCGAAGCCCAGCTGGCGGTGGAAGGCGCGGGCCTGGGCGATCTGGTTGGGGTCGATGTTGAGGCCGGTGACGTGCGCGCCCGCGTATTGCGTCATGTGGGCGGCGACGCGGCCGCGGCCACACCCGAGATCCAGCACGTGATCGCCGGCGGTGAGCCCGAGGGCCTGCGCGATCGACTCCTCGTACAGCAGCTGGTTCTCCCGCACCGTCGCCTTCTGGCTCATGAACGGCGGGATGTACATCTTCTCCACGTCCCCCAGCGCGCACAGGTGGTTGAGCACCCCATAGTACGCCTTGAGGCAGTCGCCCACCTGCGTCGCGTAGTCGGCCCCCAGCGTCTCGACCATCTGCTTCTCGTCCGACCAGTCGAGGTTGTAGATGACGTAGGACGCCATGAAGTCATCGACCTGCTTGGGCGTCAGGTTGCGCAGATACCGGAACGCCTTCCAGAACGTCGTCCAGCGCTTGGGCGACGCCGAGTTGTGCAGGTCCGGCCGGCTGGATGGGAGCTGCTTGTTGTTGTTGTTCTTGTTGCTGTCCTTGTTGGCCAGCTTCTGCTTCTCGACCACGTCCAGCGAGCTCTCGGAGCTGCGCCCGGACTGGCGCGACGCCAAGACGGGGGGGGTTTCCATTCTATACAACGGCGCAACTGCGGAAATGACAGCAGCAGGGATGAGGAAGAAGACAGCGACAACAGCGCCGGGCTCAAGAGGGATAAGGGGGAAAGAAAGGATGAGGGGGAAGAGGGGAAGAGGGGAAGTGGTTTAGACACGGCGATGGTTGCGCGGTCCAGAAATGGTCATGCCAGAGTCGTCTTTCGTCCCTTTTCCTTCTGTCTTGTCTTGTCTTTTTTTTTTTTTTTCTCTCGATCAGAAAAAAAAGGCGGGGCTGAAGTCCAATTTATAAGCGGTGCACCGGGGGAAGAGGGGACTGTTTTCTGACTCCTCTTTTTTTTTTTTTCTGACGCCGTGACGCTTCTTTGCAACGGCGCAGGGCGGCGCCTCGGGGAGGGGGATTCTTAATAATATTGATTGATTTGCCGTATGACCTGCCATGGCCACAGTGGGTTTATTGTCACCGGATATGGCAAGCATCGGAAGAGTCGGATGTGGCAGGCAGGTCGAAGGGCAGCGCGGGAAGGCACGGCAGCGACGATGATGGTTCTGTGGTTGGCGGTCAGCCTCCTGCTATCTCCTGCTCACTACAGTACTCCGTACAGGGTGAGTCAAGGGTCTCCTGCATCCACCACGGACGGGCCTCTTTCCCCCCTCTGATCACCGGGGGTCTACGTCGTCTCCTCGTCCCTGCCGCTACAGGTCTGCAGGTTCAAACCTGCACTGTTACGGGGACAGCTGCCCTGCTGTCCTTGACTGTGACTTCTTATTATTCCCCTTTGTATCTACACTACCGAGTACTCGTGGATATCACGGAGCTGGAGCTAGCTAGGAGAGCTGGGACTAGGCCCACTTTCGCAGGGTGACTGGCGCCATCGAGGATTCCAGGGTGTTGCTGACGAACCGACTTGGCCACTTGTTCCTGGAGCGCCAAGGCCCTGCCACGGATGAGCTGAGCAATGGGCGTCCGCCATGCCAAATGAGCACGGCCTTGGCGGCCAATGCTTGACTGGCTTGACTGGCTTGACTGGCCATAGATATCAGTCGGGCTCCGGTGTTTCCAGTCCAGAGTTATGACCCCCCGTCCAGACACACGCCGTTTTATGAGGCGCCAGCCTTGTCTGGAATGTCCAAAAAGCAGACTATTATTACCATTACCCAACAGGATCCAATAATGGTTCCCAAGGTTCCCGAGACGCAGAAATTTCATCTTCTGGTGGCTCTCACGGATTGAATTCACCGCGTCTCCGGTCGGACTTGGGTCCCGAGCACCCGCCCCACCCACCCTGCGCCCTGCGTCGCCCGTATTTCCGTTCTTCTCTCTCGCTCTGCGTTCTCGTGCCGCAAGCCGTTCCGCGTCTCGGGTTTTAGCTTTCGGCTGCTCGGACTTTGCGGCCCTCGCCATGGAAACCCCGGGCGCGTGTTTGTCGCGATGATTTGGGGACTCAAGATCGATCATCACGAGGTCCTTCGCTTCGATGCGGAGAGGTTGGGTCGCGCTGGGTCACCTCGCAGATTGCCCACCGTCAACCGTCCGGGGTTCTCGTTGTATTTACCTCATCCAGCATGGATTGACGGGCTCTCGGACTCCGGATCCCACCTCGCCCTCATCTACGGTGTCCGGGTGTGCTCCTGCTCGAGGGACGCCCTCAAATGACGTGGCGGGTCTGGCCATGACATATCCCGGCTCGTGCAGGTGCAGCCAGTGGTCCGACGCCCAGGATGGTCCAGCGCTGGAGACCCATGATCGTCGCGTGCTGGGATACGAGTCAGTCCAACGGGCGGAGTCCACCAACTCATACTATTAATTATTAATTATCATGCGTCTTTTTTTTTTTCTCTCTTTCTCGGCTGTTCCATATTGACAAGTCCCCACTCCGTCCCATCATTCGTCCGATTCTATCCCCCTTCTATCCCCCATCCATCCATCCATCCCAGCAATCCTTCCCAAATTTAATCACACAGCACCACCAATGACCCCTCATCCGATTCATTTTCTTCCCACCACCCTTTCTTTCTAACCCCGACCTCTGCACCAGAACAAGCAAGCCCTACCCAGGCCCCAACCCTTAAAACCGACCCAGCACGTGACCTCCACCGCGACCAACCCCATCCGCACCATCCCGTAACCCTCATCACCACCCCAGACCACCCTCACACCCTCGCACCCCATCCAAAACACTACATGAACGAAGCGGACGTCCAAATAAGCTTATATTTAAACTCCAGTCCCCTACAGCTCCTCGTCCTCCAAACGGAGCGTCCAGCGAGTTCCCCCCGGATCCACTCAGATTAGGCAGCCAGATATCGCAACACGAGACGACGCGATACACGAGCGACCCCGGACTGACTAGGGGGGCGGACGCCTCGCAGCGGGGCGGGAGAGAGATGCGATGCGATGCGATCATCTGTCTGTCGGTGTCCACCTATCGATCGATCAGCTGCCTGCGTGCCTGTCCAGACGGTCTGCCCCTGCCGTGCGAATCGGGTCGGTGGCGATACCGTGCGTAAGGTAGGGTAGCCAGTGATCAGTGCTCAGTGATCTCCGTAGACTGGTAGGGTAGACCGGATGTCTCGGTATCCCACGAGGCGGCGACTAGGGAGGGTTTAAGGGCGAGTGACCAACGTAGTACATGATTAGGGAACTGGCTGCCGCCTCGTGGCGTGTACCCCGTCTGTAGACTGTACTTAGAGGTGGGCATCCATCCCGTCCGCGTGGCTCTGGGTCTGGGTTGGTCAGGTCAGGTCAGGCTCTTGTCCTACAGGACACAGTCCCAGTCCCGGGTCCGGGTCCGGGTCCTTCTCCCATGAGTTCCCATTCGTGCCCGGCCCTCCTTGATGAATAAGTCTTGTCGCCCCGTCGTATGGTGTCTGTCTTGTCTTATCTAAGATTGTTCTTTGTGCTGCCGGGTCGGGTCGTGTATGTAGACTTGTCCACGCGACGGGGTCTGGCTACTTCCGAGTCGCCGGGGGTGTTTCGTTTGCGTTGGAGGTGAGTGGCTTATAGAGGGGTATACTACCGTAGGAGTATACCGAATCTATCAACCGAGGAGAAAGGTATTTCTCCTGCTGGGACTGGGAAACAGCCTGAGGGCGTTGAGTGAGTACTTCTGTCTGTATATATCGGTCCCGCGTGGAGGATAGTCTGCGTGGCATGATATCATAATTATATTATATTTAAGCAGTTACATGCAGCCATGCCGGCGGGAAGGGCATTCAGATGCTTTTGGGGTTGCGGTGAGTTGAGTAGAGTTGTAACGTTGAAGTACTACTCCGTACTGGTACTGGTCCTTCGGGGCTTGGTTGCGGGTTGTAGAATGTACCTTGGTATGTATGTATGTATCTTTTCTGTTAGGGTTTGTTCGCAATCGCGTCCACTAGAGCTGGACTAGACACGTCCCTAATTATTTACTTGTATATACAGCGGGCGAGGTACATGCTATACTATACTATATTATAAAACCGAAGGATATGATCGATGGTCGTTCTGTGATCGGTTGATGCATCTCTGGTGAATGAATTTATATACCAGGCTCTGTTACTATGCATGTGTACAATGGCCGATGGCGAAGATCTGTCGGTTTCCAGTGATAATCTCGAAGACGATAGATAGAAAAAGGAGTTGCTGGTGATACTTTATAGTACGGAGATAATCGTTCCTGTCGCCCTGATGGTTCTGCATGGTTTGTAGAGGCAGAAGAATATATGGTTGGAGGGCGATTACTAATCTGGATATATATGATTCTACTATTTTATTGAGTTTGAAAGACTTGTATCAAACCATGATCATGTCCACAATCATCCTGCCCTCTTTAGCGTCAAACCGGCGGTCCAATTCCAAAACACATCATCAACCACATTTCCCTCTCTCATACCCAGATCATACGTCCACAGTACATACATCAACTGACTCGCGCCGGCTGGTCATGCCTGGATCTGACTGACTTCTGTCCGCACGGTTGGTTCCCTGGTTCCATCTCGTCGATCCCCACCCTCCTTCCCTCGGGAAGGGCCGACCAAGACCCACTCCAACTCTTTTGCTACGATGCGATGCGTTGGTCTTACTATAAGACTACTAGCTTCGATAAAAATCTTGAATTAACTACTAAAATCACTAGGGAATTTCTCAGGACGACGACCCTCTTCCAGAGAGCATCTAGACAGGGAGTTCTCCTTTTGCCAATACCCCCCGGCAAAGCGATATAAACACGCTCGCTATCTGTCGTAAGTATGAATAAGCATTTGGACTGGAATTCAACCACTGGACCAGAAAGCTGTCCAGACATCCGGATATGCTGCATATGTCCTGACAATGTATAATGCTGTGCATAGTTGTGCGTGTCTGTGTATGCTTATGTCATTACCATACTTCCGTATTGCCGTCACGCGCAGTACGGCGTGCTGCTCTTTCTGGCCGATCCCCCATCTTCCCGTTCCACCTCCTTCCATCCACAGGTTGACAAGAAAGACTTGGTCCCAAGAAGGAGATTCAACCATCCTCTCCGGTTCCCATCTGCTGGAAATGGAATAGCCGCACTGCAGAGATCGAGCCATGAATCACTGACTGCCAAGCGACTCCAGTGGGACGGGGACAGCTCATGAAGATGCCACTCGACCCGGAGTCATGAAAAATACGAGGCCAAGTCAGGGTGCCCTGAGCGGCGCGTAGCAGCACGGGCCATGGCCAGTGCGCCCGAAGTGGGGTGGAATGCGAGTGTCCGTCAGCCTTGCTTATCTGCACCCTGCAGCCTTTTAAGGGTCTTTCTGCAGCCACAAGTCTTTCCGTGATGTGTGAGACCCTTGCCATATCGCCATGGAAGACAACCCAGACGGCAAAAAGCCCGATAGGGCTGAAGATGCTCCTGGTTCGTCTTGGATTGGGTTGTCCGATAAGAAACACATGACAATCGCTGACCATCCCCTAGGAGAGTTCCCAATGCCTCTCTCTCACGATGAGATTGTTGAAAAGCTCACGCAAGCGATCAGAGATGGGCGCGTTGATGACCTCGCCGAGCTCGTCGACCTCCACGGCACCGAATTCACATTCGACTACAAATTCCCCAAAGAGTCGGCCACAAAACGACTCACCCCATTCCTCTTTGCGTGTGTATACGGTCATGTCGAGTGCATCGCAGTGCTGCAGAAGAAAAACGCCAACCAGGCCGCAAAGGCGGGAAATGGACTGACGGCGTTCCACATAGCCGCGCTCAACAAGCGAGAAGCTCTGCTTGAAAAGTTCTTGGACGAGGGGTTTGATGTCAACGAGCCGAGGGGCGATAGTGGGACGCCTCTTCACACGGTCGCGCAGCATGGACGCGATGCGATGATCAAGTTCCTCTTGCGCAAGGGTGCGTATATCGGGGCTCTGGATGTCGATGGTTGGACGCCTTTGCATTATGCCTGCGCGAGAGGGCATAAGGCTGCAGCGGAGACTCTGATGAATCGGGGACATAGCTTGATCGATCAGGGGGACTTTGAAGGGAAGACGCCTTTGTTTTGGAGCTGTGCTAAGGGGAGAGCGGAGACTGTGACTGTGTTGTTGGCCGCGAATGCGAATATCGAAACAGCTAGTCATCGTGGAGATACGCCTTTGATTATGGCGAGCAATAATGGGCACGCGGAGACAGTCAGGCTGCTCCTGAACGCAGGGGTCAAAGCGAATCAGAGAGGCCCGGAAGGGAAAACCGCTTTCTTCTTTGCCTGCGCGCACGGGCACCTCGACGTGGTTAGGTTGCTCTTGGAATTTGAGGGCCGACAGGGCGTCGATCGCTGTATGGTGGACAACCGGGGCCTCACTGCCCTTCATTGCGCGGCACGGAACGAGAAGGAGGACATCGTTCGAGAACTCTGCGGGGATGACCAGACCGATATCACGATCCAAGACCCCCAGGGCGGGACTCCATTGAACGAAGCAGCTGAAAAGGGAAATCTGGGAATCATGTTGCAATTTTTGGGGCATCAAGCCCGCTACCCCAAGGATCCCATCAAGAACCCAACCAACCTCTCGACACGGTATGAAGTGGACAAAGTGGAGAAAGCGCTCTTGAACTGCATGGAGGCGCTCTCATCTTCAACCGCAGTCGAACAGGCCATGTATTGGGCCATCTGCAACGGCCGAGAAGAACTAATGGCCTCGTGTATGAAAGCCCCAGGAGCGATGTCATGGAGAAGAGCAGGAGCAACCTGGCTGCACATCGCTGTCAAATACGAGCAATCCGCTTTGTTGACGAGACTACTCCCTCCGGAGAGCGATCTTCCCGGAAGAATCCGGGTGATCTGCCAGGACAGCGATTCAGAGGAATCACCGTTCTCGTTGGCAGCTCAAGGAGGCAACCAGACAATCGAACAGCTATTCTGGTCCACATTCCGCAATTTCAAGTTGAGCTGCAATCGATTCCCAGAGGAGGCTGCTCGCGTGCTGGAGCTGGCTGCGCAATTTGAGAAGCCCGAAGGGACCATACTCCACGAACTTCTCCAAAAGCGAGGCATTGGCCATCCAGATGCAGCCGAGTCTGCCAAATGGAGCGAGCTGGAGTGGGCGATTTTCCGCTGCGAGCCTATGGTGGTATGGTGGCTCTTATCGAGAGGGCGTCATCGCGGCGATTCGAACGCCCTCCAGCTGGCCAAGCAGCAGCTTGTAAAAGTCGACCATGATCGCCCATCTGAGGTCAAAAGACTAAACATCATCATTAGCCTGCTCGAAAAGAACCCCCCGATTATAGGGAACCCGATCAGCCAAGACCGTCCACTTACTATACCCCAACCCCCAGAGGACGACATTCTTCGCTTGGAAGGGCGAGTGGTGGAGTTCTATGCGAAGGATGCGCAGATCCAGTATGATAACGTGGCAAGAAGCCTGCTAGATATAATCTATACCTCAGGCCCCGCAAGCATTATAGCGAATGTCAGAAGCCAGGATATGCGCGACCGACAAGCCATGAGAAATGCCCTTGATGATATCGATCGCGCGGAGGGGTTGTTGCAGAAGGAAGAATCAGAAGAGGAAGAGAAGGAATCGGCCGGGGATAAAACCTCGGAGGGAGATACAGAGATTGGGAATTCATCCGATCATTCACAGGGTCATTCACCTGGGAAAACCCAACTTCGATGGATTCATATGCCAGTGAACTCGGTATGATTCCCTGTCTGCTTATTGCTATAGTTACTGATTCACTCTAGTTGCTGCTTCTGAGGGTAAGTTGACCTGATCGGGCTTCACTCAGGGAATCTTAGTGACTGATTTCCTGTCTTAGCATCTAACTACACGGCTGTGTCGGGATTCAAATGTGATGGAAAGGGGACATGGGCGAATGATGGACTTTTTCGAACAGAGTGCGAACGAGCTGACCGCGGCTGGTAAAAGAATTTATATGAAGGCACAGGGCCTAGTATGCTAATCCCCTACCGGATTATGTCAGGTTTCTAAGGAGGCTAATAAAACTTCTAGCATAAGGAAAGCACGTCCCAAGAGCAGACCAACTCGTCTGCTCACAGAACACACACCGCACTCTATGTAGGTCTTGATATCTCGACATCATCATAAGCAGAATTAATGAGTAGCAGCTTCCGTACCTATGTGTGGCAGACAAACCGGACAGAACAACCAAAAACGAGCCAGCTTCCAGCCTATCCACACACGAACCGGTGACACTGGACCAATTCTACTACACCGCACTCGGAGACACCAGCGCCAGAGACGACGACCAAGTGCTATCCAAATATCTGAAGAAACAGAGCGAGGACAACCCCGGGAACCCCTACGTGCAGCAGAGCAAGTCGGACAAGAAACAGATTTTGATGATCAATCAACTATGGGTGTGGGTTCTCGATGAGAGTACGTCAAACATGCTATAAAATGTCACTCTTATCTGATATTCTACAGAAACGATAATCTCAACAACATCAAACTCTCTGAACCAGTCAGAGAACCTTATCTTCGACAGACTCTCCAGAATCGTGCAGTCCTCGACAATACATCGTCCGGAATCAGCCGAGTCCATGCTCAGCATGCTCATGGGAGTCACAGCGGGGCTGTTCGTGGAGAGAAACGTGCTCGAGCAATTCCCTAGCAAGACAATCCTCGATGTTTTCCGGGAGTCTATCCAAGACAAGGTACACTACCACCGTCACTCTTCCGGGATCTTCAGTCCTAACATTGACAGGCCAACGAAGAAACCAAAGAACTAAAGAAATTCCGCCTGTCCCTCAACAAATCCAGCAAAGGTAGCAAGAACCTCGGATCCGCAAACCCCTACGAGGACATCGGCGCACAGGCAGACCTTCTACACGAGATCAAGGATATATGCGACGAGCTGAACATCCTCAAAGCATTGACTGAAGTGCAAGAGACTGTCTGGAGACAGGTCTTCCAAACGGAGAATCTGGACCGCTTTGCGCTGAATCACGCCCAGTTGCAGCATACACCTACGGCGCGAAGACAGGAGATCGAGGAGATGCTTGTTGAAGCTAAGATGACTCTTGACTCGGTGAGCTATCATTCAAATCTTCTTCTTGGTCATTGCTGATACTTTCCCCCAAAGGTACAAAACCTTCTGGACCTCAGGCAGAAACAGGCTAGTATCCTCGAGGCCGAGTATGCGCGGATACAGGCCGAGGATACGGGGAAGCAGGCGAATACGGTGATGGTTTTTACTATCATTACTATTATATTTGTGAGTATCGAATATACGTATGACTGGCAGTTACTGACGACACTTGGAAAATAGGCCCCGTTATCATTCCTGACCTCCCTGTTTGCGCTGAACGTCACCAACTTCCCACACGACTCCGGCAACGTTGAATATCAGGGATGGTGGCTGTTTCCGGTTCTCTGTACGTCACTCACTCTATTATGCTTTGTCCTATTTCCAGACTCATGTCATCATAGTTGGCTCTTCAATTGCATTCATCATACCAGCATGCTACATCGCCCTCAACATCAACAACATCAGCGAGTCGACAGACGGAGCCAAAGACCGGTGGAAGGGCTGGTGGACACGGCGCAGGAAACCAGCGCCAACATCCACAATCTCCTCTGAGAAGATTGCGAGCTCGCCGCGGATTGAAATTGGACGGCGCCCGCGTTCCGGCTCGAGGGATACTAAGACTGAGATGAGTCAGTATATACTACCGAAATGAGACGCAGGATGTTGATTAGATGTGTTGATGTTCATGCTGTGTTGGGTATGGGGTACGATCGTATAGGTTATGAATCTGTAGAGCGTGCGCGAGCGGGCTCTATATAATTATATTAGTAGATATAAATAGAGAATTATTCAAAATCTCGTGCTTTTTTCAATTAAGTCTATCTGTAGCAGTGTGTGATAATAGAATCAGTGGCTTCTCTTTTTCTTGTTGATGCCTCGAGAATGAGATTTGTCTCCCCGGAGCCAGCCCCAGACGTGCTAAGCACGGTTGGTTCCCTGGTCTCGTTCTGTCGATCCCCATCATTCGGGAAGGGCCGCACCTCCACTATTCTAGTACTCTAACGCCTTTTGTTTGGTCTTATCTTACTGTGAGACTGGCTTCGAGTAAAACCCATGAATTAAATTGACTAATTAAACTGCCACATCACTTTTCCTTCACTAATAGCTATTATTATTATTATTATTGTTATCATTCTTCTTCCTTTTTTTCTTCTTCGCCTTGTTCCTCAAGGGCAGCTTCGTGGATAGGCACAGACATTTCGTCCCAAGGAAGCCGGGTATCTGTCATAGAGATGAGGGAGAACTGGGAGAGGGAAAGTATACTTGATGTGTCCTGTCACTTCTCTTCACTCCTCCTGCTCTTCTTCTTCTTCTTCTTCCTCCTCAAGGGTAACTTCGTGGGTAGACACGGCCCTTTCATCCCCCGGACGACAGGTATCCGTCACTGAGGTAAAGGAGGACTGGGAGGGAAGGAGCAAACTCGATGTATCCATTTCATAGGGTCGTGCAAAGTAATCCAGGCCGTCATCATCGTCATCATCGTCGGAGTAGTCGTCCGGGTCCTGGGGCTCGGCAGCTGCGGCCATGGCAGCGACTCTGTTCATATGCCACTGTAGGCTCATGATACGGGTGTCTGGGAGAGGGAGATTGACGGGATCGGGGGTCTTGAGAGTGAAGGTATCACCACTGATGATTCGTCGATGCGAGATCATATCCCACAAGTTGACGCCGTACTTTGTCGGATCTTCGTTATCGGGGAAGTCCGGTATTTCTCCAATAGAGACATCTTTTGGCGCCTGCTGTTGTTTCAGCCACCAGAACCGGAGAGTCAACCATTTGCCATTAGGATCCCTATCTAAGGGTTCAAAGGCAAAAAAGCTTTTTCCGTGAAGGCGGTGGGCAAATGAATTCATGCAAATCATATTCTCAATCTTTTCCGTATCAGCCCCATCGCCGAAGATCGCATTGTACCAGCTATCCACTTTCTCTTTTGTCCAGAAGAGGCGAATAGTTCTCCAGAATCCAATCACTCCGGGACTATCACGGTTACCCATCAAGGCTGGATACAGATGACACACGTCGATAAGCTCGGCCGGTGTTGAGGTGATAATACACATGCCATCACGGTCCTTGCACTTCAAGTCCAAGATATCATTAGTACTCAATAACAGAAAGCTTTCAGGGATTATCATACTTGCTGGGTCACGGCTGTGCTTCGCCTCCTCTTAGTGCCAGGAGTGACGGGAGAGCTGAGAGGATGCTTTTTTGATAACCGCTCTATTGTCGGAGAAGAAGGAATGTCCAGACGAAGTCGGACGGGGGCCGGTGTTGGTGTCGCGCTTTTAGTGACGGGCAATGATGCCACGGGAGCCGAACCCATTCCAGGCAGAGGGCTTGAGAGAGGAACCGGGGAAGATTCCAGCCTGGGGGACTCCTTGCCCGGAACACGAGACAGAGGTGATGGGGTCGGGGTGCCACGTACTGCCACGGGAGATGCCACCTGGGAGTTAATCTTTTTGTCCAACTGAGACCCTAGACATTATAAAAGAATGTTAACAACAGGATGTCCACCAGTAAGTAATCAGCCTATAACTAACATTTCCCAACAATATTAGTGCTCTCTTTCATGCAAAGACGGTCAAGAAGCACATCTATCGAGCCGTCGAGGAGGGCATGCAGGGCACGCAGGTTCTCGATATCCGACAGCCAGAGACATGCACGCACCATTGGGAGTTGCGTGGGAAGAGGGTCATGGGCCAGGGCATCTGAAATTTCGCTGATCAGGCGGCGTCGCTCTTCTTCTTCAAAGATGGCATTGAGATACACCATTGTGAGACGAAGGGGTCAAACGAGGACAGAGAGAGATAGATTGCTAAGTTGTGGAACGGATGCAGGACGCGGAGAAGTAGAAGGAGAAGTAGAAGCAGAAGTAGAAGCAGAAGCAGAAGCAGAAGGAGAAGGAGAAGCAAAAGCAGAAGCAGAAGCAGAAGCAGAAGCAGAAGCAGAAGTAGAAGGAGAAGTAGAAGCAGAAGCCGAAGCAGAAGCAGAAGGAGAAGGAGAAGCCAAAGCAGAAGCAGAAGCAGAAGTAGAAGGAGAAGTAGAAGCAGAAGTAGAAGGAGAAGTAGAAGTAGAAGGAACAGTAGAAGGAGAAGGAGAAGGAGAAGTAGAAGGAGGGAAATATAGGGAGGATATTCGTGCGATTACGTCATACTCGGAGCATGCGTGATGCGATTATTACCGTATTTCCGCCATACCTGGGTACCTTGCCTGCTACATAATTAGGTATGCCGGGGGAGGTACCTTAGGGTACTGCCCTGTAGGCTATGACAGGACCAGACCGTCAGTGCCTGGAGAACAAATCCCGAGAACAACTAGGCTGCTCGGGCAATTTGGAGTGGTTGGTGAGGATCTAAATCAGGCCTTGACTAGAAGATGATCTGGTTCTGGGGGCTGGATGGCGGACCTGAGAGATTTGAATGTTCGTATAATAATGTCTCTTATTTCGGGGCAGCATGATTACATTGTATAATCACATAAAGGTAAATTAGGATAGGAGTTCTGTACTACTTTTAGGATAACTTCCGGGGTACCCCCGACCCCAGCATAACAGCCCGGGCATACTCCCCCTCCTCCGGAACTCTCCCCGGGAAGCATTCGCAGAGGTAGGTCATAGCGACAGGGAAGATGAACAGGTAGCTGAGGGCGAGGATCGGCCAGGGGATGGTGGTGGTGTACAGGCGGTCGCTCGTGAAGTGGCCGTAGAGCTCGGCGAGGAGGACGCCCACGGTTTGGGTGAATGTGCTCGTGGGGGTTTATTCTCCTCGCCCATGGTGGTTGGGGGGTAAGGATTCTGCACGGCGACGGCGAGGTCCACGAACTGGTATAGAAGGGCCCGCCGCCCCTTGCATCAGCCAGATCGACAGCCAGAAAAAAGCAAGCAGCGATAGCGCATGGATCTGCAACCCGATTCGGCATGCAGGTTCCCTTCTGCAGAGGTGCTGCAACGATACCCGACGACCCGATTACCCCCCCTCCTTGGTCCTGGGATACTTTTACCACCTTCGTGCGACACTCTCTTCCTTCAGCATCGGAATCATGACTGTCACGGAGACGCCCTTTACCATCGACAACCTCCCCTACGGGGTGGTTTCCACCGCCGACAATCCGACTCCCCGCTGTGCCACGGCCCTGGAAGACGATGCCATTGATTTGAGCGCGCTCGAAAGGGTTGGATACTTCAAATCCATCCCGGGGTTCAAGGGCCGGGTATTCTCCAGTGTATGTGCGTGCATTCCCACGGCGCTGTTCACAGTCTGACCTCGCAGCCAACCCTGAACACGTTCGCCTCTCTGCCCAAAGAAACACACGTCTATACGCGAGCGGCCTTGACAGATCTGCTCTCCGACGACGAGATCCGAAAGACCTACGCTATCCCCCTGTCCAGAGTGCAGAACCATCTTCCGATGGAAACGAAGAACTTCAGCGACTTCTATTGCTCGTACGAGCACACCAGGAACGTACGCAACCCTTGATCCTGGTCGAGCCTCAAAGCGGCACTGACAACAGCAGTACTCGGAGCTGTACTCCCTCACCATCCCCCGTTCGTGGTGGTGTATCCCCTCCGTGTACAACGGCCGCCAATCCAGCCTCCGCATCTCGGGCACCCCGATCCGTCGACCCTGGGGCGTGGTAGCCGACTCGCAGAATCCGGAGGGTCTGCCCGTCTTCAAGCCCAGCGCGCGCTTCGACTTCGAGCTGGAGATGGGCGTCTATCTCTCCCGCCCGTATCCCCCGGGCGAGATCCTCGACATAGCCGACGCGAAGGATTATATATTTGGGCTGGTGATATTGAATGATTGGTCCGCGAGGGACATCCAGACCTTCGAGATGACGCCGTTGGGGCCGTTCCATGGCAAGGGGTCGGGGACGAGCATCTCGCCGTGGATCGTCACGATGGAGGCGTTGGAGGGATCGCGGTGTGAGGCCAAGCCACAGAGCCCTGCGCCTTTGAGGCATCTGGCGTGGAAGGGAGAGGCTGGGGAGGCGACGTTTGATATCGAGCTGAAGGCGAGGGTTATTCGTATGTTGCCCATGTCTTCTTCTGTTCTCTTCTGTCCATTTCATTTGTATTACTGACGTGCTTCAGGGAATAAAAAGTCCTACACCGTCACCGAAACCAATCTAAAAGAGCTCTACTGGACCCCCATCCAACAGCTCACTCACCTCTGCAGCGCAGGCGAGGGCCTCTCCGCCGGCGACATCTTCGGAACGGGCACTGTGACCAGCGATGTACGCACCCCATATATAAACATATATAAACATACCCTTGGATAACTGAGAACCCTGCTAACAGAAGCAGCGCATCAACGAGCAAGGAGAGGAGATCGGGGTTGCCTGTCTGATCGAACGGGGGCTAGAGAGGAACGTCCTCTCCGAAGCTCGCAAAGACGGCCTGGTGTTTCTCGACGACGGAGACGAGGTGGTCATGGAGGGCTGGTGCGTCAATCGGCTCACTGGGGGGAGGTTCGGCTTTGGGGAATGTCGCGGCGTTGTGATTCCAGCTTTGATGGAGGGCGAATGGGAGGGGGAGTGAGCTTCTTCTTCTTCTGCTTTGGGGAGTTCCGAATCCGAGAAATAAATGCGAGAAAGAAGTCAGCTGTCTGGTTGATTCAGGCAGTAGTCAGTCAAACAAGTCCAGCGTCGCAGTTCAAGTAGCTACAAGAGTAAGATAGATACCCACGCCAGGCGGTAGAAGAATCCGGTGCCACAAAAGCAAGCATGGCGTGTTGCAGAGCGAGGGATTTAAACGGGGGAATGGGAGTGGCAGGGAGGAGAAAAGAGGGGGAAGAGCGGGGACTATGCAACTATTTGCATAGTCAGTGCTGCTACCACCACTGCTACGACTACGAAAATCTCTCTCGCCCCCTCAACTACAACATTACACCAAAATCCATCTGGTCGGTTGGGAATCTTCTGCATGGGAATTTTCCTAGGGTCATCACGCATAATACAATCATGAATTATCGTCCCGTCGCTTCAACCGTGCGATCGAATACGGCATCTCGCTGCGCCGGGGGTCCGGCGACACGCGACCGGATCCTCCTGCGTGCGCTGGAGCCTTCCACGACGGACGATGGCGTACCAATGTCGGTCTCATACTGTTGAACAGTGACGAGCCACCGTCCTGGTCGGGTGCGTCCGCGCGATGCTGACGAGATCAGACATTGTCGCGGTCGCGTCAATGTGCTGGGTTTGTCCCGATGTCTCCATCGGGACCCGTCCTGCCCTCGGTCGGGGCTTAGTTCTCAAGGCTGACCTTGACCTTCTTCTCCGGCGGGGGGATGATCTGGTCCTCCACGGCACCGGTGAGCGTGGGCAGCTCCGTCACCGCGGCCTTGATAATCTCCAGGGACTTCTGGACCTCCTCGTCGGTGATCACCAGGGGCGGCGCCAGACGGATGATGTTCTCGTGGGTGGGCTTGGCCTGCGGGGGTCAGTGGGTGGTCGCACGGACAACGGTGGGAGTCAACTTACCAGCAATCCCTTCGACTTCAGCAGCATGCACAGATCCCACGCGGAGTGGCCGTTGGTCTTGGACTCGTCGATGACGACGGCGTTGAGCAGACCCTTTCCGCGCACCGTCTCGATCACGGGGCTGCCGATGGCGCGCAGCCCGTCGCGGAAGACGTGGCCCAGCTTCTCGGCACGCTCGACCAGCTGCTCCTCCTGGACGACCTCGAGGGCGCGGATGGCGACGGCACAGGCCAGGGGGTTGCCGCCGTAGGTGGAGCCGTGGGTGCCGGGCTCGATGGTGAGCATGACGTCCTTGCGGCCCAGGACGGCAGAGACGGGGTACATGCCGCCGGAGATGGCCTTGCCCAGCAGCACCATGTCGGGCTTGATGCCGCTCCACTCGTGGCAGAGCAGCTTGCCGGTGCGGGCGATGCCGGTCTGGATCTCGTCGCAGATCAGCAGCACGTTGTGCTTGTCGCACAGGGCGCGGGCCTCCTGGAGGTAGTCGTCGTCGGGGACGACGATGCCGGCCTCGCCCTGGATGGGCTCCACCAGGAAGGCGGCCAGGTTGGGGCCGGCCGTCTCGAAGGCTTCCCGCAGGGCGGCCTTATCGTTGTAGGTGATGGGCTTGTCCGTTCCGGGAATGGCGCAGCCGATACCGGGCAGATACGGGCCATAGTTCTCACGCGACTCGGGGTCGGACGACAGCGAGATGGCCGCAAACTACGCGGGGATCGTCAGTATGGAGAGTGGAATTGCGCTGACGGGGGATCACAGTGCCTACCGTGCGTCCGTGGAAGTTGTTCTCCGCACTCAGAACGAGCGCCTGGTTCTCCGGAATCCCCTTGACCTTGTACCCCCACTTGCGGGCGATCTTGATTCCCGTCTCCACCGCCTCCGCACCGGTGTTCATGGGCAGGACCATGTCGAACCCGAAGTACTGGGTGACGAACTCGGCAAAGCGGGGGAACACATCGTTGTAGAAGGCGCGGGAGCTGAGGGTCAGGCGGGAGGCCTGGTCGACCAGGGCGGCGACCAGCTTGGGGTGGCAGTGGCCCTGGTTGACGGCGGAGTAGGCGGACAGGAAGTCCAGGTACTCGCGGCCCTCGGGGTCCCAGACAGTGGTTCCCTGGGCGCGGGCAAAGACGATGGGCAGGGGGTGGTAGTTGTGAGCGGCGAATTCCTTTTCGGCCTGGATGGCGGCGTGGGTGGAGGGGGCGTGGTAGGAGGTGGCGCCGTTCGCACCGTTCACGCCGTTGGTGCCGTTGGAAGTCATGGTGGGGGAGAGAGGAGAGGGAGAAAGAAGGGAGAAGAGGAGAGGAGATCAAGGATAGATAGATATGTGGAGAGATATAGAGAGAGAGAGAGAGAGAGAGAGGCGTCGCGGACAGAGGAGGGAAGTGGGAGAAGAACAGAGAACAGAGACAGACGGAGGAGGGGGGGGGAAGAGACGGTTTAAAAGGGCAGGAGACCGGAATGAATTGGGGAGTGCAGCGTAGGGAGGAAATGCAAAGATTGAGGCAGAACTAACCCCTAAGTGCAAGTATACGCGGATGACCTCTAAGTGCAGGTGTACCCGGCGAGACGGAGGCTGACTAAGGCGGTTAGTCACCCTCGCCGCCCGCAAGCCACTCACAGCCGCACCATTTGCACTCTTCCTCTTCCACTCTCCACGCGTGGAGCCTCAGTTTAGACTACAGCTCCACTCGCCCCCTAATCCAGGCTAGTCAGTCTGCTGGCCGGAATCTTCGACACGCTGTTCTTGGTTCTGTTGCCATCCTACTGATCGCTCCAGGGGACAGGAATAGTCAGGGTGGAGTAAGTACTGCAGCTGCATCTGTTACATCACCACAACAATAAGAACAACAACACATGTGAGTAGCCATGGCTTGGCCCGGATTCACCCCGGACATGTTCCCCCCCCCACGGCCCCGAGCATCCTCCGTGGGCAGCAACTTCGACTCCGACGACAGCGACTCGCCGTTATTCCTGCCGCGCCCGTTGCGCCCGCCATCGCCCGCGAGCGTGCTGGCCGCCGCCTCCGCCTTCCTGTCCTCCCCGCCGCCCGACGCCGCCCGCCTCTTCCTCTCCCTCCTCGCCTTCCGCCTCCTCAACGCCCTCACCATCCGCACCTTCTTCCAGCCCGATGAGTACTTCCAGTCCCTCGAGCCCGCCTGGGCCACCGCGTTCGGTCACCATCAGGCCCCGTGGATCACCTGGGTAAGTTGATTGTCCCCCCTCCCTGCGCCAGCATCCTCCTGCATCGTCCACAACATCCCCCGTCGCCAATCCCCGACCACCCAGTGACTAATCGGTCACCCCGTGCGGTGTCATCGTACAGGAATGGCGTCACCAACTGAGATCCTCCCTGCATCCCCTGTTCTTTACCGCCGTTTACTCCCTCGCCAGCTGGCTCGCCCAGCTGCTGCGGCTTCCCCCCGTCTGGCGGGCCGACCTGCTCATCGCCGCCCCTAAGGCCGCCCAGGCCGTCATCGCCGCCGTCGGCGACCTGTATACCTGGAGGCTGGCCTGTGGCGTCTACGGCAATGCCTCCCACGCCGCCTGGGCCGCGGTACGTATCGCCTGGCCCGTCCCTGTGTGTCATCCCTGACTGACAACCCCCCCACCCCCCGCAGCTAGCCGTGTCCATCCTAAGTCCATGGCAGTGGTTCTGCTCCACTCGCACCCTGTCCAATTGCCTCGAAACCACCCTCACCGTGGTCGCCCTGTATCACTGGCCGTGGGAGTGGTCTGTGGCGGACGAGGAGTGGGAATTCCCCCAACCCCGTCTGGTGCACGCCCTCCGCGGCCGTGCCAAGCGGGACATGGAGCGGTACATCGCGCGCCACACTCAGCCGGACGTGACCGCGGAGCAGTTTCACGCTGCTGTCCTGGCCAGGTCGGTCTGACCTCCTCCATAGAAACGCCCCGGGCTAATGGATGATAGGTACCGGCGATGCGTCCCACTCGCCGCGCTGGCATGTCTCCTGCGGCCCACCAACATCCTGATCTGGATCCCCATGGCCTGGGTGGCCTTCTACCCGGCCACTCCGCAGCGACGGATGGTCCTCCTGCGGGAGGCATTGGTTGGGGGGTGAGTAGATGCCCGTTGACTGTCCTAAAGAACGGCTGCTAACCCTGCCCAGCTCGGTCGTCCTCGCCGTGTCGCTGCTCGCAGATCGGTATTTCTACGGCTTCTGGACCTTTCCGCCCTTCCATTTTCTATACTTCAATGTCGTGCAGTCCCTCTCCCTCTTCTACGGCAGTAACGATATCCATTACTATGTCTCCCAGGGCTTCCCGCTCCTTCTCACCACCGTCCTGCCGTTCGCCGTCGTGGCCTGGTACAAGAGCTTTTTCGGCCTCTACTGGCAAACGGAGCCGCCGGCCAACCGGCTGCGCGCGCCGGTGCGATTCCAGCTGGCCGTGGCGTGTCTCCTCATGCCGTTGGTCCTCTCCGTCATCTCGCACAAGGAGGTCCGGTTCATCTACCCCTTGCTGCCCGCGCTCCACGTCCTCCTGGGTCCGACGCTGGTGGCCTTCGTTCGCCCCGCCCTGCTCGGGACCGGCGAGTTTCACATCCCCAAGCGGCTCGTGTTGATATTTTTGCTGCTGGTCAACGCCGTCATGGCCGTCTATACGACCACCTACCATGCCTCCGGCCCGATGGCCGTGCTGTCCTACCTCCGCGAGCAACGACAGGCCCACGGCAGCCCGGATCTGAATGACATCACCCAGCCCGGCATCACCGCGGGCTTCCTCATGCCCTGCCACAGCACCCCCTGGCGCTCCCACCTGGTGTACCCCACCATCGGCGCCTGGGCCCTGTCCTGCGAGCCGCCGGTCGGCCTGGACGACCACGAGAAGGCGACCTACCTCGACGAGGCGGACCAGTTCTACGCCCACCCCGGCGATTTCCTGCGCACGCACATGGCCGGCGGTCTGCGCAACTTTCGGCGCCGACCCTCCTACCATGAGAACCCCCCGGCCCATATCTTCCCCGCGCGGTACCAGACCCAGACGCCGCACGACTGGCCCGACTACCTGATCTTCTTCGCTCAGATGGAGCCCACTCTCCGCAGCCAGCTACGCTTCTCCGCGTACGACGAGTGCTTCCGCACGTGGAACTCCCACTGGCACGACGACTGGCGCCGCCAGGGCGACATCGTCGTCTGGTGCGTCGACCCCGACGAGCAGGCCGCCTGGCAGGCCCAGCGATGGGATCGCCAGCGCGCGGAGCGTCGCCAGGTCCAGCAGCCCCGCGACACCCACTTCGACCGCATTATTCAGACCATCAAGGTCCATGCGACCGGTTCGAAGCCGGCCCCCAGCCGATGGACCGCCCTCTTCTCCCGGCCAAACTGGTCGCGGTCGAGGTCGGAGTCCTGGTCAGGGTCCTGGTCCTGGCCATGGCAGCGTCGCCAACGCCCCACCTTCCTGGGGTATGAGCTGCCGGAATGGATGGTCCGGTCTAAGCGTAGGGAGGAGGACTCATGGGCATTGCCCTCCCGGGAGGAATGGAACCGCCGGCTGAATGACCGGCGGAACTGGGCTTAGGGGTTTTTTCGTACTGTCATTTTTGCTATATTTGTATATCTTGTAACTTCTGGGCTTGGGTGACAGTATCGGTTGTCTTTCATTGGTTTCCCGGGGATAGGATTGTGAATATGTGAGATACCATCTATCTATCTATCTATATATCTATCTTTATGTTTCGAACTCCTTCAAACAGCCAACACAACAGCTCTCGGCCAATAACCTATTTACCTACTACATCTACGAAGAAGAAGCTCCCTGAAATACGGAAACTAAGTTAGGATACGGCTAATTTAACCACGATGTCAATTAAATTGGATTGAATTGAATTGATTCGAATTTTCCATAGTATTCCTAAACTCCATCCTTCCGCTCCATACACGACAAATTTATCTCAAGTAACTCTTTATCCATGTCATGCCATAGTAGATAGATAGATATATATATATATGATATATAGTAGCACGATCTTCTCTCTTCTTTTCCCTCTTCTTTCCCTTCTTCAGTTCTTCTCCAACGAAAAACCACCCACTCACTCCCACTCCCACTCCCAGAACAAGATGATATATAGTAGTAAGGTCTCTCTATATGCGAAATCAGCATGCATACTGTTTTTATTGCATGCATGTAACGCCCTCGAATTCAATTTGTAACGTAACACCTGCAACGCCACGCCACGCCACCACTACTATCTATGATCTAAGTATATATCATGAGATCTAACCCAACCCAATCCAATCCAATCCAACTAACTAACTAACCAAACCGGACCGGAGCAGACCGAGATACCACCAAGCAACAACAACAACAACAACCACGGCAACAACCACAGCAACAAGGACTAGCTAGCTAGCTAGCTGGCTACAACATGAATCTGCATGTATGCGCAATGGAGCAAAACTTTTTGAAAGGGAGATATATGCAGACATGATGCACTATCCATCCCATGCATGCGTTCTGATGTATCAGACATGCTAGGCTAGAAGAAAAGGAGCCCTAATTCAAGATGGATGGATGGGTGGATGGATGGATGGATCAGACCAGACTAGATGCATGTACATCAAATTGAGTAAGTATCCTAGATGCTACATCCTATATTCTAGGTAGATGGAGGAGCACAGGAAGTACACAGATAGATAGATGGATGGATGGATAGATGGATCGATCATATCATACCACACCACATCGCACCAACGAACCAACAAACCAACACCAACCCATACATAGATCAGACGTGATCAGATCACACCAGAAGCAGAGAAGGATAATCATCTACCCCACCCAATCCAGTCCAGCCTGACAAATCCACCCACAACCACAAGCACACTTCCGGTCCAAATAGGAGCAAGACGAGAAGAGAAGAAAAACGGTAGAGAGAAATTTACCCATACCGCGCACTCAAACTCGCAAACGCATCCGGACTGTGCCGTCCACTCTGGAACCCATTGACATCGACGCTCTGCTGGCTCATGTGGCCCCGCGGGAAGTTTCCTCCAGGGGCGGCTGGTTTGGGAGCCATTCCCATTCCCATTCCCATGTTCATGTTCATTCCCATACCTGGGTTCTGGGTCGGGCTCGGGTTCATGGTGAAGGGACTGGGAGCTGCGGCTGGTTGTTGTTGCTGTTGTTGGAAGGGTTGAGGCTGAGGCTGGGCTTGACCTTGCGGAGCGGACATGTAGGGCATTCCGGCTCCGGCACCTGCATCCACTCCGGGTCCGACTCCCGGGGCGGCGAGAGGGGCGGTGGTGCGGGGAGCGGGGGTGAAGAAGGGGTTTCTGGTCCCGGTGGGATCGAGGGTGGGTTGTTGGTAGGGCTGCTGCTGCTGCTGCTGTGGTTGTTGCTGCTGCAACTGTTGCGGGGGTTGTTGCTGAGTCTGTGCGTAAGGGTTGAAAGGTTGGGTTTGGGCTGAAGGCTGGAATTGCGGGTTTTCGGGGATCGAAGGAGTCTGCTGCGACAGCTGGTAGAGGGAGAGGATGCTGTTCTTGTCCACGTTTCGGCCGGTGGGCTGCGAGACCAGTCGCTGGGCGGTCGCTTGGTACCCGTACTGAGGGGGGGCGGGGTATCCCGCGCTCTGGGGCGTGGCCGGGGCGGTCATGGACTGGTAGGGGTTGAGGGAGCCTTGGGGTTGCTGGAATTGCACCTGGAATTGCGGTTGCGGGGGCTGCGGTTGGAACTGCGGTTGCTGCTGCTGTTGGAATTGCGCCTGGGGCTGGGGCTGAGATTGAAACTGCGGTTGGGGTTGCTGTTGGGGTTGGGCCTGTGGCTGCGTCTGGAAAGGAGACGTCTGGCCGAATGGCGATGATGAGGACATGATCGGCATGGTGTTTGCGTGTCGGGGCGGTCCGAACGGCGAGGCAGATGCAGCGGCGGGCATCTGGCTCGGGGGCGGCTGCATCTGCGTCTGCGGCGAAACTTGCCCGAAGAAGGGGTTGTTCTGGGCGACTGGAGCGGTCAAGCTGGCCTGCGGCTGGGCTCCGGTCTGGAAGAAAGGGTTGTGACCCCCATCCAGCGGCTGCGGCGAGGAGACGTATGCGCTCTGGGCATAGTTCGCGGGGACGGGGGGAGTGGCCGTCTGCTGGTAGAGGGGCTGAGGAAGCGAAGCCTGCCGCATCGGATAGCCGCCCGTGGAGTGCGGGAACAAGGGCTGGGCGACCTGCAGGTTCTGGAAAGACTGCTCGAGCGATTGCACGGGGGCTTGGGGCTCTGGCGGGGGCGCATCGAAGGGGTTGAAGGAGCTGTTGCCGGGTTGAGTCGGAGGCCGGGCGTCCAGCATGTCGAACGGGTTGGCCGATTTGGCCGCGTCCGCCGCCGACGGAGTCGCTGGGGTCTTCGCCCGCGGCAGAGTCACCGTCCCATTGCCTTCTCCAAGCCGGATCAACGTCTCAATCGTCTTCTCCAGGTTGCCACTCAGCTCTCGCAGCGCAATCGCATTCCGACGCTCGTTCGCAAATCCCATGTCCCGCAGTGTCGCCAACTTAGCATCCAACGAGGCATCCCCGGACCCTTTCCGGACCGAGATGCCCGCCCCAAAGGTATCCGACTGAGGGGAGGTGGCGGAGCCCCGATTCGACATGCGGTTGAGGTTCGTCGCCGATGACGCCGACCTCAGCCCGAACCCAAACGGCCTCGCCGGCTTCGGAGGCAGCGGGGGAGGCGAGCCCTCGGGCGATCCAGGACCACCACCTCGACCACTACCACCTCCCTCCAGCGACCGATCATATCCGGAATCATGGCGACTAGGGGGCTTCTGCTTGTTCTCGTCCAGCGACCGGTACTGATACTTCTGGCGGATAAAGCGCTCCATGCAGGCATCGGACTCATCGACGTCGGACGGGACGGGCGGCTTCACATTCCTCGAGTTGTAGATCTTGTTCATGATGTTGTTGCCGTGCGATTTCATATTCTAAGACAACCCCGCCGTCAGCGATTGCCCTTTCTCTAGTATATAGCAGGGAAATGATTGTCTCGGTCCAACTCACATCAACCTGGTCGTCCGTCCAGGTGTCCATGCTCAGGGACTTGACCTTGGAGATATGCGTGCCCAGCTTCCGGTGTAACGCGGCGCATCGCATGCAGAGGAAGATGCCGATCTAGATTGCGGTCCATCAGTATATACCTTGCCTTTGTTTTCCTATTGTGAGATGTAATCTGCAGGTGCATGCACGGGTCGATCGGACGGAGGGGGGGGAGGGAGGGATGAGACATACGTTCCAACTAGCCCAGCCTGAGGGAGCACACGTTATCGATTAGCCTTCAGGGTCATTCACGAGAATAAAGAAAGACAGTGGTAACTCACCTGGGTTCAGGGCCTGACAATCAGCACAGCGGTCATTGCCGGGCACGGAGCGGATGAGGTCCTGCAGCGCCCGCTCATTGCGGAACTGCTGGCGTTTGCTGATGCCAGCTACCATGATCACGGGAATGAATATTTGGGGACGCGAATTGGGGACGCGAGGCGTGGGATGTTAGGGGGAGTGTGGGGGGGGGGGGGGATAGAGGGGGAGACGGAGTCAAAAGTTCTCAGCGGCCGCAGCAGCCGAGCTTCCGGAAGGGGATTTCGGAGAATGGTTCAGGCTGACAGGCCAAGCATGGTTTGACGTGGGGGATGTAGGTAGGAAGAAGATTGGGGAGAGAGGAGAGAGGAGGAGGAGGAGGAGGAGGAGTAAAAGGAGGGAGGGATGGAAGTGGAAGGGGAAGGGGAAGGGGAAGTGTGGATAGAAAGGAAGAGGAAGAGTGGGTGGAGAGTATTAATCAGGCACTCATGGCGTCTCCGGATATAGTTTTACACCAGATAGATAATTAAATGGAAGATTGAAAGATCAAGATCAATCAATAGCATGAAGAATAAGCATTTAGGGAACAAGAAGAAGACAACGGAGACCACGTTTCTGCAGTCAGCCATGATCTGGAGCCAGTCTGCAAGCGTCAGGGGCAGCCCCCATCACTAGTGACTAGAGAGCTATTTCGAGAAGAACACCAAGATATCTCTCTCTGGAAGACACACGGCCCTCTCGGCCCCTCGTGACAGTTTCTCCGGCGGGCGGAGCAGCAGCCAGCCATGAACCCTGGCCTGCCACTCATGAGACCTGTTCAGCATGTCTTGCATGTCCACATGTGTACAACCCACCAACTGGCCAGACACACACCAATACTGCACGGCCTGTAAACACTCATCACTAAGTACTAACTAGCCTGTCCTCGTAACAGCCGATTTTACCCAAAATTTACAGCGTACACCAAATCTACATCCACAGAAAAAAAACACACAGTGTTTCTAAATAGTAATGTCAGGGCAACCATGACTCCATCCACCATCGCACTCCAGGCCACCCCCCCCAACGAAAGGAAGAAGAAACCCGGTACGGTAGGGGAGTCTAAAGCCGCCCGATGTTGTGAAACGTCATTCTGGACCGCCAATATGACCTGCCATCCTATGGCTCCGACGGAGAGGGAAGTGGAGGTTGATTATGCGTTCGTGAGGTATGATAAGTGTGAAGAAGAAAAGAGGGGGGAAGAAGTTTTTCGCCTTTTATGTGTGCGGGAAGGAGGGGCACGTGATGGGTGGATGGGGCTGACTGCCCCAGGCATCGCTACAGTATCACGTGACTCTTGGGTGGCTGCCGCTCCTCCGCCCGGCGAGCTTCAATCCCATCTCTCGCCCTCTCGCCCTCTCGCCCTCACTCGCTCATCACTGACGCCATCATGGATGGTATCATCGCAAACGGCTCGTCGGAGGCGCCTCCTCATATGCCCCCGCCGGAGCCCGTCGAACGCCCTCCCACCCCCCCTCCACCCCCTCCAGAAGACTCCGCCGCCCCTCCTCCGCCCCCCGACACGTCCGCGCCTCCACCGCCGCCCGAAGACCATCCTCCAGCACCACCCCCCGAGACAGCGCCCAAGAAGCAGAAAGTCGGATGGGCCACAAAACGGCCAACCTCCACACCTCTGAGTGTCGAGGAGCTCGTACGGAAAAAGCGAGAGGCTGATGCCGCCGCAGCCAAGGTACGCCCGCATCACCCACCACCTTCGCGGAGTAGTGAACCCCAAAAGACAAAGAAAGCTAACGGACCCTACTTGCGTGCTTTTTCACAGCCCAAATTCCTATCGAAGAAGGAACGAGAGAAGATCGCGTTGGAAAAGCGCACCAAGGAAGTCGAAGCTGCCCGCAGGATTAAGGAGCAGGCCTCTAATGGCGCTGATCGAAGTGCGACGCATTCGCCCTCTGTCGGCTCGGATGCACGCAATGGTGGTGGTGATTCGCGATTCGTCCCGACGGGTCCGAGAGCTATGCGCGGTCCGGATGCCCATGCCCCGACCGGTCCCGCGGCCATGCGCCATAACCAGTCCCGTGGCAGGCACCACGATATGTCGCCGCCGCCGCCGAAATCTAGGGCTCATGGTGGACGGGGGGATAGGGATAACCGGGACGGTCGCGATGGCCGTGGTGTGAACGATGATGAGGCGACGGCGCAGGCCGCCCTGGTGAAGCAGAAGTACATGGGAGCGGATCAGACGTCGAATTTCTCGGCCAAGAAGAAGCGCAAGAGGACGACGGACCGGAAGTTCAACTTCGAGTGGAACGTCGAGGAGGACACCAGCGGCGATTATAACCCGCTATATCAACACCGGCACGAGGCCAACTTCTACGGGCGTGGTCGTCTGGCGGGCTTCAGCGACGACGTGGCCGACAGCGTGGCGAAGAACTATGCCCGGGCCCTGGAGGACCGCGATCGCGAAGCGGGAGGCATCCGTGCCCGCGAGATCCTGGAGATGGAGCGCCGACGCCGCGAGGAGAGCACGCGCAACCAGCTCGACAAGCACTGGAGCGAGAAGAAGCTCGAGCACATGCGCGAGCGCGACTGGCGTATCTTCAAGGAAGACTTCAACATCGCCACCAAGGGCGGCAGCGTCCCCAACCCCATGCGCTCCTGGGACGAGTCCGGCCTCCCCAAGCGTCTCATGGAGCTCATCAGCCGCGTCGGCTACAAGGAACCCACGCCCATCCAACGCGCCGCCATCCCCATCGCCATGCAGTCCCGCGACCTCATCGGTGTCGCCGTCACCGGTTCCGGTAAAACGGCAGCCTTCCTCCTCCCGCTCCTCTGCTACATCGCAGAGCTCCCTCGCATCGACGAATTCGAATGGCGCAAAAACGACGGACCCTACGCAATCGTCCTCGCACCCACCCGTGAACTGGCACAGCAGATCGAGATTGAGGCCAAGAAATTCACGCAACCCCTTGGCTTCAACGTAGTCAGTATCGTGGGAGGCCACTCCTTCGAAGAACAAGCATACAGCATCCGAGACGGCGCGGAAATCATCATCGCCACCCCGGGCCGTCTAGTCGACTGCATCGAGCGGCGCATGCTCGTGCTCAGCCAATGCTGCTACGTGATCATGGACGAAGCCGACCGAATGATCGACCTGGGCTTCGAGGAACCCGTCAACAAGATCCTCGACGCCCTCCCCGTGACCAACGAGAAGCCCGACTCCGAAGAAGCCGAGAACTCCCTCGCCATGAGCCAGCACATCAACGGCAAAGACCACCGCTACCGCCAAACAATGATGTACACGGCCACCATGCCCACGGCCGTCGAGCGCATCGCGCGCAAGTACCTGCGCCGCCCCGCCATCGTCACCATCGGCTCCGCCGGCGAAGCCGTCGACACCGTCGAGCAGCGCGTCGAGATGGTCGCCGGCGAAGACAAGCGCAAGAAGCGTCTCGGCGACATCCTCTCGTCCGGCGAATTCCGCGCCCCCATCATCGTCTTTGTCAACATCAAGCGCAACTGCGACGCCATCGCCCGCGAGATCAAACACTGGGGCTTTTCCTCCGTCACGCTGCACGGTAGCAAGACCCAGGACCAGCGTGAAGCCGCCCTCGCTTCCGTCCGGAACGGCTCAACCGATGTCCTCGTCGCCACGGATCTGGCCGGTCGTGGTATCGATGTTCCCGACGTCAGTCTCGTCGTGAACTTCAACATGGCCAATTCCATCGAGAGCTATACCCACCGTATCGGTCGTACCGGTCGTGCCGGGAAGAGTGGTGTCGCGATTACCTTTTTGGGTAGTGAGGATGCTGATGTTATGTATGATGTCCCCTTGGCCCCTCCTCCTCCCCCTCCTCCTCCTCCTCCTCTTCTTCTGATCCCCCCCCTTTTTGCTGTCGTTCAAAACCCTATTTACTAATAGTTCATGGATGGATGGATAGGTACGACCTCAAACAAATGCTCATGAAATCGCCCATCTCGCGCGTCCCCGAAGAACTCCGAAAACACGAGGCCGCACAATCGAAACCCACGCGCGGCGGCGCCAGGAAGCCCGTCGAGGAGAGCACCGGGTTTGCGGGCAAGGGGGGCGGGGCGGGCTGGTAACATAGACAGCAGATAGCAGACAGCAGACATGGAATTCTAGCCTAACTGGCCCTAATCCTACCTACTTCTATCCGATTCCTATTCCTATTCCTATTCCTATTCCTATTCCTATTCCTATTCCTATCGAAATCTCAATCTCAATCTCAATCTCATTCTATTGATAATACCTTATGGGTTTCGTCTCGTTTCATCTTCTTTATCGGGACTGGGCTGTCATTTCTGTTTGTCCTATCGTTTATGTGCTGGGTGGGTGTGATCTGAGGGATCAGTGAGTGGACTGGGGGAAGGGGGATGGATGGGGTGGAAGGGTTGGAAGGGTTGATATCTGGATGGATGGATGGATGGATGGATGGATGGATGGTTATATGGTTATATGGATGTATGGATGAATGGATGGATGGTTATATGAATATATAGATGTATGGATATATGGATATATGAATGTATGAATGGATGGGTGAATAGATATATGAATATATGTATGGATACAGGGATGGATGGATGAAAGGGTTGATATCTGGATGAATGGATGGATATATGGAATTATGGATATAGGGATGAATGGATGAATGGATGAACAGCTAATGCTCGATAAATCAGGGAGCTATCCGAAAGTGCGCCATCTATTGACTACCAACTACCCACCAGCTATATCAAGAAATGATTAAATATCCATTAGCGAGCATGCATACCCGATTGATTGATTGATTAATAGGCAGATATGAGATCGTTTTTTTTGCATGGTGCCTGCAATGGAAGAAATGAACTGTATTATACTTTATCATATCATGTTCACTCAGCGGGGATACTACTACTAGTACTAGCATACAAGGATACCTATATATAAAAGACTCACTACAGAAGTATGTATCCCTTACTACTGCCTATGTTATCAATCTACCTAGGTCATGGTACCCCACAACTCAGTATCTACATCTACATCTACATCTACATCTACATCTACATCTACATCTACATCTACATCTACATCTACATCTACATACCCAGCAAGTCACCAACCCAACCACAAACAAAAACCATTTTATTCCATTCCAATCCCGAATAACCCCAAAATACAAACACATACACACGACACAGAGAAGTGAATAGAAAAGTAGATGAGTGGATAGATCAATAAATATATAAGTAGTAGAGAACTAAGTAGGTAGGTAGGAGGTATGTAACTAGGACACCCAATGAAACCACATTGGAGCCAAAACCCGGTTCGGGATGGTGGGTGGTTGATGGATGATGGATGGTTGTATATACGTCAATCGTAAGGTCGCGGCCCGCTGCCGCTGTCCAACATGCACTAGCAGTAGCACTAGAACAAGCACTATTGTGCAGCTTACAGCTTCCCGTCGCGAGTGTATCCGTTGGACTTGAGCCAGGATTCGACGTCGGAGTGGTCACGCTTGACCCAGTTGACCTTGGCGCGGATGGCGTCCAGACTCTGCTCGACGGCGCGGTCGTAGCCCTAAAATGATCATTCACGTTAGAGAGATGACACTAAAAACGAAAGAGAGTGAAGTGAGGGAGAAGGGAAAAAGGGCATACCTTAGTGTCCTTGCTCTCGAAGAACTCCTGCACCTCCTTGAGCTGCTGCTCGGTGGTGAAGCTGGAGATGCTGAGCTGGATGACGGTACCCAGCATGCCCAGGGAGGGAGGCAGACGCTTGTAGACGGCGTCCCAGTTGGTCTTGAGCCAGGCCCAGCGGGCCTCGATACCGCCGACGTGGTTGCGGAGCGCGCCGAGGGGCATGTAGATGTCCTGGTTCTTGACCTCGTCGCCGCTGGCGAGCTCGAGGGTGCGGTGGATCAGGGCGGGGTCTTCGGCGGAGCCGAGGCAGCGGAGGGCGGTGGTCTTCTCGTCGTTGGTGGCGGCGTTGTGGAACTGGTTCAGCACGACGTCGTACTCCTTCTCGCCACCGCGCTTGAGGACGATGCTGAACACGCTGCCGCGGATGTTGGGGTGGATGGCGCTGGCGTCGCCGGCGGCGAACCGCTCGAACATGTCGTGCGCGGCCTTGACGACGATCGGGTCCTCGGCGCTGCCGGCGCTGGCGAACATCAGAGCCTTGAACTGCTGCAGGATGTGGCCGTCGTTCTCGGAGAACTCCCATCCGAGTTCGTGCGCCTTGTTGCTAACCAGCGAGCGCTGGAAGGCCTTCAGGGCGTCCTTGGTCGGGGCATCCTCGAACAGCCAGGCCGCACGCAGGGTGCCGATACGGGCCAGGATCTCGTTCCACACGATGAATTCGGCCTCGCCGTCGAATCCCTTCAGGAGGGACAGCAGTCCGGAGGTGCTCTGGAAGCCGGACGCAGCCAGGGCACCGGCGTCGGCAATCATACCGGCGCGGTCCTCGACGGTCAGCAGACCGGTGCGAGCCGCCTCACCCAGCTTGGTCAGGCGTTCGGGGGTGTACGAGGTGCGGTAGAGAGCGGAGTGGTCGGCGTTCAGCTTGAAGAAGTCCAGGTCGGGCACCTTGAACTCGCCCTCACGGGTCGTCAGCATGGTGTCCTCGTCGATGCCGTTCTTGGTACGCAGACCCAGCATAACCGGGAACAGAGTCTTGTCCTCCTCGGGGCGAACATCACCGGTGCGCAGGAACCGGTTCTGCTTCACCTTGATGGAGGAGGTATCGGGGTTCTCCGAGACGGTGACCACGGGGAAACCGATACTCTTGGTCCAGATGTCCATGACCTCCTCGACGGGCTTGCCGCTGGCATTGGCCAGAGCCGCCCACAGGTCACCGGTCTGGGTGTTTCCATAGGCGTGCTTCTTGATGTAGTCGCGGACACCCTGAATGAAGACCTCCTCACCCAGGTACTTGGAGATCATGCGCAGGACGGATGAACCCTTGGAGTACGAGATGGCGTCGAAGATCTGGTTGATCTCGTCGGCCCGCTTCACCGGCACCTCGATGGGGTGACTGCTGCGCAGCGAGTCGAGGGACAAGGCACCCTGCAGGGTGTCGATAACGTACGTCTGCCAGACCTTCCACTCGGGGAAGAAGCTGTTGCAGGAATACCAGGACATCCAGGTGGCGAAACCCTCGTTGAGCCACAGACCATCCCAGAAGTCCATGGTGACCAGGTTACCGAACCACTGGTGGGCCAGCTCGTGCTGGACGGTCTCGGCGATGCGCTCCTTGCGGGAAGCTCCGGCGGTCTTCTCGTCCAGCAGCACGTCGACGACACGGTAGGTGATCAGACCCCAGTTCTCCATGGCACCGGCGGAGAAATCGGGGATGGCCACCATGTCCATCTTGGGCAGGGGGAAGGTGTTGTCGAACGCCTTCTCGTAGAACTCGAGGGTGCGGGCAGCCAGGTCCAGGGAGAAGCGACCATGCTCGATGTCCTGATCCGGGGTGGCGTAGACGCGGATGGGGACGCGGAACGCGTTGGTCTCGATGTGCTTGAGGTGGCCGACGATGAAGGCGAGCAGGTAGGTGGACATGAGAGGGGAGGTGTTGAACTTGACGGCCTTCTTGCCGCCCTGGACCTCGGTCTCGCTGGCGACGTCCATGTTGCTCAGGCACGTCTGGTCCTTGTCCGCGACCAGGGTGACGGTGAACTTGGCCTTGAGGGCAGGCTCATCGAAGCAGGGGAAGGCGCGGCGGGCGTCGGTGGGCTCCATCTGCGTGGTGGCAATGTACTTGGTCTGACCGTCGGCGGTCTTGTAGGAGGAGCGGTAGAAACCAGCCATGTTGTCATTGAGCTCTCCGGTGAAGGTCAGCTTCAGCTGGGCCGAGGCACCGGCGGGGATGGTGTCGGCGAACTTGACGGTTGCCACCTGGTTGTCTGGGTTGAGGGAGATCTCGGGCTTGGAGGCGACAACGGCGCCCTGGGAGGAGACGACGGCATCGTGGATCTTGATCTCGTTGGAGTTGAGGGAGATGGAGGTGGTATCTTCGGCAACGTCGAGGCTGGAGAGACAGAACGGTCAGCTTGATACACTAGCATGGCGGGGCAGCAGACGTACTCAATGACGACGGTACCATCGTATTTGAAGGTCTCGAAGTTGGGCTCGAGGGTCAGGTCGTAGTGGAGGGGCTTGACATTGGTGGGGAGGACCTCACGGCCACCGGGGACGTTGGTCGAGCCGGAGAGCTCTCCGCGTCTGGCACCACACATCCTGCGGTAAGAGCACGAACGTTTCGAGATGTGGGAGAGGGGGGAGCGGCGAAGGATAGAGCGATGAGTGGCGGGGGAGGGGGAGAGGGAGAGAGAGGAGCGGAGAGAGGAGGAAGAGGAAGAGGAAGAGAAAGATGAAGAAGAAGAGGAGGAGGAGGAGGAAAGGGTAGATAAAGCAGCGAGCGAGGAGGGGCAGTTGGAGAGGGCCGGCGGCAGCGGCAGAAGGCGCCTGGCGCTGACTGAGCGGGCAACCCGACGCATCATCATCGTGGTCGTGGTCGGTGTTCGTGTTTCTGGCTTCAGGTTCTGACTGGGTGGGGAAGGGCGATTGCGCTGCGAAAAAAACAAAAAACCACGGAAAATACGAGCCGGAACAAATGAAGCACGGCAAAAGAAGGGATCACGACCACCTCAACCAGCGTTTGGAGCGTCAATGCGATTGCCAAACAAAGAGAAATGAGTCAACAAAGGGGAGGAAAAGTTGTCTGCGGTTCCTTGCCCCGACGGTCTCCGGCTGTATCCGGCAGGCGGTGAGGGTCCCCGGTGCCTCCCCGGTCCGGACTCCGACCCCGTGACCCGTCTTGTCCCCATCCGGCAATCTGCTTCTCTGCGCCTCCCGCCGCCGCTGGATAGCCCCGATCGGGGCGCTTCTGGCTCTTTTGTCAGGGCTGGCGGGCCAGGGTTCTGCCGGATCACCTGACGCTTGATATTTTCCCGGTTTTCTCGGCGGCCGCCGCCCTTGTTTTCCCTTCCCTCTTCTTCTTCTTCTTCATTCATTCTTACACGCAAGCAATCTCACTGCAACCGGTGCCACATCCACATGGCACCGGCTGTTGGGCTGCCCCCTCCCGGGCAGTGCTTGCCAGACGGTACTCCAGCCAGTTTGAGGGGTCCATGACTGAGCAATGCTCTCCCCGTGGATGGGCTTCCATAGAGGTCTGGGACACGAATGCAGATAGGATAGCACCTACATGTATACATACATCATACAAGCAATGAGGTGGAGGTGTATGCACTTTTTACTCATTCCACATAGACTCGGGATATATATATCCCGGTTGCGCGGGATGCCCTACATTCTATAGAATCATCATACAGCCCAACCCCCAACTACCGTGACACTACCCTCTCCACCCTACACACCCATTGAACGAAAAAGCAACAAGGCAATCAGCAATATGCGGTCTCTGTTGAAAGTACGTCTCTAACTGGGCTGGGTATCTCCTATATAAAAAAAAAAAGAAAAGACAAATCCACCCGCAATCCAGACAAGACAGTATGATGATGCCACCACCACCATCATCGTCCTCATCGTCATAAATAACACAACAAAAACAACCATAGAGTACCTAACCATGGCACTGAAATCCAGCGCAATCTCCCGCAGCACACCCCTCCCTGCCTCCCAAACTCCGCATAAATGCTTCAATCGCCGTGAAAAATGATAATGTAAAGGTAAACATTATAATTATGCCACAATAGGGGCAGTGATGTTGAATCGTGTCGTCGTGACGGTGCTGGTAAACAGACCAGAAAAAAAGGAGTGAAATGTAATGAGGTCAGATCCGAAGATCCGAAGATCAGATCAGATCAGACCAGAGAAAGAGAAAAAAAAAAACCAAAAACAAAAACAAAGCAGACAAGCCTGTCTTGTTCTCTGGCTCAGGACCGATACTGATCCGCATTCTCCAGGGGCATCCGGGTGAAGACGCTTCTGGACCAGCCATCAGCGTCGACCACGGTTTCCTTGACCAGGATGTAGCGGCCCCAGCGCGGCATCAGCACCGCCCACACCAGGTAATACAGGGCGCCCAGGGCGAAGATGCCCAGCGCCACGACGCAGTGCAGGTAGTAGGGCAGGTTGTTGTAGACGCTCTGGCCGGCGCTGGGGGGCACGTAGGGGGCCACGACCAGGTAGATGTTGGACAGGCAGAAGAAGATGGTGACGGGGAGGGTGGCGCGGATGCCGGGGGCCCAGTCGGGGAAGTCGCGGGCCTTGGTGACGTAGATGTAGATGAGCCCGGCGGACACGAAGACGTTGACGATGGACAGCGGGTAGGTGATCAGGTTGACCAGGAAGTTGTAGGCATCGCCGGGGGGAGGCGCCAGCATGATGATGACCGAGACGACCCAGTGCTCGAAGAGGCCCGCGGCGGGCGAGTTGAACGGCCGGTTGCTGGCCCAGATCTTCGAGTACGGCAGGACGCCTTCACGGCCCAGGGCTTGCACGATTCGGCCCTGGGAGAAGATCACCGACAGGACGTTGCCAAAGGCCGACAGGGCCACGAAGACCGACATGACCTTCTCGGCGCGCGCGCCGAACATGTTGCCGAAGAAGGCGGCGGCGACGGTCTGGCCGGAGGACAGCATCTGCTCCTTGGGGACGGCGGCAAAGTAGGCGATGTTGCACAGCATGTACAGGATGCCCACGGAGCAGATGGCGATGGGGGCGGCGATCTTGAGGGTGCGGGTGGGGTTCTTGGTCTCGCTCAGGGCGTAGTTGGCATTGGAGTAGCCGATGAACGACCAGATGACGTTGTACAGGGCCATGACGATGCCGTAGCCCGTGTCGGTCGTGCCCTCGAACGCGTTGGTGAAGTTGTGCGGCGGCTCGATCTTCATGTGGCCCCCCAGAGCCACCCAGCCGCAGACGACGACGAAGACGATGATGGCCAGCTTGACGACGCCCAGGAAGTTCTGCAGCATGAGACCCCACTTGACGGCGAAGGAGTGGATCAGGAAGGCGGCCGTGATGCAGGCCAGCCCGATGCCACGCTGGTTCCAGCGGCCCACCTCGATGTCGGCCGCGTTGAGGATATATTCGCCGAAGACCACACTGTTGCTGGCTGCCCATCCCAGGAGCACGGCATAGGCGGCGTACATGGCCGTCACCAGGAACCGGGGCTTCTTGTAGACGTATTCGAGGTAGTTCTTCTCACCACCGTTCCTAGACGTCATGAGCTCCATCCACACCCCAACCCCTGACAGGAAGACACCTACTTGGGAATCGCCGTACCCCATTCCAGGTAGACGGCAGTACCAGCCATGGCGATCAACGTGCCAACCACCCACATGATCAGGGACAGACCAACACTGCCAGACAGGGACAGGATGGTACTGGGGGTGGCGAAGATACCGGTTCCGATGACACGGTTGAAGATCAGGAAAGACGCACTGACGACACCGATCTGACGGCGGTCGTCGGGGGTGGCTTCGAAGACATTGCCCTCATCTGTGCGGCCGTTAGCACCTGCTCTGCACCTCCCACACCCCAAGCAAACATACAGAGACCCGACACGCCATCGGTACGGCGAGGGCCTTCCTCGACGGCCTTGGTATCCGGAAGGATACTCTTCTGGGAGGTATTCTCAACGGGTTCGCCCATTTTGCTGACACTTGACACTGACACTGATGCTGTAAGATGCGAAAAGACACTTGACACTTCCTTCCGTCAAGTCAATGACCTAACAAGATACTGGGCACCAGGCGGGACTATAAATTCCAAAGCCCCCCGAACCAAGGCAGACCGCGGTTACCAGCGGAATAGCAAACCGTAAGATGCGATGATGTGCTGCGACTAAATCTGATGCAATCAGAGACCACCAGGTCAAGGCACGAAATCCGAGAGGACAGGATCTGGGAATGCCTGCAGAGCCACAGACACAGACAAACACACACACAGACACCTAGTCCAAAGGAACGTGGGGGGGAAGGGATGTTTAAAATAAAAAAAAAAAAAAAAAGAGAGGGTTCTAGGGCAAGTGTGTCATGAGTCGGATCACGGAAAGCGTCAAGTAGATAGATAGCAGCTCCAACTCCCAGACGAACGAACGAATCTCCACCGGGATCAGACTCGTCGAGGCGGAACCCACAAAGAATGTTTCTAGAAAGAAAGACAGGAAAGAGGGAAAAGAATGACGCTCGACCCGGTTTGAGCAGGCGCAGGCGCAGTGAAGCATTTAGCATATAGCATCAAGCCAGCGCCATGTGGTGGCCTGGCCCGACAGCTCCCAAGAGTCCCAAGCGAAAAAAAAACTCCTTCGCCCGAGCCAGTCGCTGGCGGCGATGACACATGGAAATCAATCACGCAATCCAGCGCCGCGAAATGCTCTGCGCGCAGAGGTTGCAGTTAGGTAAAGTTAAGGACGGCCCTGGGCCCCATCGGATCTTCCGCCGTGGGTCGCCCTGCCACTGGGTGGTGCTGCCCCGTCAGTCCCCACTATCTCGATCAAATCATGAATAATAATTATCATATGCCTCTCTCTCTTCTTCTATGTACACAGTTACAACAATGCGTCTGACGGGCAATCAGTATCTGCATCGGCGTCCTCAGTATGTGTGGTTACCTTAGGTTAGTGATTTCAGTCCAGCCAGTGCGTCAATCCACCAGAAACTCCCGCGCAATCGCACAATCCACAATCATCCCAGGGCTTCGTCTGATCATCGTCAAGTTCGTCCGTATCCAAGTTCGGTGGCAATCTGGGGCCCGTGTCTTAAAACGCCAATCAAAAAGCACAACGCCTCCCCTCCCTCCCAAAAAGAAAAGAAAAACACGAAAAAAAAGTTGGAGAAGAAAAAGAAAGAGAGAGAAAAAAAGAAAAAAGAAGCTCCGTATAAATACCGAATGACTCGCGCATCAATGCGTATATCGAAGTCCAGAAACTGCAGCACACTAGGAAAAAATAAATGGAAGAAAAGAGATAAAGAAAAGAGAAGAAAGGACAAGTAGGATGGTAAAGGTAAGAGTCAGGTACCCGGACACGCCGAGGCGCCAGGACCATAGAAGTGAATCGGAATAGAAGAAGAAGAAGACGAAGAAAAAGAAGACGCATGTTCCTGCATGCGTGTATAATGAATCATCAATGTCTTATTTCTCGGGGCGGAGTCGCGCCCATGGCCGGAGACACAGGCACCAGGTTCGAGGGGGCCATTTTGCCCGGCCCGCTGGAAGGGGGCGTGTGGGCGTTTCGTTTCGAGATCAGCGCCAGTTTCTTCTTCAGCGACGCCAGGCGGTTTCGGATGCTGGCCACCACTGTCCGTCGCGTTAGCATCGGTCCTGTCCGGCATCCTGCATAGACATCCCCATGAGAAAAAAAAAGGGGGGGGGGACTTACGTTTCATCACCACCTGACGGTCTTCCGCCTGCACGGCGTCCAGCATGATCTTGTCGTGGTCCTTCCGGCCGGTGCTGCCCTTGTCGATCTGCCCCGGACGCGACACCTCGTCGTCCTCCAGCACCGCTTCGAGCATCCGGATGGCCGTGATGTACGCGATCTCGCACCCGGCGAGGTCCTCGCTCGTGAGCTCGTTGATCGCCGCCGCCCGACTCATCTCCAGGGCCCGGTCGTACATCAGCTTCTCCGCCGTCACCCCAGAGCTGACCACGACGTCACCCGACGACCCGGAGCCCACGGAGGACCCGATCGAATGATGGCTGGGGTAGTTGGGATGGTCCGGCGGCAAACGCTTCTGCCCTTCCACCAGCTTGAGGCGGACAAACTCGGCCTTTTCCAGCACCTCGTTGAACCGATTCCGGACCCACTGCACCACGTTGTTGATCCGGGCGCCCGACGTGGCATCCCCCTTGCCGACGGCCATCTCGCCGAACGCCTCGCCGCGGTTTTTGCGCGTCCACCAGGCCCCCGCGATGTCCATCGACTTCGCCAGCAGAGCCAGCGCCTTGACGTAGAGAACCAGAGCTTCCTCGGACAGTGTCACGACCGCGTCGACCGTGAGCCCTCCATCGGCCAGCTCGGAGTCCGGCTCGCCGGTGGGAATCGGCTTGCCGGGAGGGTCGGTCTGGACGGATGGTGCCAGCGGGATCAGCTGCTTGTATTTCACCTCCGCAAACCCGTACACGACGTCGCTGCGAGTCGCACACTCCTCCAGCTCGTTGATGATTTTGGTGTCTTCGTCCAGACTAGGGCTGGGCTTCGACCCATCTCCGAGGACAATCAAACTACCTTGGGCACTGGGATAGGCCGGGAAGGGGTTGTACGCCAGCGGGGGGGAACGCCCGCCTTTGGTGATGGTCATGGGTGGAGAAAAGCCCATCCCAAACAGACGCCCGCTGGCCATATTTAGAGCCTTCGAGATCGCCGATGTGGCCGACGTCGGGCTCTGTCCGTACCGGCGCTCGTAGGAATTCTGACGGATGTGTGCCGAATCCGCCCGCGACCGTCCGGAGACGATTTGCATGGCTTTGCCAGGGGAGGCCTGGGGTGACGTGGCCGTGGCCGGCGGGGTGCCCTGTATCGTCGAGCGACGAGATGTCCCAGCTTGACCGGTTCGCATCCGAGGATCGTATGCCAACTCGTCGGCGAAGGCATTGACCTCCACCGCGCGCTTCTCCACCAGCACGTAGTCTCGTTCGAACGCAACTTCCTGGGCGGCACGCTCTCTCTCGTTCTTGACCACGGACTTCTCGGCCTGAGGGACCCCGGAAGAAGCCGTACGACTCCGTTGTCGCTCGGCGGCTGCCGTGGAACCGCGCTCGGGCAGATCCTGCCGGGCAGGAGCAGTCGCGTGCGAGACCGGACCAGGCCGCGTCGGGTAGGAGACCGGGGGTGTAGACGCCCGGGCAATCGACAGAGGCCTGTCCGCACTCCCTGTTCTACGCATCGGCGTGGGGGGAGTCTCCGGTCTGGGGCTCTGCGTCACGGTGCGCTGGGCCACGGGATACGTGACCGGCTCCTCCCGGGCCCCCGCAGATACCGTCTCCTTCTCCCGTCTAGCTGACGTCGGGGTATTCAGCCCAGTCCGAGAATCGGGCCGAGCAGATGGCTCCGCGGCCACTAGAACGGGGGAGGGACGCCGGCGGGAAGGCGTATCATCAGATATTATCCCTGGGATTGGCTCTATTATGATGCCGCTCTCGAAGAAGTCCGCGAAGTTCATCCGTTCCACCGGGTTCCGCTTCAGCAGGGCTCTGATCAGCGCCTTGACCGCGTCCGAGGCAGGGTTCTCTTCCGGAAACCTTATCCGATCCTCGCCCTTTTCGATCTTCCGGAGCAGCTCAACGTGGTTGGTCGCGCGGAACGGCGGCTTGCCCACCACCATCTCGTAGAGGACTGTGCCCACGGACCAGAGGTCTGCCTTGGCATCGTACTTCTCGTAGCGGAGAATCTCGGGGGCCATGTACAACGGCGACCCACACAGGGTTTCGGCCAGAGAGGTGGCGGGGAGAGACCGGGCGAAGCCGAAGTCGGCAATCTTGAGCATGGGTAGCGACTCCAGTCCCGTCGTCGGGCTAAAGGAGTCCTCGCTGCCCTTGAAGGGGACCACCTGAGCCATGCCGGACCGGTAAGACGAGGGGGACGGGCACAGCAGCAGGTTCTGGGGTTTGATATCGCGATGGATAAGGTTTCGATCCCGAAGGAACTTGAGGGCGCTGGAAAGTTGCTTCAGGAAGTGGCGGACGACGACTTCGTTGAGGGCACCGCCACGCGGGTTGGGGTATTTGGAGATCATCTCCCTGGTGTAGCGGTGATCCGCGAGGGTGTCGCGGCGTTTGATAAACAGGGACAAGTCCCCCAGGGCACAGTACTCCATCACCAGATGGATGTGCGATGTAGTCTCGTGACAGTCGATGAGAGCCACGATATGCGGATGGTAGAGGCCCTTGAGGATGTGGATTTCGGAGGAGAGGTTCTCCTTGAGCTTCTTGTTCAGCTTGGACATGTTGACCGACTTGATAGCCACATAGGTGCGTGTTTTCTAGGAGACGGCCGGTCATCAGTATGAGGCCTAATCACCGGACGGCCGGGAGGATCGGCTGATAACAGCCATCCTGCTCCGAGACGCGCCAAGAAGGGGGGGGGCTTCTGTAGCACTCACCGTATGGACACCTTGGTAGACCGTAGCAAAGCTCCCTCGGCCGATCTCATCCAGCCTGGTGTATGAACCGATGGGCATCTCGGTTTGCGAGGCCTCACGGGACCTCCTGGAGTGGTGTGTAGCAGCCATGACGGCGGCGGGTGAAACAGACGTCGTTGAAGACCGGACACGCCCCGTCAACCTCACACTACCTCAACAGCAGCAGCAACGACGAAGGATGATGGAGGAGGCCCATCAGGGGAGCGGCAGACAGGACGAGAGTGGCCGACGGCGATGGCGGCGTGGAGGGATGGATGGATGGAGCGGAAGGGTGAAGGTAGACGGAGGTAGGGAAGAGGGAAGGAGTGGAAGAAGACGTGTAGAAGAAGGCGAGGCGGCGGCGCAGGAGGTAAGGAGGACCAGGCGTGCGTGGCAGAGGACGACAGACGGCGGATGGGCAAGTAGCAGCAGCAGCAGCAGCAGGAGGTAGGAGAAGGACTTTGTCCAAGCGTAGGGTAGATAACCTACAGAGACGGGCGTCAGTCGCAGGCCGGAGAGCGGTGAGGCGGAAACGGGGGCTTGTGTGATAGGAGGAAGGGAGGCGGCGACAGGGATTAGGATTACCAGGATAGGATGATGATGACGAACACAGCGTTGGAGTTGTAGTTTGGTTTGATTGATCGTAGATAAGGTGGGAGGGGGGGAGTGGGATGAGGTTGAGACACAAGGGATAGATGGAGGGATGAAGAAAGAAGATAATGGGGGAGAGATGGTAATGGTAGATGGAGCAAGAGAGAGAGAGAGAGAGAGAGAGAGAGAGAGAGAGGGAGGGAGGGAGGGAGAGAGGGAGGAAGAGATGGGGAAAGGATGATGTGATGGGCAGGCCGAAAGGCGGGCAGCAGCTGGACCCAAGGAACAGACACTCCCGAGCGAAAGAAGAGGGCGTGACGGGGCGCCGATAACGATCGATCGGCGGCGGATGATGGATGGGCTTCCAGGGCGGTCAGGAGGAGATGTACTTACTATGACAATAGTGATGGTTGATTCACAAGAACAAGAATTATAAATAGAATAATCACAGCTCGCAGCTCATAGTATCCTAGCAGACTACTTATCTACAGACGACGACTATTGAGGAAACCGTGAATGACAGCAGGGACAGGGATATCCCCAGAAAGGGGAAGATCCAAAAGATCCATGCAGCCATCGCCTCGCTCGATAACAGCCCAGCCAGCCTGAGGCCCCGTCCCCCGTCCCCCGTCCTCCTCATCGGGCTGGACCTCCTGACCATACCAATACGGGACGGGTCACGATACACCCGCCAGATCGACATGGCCAGGGGGATGGATACGGTCTGGTCAGGAAACCGGGAGGGATCCTGTGACTCGGTGACACATCCAGTAGTTACGTAGTCACAAACAGTCCTGCTGCTGCTTGCATCCCATCCATCCATCCATCCAACGCTCTCAGTATCTAACTCAACTCAATCAACTCAACTAGTATATCTAACTAGTACTCTGTTCCACTCGGGAATCTGCAGTTTCCTGCTTGTTTGTCTATCCCGGTCACTTGACACCAGCCACCCAGTCCATCCGACCTTGCCACTCCTATATACTAAATTAAGTACCGTACGGACTCCCGACTGAAGAACCAGATCGCCCTGATAAGCGGGCGTCCGATGGAGTTCCCCCTTCCTCGTTCTTCCAGACTCCCCCCCCCCAAACCTTAGCTGCTGCCTATCGAACATCCGTCGCAGCCTAAGCAAGCACTTAAGCAGGACTCCGCTAGGCGACGATCCTCTGCCAGCATCCATCCATCCATCCGGCATCCAGACGGCACGGTTGAGTCGCGTCTGTGGCGGGTGACGAGTTACGTACTACCTACTTACTTACATACTATACTTACTACTTGCTACTTAACTAGTAGGGAGTATATAGGGAGGAAGTAACTAACAAGGTACCTACATATCTACATACTGCTCATGTACTTATCGGCATGCCCTGTTGGATGATTGATTGTCCCGAGTGACCACACCATCACTCGGAATGCTGCCTGATCGTGCAGGGCGGTCATTCGGAGCAGACGCACGCACCCACCCAAAGTACGATCTCTATCCCTACCTACCTAGCAGGATGTATGGATGGATGTATGTATGTATGTATATGTGTCTTGTATCTTGTATCTGGTAGAGTAGATCGATAGTATTTACAGAGGGGGATCCCCCCCTTCCCCCTTCCCCCCCAACTCACCCAAGGACTCGGCCGCCGAACGTTCAGAGCAGCAAAAGCCCTCCACGTCATCCATTCTCCATCCCCCACACTCCACCCTCAACCCTCAAAAGGCCCTCCGGACACCCGTCTAATGTCTGTTCTGCACATTATATAATCACAAGAATGGTGGGGAAGAGCGAAGAAGAAGAAAAAAAGAAAGAAGAATAATGACATAATGATAAAAGCAAAAAAAAAAAATAATAAAAATGATAAAAATAATCAGACATGGAACCGGGACTCATCATCCCGCTCTACGACCCGTGGGCGCGGCCTTAAAAATCGGTTTGGTATTCAAACAACGAGCCACCACCACCACCACCATCATCATCATCGCTCTATCTTCGTCACCACATACCCTGACAGTTGTGTTGTGTGTGCAAGCGATATTGGCATTTCGCCCGGCTCACAGTCCGAGACCTCGCACCAGTAGCCACAGCACCACCGGCACGACGACGTTGTCGTTACATCCCGTCAGGATCGCCTCGGTCGCGCTGGTGCCCCCGGCCGCCAGGAGCGCCTTGAGCATCACCCGCAGCCAGGGGAAGGTGGGCTCGGTGCCAGGGCCAGGGCCAGTGCCGCTCATGGGCCATTCTCCCAGGACGAGCCAGCCTCGCGCGAAGAGCAGCCCGCAGGTCACGGCCACCGCGAAGGCCACGCTGCCCTCCAGCGACTTGCCGCCGCCCCAGAACCACTTGCGCCGCCCGAACCGCCGCCCGACCAGCGACGCCGCCGCATCGCCCATCCCCACGCAGATGATCCCGCTCACCATGCTGACGTCCCGGGTCGGCGCGCTCCAGCCCGCCCACGGCGCATCCCCCGTCCGGGGCACGTCCGCCAGCGAGAGCCAGAGAGGGATCGAGCATCCGATCAGGAGGAAGATGTGCGAGACGATGACGGGGCCCCGGTGGTCCCGGCCGTCCACGTAGGGGGCCAGGAAGTAGGTCAGGGGTCGCGAAATCGGCGGCAGCTGGGACGCCCGGAAGAGGTCGAGCAGCAGGAAGATGGACAGCACCAGGCCGAGGGCGAGCGCACAGAACGGGGGGTCGACGTAGACGGTCGGGAGGAACATCAGCACCATCATGCCGTGGAAGACCTTGCGCCTCGTATCGACTTCCGCGACGGCGCTCAGCTGTAACACAACAGCCAGCCCCGTCACCAGCACCACCACGCAGTAGGCCACCAGCAGGAGGCGCGAGTTGGCCTCCCCAAACGTATCCTGGCGGAGATGCTCAACCCACCCAAAGCTGCAGGACAGATCCGGGTCCAGGCGAGCGGGGAGGGGAATCCAGTGGTCCAGGTTCCACATGAGCACCCAGAATCGGAACCACGACACATTGCCCAGTAGATAGCCCAACGCCCACCCGAACGGGTCGGCGCCCTGGAGAGCTCGCTCGCCAATGTATTTCCGAACGGGCCCGACGATGATGAGCAGCACAGTCGCGTAGACATACCCGGCGTACAGCCACTTGCGAACTTGGGCTTGCGGCACCGTCATGGACAGGAACGACGCCATGCCGGGGGCCATCAATCGCTTTCTCCGGCCACTGGGAGTCGTCCGGATCTTTCCCGTGCGTTCCACTTCGTTCACGCTCGAGATCGTGTGTCGTCGCCGGTGCTTGACTTGGGGTTGCCGTTGGACCTCGACCGTGGCGGTCTCGGCACTCAGGGTGGCATCGCCGGCCTTGAACTTCTCGCGCGACTCGTACATGGTTTTCCGCGAGACCAGCAGGAACTGGCCCTCGGGCGAGTCACTGTCGGAAAGGTTGTCCTCGGAGGAGCCCGTCCGGCTCAGTTTCTGACAGAGCTTGTGATCGAGCACATTGAAAATGCTGCGAGGCGAACCCCCAGGCGATCGGCGAAACTTCCAGCCGGGGATCCTGGCCAGAGTCACCTCCCAACGCAGCACATCCCGGCAGGAGATGAAGATACACAGGCCCCCAAGCCACAGCAACGCCTTGAGGATTTCCGCCTGCGGGGAGGTTGCGAACAAGAATAGATTGATCAGCGCGCTTGTCAAAAGCTGCCGTTCTGCAGGAAGGACGCTGGTAGTCAACAAAAAATCTAAAGTGGGTATCAACGCTTGATGCAAAGGGAAAACAAGAGTCAGAGATTCCGAACTGAGTCCGAGGAGGGAGAGCGATTTGGCGGGCGCGATCCCCGCCGACAGGTGCTCCGCGACGACGATCGGGAGCACCGTGATCATCCAGTGGACGATGCTGCAGCCGTGGGCCCATTCCCCCAGGGGGATGACGGGGGTCGGGAGGGAGGAGAGGCTGAGGAGGATATTAGGGAGTATTAGGGTAGGACTATGCTGCGCTAAGGATAAAGAAACGTAAAGGGGTATCAAGATCGGATAAAGAAGCGGCGCAGGCTCGAAACTCGTAGGAATGACGAAGGAGGACAGTCCCGAGAGCCGTAGACGTCCATCGCGATGTAACGGATATGCGGCGTAGAGCCCTGTGACCAGCAGCGAGTGGGCGAGGAGCTCTAACAAGAAGTTAGCCATAAGAAATCGAGACAGGCTACCAACCACCACAGATACATCTGTATCCCACACATACCTTTTCTCCAAGCCCAGGCAACGGACCTCGCATCCTTCTGCACCAGAACGACAGCGCCGACGGAGAGGAGCAACGCGGTCTCCAGCAGCCTTTGCAGAACCTCAATGCGTCGTTTTCGCCTGGCTTGCTCGCGCAACCCGGACGCCTTGGCCTCCGCCTCCTCGCCCGAGCTCCGTCGCGAGCTCCGGGAAGTGGAACGTGTTATTGACGGCCACGGGCGCAGCACGGGGAACCACTGGTCGGTTTCGGCGACGAGCTGACGGGGATGGGCGGCACGCAGTCCCTTTCGCGGTCGGAGCGGGGGCGCGGGCAGACCCTTCAGCACGCCGGTGCTCTCATCGTCAGCCTCGGTGCCACTGTCGCTGGAGGTCCGTGGCCAGTGGAGCCCGGGCAGCGAGGAAGAATGCGAGCCCTTCCGGCGATACGGATGGGGAGATCGGGAGAATTGTCGGGGGCAATCGGGCGCCTCTGCTTCGGACGTGAGGCCCTTGCTAGGGAGGGATCCTTCCTCCTCCTGGCTCAGCGAAACGGCCATGGCCTCATGGATGTTGGTGACGGGATGGTGGGTGCGGTTGGTTCTTATAGCGAGTACGTCATATCGACTGCGATGGGTCGGTGGGGGGGGGGGGGGGGAGGCACTGCGGTGGAGAGGGAGATGGATTAGCAAGGACAGTGAATGGGAGAGGGGGAGGAGAAGGGGAGAGCATACGGGGAGAATTGACCCAGGAAGGGAGTGGTAGTGGTGGTGGTGGTGGGAGGAGGGGGGGAAGACGTGATGAAGAGGAAGAGGAAGAAGAGGAAGTCAGGATGTTATCGATCTGATGGAATCGCGGCGGAAGGCGGCTTTTTGTCTTCGCTTATCACATGCCATGCCATGCCGCCCTGCAACTTCGCAACAACGTCAGCGCCGCATCAGGAGATCTTCTCTTCTCTTCCTTTCTTTCTCTACTGCCTATTTTTACCCCGTTTCTCCCTCCATCGTTCCACCGGGTCTCTCCACCCGCACAGTCCCTGGCCCTGGTCTGGGCTTACTACAGGCGCCTGGAGCCAGGCCAATGACCAGAATATCTCGCTTATCTCTGATCTGTGCTCAACTCAATCACGATAACTCTGTCCTCCGTACCTGGAGGGGCGATGCGTCAGTGAACCCTTGAACATAATCATACATCCTATCAACAGGTGCATCTACGCGGCACCAGCGTGTGTCTGTACAATAACCCCCGCGGCCAATTTCCGCCCCCCAGGCCCCCAGACCGACTTGCAGGGCACGATTTGGGCCGGCAATGATGACGCCCCGGACAGTGGCTGGCTGGTATAGATGACGGCGTGAGAACTCTCCGATTGCTCGGGAAGCGACTGCAGGGCTAGCTGCAGACACGATTCCAATCCGGACCCAGCCCGTCCCGCGTCTATTTCCATGCCGACATAGCGGAGGTTCTGCTCGGTCGTAACCCTGGTCTGGCGGCCGTATTCCGTCTCATCTGCCGCCATCGTCAGGCCACCGCAGCGGTAGCCCAGACCCTGCCATTCGATGTCGCTGCCCCGAGGCAGCTCTTCGATCTGGACCGCAAAGAACGCCGGGACCAGGGCGTCGTCCGACTGCACCACCTCGAACTTGGGTAGCTGGGGCGTTGGGGCGCTCGTTACTTGTTCGTGTGCGCGACCTCCATACTTGATATCCCACGCATCCAGGCCTGTGTCTTCCTCATCCTCCTCTTCCTGCGTCTGACGAGCATGCATCCTCACCCAGAGCTCCCACGCGATCCGGGCTTGCATCTCAATGTGCTCGTCTCCCGTCAGGAAAGCCACCGTCCCCAGCCACCAGTCCACCTGCATGGCGATACCAATCCTCCAGAGATGCTGAAGCGACAGCACAGCCCGTAGGGCATAGTTCTCGACCCACGGCCGCGTCAAAGCCTCCGTCGAATGGCCGATGACCTCCATGGACGCCGGCTCCAGCGGGATCTGGCCAGCGATGTACACAATCTGCTCCCCACCCGGTAGAGGAACCGACATGGCCTGCGAATAGGGCCCGATATTGGCCGGCGCCCAGTAGGAGCGCGACTGGACATGAAGACCCTGCCGTTGGTCTCTCGGACCTAAGTCCACCACCGCCGACACCATGACCTTCACGCCCTCCGGGAGACTCTCACCGCAGGCCACCGTCGCTCTCGCCGGCGGGTTCGGCTTCTTGAACAGCGACACATAGATGCCATTCATCAGCAGGAAATCCGCCATTGAGCGAAGCAGCACCGTTGTGAAGACGATATCCCCCGTCGTCCGGCCACCATGCTGTCCCGTAGACGCCAGAATCGACTTGATCTCCTCGGCAATCGCCTCCATCTGCTCCGCAGCGCCAGGCCCAGCCTCCGGCGCGGTGATATTAGCGATCACCCACGTCCCCCCATTCGTAGTATGCTGCGCCTGCAGCTCTCCCCACGGTTTCAACCCCTCCCCCGTATCTTCGACCGTCCCCAGCTCTCCGTCCCTCCGCACCACCACCCCCTCCAACGCCTTCTCAAACCCCTCATCCAACAACGCGGGCCTCCTCACATCCTCAACCCTCACCCCATCATCCCCCTCCTTATCCACACACCTGGCCCCATCCAACCTCACAAACGCCACTCCGCCATCAGCCCCCCTCACCTCCCTCCCAGGAACCTCAATCCTCCTCTTCCACAGAAAACCCGGCCCATCCAGGGCCAAACTCTCATACTCGCCCCCCTCACCCAACACCGCGCCCTTCAAATCCCCGGCCTCCACAAACCGCCTCATCCCCTTGACAATCCTCCCCCGACACCTTCCATCCCTCCCCGAGACATCCCCCCACAAGAACCCCTCATCCAGCCCCCCCGACGCAACCTTGATAATCCGCGCCTCGCATCCCGCGCCAGCCATATCCTCCAACAACCCCGCCTCCGCGTCCCCATCCCTAGGAAGAGTAGGATACTGCCACAACCAAGCCAACGGCGTCAATCCCAACCGCCCAGCAACACTCTCAATACGGGTGCGCTGATACGTGGAGAGGATGGCGCCCGCGCAGACGGCGTTCGCAGTAGGATGCGCGCGCTTGATCCGCTCAAGCAGTGGGATTAGGGACTCGGTTTCGTCCTCGTCGTCTTCACCCCCTTCACTCCCCGCCCCTTCTACTTGCGCTTTTCGCCCATCTCCATCTCCATCCCCATAAACCCTCGCCGTATCGACCGCCCCCCCGCGAATCGCCTGCCGGTAAAGCGGCAGGCCCAGTGCCTCCGCGTAGAGCGGGATGATCCCGTGTCCGATGGTTTGGTACATGAAGCTGTCGATGTCTTCTTCCAGGGTGTCCGTGTTGTTGTTGCTGCTGTCGTTGTTGTGTTGGGCGCCATTTTCAGGCCGGTCCTTGGTGGTGGCAGCGGTGGCAGCGGTGGTGGTGGTGGTGGTGGTAGGAGCGGGGTGCAGATTAGCGAGCGCAATCACATTGTGACCGTTGCGGAGGCAGTGGAGGATGGTGTACAGGGAGTCTTTCCCGCCGGAGATCAGGGCGATGACGTTTAGGGGGGTGGGGGAGGTTGGGAGGGGATGTGTTTGTGTTGGTGGTTGTGGGTGGGAGGACATGGTGATGGTGAGTGAGTGAGTGAGTGAGTGTGTTGAATTGATTTCGAGTGGGAGGTAGGTGGTGTGATGATGGTTGCTCCCTGCACCTGGGCGCTGCTTCTCCTGCGCTGCGGTGAGTGTCGGTATGAAAGTGAGAGTGAGAGTGAGAGTGAGAGTGAGTGTAATAGAGGGGGCCGCGAGGAAGTGAGGATATTGTTTGTTGTTGAAGTAAGTTAGTGTGGGAGGGGGTGGATTGGCACGTGGGGTTTGGCTTGGTGACGTCGAGTCTGCGGCCCACAACCCCAAACCCCAATGACTCTCTCTCTCTCTCTCTCTCTCTCTCTCTCTCTCTCTCTATCACTTCCAACCACCACCCTCACTTATCCTCCTAAGTATGTACTAACTAGATACAAGAATCTTAAAACAAGAATGAATGGATAACCACCTAGTACTAGCGCTTACTCCCTCCCTCCATCGCCCAATTACCACTACATTACATGCCCCAAAAGCTCACTCATGGTCTGATTGATTGATTGATTCATTGATTGATTGATCGATGGATAGATACACTAAGTAACCACACTAGCTACGAACATTACAGAACAAGCCATACCAGCGATCTAATAATAGGTAATGATAAATAATGATGATGATAATATTATGCACACAACTAAATGCGACACACACAATAATAAAAAGACACAGAGATAATAAAAAAAAAGGAAAAGAGGTTGGTTATGCGCACAGGGGTATGAGGCAACGATTGGTATTAAATGGTACAAATAGTGGCCCAGCCACTGCGGATAAATGCGATTTCTGACTGCGGATTCAGCAGTAGATAGATGGTTGTTGGGGGGGAAGGCGGGGGATAGAGCAAAAATATTACATCGAATAGGATAGGCACAGTGAATGCAACTTTGAACGAGAAGTATATAGAAAGAAAGAAAAAGATGAAGAGAGAGAGGGAAAAAGAAAAAGAAATTAAGATAAGGAAAAAAGGGAAGAGGGAGGTGGGATACATGAAGATCGAGGACGAGATCATTCTTATCATCGTCCGTCGAGGATGAGTTGAGTCGGAGAGAGAGTCCACCGCAATAATAAAGATTGATAGCGGAGAGAGATGATGATGATGATGATGAGAAAGTAAGAAGAAAGGGGGGGGGGGGGGGGATTCGCAAGAAAATATCAACCCAAGTAAGTCACCAATGCCTCGAAAATGAAGTCATACGCACGCTCTCTCTATTAGTTTTGGTCCAACCGTGGACTCCAAAGTGCGCCCAAGTTCCGTTTGCCGCCGGTCTAATGCTTCGCCAATATGTATAGGTCCTGAAATATGATGATGCTGCCACTTTGCCCATGTGTTCTTTTTTTGTTTTTTTTTTTTTGTATTTGTTTTCTTTCCTTTTGCTCCGTGGCTATATGCTTTGAATGAGGCTTCAAGGACCTGTCAATAACCCGTACACCTGGATTTCCCTTTCTTTGTCACCGCCAGAAACAAAGCCCGGACGCCAAACCGCAAGACCAAGTCAGACCAGCCAGTGGAGTTCGATGGTTATGTATATGATGTTATTAAGTGATATATGGGAGCTCCTGGTCACATATCATCATGAGTGCTGCAAGGAAAGGGGGATCGCCTTTCTAGGCGTCGCCCTCACGCTTGCGCTTCTTCGGCGCCCGTCGGTCGACGGCGGGCGCGTCCGAGGCACTCTCCTCCGAGGACTCGCTGGTCGTGGACTTGGTCGCGGCCGCGTTGGCAGCCTCGTACAGAACCGCGCCCAGCGCGTTGGGGTCGCGGTCGTCGTACGGCGTGGGCGGGGACCCTGTGCTGGTGTCGAGGACACCCATCACGACAGATCCGCCGGCGTGCGTCCGGGCATGCTGGGCGAGGTTGTCACTGCGTGAGAACTTCTTGCCGCACTCGTTGCACTCGAAGGGTTTGTCCTGAGTGTGCAGAGACCGGTAGTGACGCTTGAGGTGCTCCTGGCGACGGAAGCGACGCGAGCAGAGCGTGCACACGAAGGTCTTCGACGGGTCGTCCGTCAGGGACTGCTTACGACCGCGGCGGTTGACGGAGACCGGTGCCGAGGGAGTCTCGGAGCAGCTGGACGCATCCGAGTTGTGACGGTGCTGGGCAGGGACCTGGGTGGCCGAGCTGCTCTCGCTGATGCTGGCCCGGTTGACCGAGATGTGTGCCTTGGTGTCGAGCTCCTCGAAGTCGCTCTCGGAACCAGCCCGGTTGAGCGACTTGCGGGCGTTGCTCCGCTTCTTGCTTCTCATCTCCTCCGCGGCTTCATTGAGGTTGCCCTGAAGACCCGTGAAATCGGGCCCTCCCAGGAAGGGAAGACCGGACTGCGACAGATCCTGGTCGTCCGAATCGTCAAAGCTCTGCTCGCTGAAGAACTCCTCCTCGTCGAACGAGTAGGTGGAGACGCGCTGCCGCTTCTCACCCGGATAAAAGGCGTTGCCGCTGGGGTGGAAGTCGACCAGGCGGTTGACAAACTCGTCCTCCGAGTCGAGGTCGGAGAAGCTGTCGAAGGTGGGCAGGCTGCTGAGGGGGTCCTCGCTGGAGCAGCTGAAGGCAGGGGAGGTGCTGTCATGAACTGGCAGGGTCACGGCCTCACTGCCCAAAACGACCTTAGGCTCCTCGTCATCGCACGACAGAGTGGGCAATGGCGGGAGGTCGGCAGGGGCGGCGTGGATGGAAGACTCCACAGTGAGCTGGCGCGGGTCGCAGAAGTCGGAGCTGGACTGCTCCAGGGGAAGAGCGGCGTGGGACGGGGCGATCAGGGTGGACGAGACAGGGGATGGCGACGGAGAAAGGGATGAGCAGGAGCTATGGGCAGACAGGAGCTCCGAGGTCTGGCTGGCGGTGAGAGAGGGCGGGTGGATGAACACTAGAACCCGTTCCAGTTAGCCCGCTGAAGCAACCCTAGAAGATCCGCACCGGCGGAGACCTGCGACTTCGGCCATGTCGCATTGACACAAAACAAAATTCTTGGGAACTTACCTGGTGTCAGAGGCGGCGAATCGGACCGAGTCCAGTCGGCGTTGGCCAGGATCTCTGCATGCACGTCACCCTCGCATCCCTCCTTGACCCCCTCCACCTTTTCAAATGCGAAGAAGCTGTCATGGAGCGGAGTGTGAAGGCTGCCGCTGGTCGACGGCGGGCTGCTGATGGAGCTTCCGGCGGTGGAGAGCGGTGGGGTGGAGGGGAAGGAGTAGTAGTCGTTACCAACAAACCGCGTGTCCAGCGGCATCAGGGCGGGCGAGCCCTGCTGCACCACGATGGTGGGCTTGAGATGTGACGGTTGGGGAGAGGCAATGGGAGTCATGTTCATGGCACCGCGGAAGGCATTGGTGGTGGCCATCTGGTGCATGTTCATGAGCGGCTGCCCGTAGAGGGCCTGCTGCTCGGGCATGCAGTGCTGTGGTTGCGGTTGGAACGCCTGCATCTGGCCGTAGTATGACTGCATCTCCGAGGGGTGACTGGTGAAATGTTGTCTTTGTTGCGAATCCGCATAGTATGCAAACGATGGTTGGCCGGTTTGGGCCATTGTGTAGGTGGCGTCCATTGTGACTAGTGATTCAGGGAGAGAGAGATGGTCAGTGTCTTGCTCGTCCGACGCCGATGAAGCTGGCACGGATTGTTCCCAAGAGTCGCAAGCACTCACAGTAGTGGGACGTGGTGGTTGCAAGAGTAGTAGAGGCTGCTCTACTCGCTCCCGGGGTATTATTAGTAGTATAGGAGGTGGTGGTGGTGGTGGTGGTGTATATCCGTCCACAGCGCAGAGCTGGGTTGAATGAGTGTGTGCAGAATGATGTCGCTTGCACTCGAGTGAGAGAATGACTGGGGATGGGGTGAGGGGGGAGAGACAGAGGGTAAATGCCACGGGGGATAGCTGTGAGAAGCGATCGGTTGGTGTGGGATTATAAGCGGGTGTGGTATGATATGATATGATGATAGTGGTGATGATGGACGAATGGATGAGGTGACGACTGGCTGCAAGTCAAGTCTATGAAGGAAGGACAGGCACCTATTGTTTCGATACGACCAAACCACAAGACGAATGGTTCAGAACGCTCTCGATCAAGGAGGAGCCGAAGACTGATGGAGTAGTGGTCGCGAAGTAGTGAAGGAGAGAGAAAGAGGGAAGGGAATTAAGATTAAGAGGTAAAAAGGAAGGAAGGAAAGGAAAAGAGACCAGATGAGGATCGAGACAAGTCTAAAAAGGGCAAAAAGGGAAAAAGAAAAAAAAAAGACAGAAGAAATAATAAAGAAAGAAAGAAGATTAATTCGAAGGGCGAGGAGAGTCGCGGGGAAAATGAGAGACAGGGCCGATATGGAAAGAGGAAAGCCGGCGCATGGATGGATGAATGGATGGATGGATGGGATGGGATGGATGGGCAGTGGATAAAAGAGCGACTGATCTGCCTGTGCTACTGCTGCGACTGGCGCTGGGTAGCGCCGCGAGGCCGTACTTTTTTGGGCGTTAGCCTGGGAAGCCTGTTTGGGCTGCATGGAACTTTACTTTACTCGACTGACTGACTTCTTGGTGTAGTTTGTTCGTTGAAGGTGGTGCCAGGCCAGTCAGAGAACAATCCCCAAAAATCACTCCACTAATACATAGGAAGGATAGTTCCGCGGTAATAGCAAGTAATATAGGGTAGTAAGAGTAATAATCCAACTAATAAATCTGCCGGAATGGTATGGTGTCATATATTCTGGCGTGCTTTTTTTTTTGGTTGCGCTCTTTTTTTTTTTTTTTTGCTGGTAATTTTTAAATTTATGATTATTACCTTTTGGGTTCTTGATCTTTTTTTCTTATCCTCTCTCTTTCTCTCTCTCTCTCTATATCTTGCATCCTCTCTTTCTCTCTCTGCTCTTCCCCACACATCCCGATTTTCCTCACTCTCCGTCCTGACTCCAACTCCCAGTTGGAGGGGAGGGGAACGAGAATCATTTCCCAAGGACGGTCATTGTCCACACTGACTGGTGTATTACTGTGTTAGACTTTCTGGTAGTCTGGGGCGGCAAAGAAAGCAGATTGGCGCCGGTGCACATCGCAGCACCAAGCCAGTTAGAAACCTGGGAAGCGGAGACAAGACCAACGGGAGGTGGGCCTACTACTTACTCGGCGCGGGCTTCTTTCTTCATCATCATCGCCGTCAGCACAGCAGCAGCAGCATCAGCAGTCAACACCAGCCAGATTCACCCTAACAGATGGAAGGTGGAAGATGGGGCGGTGGAGGTGGAGGTGGAGGGGCAAAGTCACTAACTAACTAAGTACTTACTCTAACCAAAGATGGCGCCGAACTTAAGAGACAGCCAGCAGGGCCGGCGGGCGAATCCCAGGGGCCAGACAAGGCAGACGGCGTCCCCACCACCTCGGCCGGGGAACCCAAAAAGGCGTAAGTGTGTGGAGCACATGAGCACGAGTGGGAACACTGGCCCTCCAAAGCCCCCCCATTTCAATGGTGTAGCTCCGCCCATTATTACGGGCCACCGTCCGGACGGTAATGGCCTGGTAAAATGCGGAGATGGGCCTGTTCCAATGGGAGCGCTGCAAAGCCATGGGCGTGGGAGCAGCGCGAAAGATAGGATACCGAGAGAGACCAGAAAGGCGCAGAGAGAGGTACGACGCCTATTATCTATACGATACCCGATATAGTAGTAGTCCCTTATAGTACCTAGGTCGTACCAGTGCGACTTGTCCTAGACACACCTTACCCTTTTGGAAATTCCCACTCGTGGTCCAAATAGCCACCACTCCTTCAAACTCTTAGAGGCCAGACAGCGACAGCGTCTACCACGACTATTTAGGTAGGTAAGTACAGCTGGTATCTACTTACCTAGTGAGAGGATTAGGTCAGGCGCAATCCATTAGCTAGCTACCTGATAATAATATTCCTGGGGGGATAATTCTTCCATCCTCTTACTATCGTCGTCCCTGACCCAAAATTTCGAGTCTCACGTAATTTTTCCCGTACCGGTGGTCAGGTAATTCTGGGAACACCACCAGAGCGGCGCATGCTCACCTCACCATGGCTGAGAGTTGCCACACCCCAATCCGAGACGTGGGTGTAATATTGGCTTTCCCAAAATAGCACCCAACTTTTGATTGCCCATCACTCACTCACTCACTCACACTCACCCCCCCCATCTGTATTTCTCTCTCCCCTTGTGTGCCAGTCATGCTGGTTTCGGCCCCTGCCAGTCGGAGGCCAACACGCAGCGCGCTTACTGATGAGGCCACCTGCTCATCGAATGACATCCGCGATGCTTCGCCCTGGGGGGGAGGGGGGGGGAGATGTTCGCGGGTGGGTGTGGGTGTGGTAAGACGGACGGTCGACGGAGACAGCTGTTGGATGGGCTTTGTTAGACTGTTACCATTAGGACCTGCGCCATCGCTTGGCCTATCTCGGTATTTGGCTTATCAGCGGATTGTCTGGTCTTGGTCCTCTCTGTCCCCATGTCCTACCGTATCGTACCGACGGAGTGACCACTACCCAGCAATCGGGCCAGTCAGCATGTCCAGGCCGAGTGGGGTGGGGGGCGGCGCTGCTGGGGAGGGGAGTGTGTACATACTTCTTACGGAGTATACACCCGGTACCTCACTACTAGGTAGATAGATACACAGTCTCACTAGGTTTAGTACTATCTGGTAGTATCAAAAAGCAGCCCATCATTCGACTGTACCTAAGTCAGTAGGTAGGTACTGTGACTCGTGAGGTGGTGGCCACTGATAGTAAGAGTAGTAGCCAGTCTGGCCGCTTGACATTCAACCGAAGTTGGCTGCATGAGAAGCCAATAGACTCCAACCGTGAAGGGGAAGGATTGACTCGCCGGCTAAGCTAGTCGGCCCCACTGCGCATCCCGTCCGCCATTTGGGGGTTTCCATCCATCTTTAGATAGTCCCCCGAAAAGTCAAATGCGAGAGAAAAAAGAATAAAAATATAAATAAAAATATAAATATAAATAAAAATAAAAATGAGGAACGGGACATGCGCCATGGATGATGATGGGATGGGATGGCCCATGTTCCCTTTCTTTTTCCAACCGCTGGCCTACCGTATCTACCGTCCGGGCCACATTTCCAGTAGGTAAGATCAGCAGGCACGGTGGACTGTGGACAATGGGATGTGCGGCGGCCCTGCGGGCAGTCAATCAGTCAATCAATCAATCAATCAGTCAATCAGTCAATCAGTGTCAAAAGAAAAAAAAAATCGAATTTTGTGGTCAGTGCCCGTCGTCATCGCCGCCCCTCTTGGGCTTGCCAAGTTGCTATGTCGTCCGTCGTCGTTGGATAGATACCCTCAAGATGCCTCATTACTATGGATCCAACGGCATGCAGGTAATTACACTCCCGAGGCCATCGGCATGCGTGATAACGAGGCCGACGAACGAAAAAAACGTTCCGTATTACTACTATAAGGATCTGGCAGTAGTGGCAACGACTAGCAATTTCGAGAACACCGACTGGAATAGATTGTCGACGCCAATGGTGAAACGGTCCTGAGTCGGGCCCAGCCTCTGTGGCATGGTACGAGAGACTGAGAGTTATCTATCTACTAGATACTAGATAGATAGATAGATACTACTACTATGGAATACCCGACCTGTTGGATCATGAACGGTACTTACTACCGCAAAGTACCAGCCAGGTACTTCCGGCGGGCAACCTTTGAACCTAGGCCCATCCCAATCCCGGTAGGAGGATGCCGGTCCCAGCCAGTAGATCCCCAGGTATAGGCCAGGTACCGATGTCCCGCCCTGACTTCATATGATTGTCGTCGTCGCCGGAAGACCGAAGGAGCTGAGCAAAGCCATGCCATGCCATGCCATGCCATGCCATGCAAGTGCCAATCAATGCCAATGCGCGCGCTCTTTATCCGGTCGCATGTCATATGCCAACTGCGTATGTACCTACCTACATACCTACTTGCCTACTCCGTACCGTAAGTAGGTACGGAGTCGTGCGTGCAGAATTATTGAACCTAGTAGGTAAGAGACTAGGTACTCCGTACCTTCTTGGATGTCAGGGCTGGGTGCTAGGCTACTACCGATTTTACCGTTCATGCATCTGCCCTATCATTCTGGGGTAGACGGTAAGGCGATGTCAAATCCAAGGTACTGGGATACTCCGAACCCAACCCAACCCCAAAGGTCGGGCGGGCTAAGACCAAGTTTGGAGGACCCAAAATTGGGAGGGGGGAGGGGGGAGTCACACGCCGGTAGTAGTACGGTAGATAGGAGATAGTATACGTCGCTCACATTTTGAGATTTGATTTGATTTGAGATTGTCAGATTGTCAGATTGTCAGATTGGAGATTCTGACCTGTTCAACGGCGGCTGGATCGATCAGGTTTGGCCGGCCTACTGCAGGAACAAATGCGGAGGGAGGGGAAGGGACTGGTCGGAAACGTCTGGCGGGCGGCCGACCCTTGCGTTGAATCGTCCCGACAGGCGGTGACACCGTGACACAGCAGTCAGTCAGTCGGTTAGACTGTTAGGACTGGACAGATGAACGCCGCTGTCAGACCTTGACATTAGCAAGGTCCAGTTTTTGCCTGT